AAATACTAAAGGTAAAGCAACTATGCACAGAGGTGCTTAGAGAATGCAATACCTGCAATAAGAATAACTTAAGAAGGTATAAGGCCTATAGATATCTTTAACTAATTAAAGCACTAACGCTACTATAGATAATAATTATAATAGACTTTATTATAGAACTACCTCTATCTAAAGAACTAGAAATAGACAAGATGTGTAACATAATTATAGTAGCTCTAAATAAAACTACTAAGTACCTACACACCTAGCCCTTAGAAAAAACAATAATAGCTAAAGAATTTATTTATAAATTAAAGCAAAATATAATATTAGTATATAAATGCCTTAAGATTATTATCTCTAACTAAGATAAGCTATTTACTAGTAGTTTTTAAAAAGTAGTAATGCAGCACCTTAGCATAGCACACAAGCTATTAATAGCCTACTACCTGCAGACAGATGAATAGACTAAAAGAGCAAATATAGAAATAAAAAAGTATTTAAGAAAGTACATTTCCTATACTTAAAATAACTAGCTAGAATAGCTTCTAATAGCATAGTTAGTAATTAATAACATAGAATTAGCTATAATAAAAAAAACACTATATAAAGCTAATTTTAAATATAACTTATACTTTATAATGCATAAAAGTTAACTAATAGACCTATAAAAATTAATAGATTAGCTAATAGACCTACACTAAATATATAAAAGGTTAGCTATTAAAGCAAGATCTAGCAGAGCAATAATAAAAAAGTATGTAAATAAATTATAATAACTAGGACTAGAAATCTACTTAGAAGACTATGTGTACTTTAACACTAAGAACCTTAAGATACCTAGACCTTCTAGGAAGCTAGTAGAAAAAAAGATAGAACTATATAAAGTCCTTTAGACCTAATAAGACAACTGCAAGCTTAAGCTTCCTCTGCATATAAAGATACACCTATAGTTCTATGTCTTTAGACTAGAAAAAGCACTTAAGGAAGTTCCCTTGTCTACTTAAAAATAAAAGAATAATAAAGCAGAATATAAAGTTAAACACATTATTAGTAATTAAAAAAACTAAAAAAAATTTTTAGTAAAATAAAAAAAGTAGCTTACTAGTAAAAACACATAGAAACTAGCTAAGAATTTAAAGAATGCGCAGCTGTTAGTACAGAGGTACCTTTAGGCTTATTTAAAAGAAACTAGCTAGGTAATAAGGCACCTATATTAAAAGGAACAGCTATATTATTACTAAATAGTAGCAGCCTTTAGAGACAAGTCCTAGCTAATAATAGTTAAAAAAAGAAATAGCTCTTTACTTTAGCTTTAAGAGCTTTTATTTTGTCTAAGAAAGATAAATCTTTTTTAAGGTACTTTATGTAATAAGCCTCTAGTAAATCTAATAACTTTTAGATATAATTTTATCTAAAACACTTTTTATCTATTGCCTCTAAAGTCTTCTAAACCTAATGTAACATCTAGTTACTAAGCTCCTACTTATAAGCCTTTATAATAGAAGCTTTTTAAAGAAGCGTTTTTTATTCCTTCTTTAACTAATTCTATGCAGTGTTAGAAATAAAAGTGTTGCACTTGTTATATTTTTTTATACACTTAACATAACTGTCTAAGGATAAAGTTAACACATAAGATAACTTTAAAAATTAGTAAGCGCTACAGGGCCTTATTTTTATCTAATAAAGAGGGTTAAAACAACAGGCAACATAAGGATAGTAGAATAAATAAGACTAACAAGCTATTTAGTATAAAATAAATAGATGTTAGAAATGCCTTTTAGCAGGTAAATGCCTACTTTATAAATAAACTCTTACTAACATAGTTGTGTAAGCAGAGCAGCAAGGACACTGCTAGGAAGAGGGGGCAGCGTGTTACAATCTACAGTTAGACTAGCGTAACCCTACTAGCAGTGCTTAACAATCTAGCTAAATTAGAGCAGGGCTTGCTTACAGACTAGCTAGAGAACACAGAGGCAGCACAGCTTTCTAAGATTATAGAAGAATGCTCTGTCTAATAGGAAGGTAGACTGCGTGTTACTAGGAGTTTAAAAAAGCTTAAGAAGCTCTTCTTAGCAGACTTCTATAAACTTTACTAACTCCCCTTAGCATTTTTAACACATGTATATAAGTTTCTATATTAAACAACCTTTAGAAGGTGTGTTTAATGTTTAGTTTATTTTTTACATAGACTAAGTAGCATTTAGCTTTCTAAAAAGCTGCAATACTATTTATATATCTTGCACTATATATACCTCTAACCTTGTCTAACAGGACTGTTTAACCCTAGCCTTTCTACTGCTGCACATAGGGCAAACTACAATCTAGTTACTCTCCCTCCCTCTATTAGCCTAATAGCCTGTACGTAGGACTGTACACCCTACCAGATTGGCCCCTTATTATCCGTCCTACTCCCCACCTAGGAATATTACCAGACCTGAGTGCTTCATGAAGCAAGGATTGTAACATACTTAAGCAGCTAAGTAAGCAGCTAATCTCTAGCGTACTTATCTTCTGCTAGGGAATTAAGGTAGGAGTTTAACTTATTAACTTTTTGCCTCCTCTTTAAGCTACAACCCTTGTTATTATAGAGGATAGTAAGGTTAACTAAGAGAGCCTTTTTAAGGCGCTTATTATGTAGGTTGCTGTAAGCTACTAGGAGCTTCCTCTGTAATATCTCTAGCAACGCTGCCTCTTTTTTCTCCTCTTCCTCCTTAAAGGTTTCTAAGTAGCGTGTATAGATTTTCTAAATAAACAACTCTGCATGCTTATACTAAGATAGGTGGTGTTTCTAGTAGTCTTTAAACTAGAGGAGGCAGAGAGACAGGTTAAAGATAGTTGCCACACAGTAGTAGGAGATCTCTAGCTCTAAAACAAGAGTTTCCTAGTACGTAGTGAGCTTCTTAATGCTAAAGGCGACGCTGTTTTTAAGGTAGTTGCTGTAGTGCTTATAAGATAGGCGCTCTCTCTATGCTCTAAGCTTATTATTAATTACCTGCAGGTATACAATTGTTTGCTATAAGCTGCTGTAGCCTAATTTGCTAGCGCTGCCTTTAAAGCGTTTAGTTATTTTATAGAAGATCTCTAAAAAGTCTTTTATGCGCTCTACCTTTACCTATTTATTATTAGTAAGGCTGTTAAGTAGAGGATTATAACTATTATTTTTAATATTATTGTTAACCTTGTTAGTAAGGCCTATGTTATAGCGCTTAGATTAGATAAAGCGCTAGATAGGCTCTTTAAGTTTAAAACAACGTAGAATTATAAGATAAACAGAATGCCACTGTACGCCGCTATCTTGTAGTAGATTTAGTGTACTAAAGCTCTAGAGGACATCCTTCTTGCTTAGTGTAGTTATAATAGCTGTAAAGCTATTGCAACGCTTGTTTAAGTAGAGGACTAAGTTGCAGAAGTTATAAAGCTTTCTAACAACTTTATGCTGTTAATAAAGCTTAAATTAATCCTAAGAAGCTGTATTAGCTAGCTCTTATTCCTACAGGCTTATATTATTGCTGTAGATAACTGCCTTAATAATAATTTAGATAGTATGGCTAGCGCAGTGTATTTAGTTGTCGCTGCTGAAGTTAAGGTTTGTGTGTAAGTTAAGATAATTAATAAGCTAGATGTTGTTGTTTAACGCGTTATCTGCTACAAAGCAGTGGAATTTTAACTTAATATTGTACTCCTAAAGAACCTTAATAATAGTACGTGCTTAATTTGCGCTAGTCTTGTCGCTGTATAGGTTTTTGAAGCTAATAAGTAGGTCTTGCGGCTGGGTGTTGGCATCTATGTACGCATCTATAAGCTGTATGAGCTGAGTTTAATAGGGCTTACTTACTAATAAAATGCGCGACAACTCCTAGCATTAAAAGGTGGTTAGGACTACTCTACTTATCTAGGCTTAACGCAATTTTGCTATAAGCTCTACGCAACACAGTCTAAATCTTCTCTTTTTACTTTATAAAACTATTATAAAGATATTGTAATAGCGTAGTTAGAGAAGCAGAGAGAGTGTTAAGAAGATTAAGTTAATTCTAGGCAATAAAACTTTAACATCTAGCTAAGGTTAATTGCTGCAGCGACTAATTAGATACAACCACTTAGTTAACAAACACCTGCGCCAGAGCACCCTCCTGCCACAGCGTATGAGCTACCTGCCGCCTTGCTCCTGCTACCTCTGCTGCTGCCACAAAGGGATTTAAAGGCCTCTAAGGGCTATCTAGCAGTACGCTAATGTTAGCATTAATCTTATAAACCACCTTAAGATGCCTTACTATATAGATGTTGCTATTAACAAGTTTAGCTGCCTTTTAAACACTAGCTTTATAGTAAGCTTAACAGAGCCACAGCTACTTCTTCTTACCTGCCTTAGTAACGTGCTGCAGATCTGCACTGTATCTCCACATAAATGACACCTTCTAGCGCCTAAGGAGTTGCAACTTGTGCTTTACACAATATCCTAGCTAATCTGCGCTTAATTTAACGCTAGAACACTATATATTATCCTAGTTAATCTTAAAGGTGATTCTAACGTTATAGCAGGCATTATTTAGGTGCTCCTTAGCCTGGGTATCTTGCATATGCTTTGAAGGAGTTGCTTCACGCGAGGACAGCGTAGATGGACTAGGTGAGGCCATGTGGGCCTTCTCTAAGCGTCGGGATGAGGCAGCATGATATATCTGGGTGGCAGAACGGCTGGATGAGGCATGTGAGGATGAGGCATGTGAGGATGAGGCATGTAAGGATGAGGCTTGTGAGGATGAGGCCTGCGAGGATGGGGCCTGTGAGGTGGTAACATGCTGAGATGACTGTGTTGTTGATTAGGATAGGAATTAGGACATTATAATGGGCAAAAGAATAACGTAGATAGCATAGTTGCTAAATTTGTTAGAAGATTGCTAACAAAACAGGCAATAACAGCATTCTCTGCATTAATCTCTAAACACAAGCCCCCTGGCCCTTAGCAACCTGCCTTCAACCGCCTAAAACCACCAAAAATCCTATATAACTACTGTAAACGGTTAGTACAGCAGCCTCACGTATAGTACAGTATACTGAGTAGATGCCCTGTACGTACGTACGTGACCAAAATCAGTGTACTGCAGTACTGTACTATTAGGTGTACTAACGGTTGGACACACTGCTTGTAAGAGCGAAGATGCGTTTTCATCGCCAAGTTGCTCTGCTATTGCGGTCGTGAAGTTTGATGGAGTCAGAGACTGGAGGGCGGATATGAACGTAGTGCCCTTTAAACCGTTAACGACAACATCCAGAAGTGGATAAAACTTTGTACTTCAAAGCCAGTAGTTCCAAGGACCACTTCATCGACCCAGTTGCACTCCCCAAGGAGTTCTGGAATCCTATCCCATGTTACAACCCCCTTATCCTTCCCAAACCACTCCTCGCTCTGAACAGGGATCCACATCACTCCCTCTGCTGATAGTTTGCTGCTCACATCCACAATGTGCTGCACATCTAGCGTTTTCATTTTCTGATAAGCCAGCTCCCCTCGTTCCTGAATCTCCAATGCGTCCAAAAACTTCTCATACAACTTCTCAGCTTCACGCAGAGGCATTGGCGCAGTCATTGGCCCGATGATACCGGACATTAAAATTGCACGACTGAACAGCGGGCCGGAGGTAGGTGGAGAACAAAGCATTTGGTAGCATATCGACATACTGCCTGCAGATTCGCCGAAAACTGTCACTCGGGATGGGTCGCCTCCAAAGCCCACCATGAATTTCTGAATCCAAAGAAGGGCATTCCGTTGATCATACAACGCTAAGTTCGCACCACCAGGTGTAGCCAAGTAACCTAGCGCCCCGAGCCGGTACTGGAGGTTGACTGCAATTATAGGTTGATCGTCATTTATGGACTGCTCCACGATGTAAGCAGTGTTGTGCTGTTGGTCGATTTTGCCGAGTACAAAGCCTCCGCCGTGGATATAAACTACTACTGGGAGGGAAGGAAACTTTGCTGAATCTCCTTCTAGATATGATAATGGGACGTTGATCTGTAGGATTAGGCATCCGAATTCAGAGGTTGGGAAGTCCGAGGAAGCCGGTTCGTTGGGGAAGGGTCCACCACCGACGGCGTCTGTGGCCAAAGTGTGCGGACATGCGAAGCTGCTGAGTGTCAGTGCGTATATATCTCTTAGTGAGAAGATGTATACCCTGGTTTGGTGAAGTCTCTGGATGTACTGAAGAGGTCGTTGAGAAGGACGGACTGCTGGAATCGCGATGGAATGGTCGCGTAAGGTACCGCTCGGAACTGGACAACGTTGTCTGGAGTGACTATTCCAGTCATCGACCCTAGATCCGGGTGATTGAAAGAATATTTTGGCGTAGTGCTATCGTCCGGTCCCATTTTGTCTTCGCTAAAAGTGGGGTTTTGCCGAGAAGAAGTAACCTAATGTGATCTGGATAAGAAAGGGTTCGACGACAATATAGGGGATACATGAAACGCTGGGGATGTTGCATATATTCTTAGAGTTTATATATCTGAGCCTCGGAGTAACTATCAGGAAGCTGAAAAAGAGTGGTTAAAGCCTCCAATGAGCGTGACGGGAAACCCTGGAACAAGGCCCGATGATCCGGTTAGGCATGCACCAACGATGGATGATACAGGGTTGATGACTGACTTTCTATTTCAACCTTCGAAATTCAAGAATGGGTCGTGTCTCTAGGGGTGAATCCATACAGCTAAGGGGCGAGGCGAAAAGATTTTGGATTCGATTGGGTTCGGATGCAGTGCTGCTCTGGCGATTATACGGCGCAGGTGTTACTGTCCAACATGCCCTGAAGACTTTCTGGTCCATTATTCGATGCAGTGTCTCCTTTGGTATTGCGATGTGTGACCGGGTTGCCGGCAGGACCCTCGAAGCCGCTTCGTATCGGAAGCTAGGGGCACCTCAGTCCTTCTACACTCAAGTCACAGGTTTGCTTCATAGACACATGTAATGGATCGTTTACATGTACATATCTTGTATTCATACTACCTTTTCATAGGGGTCATGTTCGCATTATCATTGGTATCTTTCCCGCATCGTCATTCCACCGTCACAATAGCCAGAGAAACTATTCAGTTCGTAGCATTCTCCTCCATCAGTACTTTGATCGAACATCCTCCACAGCAAAAAGTCCAACGCCTCTGCAACCGAACTTCTCAGATGAAAACTCTCTTCACATCTATTTTCTGGCAGGTCGGGTTCTGGGGAGTAGCACCAACACCACCCATAGCCCAAGCAAGGGTGGTGTATGTGTAGGCATAGTAGGTCGTACACAGATACCAATTGTAGACTTTTAAGAATTCATGTGAGGGTGGGGAGGTTCGGTCGTCCGTGTATGATCCAATATACATGGATCCACATTCATCGAAGCTAACATATGTCGTTGTGGTATTGTCCGGGTAGATGATGGGAATGGCGGTATCCGACGTAGGGAGAGAGGAAAGAGTCATGGCTGAGGGGACCATCATAGTCGGATTCTCGGAGTAGTAGAAGTCGTAGCTCAGGACTCCGGGATTGTCGGTACTTGAGTTCGTCGTGTCTGAAGTGTTGTGGTAAAAGGTCGTGTATCGCTCAGGGGCGTCGTCAATAGTACCAGCCCGACAGAATCCTTCAATGGCAGCTCCTTCATGGCAGGCACCGAAGACAGTCCCATTAATGGTTTCGTTGAGACTGGAGACCACCATGAGCCGGAAGAATGGAGAACGGTTGATATACTGAGCAGCAGTGGAAGCCACGAAGGGAGCGATAGTGGCGAAAATAGCGAAGGCCTTCATTATGGTGGCGATCGTTTGAGCTCAAGTGTATGTGAGAGAGAAGACGATTAGAAAAGAGACAAGAAGGAATGTAGCTGGGAATGGGATCGGCAAAGACGAGGGCAAAAGAGTGAGCAGGTAGGGGTGGCAGCCTTTTATACAATATATTAATCAAGGTATGGTGATTTAAAAGGTGCAGGAACGTCGCATCTGGATCCCTCATCCCATCACATATGGCATGTGCGACTGACGAAATGACGTTGGATCTTGCAATGGTACGCTACTCGGAATCTCCACAGCGCCACAGCGGTTGCCTTTCAATGCCTCAGGTTTATATCGAGTCAAGTCGCGAGCATATCTGGAAATAGGAACGTTGCTCTGGGCTTAATCTGCAGCATCGTCCCCTCTTTTGCGACTTCCTACTCTGGTGGGTAGACTGAACCTAGTACCTGATTGCTACATTGGAAGGTTGGATGAACGACAGTTACTTCCAAGTTCTTCAGGAATTTGAACATAGGTTCGCGGCTTCTCCTCGGATGGTCATCCTTCCATAACATTAGTGTAGCTGGAACGCTCCAGGCGAGACCTGTGCAAGTCATCGACAGCTTCGCACGACAAGAGCTATTCACCAAGAACAGAAGTGTGTAACACAGGGTATGCCGAACGCCGGGCCGAACCCTCTGAAGAAGCCACGGGGGGGTGCAAGTGACAAGCGAAGTGGTATCAACCGTGTCAAAAGGAGGATTGCTGAGGAGAATGAGACGAGACTACCTGGTCAAGATCTCGGGACCGCAGCTCTATGGAAGCTAGAAGAGAAAATGCCCGATGACAAAAGAATAGCAACAATACACAGGAATAATCACGAACGAACTCCTGGGCTCCATACATTTGGCGCTGGTGCACATTCGCAAAACAAAACCGAAGGAGCGAAAGGCCTTCAGAAGGAAATATTGGCTGTAACAAATCGACTTTCACACTGACCTCGATCGCTGACCACAAGCTCAATGCCCTGCACAAGTGTTGTTGCACACTTCTTCACTTGTGCTACGAGTATTCGATCGGCCCGGGTGGCAATCCTCACGGTTTTCGAAATCATGTTGACGCGACTTGTCTGGTGACAGGGTTCTCAGGATGGAGGGGTAACTTATTGCTTTCCGAACCTGGCAGTGCTGGCGTCACTTGAATCCGCTAACCCTTGAGTTTTTGGTAGAACCTTGTCATTTTCGATCGGGCCTTTCTTCTTTTGTCCTCTCCCTCTTCAGTATTGTCCTATGATGCGGCGAACTTGCGATTACTCAGCGGCTGACATAGAGCGCCTTCAACGAAAGGAAAAGCCGACGAGTTCAAGAGAAGAGAAAGTCTCCTTTTCTCCATTTTGCGCGATCCTTGGAAGGTGATTATTATTAGCGGATAGCCCATTTCTTTCGGCTCAGCGAAAACAAGCCTAACTCGATCTTCGTCAGCACCAATTCCTTCAATTTGAACAGGGTTAATTTGAATCGCCCCCATGAGCTGGCAGCGTTGTGCGATCCTATCTCTGTTGGAGACAGCCGCAATACAGCACCGGAAGATCGTATATCCAAGCAATATCTTCATTCTATTCATCCTTCTCTTTTTATCGCAATACTTAGCCGTGTTTCTCTACAATATTTTCATCTACCCATTCTACAGCTCTCCATTGCGGCATCTCCCTGGTCCAAAAGTAACCCTTTCCCATCACTCCCCCAATAGAAGCATGATTGACACTTCATCAGGACGGAAACTTCTTCTTTGGTCAAACTCTCAAGTTCCTCAAAGCCGAAGGACCCAATGATGTGGTCCTAACGTATATGCGACAATTCCCAGATGCTCCGCTAATCCGCTACCTGCACCTTGGGAATACAGAGTGGTTATTAGTAAATAGTGTCCGCGCTTGCAAAGAGTTGGTGCAGACGAAATGCTATTCTTTCGAGAAACCGGAATACTTTCGACGGATTGTGGGAGAGATTGTTGGCATCGGGCTGGTGAACGCGGAAGGGGAGGAACACCGCAGGCAGAGGAAGTTGTTGGCCGGTATGTTGACGTGGGATGAGACTACAAATTTAAGTGAGAGGTGGCTGATAACCGTGTTGGTTATAGGTCCATTCTCCGTGTCGAACATCAAGAAGCTCGTTCCACTCTTCAACGACAAATCCCGTGATTTGTCTAGGCGGATCGAGGAGCAGGTGCAGGAACATCCAAATGCTCCTATTGAAGGTGACCTACCCAAATCATTAGGAGAATTAAACTAAAAAAAATTCAGTCAACCAAAACTTCGCTAAAACGACTTTAGACATCATTGGTACTGCTGCTTTAGGTGTTGAGCTGTGTTCGCTCTCGACATCTGGATCAACATTCTCGAATTTGTATGCGCAAATCTTAGACCAGCCTCCAATAGGCCAGCTTATTTCCGCCATTAACATGTTTGTTCCTATTCGGAACTGGGTTCCCTTGAAAGCGAATCGAGATTTCCAGCGCGCCAACGGCGAAGTTCGACGACTACTGAGAGAAACGATTCGAAAGAGGAAAAAAGCCATTTTTGGGGAAAGAAAGGGGAAGACTGAAGTCAGGAAGGAGTTCACGGAGGAAGGCAGCAAGGATCTTCTGACTTTCATGATCTATGAGAAGAGTGAAGGGGCGAACAAATGGAGCGAAGACGATATTTTAGGCCATGTTCGTTCTACCCTAGACCCCCCCACACCCTACTAGGCTCATGCTGAAGAGATCGTAGCTTCTAAACTTCATGGCAGCCGGTCATGAAACTACTGCAGGCGCTTTAACTTGGTTGATCCTTGCGCTCTGCCTTCATCCAAACATTCAATCTCGCCTCCGTGAAGAAGTCAAAGCACAAATTCCACATTCTAATCCACCCTCCTTTACCGAGCTTGAAAACCTATCCTACATGAACAACGTTCTCAAAGAAGCGCTACGCTGCTATTCACCATCCACACTCATTCCGCGGACGCCGTCGCACACTATCACGTTCTGCGACACCGTGATCCCAGTCGGTACAACGATACTGCTGAACCCCTCCGTCTTACATCTTAATCCGGATATCTGGGGCTCGGATGCAGAATCGTTTAATCCAGACCGGCATGCATCTGAGTATATAAACGAGAATGAGCAGAAGAGTATTAGAGACCCCTTTGCACTGGAGGCGTTCTCAAATGGACCAAGGATTTGCATCGGCAGGATGTTTGCGATGTTGGAGATGAAGAGTGTGTTGGTGGAGCTGTTGCGGAAGTTTGAGATGAAGAGGGGATGGGGTAAAAATGGAGAGAGACTCAGGGAGGGGGAAGAATATGAAGGGGTAGGAGATGAAGATGAAGGATTGATGGGCGGTGTTAAGCTTCAGAATTTCATCACCTTGAGATCTAAAGATGGGGTGTGGGTGAAGTTTAGGATTCTTGAAGCTTGATAACTCGGAATCAAAATCTACTTTAATCTTTAAGTGAATTCCTGATGTTTAATTGTAGCTGCAGTACCTTGCGAGGCTCGTAGTAACGACCATAATGGCCCTCTGTATTGGGCAATTGCGGGGCTTTGTTCCGAATACCCCTGTCCTTTCTCGAAGGATTCTAGGCTATCGAATTCTGGGATCGGAACTGTATATGAATGGATACGAGAGCGAGATATATAAAATAGATCGCGTGCCCCACCTTACAGGCTTTAGGAAGTTGAGGATTGCGTGGCGTCGCGACAACCGTATACTGCAGCGAGCGACGCTAGAAACACTACGGATCGAGAAAATTGTTCAACAGAGGGCATTAAAGGCTACAGGCGTTATCTAGAAAATATTCGGATTATTCCAGAGACTACTCAATTAATCCGTGTTCTCCAACTCCAGCATCCATGCAATATCACCTCATCGCATCCGACACTCAAGATGGCGTCTCCGCAGGACTGCACAACCATTAGTGACATGGTGCAATCGCTCCTCTGTCGTGACCAAATGGTATCAAAATACGATTTGAACTCAATACCCGCGTATATGGCGCTTCTATCATGCGCGAAGAATATCGTGTCGTATGAGTTCGTATCCTTCCTTTTCCAATTCCCCCAATATTTCGCTTCTCGCTCTCTGTCTTTTTCTTGGACCTTTCCACTCCGAGATTCCTTCCCCGACCTTTATGTTCTATCTAAGTCGCCTCCAGCATTCTTTCCGCCCCTGACTGCATCGCTCATGCAATCCCAGGCCCGGGGGGTTCCTCTACCACTCCGTACGCTTCATGCCTATGCTCCATTGGCCTCGGAGACAGGACATCCCTTATAGCAGACAAGATCCAGCACCAGTGTTCTGCGCCGTCCATCCCATCGTTAGCCTGGCAGGGGATAGCGGAAAGCTGGTGTGAAAACGCAGCCGGAGGCTTTGTTCTCGGCCCAACGACAACGCAGGAAGAGAGAAGCACAAGGACAGAGTGGACGAGTTTCATGCATACCGTTACAGGATGGGAGACTGCGGTTTCAACTCGTGGTGGGACGGAGTCTGGTGCTGAGACGGAGACTGCGAGGGGAGATATGTGGGGTTGGAATACTATCACCGGCTCGGAGACTTCTGGGAGATATCTTTTCCCGCCGTCGACGCCTCCGAGTCCGTCAAATGCTGGCGCTACATCAATTTCGCCGAAAGTCGGTGCCCCTATTATTGTTGGCACGGTGCTGGGTGGTGTTGTTGGGATTCTACTGCTATCATTGGGGTTGTGGGTCTGGAGGAGGCAGAGGAAGAAGATGAACGAGGAGGAACGGGAAATTAAGAGGAAGGCCAAGGGGAAAGAGAAGGCCGGTCACACTGAAGAGGCTGTGATCAAGAAGGGAAAAGAGTCCGCCAATGATGACACAGAAGGAGATCAAGGGAAAGGGACAGAAGGGGAAAGAGGAGGGAATAAGAGTGAATTATGATATACATCGGTAGTTTAATCTGTTTAGCATGCCCGGTCAACATCGATCACCATGATTGGAAAGTACCCAAGGAGTGAATTGTTAATATGCTAGAATTCGTCTCGATTTCGTTTTCTATGCGCTATATGCGATATATGTCTGCAAACACCCGCATGTAAAAAAGAGAATCCACCCCAAAGCCATTCTAATAATATGTTCAATGAAGATAACCTGGCTAATTCACCCACCACGCTATTACAACAAGAACAGCGTAACGCTGAGCGATACAATAACAAACATGAAACTTGAGGCCTTTGTTCCCGAAGCCGCCCCCTGGAACTGCTGTGTAGAGTTTCCTTGTTCCTTCCCTTGGAGATTGAAGGGTTGGTTGCCCATTATGCTCAGAGAACTTTTGTCCCCCATACTACCTGACACGCACTGGCCTTTGCCCCATTTAGCGTCAACGGAAGCCTTCCACAGCTTCGTGACATCTTTCCAGGAGTCAAAGGTGTTGAATAGTTTGCAGTCTGCCGCCTCGTAAACAAATTCCAAAGGTGTCTCGCTGGAGTCGTTCATTCGAAGATTATCGAGCGAATTGACGCGACCGAAGATGGGAAGATCGGGGTTGGTGTGAGCAGATCGTATTAAGAGCTGTTCAGTCGCAATGATATTTCCAACCGCAGTGGCGTTGACACGCTCCGCTGTGGAAACACCAATGACTTGCTGGGTGAAGTTGACAGCTAGGGCCAATAATTGAATAAGAGAGGGGAATGAGAGAACTTGAGAGCCTTTGGTCCCGCCAATACCTTGCATGGGGGCGTTGATAGGACGACCGCCGATGGCAATGGTTTGGACTTTACCTTGCTCTCGCATGAGCTCAGAGAAGATGGAGCAGGTGGATGAGCACATCCCGTCCTGAAGGATGACGATATTTTCGGCTTCAAAGGGTTGAGGAGAGGTTTCAGAGTTAGAAAGGTAGCCAGTGAGATTTAGGCCATCATAGGGATAGCCACCATTAGGGTTCGAGAACTATGCCTCGTTAGCATTGATAGTTGCAAGGTAGATGCTGAAAAATACTTACATTGTATCGGCGAGCGGCAATGAAGGTGTCATTGTTGTTAGTGTAAGGACCATAGTAGTCCCTAAAGCTCTGAAATGGCTGGTTGCTAACATTCAAGACGTTCTGGAAGTCGAAGGTGCCAGCATTCTTGTAGATAGTCTCATACAGAACAGGGTTCTCATTAGCAAGGGTCGCATTCGTCACGAAGTCGGCAATGGCAGCGCTAAAGACTTCAAACGCCTCATGCGCTCTGTATCGTGACGCACCATAAGGCACGATGCCAGGAAACAGCTGCTTGAAGACTTCGAAGCCTACAACGATAGTCCCACCCCCATTGCCCCTAAGGTCAACAACGAGCTTCTTTTTTCCTTTTGACCTCGCATCGGCTAGGAAGGCTCTGAGTACTTTTTGAGTCTCCACTGCTGGGTCGGTTTCATTAGTACCTAGGCCGAGCGTTGGGCCGAATTCTGGAATTGCAAGAACTGCGACATCGTCGTAGCCACTGCCGTTGAGGTAGTATCCTTGAAGAGCAAGCGAGCTCTGCACGATGACAGGACTTGGGTATCCTGTGGGTCGCGGCAGTGTTTTAGATAAAGCAGTTGAGGTAGAAGTGGCGTTGAGTAGGGCAGCAGCAGTGGTGGTAGGCATGCTCTCAAGCTCCTCTGTTGTGTCTAGTACACCTTGACAGAACTGTTTGAAGAAAGACGGCCCATCAATGACATCGGTAAAGTTTGTGGATGCTGCAATTTGAGCAGTATTAGGGATTGTCTTGGTGGTGCCGTTGACGAAGACAAACGTCGTGTTGGCGCCATCGTATTCTCCTCTTACAAAGGGACCATCCTCATCAGCCGAGAGTCCAATAGATCTTCGAGCCTGATTGGGAAACAGCCTATTGTACCGAGCATCGGCATCGTGATAGTTGGCTTGCGAGGCAATTTCGTTCAAGTACTCAGTTGCGTTCTTGCCGTTCACGGTCTTTATAGGCGATGGGGTATAGTTGAACTTGGCTGCCATAGCCAAATCTGAGTTGAGGAAAACGTCAGGAAGGCTGGTGTAGTCCTGCGAAAGTGAGACAAGGACACCACCCGCCCTTACGAAGGGTAGGACTGTAAGGATATCCGAAAGCCAGTTGAAATGGTTATCGCCAACACTAAGAAAGAGCCTGTGGAGGTCAAGCTGCACTTCGTAATCGCTCTTGTAGGATCCTTTTTGAATGTCTGCAGCAATTTCATCGAGCGATCCTCTGACATCGATGGGTTCTTCGTTATGTGTTTTGATACCGTCCTTGACATAGTTGAGATTCGTCTGGAACTCGATGAAATTCTTAAGCTCTTTGATCTGTTTGAGATCCCCTTCGACGTCTACAGGTACCGACTGCAGGCACGAATATGCAACACTGGCGGGGACATACACGGCCCCGGTTGCCTCAGGTGCAAGTGCAGCCCATGAAGCCGAGACTTCAGCGCAGGGCTCTTGAAATTCTAGCCTTTTGAAGAGGGTTGGTGCTGGTTCGAGTTCCTCTGTTGGAGCGCGTGGGATATTAGGAATAACGACCGATGCCGACGCCGTAGCAACCTGGAATAAAGATAAGGGCCGCATATTGTCCGTGTTTGGGGCACCCTATTTCGATGGTAGGCACGAAAAAGAGATGGAGTGGAATGGAAGAAATATCCTCCCTATATCTCTCCACGTCACGACAGAAAATGATTTTGAGGATAGGGGAGGCCTATACATCTTTATACAAGAACAAAGGGTGCACGGTACAAGCACGGATGGACGCGATCATAAACAAATGGGGCTGAAGTCAGCGATATATGAGCCGAAACATCTCGGGTGCTGTTTACCATGGGTCTGGTTGGGTCATTCGTTGTTTCAACCGGGGAGGGACCGAGAGGCTGAGCGGGTTACCAAAATACGCTTTTTAGTCGTTGGTTGCCATTCCCGAAAGGTGGAATGGGAAGAACTAGGGCCATAAGCATAAATGGAGATGGAAATGATAGGCAGACGTCAAGGGATTTGAAGGAAGGAAAGGAACGTAGCTCTAACAGCATCGCTGCAGGTAGTTACCATGGATCTGGTTCTAAACACGTCAGTTGTCTATCAGATCCTATTCGGCGTCGTCTTCCTTGGGTGCCTGAGTGTGTCGAGGGGAGGACGCATCACGACAAACTCAGTCTTCAGCTCTTTTGCTCGGTGCCTGTTGAGAACTTTCTCATCGCATGATGTGGGTAGCTAAAGTCAATCCGGGAAATGGGATGCTTGCTGGCGCGATCTTTGAGGCTCTTAGGGGGCTGTGTCAGAAGAGGCTGGAGCAATTGGGTCCGGCGGGTAGGGTTATTACATAATCTCAGCCCCATTTGGTCGGTGCCTCACTCCGGGGGTCAAACTGAAGAACACCACGCTTCTAACTTGGTATCTGGGTCAACACTCACTAAGAACTATGTTGTTTTGCTTCTCGCCTTTCCACTCCATGTTCACTATCTGCACCACCCTTTTCTCTTTGAACTGCGATGCTGCATCGAAAAGCAGAAATGGCAATCGAGTGTTCACGGAACCTAGCATCCGACTGTGCCCCTAAAAATAAGCTGGGAGATTTGATGATGATTAGATCGCCGCGGCCATACTAGATTTAGTGGGGTTGAATTTTGCAATCTTGAAAATCGCTGACGGTGCCAATATGCCTCAGCATTTACTGTGTTGGTTACGAAGTAGATTACGTACCCCGTAAACTGATGAGAGTATTTTTTTTTGCATTTCTTTTTTTTGACATGAACTGAGTTGATAGGAGTACATACGATCCCGTCAGATAGAAAAACTCCTGTACTGCGTTGCGGGATTGACTCAAAGCAGGCAAAAAGGGAGTTCTCTAATGCTACTCGTGCAAAATGGCATTTGAGCGTAGGGTTGAATAGCAACTTTAAGGTTTGCCCGTAGTTTGTTGAATCCCCCACCACGAAGTCACATTTGGACACAGAGGACTGATTATGTTTGGTCGTAATTATGGTGAATCTTTCCTTCCCTTAGAGACTCTTTGGCTTTAGAAATTAGCTTGAACGGTCAAAGCTCCGTTTTCATGTACTGTGGCAGGAGCCGACAAGCAATAAGCTCTTCGTTCGAGGATAAGCATCGCCTTGATGGCAAACCTAACGCCGCAATACAAATCCTATCTAGTATAGGATCCAGAATCTGGCTTACCTAAAGTAGTAACTGGGCATGCAATACGGTCATGGGCCTTCCATAATACCCCAGCATACTAAGGCGGCTCTATCGAATGACGTTCACCAAAAGCAAGTTCTGGCGGAAGCAAACAATGGATTTTCCCAAACAAGTTTTACAGCCAGCCGCGGGTCGAGCTACGTGGAATGTGGATTCCGAATCAAACTTCTGAGGCGCTGGGGTAAAATTCTTCTGAAATTGGGCTCATGAGCTTGATTGACCTGCGTCAAAATCCCCTTTCCCGATAGCACGACCGATTTTGAGTACGAGTGACTTTGAGCCGCTGCGTTAGGAGAAGAAAGGCATGCCGAGAATAATAGTAGGTCAATCACGAAAGTTAAAAGCAGAATGGCACCTAGCACGGTTGACAGATGCGCCGATTAAATTGTGAGAAGCGTCTCGCTAATACCTGGATGTGTGGTAAATATGAATGACTCATAGTTGGCTTACCACGTATTTCTCGAGAGCTTAGCCACCTTCAACCCCTCGAAAATATCCCACAGATCAATTACTGACCTTCTCACACAAAGGACTGCCTCATGGCGTTCATCTTCTTGCCTCCTTAGGGTATTAGGTGGTCACTGCTAGTCCCCTCCAGTCCCACCGCGAGGTCAAAATGTGTTAGGTGATCAATATTCCCCAAAAGATCGCTCAGCTAGTTAGATTCTCAGGCTCACCCTCAACATCCCAGAAAATCCATCCATCTCGTTGGCAGGCTTCTTGAAGCTCCGGACCATTGACAACATTCCTCCCTTCCATAACCTTGACATAAACAGCATGAGAAGAGGGGCCATTTAGATATTTCTGCCCAATGTCGAGCAGGTAAGCTCTCTGCTTTGGGGAGAGCTCTCGAAGCCAAGGTCTCATCGTCCGGCGAGTTTGAAGCTCATCGTAGTAGAACCTCTGACATAGTGATCGCCAGTCAAACGACAGTTCTCGATTTTCGACGTCTAATTCGATGGCCGGGAGTTTCGAGCTTCTCAGTTCCTTGCTAAATCGTACAAAGTGCGATGATGTTGCGAGGCGGGTACGGTCTTCTCTCGTCTGAGCAAAAAAGATATCGGAGAGACAATTGCAATACTCTAGGTCCAGAGTTGATTCTATTGGAGGGGTGCACTTGCAGCACTTTCGACGCAAATAGAACGGCAGTGAATACTTCCTATGAGTTGGACCCTCCTTGATATCGACCATAAAGAAAGAGCTCTCGTATGCGGACGGTTGTTCTTGAAGCTGAAGGACAGCCCTCTCCTTGGTGTCGGGGGGGGTGAATCTTGTGGCCTCGAAAAAGAAGGTGGGCGTCTGCGTGCCGAACAAAAGATTCAAGTGGCTCTTTGCGCCGCATTCCCGTTTTTGCTCTTCGTTCAGCAGGCTGTGAACTCTTTGGAACCGTTAGCACCGCCAATGACCTCGACCTCTTGTGTCGTTAGACGGTCACTTGTAGTGAAATAAAAGCCCTGAGATTTGAGGAAGAAGAGGGCATCTGAAAAGGGTGAACTACATGATTGTCCGGGCATAATCACCCGCAAAGCGGATTGCAAAGTCCCGGATGATTCTCTGTGCGAAGACGTTCTCGGTAACTTGTCGAAAGAATGACGATACTCGTCTTAAGATGAACCAAGCAAAGCAATGGTCGTCTAGCCTGAGAATGATCATCATCCAGATTTCTGGCGGCAGGGCTTCGGGTGGCATAGTCCGATGCAGGTGGCGTAACCATTTGCCAGCATCGGGGCCAGAGTAGCGACGCGTTATCGCAAACAATGACATAGGCTTTCCTGTCGTGTGGTTGATGCACTCGATGCACGGTAGAGTGGACGGCAAGACATTGCAGCTGAGGATGTTCCCAATTCACTAGCTGAGCCTCGGCCTTGGCGTGAAATTTGCTAGGCGGAAGCGGTAGATATGGACCGTGCATATAATTACATAAGCGGTCAAAAACGTGACATTCGAGATTTTTAGCATCTCGCTATGTCCTCGACCGAGTGAGGTATGCTTATGTGTTATCTGGTCGTTCTAACAATTAGACGGAGGAGTTGCAGCTTCTAAGGTTGCTTATTCATTCCTGTGCGGACAACCTCGGCCCTTCGTGGCGATATAGTACCGCAGCATATCTGTTGACAGGCTGTTCTCTCTTCTAAGGTTGCATTTTCAATCAAAACATGATTCCCTTACCCTCAAACCCTCAAAATGGAAAGAGAGTCGCAAGCTGAGCCGTAGAAAGCTTGATAGTTGGATGATAGAGGCTTGGAAAGGCCTCAACACTCTCCAGGAGATCCGTGGCCTGCCGCGAGCTACGAACATCCCCTCAACAACATTAACGTCATCGTCTAACCATTCACCTATTTTACCCCTTCGGAACTTTCATTGTCTTTACCACATATGTGCCATTTTCCGGTCTTCCTGCCATTCGACTAGTTTCCTAAGCTCCTCCAGTAGTCAATCATGGACCTTAAGTTTTTCCAGGCTAATCATTGTGCTGCCAGCACTGCCATTCCCCTTTCTGGTCCCAACTTTACCAAAATCCCTCAATTTCAGCGGGCGGATCGACCAATTGTCTCGGCGAACGATTCCCTCTCGCAAAATGTAGGGATAATGCCACTCTGCGTTTGGGAATGTTACGAGCCTATCGACGTCAATTAGGGTCCAATGGGTGCATAAAACGCATATTCCCCCCCCTCCACTGAATTTTGAGTTCGCTTGTGAGGTCCTCCCTGTCTTACCCTTGTTCCGATCTGGGACGAACCATTGAGATATGAGGTTCCATGGAGGGAAGAGAGGAGATGGCATTGAGAAGGGAGAAGGGGACAACGGCAACTTCGTTGTCAACAGGTCGAAGTCTGTTGTGAGTTTTAGCGGGCTAGAAGGTATGGACGAATACACTGCTGTCCAACGATATGTCACTTCATATCGGACCCAAGAGCTATACAGACGAATAATTCGACCGGCAGCAAAAGGGTGCTGTAGATGCAGGCAAAAGGTACCATTGGTGGACGTTTTGGAGATCAGGAGCTTCCTCCCAAGCCAAACCTACCGATCAGGGACTGTTCCAGAGAACTGGTTGGATACAGATATCCACCAAGGGATCTCTATTGCTGATGCGGGTGTCGGGTGTAATAAAATTACGGCAGAGAAGGAGAATATATTGAAGAAGTTTCTCGGCTACTTCACTAGGCCCATCCTCGAAGGTTTAATTTCTAGCAATGTTAATCTCTCAAGATCAGCTAACATGGATGAAGTCGTGAAAATCGCTACTCTTTTCGCTGGGTATCCTCCTGCTAAACGCAATTACTAGCTAGTACTAGGAAAAACAAGCCGCGGAGGTCGTTTGCAGCTTGAGCCTTGAAGGGCGATATGCTATGAAGGCAACCGTGATTGAGATGGCTCGCAGCAGTCGACACTGGCTCGAGATATAGTTCCTGGAGCTATCGTAAGGCGGACATTGATGTCATATAGGAGGCTCGCTGCCTTCGATACGTCATCATCGAAGAAAGCCAAACAGTACCAGCTGATGCTCACATTACTGTGACTACAATTGTCCTGGTGATTTTGCGACCTACAACAAGCTTAAAGAGGAGGACAAGTTTAATATCGAATCAGGTCCTGATGACGAGAGAAGGACTGATGATGAAGAAGATTCTGAGAATCCAGTATTGCAAGGCCATGCAATTGTAGCCACCGATCAGTCTGCCGTTCCTGGAGAATCTCTTGCTATTGGTAAATATATGGGTGAAGTTGGTGAGTCAATCTCGTTTCCCGTTATTGAATCTGTATTGTTGAAATATTAATATTCTAAACCCAGCATACTGTGCTACTGGATGGAAGAGAGGCGAACCCTGTGCTGTTGCTATAAGCTCTGCAAAGAATTCATTCTTTGGGCAGATAGCATCCCTCGTGGAAGGTGCCATAGCTCAGGAACATTTCAAGGCAATAATGAACTCAATTAGGACGTTATTACTCGTTCTAGTTGTGTTCTGGACCATGGTAGCTTGGATTAGAGGTTTCTTCCGCCGCCTGAAGATTGCAACTCCTTCCAACGGCTCCGCCAATCTTCTAAACTATGCTTTAATTTTCCTTATTGTTGGCGTTCTTGTAGGGTGAGCGCTTGTTGCCGTACCCCTCTGCAAACTTCAGTCTTCCCGTTTGGCTGTATAATTCAAGGCCTTTGAGAAGGGGAAACGATCGCAGACGCTAACGAAACCCAGCCTACCCGTCGCCACCACTACCACGTTGGCAGTTGGTGCTGCATATCTGGCGAAGCAGAAGGCGATTGTTCAGAAACCCACTGTCATTGAATCATTGGCTGTACGTACTCATCCCTCTTGTGTTACCATCTTACTTCTCATAACACCCATCATGAAATCCATATCGACTAATTGTCACAGGGTGTCGATGTGCTATGCTCCGACAAAACGGGAATATTGGCGGCTAATCAGTTGAGTATTCGAGGCTTATACGTAGCCGAGGGTCAAGACGTGAACTGGATGATGGCGGTTGCCGCTCTGGCCTCCTCCTATAATCTTAAATCTCTAGATCTAATTGATAAAGTGATCACCCTCACCGTGAAGAGACATCCTAAAGCACACGAGGTTCTGGGGTAAGGCTGGAAGACTGAAACATTTACTCCCTTCGATCCAATTTTCAAATGTATCACGACCGTATATCACATGGGCGGCGACAAATACTTCTGTGCAAAGGGAGCTCCGAAAGCCATTCTCAACTTTTCAATTTTCGAGTCAGAGACAGCAGCCATGTTTAAAGAGAAGGCTACCAATTTTGCCCGAAAAGGCTTCAGGTCCCTTGGGGTTGCATACCAAAAAGACGGCGGTGATTAGATTTTGCTTAGCCTTCTCTCTATGTTCGATCCTCCACGTGAGTACGACCGCACAGACCATTGTCGAGACTCAACAACTTAGAGTACTTGTTAAGATGTTGACTGGAGATGCAATCGCAAATTCTAATGAAACGGGCAAGATACTATCATTGGGAATGAAGGTTTACAACTCTCAGAAGCTCATCCACGGTGGTCTAAGGTAAGTTCTCCTACGCTTCGTTCAGGTACATTGCGACTCTTTTCCAACTAATTCCAAAAATTGGAACAACGCAGCACGACTTTGTGGAGCGTGTAGATGGATTAGCGGAGGTTTTCCCCGAGCATAAGTATCATGTCGTCGAGATGCCACAGCAACGAGGTCATTTGACCGCTATGACTAGAGACGGTAAGTTGATGCCGTCGCAGCCCTCAGTTCGTGACCTAAGAATTGTTTAGAATGCCTACTCTTAAAAAAGACCTGCCGGATGGCAACTTCCCAAAATCTTGATCATCTCCGTCGCCCTAGGCATCGTCCTTACCCTCGGGACTTGGGTTATCCGCGGTACGACGTATCTTCTCACTGGTGATATCATGCGAAACTTCGGCTCTGTCTAAGAAATCTTGCTCCTCAAAGTCTCGCTCACATAGAATTGGCTTATCTTCGTGACACTTGGCGGGTAAACATGGCCTAGCTTTCAGCTAGTCTCTGCGATTCTCAGTGTAGTTGCAATTGCTACAGTTTTCACGCTCTTTGGATGACTCTCCGGTAGTCCACAGATGTACAACCCGCGAGATTACTTTCATCAGAGCCAAGACAGATGTGCGGATGTTATTAGCGTTGTGGTTATTTGAACTTATTCGCTGGTGTCACTATCGTCATCGCAGTTGCGTAGTTCCTGTTGAATAAGATTAGGTGGACGGATGATCTTGGCAGGAAGGATCGAAGCCGCAAGGATCCTTCAATTGAGAACATGATTGTGGTGCTAAGTAAATGTGCAGTTGAGCATGAGATGAACAAGAATGGTAGGGAGAAGTATGTACTGGCTACGAGGGCTGTGGAGGGGGAGGGGGAGGAAGAAGATTAGTCATCTTCTGTTGCAGACTAGGAGAGGGTAGCTTGAGGAAGTTTGGGGCCGGTGATATATGGTAGAAGTTGGGACGATGTGGAGTGAGTGGCAGATGTTAGGAATGCCTTGGATGAGAACCAATAGTTTCGAATATTTATCCTGCCATACATTATATATATAGATATCAAAGATCTTATGACTGACACGAGAAGTTCCTGCCGAAAAGCGACTATTATCATATGCGACATGAGAAATTTGAGAACATCCTGAAACTTTTCTCGTTGAGGCTAGCTCCTTGAAAGAGAGGAATATTCAGATACTGGATTCTCGGATATACCCAGATCATATACTCACTCATCCGCTAAACAAATTCAGTCCTCCCAAGCATCCCTCTTCAGCTTCATAATAATAACAAGATTACTTCCATCCTCATGTCTAATCGCTATCCCCGTTATTGGCAAAAGACCCACCCCCACCCCTAGCACCCGTTTCACTAATCCAAATACCCCACTATATCAACTGCCACTGAAGTCTCCAGACCCCGTTCCGCAAGCAATATGCCGACGATTTTTAGATACATATAGACAGACAATGCATCAATCTGCGCAAAATTCTCTTCCGTAGCAATGACAGCAAAAGGTAAATAGAAAAACGAGTAACTTCTCGGTTGTGCAGGGCTTCTAACAGGGCATATAAAGTGAACCATACCGGTCACGTGTTTAGTAAGCACATACCCAATTTGTGAGCCGTTCCGTACGTTTAATGATTCTCTAGGTATGGTATGTAGTACAGATCGTATTGCCCTTTTAGGGAGTTTGTATAGTGATTCTAGGGGAGTAGAAGGGCTCTGGAGAGTGGAGCTAGAGGCAGATTACTTTGCCCTGCTACGATCAATCTTCAGCTATAGGCAGTATACTATTGCGGGATAAGGTAAGAGACGCAGTGTATATGGTTCTTAACTTCTGCGGTCTAGGTAAGAGATTGCGCAAAATTAGACAATAGAGGTATCTAATAAATTAGGTGAGGCCTTTGAGGTGTTAGGTGTGTGGATAGATAATCCTGTAATAGAAAATAGTTAGCAGTAGGCGTTTTTAAGACAACTGACTGCGAATAGATAGATTAAAACACTGAGAAGGAGATTTAAGCATCCTTCCAAAACTTCTAGCTAATCAAGTCAGCAGCATGCAGTGTATTAAGAATAACGGTGTCGTTCAAGTCTGGGGATCGATGCAGTAGACAGGGCTTCCAACGAGGCGTAGTACTGTACGATTGGGCGATTTTGAGGCCTGTACGGGTGAGATTTTGTGTACGTTTGTACGACAGGGAGGAGGAGAGGTAGGTGTACGTATTGTAACTGTTACAGCTCACGTGATCTGTACAAGTAGTATAATTTAATTAAAGTACGCTGTACTCTAGTTAAAACAGCTAAGACTATAGGTCTCTAGAGACGCAAGATTAAGGTCTAATTAACTATAAAATAACTAGTTCTCCCTAGTAACAAGAGCAGATAGGACTAAATAAGGCCTGTAAGGCGGCAAGAGGCGTGGATAGATAGCTCTGCAATAGAAAATAGTCTGTAATAGGCATTTTTGAGACAACAGACTGTAGATGGATAGATTAAACCCCTTAGAAAGAGATTTAAGCGCCTGCAGGCCTCCTGCTCGCTAGAGCCCTCCTACCCCTCTAGAACCCCTATATAAACTTCCTAAAAGGGTAATATGATCTGTACTACGTACTGTACCTAGGGCATTATTAATTGTACGGTACGGCTCACGAACTTAGTACGTTTGTACTGAACACGTGACCGTTACGGTTCACTTTGTGCAGACCGTAGTACGGCCTTTTGGAAGCCCTGACTCAGAGTAGTAAAACTTCACCATAGCCTCAATTAGCATGCCCACAATAGACACTTACCTACAAGGTCCTTCTTTAGACGCACAGATTAGATTTGGAGAAACTTAGATCAAGAGCGATATGTCTACGTAATATTTTCAAAGGATGGTAATATTAAAAATAAGTTTGGTCACATCATCAAAATGAAGGATTGTTATGAGAGGAACTAGCAAGTTAAACATAAGATAAATCTTTATTTCTCAAATATCATGAAATCTAACCAACTATTGCAATGATTCGGCAATCACGTGCTAGCGTCTTAGCATCCCCGGCCCGTGGGCAGACCCTCTGTTTTCGTTCTGGCTACTCCTCTAGCTTGGTTTACTGTACAATCCACCGATTAGACTTTTCCTTGTAATAGCTTCGTAGATTGCTTTACTCAGCGCAGGTTATTATGCAACCTACCACATGACGGAGGTAATTTGGGAGAGAAACCTACATCCTGTTAACGTTCTCCCTTGGTTTCGGTAAGAGGTTCAACATCTTGATTTCACGTTGGCCATACTCTATGTTCTTTGGCAACATGCTAGGCAATAGCCGCAAATCCATAGCCTTAGAATTTTCATCGTTATCCCTAATCTAGGTTCTGCCGCTGACACATGGTCCAATAAGCTCCTTTCAAACTTATCAGCTCAGCATGGGAGCCCTTCTCGACAATCGATCCATTAACAAGAACAAAAATGGAGTCCGCATCCTGAATTGTGGAGAGTCGGTGTGCAACAGCGACTGTTGTCCTTCCCACCGAAGCGTTCTTCAGGGCTGTTTTTACTTCCAGCTCAGAACTGGAGTCAAGCGCACTGGTAGCTTCGTCTAACAGAAGAATAGTTGGGTTTCTTACTAATGCGCGAGCTATGGCTAGACGTTGGCGCTGCCCGCCACTGAATGCCATTCCCTTCTTACCACATGGAGTATCGTACCCTTCAGGTAGGGACATGATGAAATCGTGAATGTTCGCTTCGCGTGCTGCTTGAACGAGCAAGTCCTGACTCCCTTCTTCCTCTGGGACCCCGAGAAGGATATTTTCACGGACTGTTCCTTCAAAAAGGTGCGTTTCCTGTGACACGAGCGAGACGTTGGATCGGTAAGTCAAGGCGCTTAACGATGATAAAGGAGCACCTCCAACTTGTATGTTTCCGTGGCTTGGGTTGTAGAAGCGTTCTAAGAGCGAAATGATTGTGGACTTGCCGGATCCAGACGGACCTACGATGGCAACCGTCTGACCTTGGGGCACCCGAAAGCTGACATCTTGCAACACAGGCTGACTGACAGTGTTGGGATATGAAAAACACACAGAATCGAAGTCGATGGAGCCACAGCCTAGCTTTTCCTTGTCATTTTTGCTCGATTCTAGTATTTGAGATCGCTTAGAATCTAATCGAGAGATCCTGCCGCATGCACTTCGTGCATGAACGATACCTGTTTTAAGTTGTCAGGAAAGATTTCCGTGTTCAGAGAACCTTGGGGTCTTACTTGCTGTGCTGCCAAAGAACTCTCCCGCTGCATCTGCTCCAGTAACAACAGCATTGAAAACGATCCATATCTGCATTGCGGTGATCTTATGATCAGCTAACAGATGGCCTGACCACCAGAAAGAGAGTGTCATGCCTGCGGAGCCTTAGCTTGGACATCAAGTTACTGGACACTCCATACCTAGCAGATTCCCACTTTGCGAGAGAGCGAAAAGCGGCATTGTCACTAGGAGACTCCTGTAAAAGGCCGGCAGCGAGCTTTCCATCTTTCTCTCCATCGTCCTACAAACTTCTCCTTCCATTGCAAAGGACGAAACAGTCCTGATATTTGCAATCACCTCAGCAGCATATTGTGCACTATCCATCAAAGGTTCGCTCAAGCTTTTGTTTTTCCTTATCTGGGATCGAACTCTTAGAAAGCTTGCTATTATGATGACTGGAAGCGTTCCAAACATTGCGACGAGAGCAAATCTCCAGGAAAATATCGGTGCTAGTATGAGGAACGAACCCAGGTTTATCACACTAACGGCCAGAGAACTTAGGACAGTAACAAATCCTTGGAGGTAACTTGGATCGGTGGAAAGGCGTGCCACGAGAAATCCAGGAGTGTGGATATCTTTATCGAAAAAGGAGGCGGGTTGCTCGACCAATGCTCCGAAATATTTTCCACGATAAATCCGAGCGGTGATAGTGCCTCCGATCGACGAGAGCGATCCAACCGAGAAAAATGCAAAGAATCCAACTATTCCAAGTATAAAGAACATTAGAGACCAGAAGTTGATCGCTTGCACCATTTGGCTACCATGCTTTTGCCACGAAGTAAGGGTTTCTCCAAAAACAATCGAGTCTGCGGGATAGACCAAACCGGCAACAAAGCAAACTATGAAACTTGAGTAAAAAATAAACTGCAAAAGCGGACTAGCTTTTATTACGCGCTTCGACGTCTCCATGAACGACATTGAGTACTCCTCGGTCATGTCCACTCCTACAATCTCGCTTCCATCCGTCACCTTGTTCCGTTTAAGATCGTTTTCGGGATCGGAGTCAAATCCCCGAGATGCAGACACATCACTATCGTCTGATTTGCGGAGATCTTGTGACCAGCGTCCCTCCAGTGTCAGATTTTGTGCTATCCAAATTTTAAGGTATGCATCGCTAGTACGCAGTAAACTCTCATGTGTCCGTTCCTCACTGACTACGCCGTTCTTTAGAAGTACGATACGATCTGCTCGCTTGATGGTTGCAAGCTTATGGGCTATCGTCAGGGTTGTCCGCCCTCGGGAGACCCGGTCGATGGCTGCTTGTACGAGACATTCGGATTCTGCGTCAAGTGAAGAGGTAGCTTCATCGAATATGAGTATGACGGGATTAGATATTAGGGCACGAGCAATAGCAATCCTCTGTCTTTGCCCTCCGCTTAGCAGACTACCGCGGATGCCGACAATTGTATTGTAGCCCTGAGGAAGTTGTTGGATAAAGTCATGGGCCTGAACATCCTTGCAAACTTTGACAACGAGCCGTCGTTTATCATTATCAGACATGTCGTAGAGTTCACTGCCGATGAGACCATAGGCAACGTTGTTGAAAACAGAGTCGTTAAACAGGACTGAGTCCTACACCGCGATAAGTGGATTGAAAATTTCCTGGGTTCGGCAGTGAATTTACCTGTTGAACGACACGAATATTGCTTCTTAACGACTTGAGGTTATAGGAACGGATGTCGACACCGTTTATCTGAATACATCCCGACTGCGCATCGTACCATCTCTCCAGAAGAGACACAAGAGTACTTTTGCCTGACCCACTAGCTCCAATAATTGCAGTGGTCTTTCCAGCTCCCAACGTCAAGTTCAACCTGTTTAAAATCTTCACAGATGGGCGACTTGGATACGAAAACTCTACATCTTGAAATTTGATACGCGAATATAGCGCATCGAGGACGAGGCCCTCAGTAGAAAACGGGTTTAGTCTAGGTACCGCGTTAATAACCCGCATAAGCGATGCGTGTGCAGCTTTGCCTTTAGCTAAAATGCTGTATGTGGGGATCAACGATCTCAAAGCATTTGTCGCACTATTCATGCATAGCAAGACGCTGTAATTGTTCGTTAGCATGATAAGTGGGACATTTAACATTCCGACATACATGAGGATCGACCCACCACTATCGATTTCTTCACGACTGAGAAGCTTTGTACCATACCAGAATGAAAGGCTGTACACGGCCTACAGTGGGAGGACCGTTAGCAGACGTGCATAGAGACAAATACGAGATAATTCTCAATGAACAACATTCTGAAGCACCACTTAAGTGGCGCCTTTGAAACAGACTGGAGAGACCCTAGTATGTGTAGCTCAAACTTACGTACATGAATAACGAAGGCGCTAACGGAGTACTGTATGGCGGGAATGGAACTTTTGCGCAGCTCTTCCTTCTTAACTTGATCTAAAATTCGTTCATACTGGGCGTTCACCTTTTCTTCCGCGCAGCAGGAGGCGATTGTGCGGATGCCCGTAAAACACTCTTCGGCGAGCTCTGCAGCTTGCAAGGCGACGTTTTGACACTTTTTCTCAATCCGCGCATCGAGAAGGGATGTTATCAGATCTTTGAAGATCAAAAAGAAGATACTCGTGGACAGAACTAAGGCTAATTTCCAGCTCCGAAGGAAAGCGATAATAAACGATGAGACCACAGTCGCGAGGGCCTGAAGCACGGTTCCAAGCTTTTCGGAAATGGCATCCTCTATCACTCCTATATTCGACGAGAGATCGGTAGCCGCCTTAGATTCTTTGGCTTCTTCAATATCCTGAGAGATAAACGCCTTGAGATAGGAAGCCCGAAGGTTCACGGTGTATCGTAGTGCGGCGATAGAAAATAGGGATCCGTACGTGAACACAAGGACCCACTGCCCAAGAAAGAGAATCAAGAGAATAAAGACCTTCTTATCGACCACATTCTTGAGATGATTCAAAACTTCTTTGTCTGAAGTGTCGTTATATGCGTTAACAAGCTCACCAAAAATGATGGTCATCAGTGGTCGAGCTGTTCCGGCGCCAAACGCAGCAAGCGTACCGAGACATTGGAGAATAATCGTGAGAGCCATTCGTGCTGTCTGCCTGGTTGACTGAATGAATTTATCCGAATGTCCTGAGAGTTTGCGCTTTTCAAAAAACATGTCTCCATTAGCTGACTTGAAGAATATTTCAATCGTGTTCGATGGTGATGTGGCGTCGAAATTGAGCCGAGTGCGTCGGACTGTACGGAGAAGTACGAGACGGCAAACCCAAAGGGCTATAATATCTAGGTGAGGAGACCTTTTCGTAAAGAATTTCTTATCTAGCTAGAGGCACGGAGTTTCTCCCTCCAATCGGCAAATGTAGGATGATAAGTTTGGTGTTGGCATAATTAAGACAGAACTGTGCCTCAGCCGCACCCGTTACTCTGCAGGGGAAGGCAACCGTTTGCCTTCCGTGCTTGCCTTCGAAGCTCCCTGTCTCCTCACTCGGGAGAGCAGGAATATTTTCTGGGAAGGTGATCCTTCACTTAGGGCGAGCATGAGCAGACAGGGAATTATGTATTCCAAAACCCCGGCAGAAAAGTTGCACCAGACCTCTGGTTCTTGCGAACTGAGGTCTTTATACAAATTCACAAGATGACAGAAACATGACAGGAAAATGTTTCAAGATTATTAGTTCCCTGCATGCGATACAATATCGTGCATTGCAAATGGATGTCATATTTCACCCCTCCCTAATCTGTATTCTCGAAGGGTCTAGATAGCCCTCCGTCTCATCGTTCGCTCCTTTCCCATATTCCAAGCTGTTTTGAGACATACTTTGAAACCTTACTCCCGCTCGATAGTATCCGCGCCGTATTTATAAAACATAGCGGGCACTTTTGTGGAAGGCATGGGGCTTTTCTCGGCTTCCTCCAAAGGTATCGCATGGCGGGTCTTGACTAGAACGACGACTTTAAATAGAGGCATAGGGATAAAAAGAGTTTGCACGTACTGTTTGAGGCTATTGGTGCACCAACAGCAAGGGGCAGGAGAGCTACAAACCAGTATCGCAGCTGCATTTTGCGTGCTCGTGATTCGTCTGAGTGTTGCTCTTTGGGGTATGTACAGATTAGAAGGGAGTCGACGATTAAGCTGAGTATTAAATAGAGGCAACTCGACATAACAATATTTTCGCCCCCAGAATAGGCCCTGCAGTTTTTTAAATTAAACAAGGATGTCGGGACCCCTCTTAGAAAGCGAATTATTGATATCGTGTAGATACCCTGGTAGAATGTGGTATTCCAACACTGCCCACTCATGCCTTCGCTTTCTTAATTTAGCGGACATCCTTCCAGAAGACGTCTTGCATTAGCGCGTGAAAGGAATACCTCCTCGCTCTATCCCACTCCCGCACCATTCCAGTTTCTCTGCATGACATATAGCCCACATTCTTACTCAATCCGCATTATGAATCTCCAGTGAAGCTTCCATCCGCCATACCTACGATATGAACTCATATTTTCAGGTTCCAGTAGATGATTCGTTTGATTTAACTCCCACAAGCAATTTCGAACACCTCATTGACGAAAATAACACTCAACTTAATGAAGCACCACGTCCGCAGCGTCAGTGCTTCAAGAGCGGTTTACCGTGGGTGACCCATCTAATTCTGTTTTCTTTCTCTGCGTCGTTTCTTATATCCGGCCTCTATATCCGATCTCGACATAGCCAGCCATGTTTGGATAGTTGGTGTAAGTGCTGAAGCTTCTCAAAACAACTCTATAGAATTGACCAACATCGATTTTGACCAAAGCTCTGATCATGGGTTATCATCCGCCAAGTCGTATCATTCGATTCAACGGTACCTTTGATCGTTCCTCAATTTTCAAAGGCCCTCCTTCAGAAGCTGTAGACAAGGCTTGGGCTCGAATTCTTCCAAGTATGAACCCCGAATCTTGGTTGCGTGCATATAGAAACTGACATGCGTAATAGTGGGAGTGATGCGCATTTCTGAAGATGTGTTTCAAAAGTTAAACGCGTCTAGATTTGCAGCCGTAGCACCACTGGATGTTGGCGGTGGTCGGCTTGCGATGTTTGAAGCCATCCATCTGATTCATTGCGTGGTAAGTCGCCATCTGACAGGAGTCGAACTTTCACTGAAGTGTCTGTAGAAAAGCCTTTGGATGGCAACGTACCCAGACTACTACACCGAAGACTCCACGTACTCTAGACAACACCCCGATGAATGGCGAGACCATATCGACCACTGTGCAGACATCCTTCGACAAAAACTCATGTGTGATGCGGACGCAAATCTGATAACATACAATTGGCTAAAAGGTCACTATATCCCGCACCCAAACTTCAACGTGCAGCACCAGTGTCGCGACTATGATCGGTTGTTGGAGGTGGCAGCTGAACATAGAATTGATGGGAGCATCTTTCCTAGTGGGTGGATATTGAGACCGACGGACAGGCCTGTGATTGAGTTCGATGAACCGCCTTTCGATCCCATGGCAGATAGCTGAATGGCACCGCCTTTAGAACCTCTGTAGGTGGAGACAAACCTACTGGGAAAAGTTCTTCACCTTCAACGTTGGATTTAGATTGTTCAGATTGTGAAGGTGCAAAAAAGTATTACATAAGTCGAGCTCGGGACGTATATGGCACTATTAAAACGGCTTTATCTTGGCAGGTTCCCGCTTTCGCGGATTGTGGAGTGGAAAGAAGCTTTTGGGCGTTCATGAGTGGCTGGAGCTTGAGTCGCCACCCACACAAGATGAAGGGGCTTGGACATGTTAGACGCACAGTATTGTGCTGATTATATACCAAGTAAAGGCAGCATGTGGCTTTGCGCAGACTAACTGCCAGAAGCGATGTGTGGCAGACCCATGCTGAACCTTGAGTTCGGCTGAGATCTGACCTTGTATACGTGTGTTTGGCCCGCTTCTGGCCGATATGAAAACTAGCAATTCGGTGTTATGAATAGGCCTACATTTACACTGCCGTAGAGGCAGCGGCGGTCGAGAAAGAAGGCAAACTTCAGCACATATTACGGCACAGCGCCGTAGTCCATTATCTAAAATATCTTCAGCGCATACTTCCCTATCAAAAACATTGGTTCTTGGCATAGTTACTAAAAGAGAAGCCTCGACCGCAAACAAATTTACCCAGTTTTTTGTTTAATATATGTTGCGGCTGATCATTGGTCAGAGTTTAGATGATCACGTCGTGGAACGTTGGATATGTTCGGACGCCGATGTCCATATGGATAGATTGCCACGTTTGTTGGTGTAGGTCGAAGGATAAGCGTCCACAAAATCGCTCACGGACTTGATGCATGCGATTATAGATTAAATTGCGCGCCATGCAGAGATGTTGATCTTCCAGAAACACCTGGGGATTATCTAAGGCAGGATGCATGCTCATAAGTGCTAATCGTGCTACAATGTGCGCTACGCTCTCATTGCTGCTATATTTGTTGTGTAACAACAGGACTTTAAAAACTAGGCAATATTAATCTGAATATTATAGTTAAAGTACAGAGTAGTTCATATACAATATAATATCTTCTTAGGACTTGCTTAATTACAAGTTACTGTAAGATTTAAATACCTGTAATTTTCGTATACCCGCACTATACTGCACACTGCTAGAAGATATAGCACTTAGGTGATTACTTCTTAGTGTCACGATATGCGTGCTCAAGCAACAAACAAGAGGTGGCTAGTAGCTACTCCCTTCTCCATCCCAGCCAACAGATCTTAGTCACTGATACAACGCGAAGCTGCTACGCCTCTGTGGCAAGGTGAGATATCGTAATTAAAATTACCTAGGATTCATCCTGACCTCACGTGATAGTCATCCGGCGAGATCAGACTACCCACATCCCTTTTGAGCACTCTTTCGGAGAGAGGACAATACATCACGGTTTGCGTGGGTCGATGCTTAGAATATTCTTTCAGTGAATGGCGGTTTACTTCCTCGGGAAAGAGAAAATTAAACAGCCAAAAATATTTGAGCATTTAACTCGTGAAGTGGTTGGGGAACCTTCCCTGCATGTTTCTGATATATTTTGCGCTCCGAATGTTAGAACTCCGGCGTGTATCAATTGCTCATCTAACTTCTAAGTTGATCCTAGAACACTTCGGAACCTTGGGGTAACAGAAGCTTTAGGAGTTTGCCATAGGGTATGTGCGAAGCTAGGAGGAGCACCAGAGGTATGAGGAACCGGATTGATTGCCAAAAGAGGGCGACTACGGGTTTATATAGAACTATGTGAACCCGTCATGTGACTTAAGGCCAGAAATAGTTCTAGGCCGCAGCATGTGGCATAGCTAAGGCAGCAGTGGGTCAAAGTAGTGTAGGTGACTAGAGCTTGGAGAGCTCCGTTACTGCAAGCAGTATGGGCCTTTGATTTCTAATAAAGTCATGTGACTTGGCCGTTAAATGACCTTGGAAGATAAGAAGTCCCGTATTAAGAGCATCCGTGCTATTTCCTTCCAAAAGTAAGCCGCAGGCAACATGCAAGGCTCATCACGCAACGGCTATACAAAACTCCTGCTTGTTTAGGGAAAGTACAGCAAACACGAGCAACAACAAAGCGGTAGGCCAGATCATGAACGGTGGATACAAACATTATCATTAAGAGACGGAAATTAAGAACAACGGGGAAAGCAATTACGGGAAGTTAGGGATAGAGGTCATTGCTGACTGGGGACCACAAAAGAGAACGGGTAAAAACACCACCAGCCCAAGACCCATCGCCACGAACCAATCAAGCTTTGACAGGTATAATCTAAGCTTCTCGAAACACTAGACACCAGGTGGCCACCTCACGGCGTCTCCCCCTCACGCTTTATCGGCTTCCTGAATCGGTGGTAGGTCATTTGATTTGGTTCCTTGCCGAGTTGCAGGATCTTGAGTCGTGGGTTGTTGAGCTGGCGGAGCAGGTTCTTGAGGCTGCATACTCGGCTCGGGCGGTGCCACATCTTTTTGGGCTGGGGTGGGATTTTGCTCGGGATTGGTAGGATCTTGGGCTGGCATCGTACTGCGGCGAGGCTCTGGTTGCTGCGCCGTCTTGTTCAAGACGGCCGGGGGTTCATTTTCGGTGTCATCGTCGTCTGTGGGTAGTTGCTTCTGGGCTTCGGCGTCGCGCTTCTCATGCTTCCTGTGCCTGCGGAGGCACCAGTACCTGCATTCTGCGTTAGGAGAATTTGATCGGAGAATGCAAGGGGAACAGTATTGACAAAAGTCCTCCTAAGAGTGTGGCAACGAGAAGACTGCGTCTATATTAGCAGGAGATATCTTGCGGATGATGGAACACAACTTACGACAGTATAGCGAGCGTGATGGGATCACCGATGGATGACTTATTATCGGCGTGTGGGTCGACGATTTCAACCAGCAATGGATCGGGCGTAATGGTGGCGGTAAAGGTTGTAGGGATGGAGTAGGTCGAGGTAAAGGTGGTTGAAGGTGAAGAGACTGTGGTGCTTCCGAAGAAGGTTGTCGAAATCGTCTGCACGATGGGAGAAGCGATAACCATTGTGATTGATTTAGACTTGAACGCGAGTGATGCTAAGTTGTGATGTCGCGTGTATGAATGGAGTTGTTTGATGTTTGGTGGAAGAAAGATAGCGAGCGAGCGGGTGCGGGACGCCTTTTGTTATGGCCACACCGAGACCCAGAGTGAATGAGGCCACTTCCTATTCCAAGATGGAGATCGCACTGTAGCAAAACCAGAAGTGGCTGTTCGGGAGTGGAAGTCGATGCTGATGGGAAGACAGGTGCTGCCGCGTTATAAGAGGGCAGGAAAGAACCAATGTCCCAAGATGACTTCCTCAGCATCCTCGAAAACATAGCTCCTCACAGTGCACAGCCATAGTGTTACCGAACACAGGTATATCGGTGAAATTACGGTGCGGCTATATATGCTCATCAAATCCTCTTGCATGCACCTTCATCAGGAGGTTAGCTACCAGCTTTCAAAGCCAAGTAGTCCAGCTTCCGGCGCTCCTTCCTCTTTTTCAGTTTCCACACCCATATTCCACCGATAACTCAAGTATCGAAGAACGGAAACGCGGAATTGTGCCCGAACACCTAGCTATGATATTTCCAAGTGTCCTCCTTGTTGAGATGTGTGCTTTGATACTCGATTGTCTAAGGAAGAGCATACAAAGAGGAGAATACTATTACTGGAAAAACAAACACTATTACCAACAGGCATGGATCTGACGTCATGAATACGTTAAGAGATAGAGGATACAGTACGAGGGAAGTCCTTCTGAGGAGCAAAGGTCGTATATGCAGACAGGCACTCGGGGTGTGTAAGTTGTCCTTGCCAGTCTATCAGTGGAACTCCCAATTTGGAATTATCCTAATCAGCTTAGTACTAGGAAATGCGGATTTCCAGATACTAAAGCCTGTAGCAGGGTTGGAATTAATTTAAGAATGGGCTTCCTAACTCGCTGCAGGGTTCTCCCATCCACCTAAGCTCTGTGACCTGTGGCGGCGGCAGTGGTCCTGGGCCATCGCATTCCTGCCCTTGCAATGCTCTACAGAAGTTCCCCTCGCCTAGTCAAAGGCGTACCCTCAAAGAAGGTTTAGAGTGGCTTGGACGAGATGAATGGAAAGGCCAAAATAAATCCTGGTGGAAGAAGGTGTTATCGGTGTGTGGCATTTGTTGCGAATGCAGAGTTGAGGATAGGTGATCTCAATTTGGTGACAGGATCCAAAGTGAAATAAGAATGAGCCAGTCCCTACAAACGACTAGTACAGCACATGGATGTAGCTTCATGTTCGATAGCATATGAGGGTGTGGTGCACGTGACAGTGTTGCACTGAAGCGCCTATCTTCACCGTTGGTTATTATATTCTACAGTATAGAGGACGGAACTATAGGAAAATGTGTAAAGAGACTAAAGTCATTGCCTTGCTGCTAAAGGTTGAAAGGCTGAGTCCTTGATATGATTAAGACGCAATATCTTAGTAAGTTAGCCTTCTCGCTTATCTTGATCCATCTTCAGCTCCTTGCATCAACTTTGGCTTTGAGCAAAGTATGTTCTCGCTCGTGGTTTGACCCTTCTTTAGCTTTAAAAATTATATATATCAAATCCTCTAGTAGGAGAAAGAGAATTTTAGGGAGAGGGACATCATCACAACTCAAAACCTTACCCCAGCAACCTCCCAAAGCTCCAGAAAACAGAGGGCCGTGCACATTCACCCCGCTTCACGTGACACAATGGCCAACCCACCCTTAAAAACATCCCCCATTCTCATCGTCGGTGCCGGCGTCTTTGGCTTATCAACAGCACTCTATTTGCATAGATCCGGATATTCGAATGTGACAATCTTCGACCGTCAACCCTATTTCCGCAATGCCTACTCAACCTTAGATGGCGCAGACGCAGCGAGCGCCGACATAAACAAGGTCATGAGACTATCATACGGGAAAGAACTTCTCTACCAGAAACTGGCATTCGAAGCCATTGATATCTGGAATGAGTGGAATCAGTCGATCGCAAAGTCAAAGCAAGAAGACCTACCGAGAGGCATTGAGCAGGGGGACAAAATATGGAACAACTGTGGCTTTCTTCGACTGAGCAAGGACGGAAAGATAAGCCAGTTTGAAGAAGATACATTGGAGAGCCTAGAGAGAGAAGGGCTGCGCGATACACAATATGTGATCGGGGATGCCAATGACGAAAAGCGAGCACGTCAGTTTGGATTGCAGAGAAGGTTTGATCCCATGGACTTACGAGCAAGGGAAGGGGCATTGGTAGGCGTCTACGATACACTAGGTGGTTTCGTGAACGCGAGCAAAGCTTGCACCTGGGTGTTGCATTTGCTATCCAAAACCAGCGTGAAGTTGATCCTTGGGGGCGACAACGGTAGCGTCACCGGCTTCATTCGAACAGCACAAGGCAAAACAGTCGGTATCAACACTGCCGATGGAATCTCTCACTACGGGGAATTAGTCTTGGTGGCAGCTGGACCTTGGACGCCAACATTACTCCCCCATGTTGCAAATATGTTAGAAGCCACGGCTGGGAGTGTGGCATACATACAACTACCGCCAAAAGAGGAAACACCGGACCTTTGGACGAAATATGCCCCCGAAAATATGGCGGTTTACTCTTGGGGCGGCTGGGGCAAGGGTAGTGGTCTCGGTGGATTCCCACGAAGCGAGAGTGGTGTTATGAAGATTGGATATCGAGGAACTAAATATACCAACTACATGATGGTGGTGGATGAACGGGCGGGTAAGGTTCGAAGCGTCAGCCAACCGGTAACCGCATCCTGGCCAGAGAAGCGAGAGGAACAAATAACGAAGCAAGCCGTTGATGCCATAAAAGGTATGGTCTGCGACTTGTTCCCCGATTTGAAGTCATTTGGAATCTCCAGTGTAAGGAACTGTTGGTATACCGACAGCCTAGACAATAATTTTGTTATGGATAGGGACCCAGAGGACGAGGGTTTGATGGTCTGTTCTGGAGGCTCTGGACATGCATTTAAATTCTTGCCAATCCTGGGACGCGAGGCCGTGAGGATTATCGAGGAGCCAACTACGAAGAACGAATATGGGAATTTATGGAGATGGCGGACTATATTCGATGATCTTAAGAATGGGTTGGAGGAAGGCGAGACCGGGCCGAGAGTTTGGGCAAAGCAGAGAATGGCTTCGAAAAAAGACTGGGAATTCCAAGAAAGGGTTAATTTATAGTTACATATGTTAGGTTCGAATCCCGGACGATGAGTATTGAAGTTTGTTACCAACACTTGTTTTACGCATGACGCAACGTTTTGAAACAGTACAAATAGGACCATACAAGTCTTCAAAGTTCATTCTTCGTGTCCACCTAAAGCCGCTAAACACACCCTTCATCCATATTTTTCTTCATTCCTTTCCCAACTTTCTTTAAACCCCCATGTTGATCTTGATCGTCTTCGCCTGCAGATACGACATCAGCCCCTCCTTACCCAACTCCCTTCCGTTACCACTCTGTTTATATCCACCAAATGGCGTGTTGTTATCCGGAAGGAAGGGAGAGTTAATGGCAATCGTTCCTGCTTTAATCTTGGAGGCAACACGGAGGGCGCGGGATGTGCTTCCAGTGTAGATACAAGCTGTTCAATGTCAGTCAGGAAACTCCCTATGTCCATTGTCTAGTTGAGGAACAAAAACTTGCCAGAGAGACCATAAGAGGTATCATTTGCCAACTTAATTGCCTCCTCTTCCGTCTCGAACGTCAACACCGTCAAAACCGGCCCGAAAACCTCCTCCTTATAGATCTGGCTTTCCTTCCCAGGATTCAAGAAAATGGTCGGTTGTACGAATGCGCCCTTATCACTCTGTCTTTCTCCGCCCACAATCAACTTCGCCTCTGTCTTACCAGTCTCGATGAACCCGAGTACTCGCTCCATTTGCTTGCTATCTGCGAGCGGACCAAGCATGGTAGTGGGCTCGGACGGATCGCCCATAATGCCTTGAGCACCTTGGAAACGGGCTTTGAGTCCTTCGATGAATTTGTCGGCAATGGAGGTGTGTACAAAGAGACGCGAGGCAGCAATGCAAGCCTGGCCGGAGTTGAAAAGGAAGCCCTGGGAATTTCTGGAAATTGTCAGCCGACGAAACTCTCAGAAGGGAGGAAGATAAACTCACCCAGTCAGAGCGTTCTCAATGTCAGCATCTTCAAAGACAAGGGATGGGGATTTGCCGCCGAGCTCGAGGGTGACTTTCTTCAGGTTACTCTTGTTGGCTGCATCTACGACTTTGCGACCGGAGGCTCCAGACCCAGTGAATGAGATTTTATCGATGTCCATATGAGAAGCCAACAGTGCTCCGGTTTTTCCATCCCCAGAGAGGATGTTGACGACGCCAGATGGGAATCCAGCTTCCTTGAACAGCCTCGCAAGAACCAAGATGCTAAATGGCGACTTCTCCGATCCCTTGAAGACAAAAGTGTTACCTGCTGCAAGCGCTGGGGCCATTTTCCATGCCATAGTCCTACCTCACCGTCAGCATCTACTCACCAGCCACACCCACCCATGGCACTATGGACGGAAGCTCGAAAGCTCACAAAATCGTAACATTCCACGGCCCAATTCCCGCACAAACTCCAAACGGCTCATACTGCGTCATCCTCCACGCGCCATCTTCCTGTGGAAACGTCTGTCCCTCAACCTTATCTGCCCAGCCTGCATAATACCTCCAAGTCGCGGCGCACGCCGGCACGATGAAGTTCTGCATGATTGCGGACGGCTGGCCCATGGCTTTGACTTCGGCCTTGCTTATTTCCTCGGCATTGGGGACGAGTAGATCGGCGAATTTCAACATGCATGCTGCGCGCTGGGCGCCGGTGTAAGTGCTCCACGGTCCGGTTTCGAAGGCCATGCGGGCGGCGGATACGGCGGCGTCGACTTCAGTTTCACGAGCGAGGTTGATATTGCCGACCAGTGTATCGGTCGCGGGGTTGTATACAGAATATTCATCTGAAGGCGAACCCGTGAGAAACTGTGATTGTTGGTTAGTGGGAGGGAATTGAGGGGAACTGAGGGGTGTTGAGGTATGGAATGTACCTCATCATTGATGAAGTGGAAGTAAGAATCCATCTTGATGTCGAGCTAGGCGTAATGTAAATAATTTTGATTTGCTTGGTGGAAGGAAGTATGTCTAAATGATCGATAGGATATAGACGAAACGAGTTCGACGCCGATCTTTATACCCCAAGCTTCTTTCCCGTTCCGGAAGCTTCCTAGTTACACAAGCATCCTCCTTGTCCCTCAATTTGTGACCCAGTTAATCCCAGCGCAGCGCTTTCCTTTTTTACCCTACAAGCCCCGGTTACATATTGTGTCGTTGGCGAATACTAATTTGTCACGTTTCAACCACGTACCGTCGAGAATTTTATTCGTACAGTACAGCGTCCCCCGTCATCTCCATGCCTGCTCCAGAAGTCCGGAGGTTGAGAAAAGATTCGGATTGCTCCAATGGTACCACATCGTCCGGCTCAATTCCAGCTCACCCACATAGCGTGCGGAATTCCGCCATCATCATCACCTTCTTGTACCACTACCTCCTAAATCCACCGTATAGCAGAGAAGCCCTAACTCGGAAAAAAATGCATGAGAAAGATCCTTGTCGCTTACTCACCCCACCAAGTCTGACCTGCATGGGCACGGTATCGTACGAGAAGTTAAGTCTATTTAGGCGTCAGCAAAAGGACTTGAGAGTGATTATTGATCGTGCCGAGGCTCCGCTAAAGTTTGATTTGAAGAGATGGGGCTACTATTACTGAGAGTGGAAAGGTACCGTGATTCTATTAGGGTAGGCTCCTGAGTATTTCTGGGCTTGATGACTACAGCGTTTAGGCGAACGTCTACTCCGCAGAGTTATGGATTAGAAACTAGCTAACGCGTTACGTAATGGGTTTTGCCATACATGCTGTGCGTGAATCATATTGCAGAACCAGAGCTTGGCTGGACGACGTGTGGGTATGTTCAGTACTGATTAGTTTCAGATGTATGCCTCCTGTTCGGCCGTAAATATAGAAAGCCCTACTCATTCCATGCACCTTCAAATTTGGCTTTTCAATGGAGAGTAACAGGGCGGAAATTTACGCAAAGATTTCCAAAGGCGACAACCAAATGCTACCCGCCATTCCTCAGTATCTCGGTTAATTGCTGTCTATGCTACGCTTTCGGAATCCCGGAATCCATGTCCGAAGCCAAATGCCTGAGGCCGCTAACATTCGCCAACTCTCCATAGCTCTAATACATTGGACGTCCCTAAATGGAGAATAGTCTCATCTTCTAAGAATAAGCTCCAAACTAGAAGTATTTCAAGCTAGATTCAAGTATGAATCATCAAGTCCTTCAAATTGCATATTCATTAATCAGCCCTGGGGGGCTGTAAGTCTCTCAAACCAGCTATCATATGCTACCAATCCAGAGAACCTACCCGCGATTCCACGTCTTCCATTCTCTTCACTACTTCCCCCGATACGCTTATCCCATTTCTTTCAGCCCGGAATATCCCCGACATTTTAGCTAGGGTTCCCGTAAAGCTTGGGAATAGGTAGGTAATAGTAAGTAATACAGATCCCGGGGTTCCCTTTTCGGGTTTAGTGCAGTCCCTCATTAATCCATATCAGGCATCACCATCCGCCCCATCAACCCGCTGCTTTTAACGTCTATAGAATATGCCCAGTTTTGGACTTTATAGGACATAGGCGTCCTAGTACTGGTGCCTGACTTGGGCCCAAGGAACCTTAGGGTCTCTAGAACAACTTCCTAGCGCACGTGAACGTTTTAGAACAATCGCCCTAGCAGAATTAGCGTCCTAAGGAAATTATCCTAGGAAAGATGTCCTAGAAAAATTAATATACTAGAACAATCGTCCCAGGAAAATGAACGTCCTGGGAAATTTCCCATCAAGCCTTTCATAAATCTGTGATGTTATGCTTAAGACTACACAATATTAAAACGTGGGCGCATCTTAACCGTTCCTCTCTTTGTACTACTTTGCATACAGTAAATATAGTCCCCTAACGAACGGGCAGTCCTTCTCCATTTATTCTAGTACTTACCTTGCGATATGCATGCCTGCTTCCTCGAGACCGCTCACTACCTTCCTTAATGTCAGTATCCATCTTACGGGCGCCAACTTCCCCATAATCCGTATTCAATTTCCTTAATACCAGTGACCTCACCCCTACATTCCAATACTAGTTAGCACCGTCCTAGTTTAGCTCCATGCTCCTTCAAAAACAGATACCAGCTTCCTTTAGCACCCTACTAGCCTACCTTAACGCCAGTCCTCCCCCCTATTCATCTCCGCAAATTTCGTGATGCATATCCTCGCTTCCTCGAGAGCTCCCCATCCCTTCCTCAATTCTAGGAAGCGAGCTACGAAGTGCTGTAAGACAAAATCGTAATGTAAACCTCTATGATACCACCTTCCTTCGAGCTGGTTGCCGTCCTAGCAAGCGACTCTAAATCTAGTGTCTCTCTAGAATTTAAAGGCGGCTCTTTATTCTCACATTTCCTTCCCTCTTCACTCCATGGCCCTGTCGCCTGTGAGCCACTTGCCCCTAGCTTTCCAGCCTACCTTTCATCCAAAGATCTCGTGTCCTCCATTGGATATGCCATCCACAACCATGGGACCCACTACTTCCTTTAACACGTTGGACCTGCTGACATGCTTCCGCAGTCCACTACCATGTTGCCTTAGACCTCGGACTCATTACCATCCACCAAAAACCCTATCACGGACAAGCACACAAGAGACACTTGGGCTTTGCAATGTTAGGATGGAGGATGGGAGCATGGACTCTGAAGACGATTATCACCACCGGTCTTGAAGTGAAGTGACCCGAGATCGAAGGATCTCTGAGGGCTGTCCCAATTACGAAGACCACGATCCACGGTGATGCTCAGCTATGCTGTCTTCTTGCTTTTCTTTACAAGATCTGCCTTGACATAGGCCTCAGATCGAATTTGAGCATAGACTTCGAAGACGATTATCATCACTGGCCTTGAAGGCAAGTGATCCGAGATCGAAGGATTTGCGAGGGCTGTTCTAATAAGAACGACTCTTCTGCCCCTTCCAGCGACTGAAGATCAAGCGTCAGATGGCGGAGGTTAATGGGCGAGCTCTCGGGCGAGCGAAGGGGCAATGGTTGAGACAGGGCAGTGTGCGAGGCAGCCATGGCGGGTAAATGGAGCCTATTAATGCTCAGTTCTACCATCTTCTAGCTTGCTTGTCTTACAGGATCTGTCTGCATTTTTAAAACAATAGACTGCACGTGGATAGAGTAAAAGACTTAGAAAGAGATTTAAGTGTCTTTATAAAACTTTCAGCTAATCAGAGCGCTAGATATCACCCTAAACGTTCCCACAGGCCCACCGCTCGCCACGGCCCTCCTACTCCTCCGAAATTGCCATACAAACTTCCTAAAAGGGTAATACAGTCCGTACTACGTACCGTACCTAGAGCATCATTAAACGTACGGTACGGCTCACTTTGTACGGACCGTAGTACAGCCCGTCCGAAGCCTTGATTACAGTGCAACATGGGCAAATTCAAAAATAGATGAGGACCCTTTCATTTAACGTAGGTCGAAGGCCATTCATGACTGAGAAATGGTTATGTGGGAACTCGCCCGAGCGATTGAAGAAAGGTGACGAAGCTGTAATATTCTTCGGTGGCGCAGTCCCATACGCTCTTAGGTTGAAGGATTCTGGGAAACTGGTCCTTCTTGGCAATGCTTACGTTCATGGTGTAATGGACGGTGGGCTTATGGAGGGGAATCCCACTACTGAGGTATTTGAGCTCGTTTAATGGGACAAGAAAGCTCTGGGGTAGTATTATTAGAACTATCAATGCCCTACGCAGACGTCTAGTCAATCTTGCTTGGTTCTTCATACATCATTCTCAAAGCAGAAGCACGATAAACTTCCCGTTAAAGTGTAACAACTCTTTAGCTCTTACGGAGCATTAAAAGTCTTATAGGAAAGTGAAGGTGGGGGAGTGGAAGAGTGGAGCCGTCACCTGATTGCAAATTCGCGGAAGCCTGGTACGCAGGCAGTTAGCGGCATTGCTCTCAGCAAGTATTTAAGCACGAATGTTGGAATGGCTTTACACATATCATTTAATGCACTATTAGTTTTTCAAATATTTCGAAGCGTAGGAATCTCTGGGATATATTATGAGCTCAATTTGAAGATCGCCTCGTCCATAGTTAGTATGTCACATGAAAAGCCATACCACCCAGCGTATCGCAAGGTGAGCTGAGAGGAGCTGATGGATCTGATGGAGGGCATATATAGAGAGAAGCAAGCAGACAATTCGGTATTGAGAGACGACTTAGGTATATTGAGGTGTGGTGTAAGGTTTCTAGAGGTCGAGAGAGCTCAGAGGTAGATATATAGTAGCTAAAAGAGCGCTAGTCCTAAATAGGAAAAGGGTAAGAGGTGAAGAACCCACATTCGCCCTAACAAGGGGTCACGTGAGCTAATGTCACGTGCGATACAGCCTCTTCGGCCTAGGCTGAAGAAAGTTTTCACCATCTACTATCAGTCTGCTTCTCTCTCCCACCAAATTTAATTAGAAGACACCTTTCTATAGACTTCCGCTGAATAAATTTGGCAGACATGCTTTGCGAAAAGTGCTCCAACATCCACCACCAGCATCATCTGGAACAACTATGGCGGAGCGGCAAACGACAATCTCGATCAGAACCGCGGATACTCTTCGAACTTCACAACGATCACCAAATAATGGAAAATGCAAAAAGATGCGTTCTATTCCTCAACATAGATTCTGCATTTCGAGCTCAATCTAAGAAGCGGCGAATAGCTTGTACTCAGACCACGACCGAGAACAATACGGACTCTATCCACGTTGTGGATTGGGAAGGGCCGGAGGCAGCTCCAATATATATAGAAATAAAGAGACATCGCTGGAATTCGAAGATGCTCAACCTCATTGCCCGTTGGCAAGGTTTAGAGACTAATATAATATTGAAATCCCCAAGAGGTATATATAGAAGAGATAGAATATATACCAGACTAACATCCTCTAGATGATCTCAAAAATAAGATGCTTGTTAATATCGATACTAATCGTGACGCACAAATATCCAGTGCACCCATTTCGGAACAGAAGTTTATGCTGGCTCGGTATTGGCTGGAAACTTGCAATACGACACACAATGTGTGCCAACAGTCGTTAGAAGGAATAATGTTGCCTTTAAAGGTTCTAGATGTATCGCAGCCTCAGCTTCCAAGACTTGTTTGCGGCGAGAGCGAGGCTCAGTACGTTACACTGAGCTACAAGTGGGGGAACGGAAAGAAGTTTCTGATGACATCCACTAACATGGAAGTGCTTGAGGCTGGATTCAACCCTAAAGTGCTACCACGAACTTTTCGCGACGCGATCAAAGTAACTCATGCGCTTGGACTTCGTTATCTGTGGATTGATGCCCTATGTATCCAACAAGACTCACCAGAGCAACTCAAGCAGCAGATCAACCTTATGGATAAAATCTTCCTTGGTTCAACGTTAACAATATTCGCCTCCGCCGCGGAGAATGCCGATGTTGGGCTCGCACTAGACACGCCTGCCAAAAGAATTCCGGTTCACCTGCCTATCAATACCACTGGAAGCTCGATGGCCTCCGTGGGCCAAGTCCTTGTTAGCCCACCGCATCATTGGGATCATGACTATGATGGACAAGGCCTTCACAGCCGAGCGTGGGTTCTACAGGAGGAGGTTCTCTCACGTCGCGGCCTCTCGTTCTGGTCGGACCAAATGCGATGGCGATGTGAAGTAGAGATGCTGACCGAACGGGACCCACTTGGCAAAGTGGACGACAGCCACTGGCCTCCGTTTTCACGAGTACCCTCGAATGACCCACTTGTCATCCTTCGCGCACATCTAGCGAGGAAAGAGTCTAAGTCTTTGCTTCCTCGCGGACTCTCCTCCTGGAAATTGGAACTCGAATCACGACAACGACAGTTGATGAAAGATGAAGCTGTGACAGAGTGGTACTCAATGGTCAGCACTTACTCTCAGCGCCATTTGAGTTTCCGGAAAGACGCTTTGAATGGAGTTGCTGGTATAGCGTCATTGCTGGGTAAAACTTACGAGCTGACGTATCTTGCCGGCCTATGGGCCGAAGATCTGGGCAAAGGCCTCATCTGGAGGCCATACAACCTTTCCAAAGAACCTAAACATTCAAACCAAATGCCCGAATTTCCATCCTGGAGTTGGGCGTCGCAATTTGATGTTGGCCAAATTCGTTGGGAGGCAGAACCACCTACTTCCAAATACTGGCAGAGTTGTCTCCAATATCTGCACTACGATAAACGACATCCTATTCAAAGGACGCTCACGATTCGCGCGTATGTGGCATGGGGGCTCGTCAAGAAGTCTGCAGAGGAAAAGCCGCCCACTGAGTACTCCCTGCAGAATTCGGCTGTCCATCGTACAGCAAGATGGACATGGCCTACTCCCGTTTTTAGGGCAGGAAAGGATTCCAGATCAACTTTCATACCAGATGACCCCGAAAGGCAGCACTCTTCACCTAGTTGTATAGATATCCTTTGCATACTTAGCTACACTACATCTGTCTATACCAGGTTCGAAGACCACGCCATCGCAGCCGTGCCTGTCCTTAATAAACCTGGAAAATTCAGACGTGTTGGAGTTGTAAAACTTATTCGCGATGTAGGGGAAGGTTGGGTTGTGTTCTATCCAAACCATAGGATTCCAACCCTCCAATGGGAGCGTATGACCTTAAGCCTCATATAGGTTATCAAAGCCACCCTTTTTGGTTTCGGAAAAATTAGTGGGTATCAAATCTTCTTAGAATAGCCATATATTACATGGTGAGATTTAAACGATAACACTGGTGTGGAAGCTGTCCTGGCTGGAACAAACAGGGACTAGTCACCCTCACTCATGTCAAGACGCTAAAATGGTCTCAAAATTTCACATCTTTAACTCAAAAAATCCATCCAACGGCCATTTGAGTAATTAATTTACTACGCAAAAGTTCTTCACGTTGTATTTTTGTCATCTTTTGACCGCCCAAAGCCCTCTCCTAGCGGCCAAATAGTCCCTCAGTAGTCAGAATGTATTACCACAACCTGAATTCGATGTATAGCTAATCGTGACTTGCGATCGATTGCAGGTCTTAGAAGTAATGGCTTATTCAATCCTATCACGCTGGTTTGGGAGGACCTCCGACATTTTCGGATTGCAGCCACAGACACAATTGTGTAGACCCTATCTTGGTGTTAACTTCGTTATTGAGATTGGGAAATTCTACGGTTCTATTGGTGTCAACCTTGTATAGGATCAGGAACACTGGAGCGTGGGAGGGAGGAGATCTTCCTAGACTTATACGGCCATACTACTGTGTATATGATTACTCTTTCAATCTAGTAGCTAAATCCAATCCTTTATGGTCCGGATTCTAGTTTTACAAATTTTAGATTTATAAATACTCTAAGATTGCTAATTCAATATTTGGTAGATATAATAGATGGCCAAGCAAGGTTTATACCTCTTCAGCGAACTTGTGTTAGGAACTATATGTTATGCATTTGTAAACGAAAAGACTTTCATATATTTTATGTAAGGTAGGAGTGAATAATTTCTTCCAGTGCTTCTTTAATTCCAAGCTGAATACTTCGCTCAATCTTAGAATGCCTCGATAATACGTTCAGAAAATTCGTGACGTAATAGCATTGTTGCAATCTCATAAAACATTCCAACTACTCGGCTGGCCAATTGCTTAGGCCAGAATGGCATTGAGGGCTGACATTTATGTAGCTGCTTCCACAACCGGAACAGGTGTCCACGTGAGAAGCTTGACTAGGTACGGCATTGTATCACCATCACCATGATGTGGGCAAGCCTCTACGTCAGCCACCAGCCGCGCATTAAGCCCTTTGGTGAATCCACTTTACAACCCGAATAGAAATCTCCTCGACCCACAATTCGGCTTTAGACTGATGCCAACTCACGCATCTTATGCTAATAAAGACAGAGCCTTCGGGATGTGTATATCTACCATAGCTAAATTTTAAGAAGTCATACAGAATCGACATAGCGGCTACCAAAGGAAATATGGTAAGAGGCACCTATGCTCGAATGGTTCAAAATAATTGAGGGATTGTAGTTGGGACGCCTGATAGTTGTTGAAAGTCTCCTCTTCAACTGTATTCCCCCCAGATATCGACCGATTTTTAAACTCTTCTCTTCCTTCATAGACTGCAGCTACGATTTCAAAATCTACCAGCTATCGCTGCAAACTTCACACTATCGCAAAGAGAACAATCGATCTTCTAGAGTTTAAGAAAGTACTTCGCTTTTCATCAAGCTATGTACGTAACATTCCCCAACAAGTAAGTATGAGAGGGTCGCAGTAGAAAGGAAGGGAGCATATCCACCAAAGAGCTCGCATATGACGTCTCTAAGTTGCCTGGCTTCGGGAACCAACACAAATTATCCCTGCCTTGAAATTGAAAAACCACTGTAGGCAATAGTTTCAAGTACTCTGAGCACGTAATCTGAAAGCCCGCGCGCTTCTATCACAGTCAATCTCTCCTGCGTGGTTTCTAGAGCCTGTGCCCCGTGAACTGGTTGAATTCGTGCCAACACATGTTCCGGCTCGATAAGAAACTGGTAAAACATCTCGTCATTAACTAAAGGCTCTCCAAAGAAGGGGAATGTATTTGCTCCATCGGGATCCAAAGAGAACAAGGCCGAAACTGCGGCAAGAATCGCGCGCTAAAACGCGTCATTGTCTGTACCACCCGTCTTATAGCGAGCCATCCTAGCTTGGTTTGTATAGGCCGTAGCGATCTCTCCCTACGTGCTTATATTTTGTGCGCATGATTGTCTTACGGGCGCCCTGCTTGCGGGGTGTAAGCATCGCCGATCGAGCTTATTTCACACTCTAGAAGACCTCGTGCGTTCAGTATGCCAATGCCGTCATATACCGCTTCTGCTTTTTCAGATCCGGAAGCTTTGTATGGTCGTTTGGTATTCTAATTCCTTACTTAGCGTGTCGGTAAAGACGACCACTTCACAGGCTTGGCCGGCAAACATCCCGCCAGCCATGAGCTCACAACACCAGCACCACATCGGTCCAGGCAAACTTCGGATTCAGCTTCCGGAGCCCCGGAGCAGCCGCGCCGTTGCTTCTTCAGCGCTCGTCACGGCGCACGCCCCAGCCATCCTCTTCCAAACAGTCCTCCCCCCCACAGTCGTGGCGCAAGACTCCGGAAACCGCATCGAAGCTCCTCAATGGGCTGGCCAAGCGATATCGAAGCGCATCTGTGAAGCGGAGTGGAGGTGCAAAGCTGGGTACGGTCCAGGAATATGCTACACCACAGTTGGGTAAGCGAAAGCGAGGATCGAGGCACGCGCAGGATGCTGGAACCGATGATGGAGAGGCGGATCAGCTTAGTCTAGAGAACTATGGGCAAGAGGTGCGATCGATTGAGAAGACCAGGAGAGTACCAGCTCACCAATCCCTGGTGCTTGAAGAGGCGGACGAAGCACCAGATGAGCTGTCCATGTTGGACAACAGCGTAGCAAGTCATATCGGAAAAGGCACCGCACGAGTTGTTGAAGCATCATTGGAGACGCCTCTACCAAAAGCGATTCGCAATCGCGGTTCAAATACAAGCATTGTCGATGCTGCGCCAATCGCTCCGACGACAGATCGAGCAGCAGTGGCATCCTTTGTTGTTGAGCAGGAGCCTCCAAGGACGGGGAGCGTATCGAGCCCAACGGTGCTGCCCCTCGAGACGCCTGTGGCTACTCGGCTGACTGGATCACAAGATCACAGCACCGCTTCCAAGCCTCATCTCAATGGGCCCAACAAACTTATTAATGCGGAAGAGGAGAGCGAGGACGAGCTTGGCCCACCTCAACCTGCGTCAAGAGCGACTCTAGGCTCCTTATCGAAAACCCAACAGACCCCTCGAGAGGAACAGATTGATCTGAACGCCACGGATGAGCTGTTCCCACGGTGCTGGCGACTCCTTCGGCACCCTTCCTCCGCGCGATGAAGTTAACCAAACCATTCAGATCCTAGAAACGTTACACGGGCAAATAAGGCTCCCAAATCTGCTAAACGCCTTAGAGCCTGACCAGTTGTCGAAGACGGCGAGGAACCCGTCCATGGGACGCCGCAAGTGAGGAAGCCTCGCCAGAAGCGCGAGCGGGTACCGAGCGAATAAATCGAGCCAATAGAGGAAGTTGAGGTCAACGAATTGTCACCTGAGGTTGATCGAACGAAACGGGAGCCGCTGAAGGCCAATACTAGACAACTACATGCTGTCCCCATATTCATGCAAAGGCCAGAATCCATTGTGGACGAGGCGATGGAACAAGACGACGAAGAGGATAAGCTCGTACCTCGACCAGCACACAGACAAAGACCAAAACCCGCAAAGGCTTTCCACGAACGCTTAAATGAGAAGTCACGGAAGAAAACGTCTGACCATGAGCCACCAAAAAAGAAGGTGAAACTTGAGAGAGGACCAACTGAATCTATGGGTCTCAAAGGCTTTGCTGTAAAGGGTCTCACAGTCGTCGACACAACTCGCACCATCATCAATAAGGTCCTCGACCAACGCCTTCAACGCTTTGTCGAGCAGAAGAACGGCGCGAAAGACGGCGACCATGCTCGGACAGCAAAGCGCAACATCAACCACTTTCTTGCGTACCGTGACAACTTTGAAAAGCGCATCTTAGAGCTCCAAGACGCCAATGGTTCGCTGAATTTGCTCCATTCGAAGGACAAGCAATACAAACGCGAAGCTCGCACCTGCGTGAAGAGTACCTGAACGTGCAGCAACAGCGACACTGACGACGTCCTATACGAGTTCTAACAGAAGAAGAGCGCATCCAATGAGCGACAAGAACTTAATACAAGTATGTGGGAGATCTAGGCCACAATCTAAGAGGGAACCAGAAGGCCAGAGCTGAAGGGAGAGAGAATGAGGGTCCTGTGATGCCGATGAAGATGTTACTAAATGATGTGACAGAGCATTGGACGGGACGGCGGGGTACTCGGGACTGCGGAGTCTTGCGGTGGGCGGCGAACTGACTTGAGGGGAGAGCTTGATCTGTTGTTGCGGATTTTTCAGTTCGGGAGGATACCTTGAATTTGGACCGGTGGACTACGGTGGATGTGAGGGCTGCTCTAGGGCGATTATACCCCTCATGACATGGCGTTGATCCGTTTCTATCACCTTCTCTCACTTCATTGCTTTGGTATATTGAACTCAGCTCTCGTTTCTCCGACATCCTAACATGTTGACATCGCTAGTGGAGTAAACAGTCCATGTACTGCCAGGACTCATTCGACATACAGATCATGTCTTCCTCTCGACATCTAAGTGCCTTAAAAGTCGGGTTTTTCACATGTTCAATCTAGGTTTACGCATAGATAACTACTCAAATTGGACCGTAAGTTTAAAGACGTACAACAGAAAGGAGCGTGCCGACGCTTCCACCCCTAAATCCACTAGTCTTCGTACCTTCTAGAAATGGTGGTAAATTTCTAACGCCTATTACGGCGTTTTTTAATCTCGGTGTCACCAGTGCTCTAATTTGCATGTCCTGAGACAACTTCGCGTATCGTACACAAGCATGATCCTAAGTTAGCCTTAGAAGCGTGTCAATCCATGAGAAAGGATTCGTACAACATTGTGTAGGTCGACAATTTGTGAATATTTTCCACTTTTCGTCACGAGTTTAGTCGCAACAATTCGTTCAATTACCATTACATATCTCTTCATTTCCCTGCTATAACTTTCTTGCGAAAGCACGATTTTATTATCCTCCGTCTCACCAGCCGACCATACGCCCAATATACATCATGGTGCCAACAACACTCGCACCCACTATCGTTGGAGAAGTTCCAGGCTTTCTGCCCCCAGACACCGTAGGCGATGACGCAGGTACTTTGATATTTATGCTAGCGATGTTCTATATTATGATAAGAGTTGCGGTTTCTATGCTTGCGTTGCATCGCCGCGGCGCCGACGTGAGGGCCCCTACGATGAGGGGGCGTCCCAGCATCACGGGCGGAGTAGCCGAAGAGGGCGATATGAAAGGGGAGATTCGGCAATCATGAAGTTGTGTCTTTGGCATTTGATAAACGTCGAAAAGCGTATGGAGCGTTTCAGGGTCAATAAGGGTGGGTGGTTGGAGGAGGTGAGTTCCTTGAAGAATAAGCACGGCCCTGGTTGGAGGGATTGATATATGAGATGAATGTGAGAAAATTTCGAGCAGAAGCATAGTGTTAGAAGCGGTTTAAAATAAGGATGGCGTAAGATTATCTGTTTCTATTCGCAGACTAGCTGCGGCTTTCAACGTCTATATGACTCTCGTCTCCAGATCCAAATGATTAACGAAATAGGTCCTTCGCCCAGTCTTTATAAAACGCTAGTCTCCCCCGCCTATTTTCCCCGTGATCTATACTTCAAATATATCCCTGGTCCTATCCTGCCGTGAGCACCCATTTCAAGCTGCTGCACACTTCCCCCTTCGCCACCAGCGGCGCCCACCGTACCAGGAAGTCGGTGCGCTTCCTCCACGTCATGTATCCCAGACCCTACATTTAGCGGGAAATGCTCTCCATATGCAGCACCGACACGCATCATAGCAAATGAGTCAAGTGTTCTAGTCCAACGCGGCGTCCAGGCGGCATACACAGCCAAGGCGAACAACGCCACCAGATACAAGCCTAACAACACCGACACGACGATGATGCCAGCTGTTGAAATTGCCGGAGCTTGGATTTCCGTGCCTTCGTCATAATATACCGACAGGGGATCACCGCCAGATGCCTGGCTCAGCAACCAATTCTGATTCGCAAGGAAAGCCGCCGCAGTGAAAGCGTTCGATATGCGCCCCGGCTCGGTATAGTTTGTAAACAGTCTCAGCCAGCGGCCGACTTCGTAGCGCACGCCCGCGCCACCGTCAGCTTCGTAGTTGAAGATACAGGGGCTTTTCGCTGGATCTCCCGGGTCTGGATGGCCGTTAAAGCCCGTTTCGCGAAGCAGGGCTGCCAGGGGCAGAAGGTAGCCGCATGCCTTGTTCGCGTCGTTGGCCATCTGAGGGGTGCCTGTTGGATAGGGGTCGGACATTTCGATGTAGGCTTTTGTGTTGGCTAGCCGAGTTTGTGGGAAGGAGCCGCGCCCAAACAGAGCCATTGCCGTTGTAAGGAGGGGCCCTTTATTCGCGATGCGCTCTAGTTTTATTGGGTCGTACGAGTTATTCGTCTCCTCGCGTTTTGAAGGGACGTAGCCTTTCGGATAGAATTTAGATACGGCTTGGCTTGTTCCATTAACGCAGTCATGGTCACAGGCTCCACTCATGAATGGGTCTTTATCCAGAAGCGGCCCTGCAACCCCCTGGTTCATGTAATTGGGCAGTTCGAAATATCCAGCCGTGGTGTGTAGCGTTATCTTGGCATATGAAGCCGTGGGTGTATAAATAACTCTGTTATAAGGGAACCCAGCGAGAGTGATATTGAGATACAACTGCTCCGTAAAGTCCTGTCGGTCCCGGTTGAACTTCCAAGGTGAGTGTGTATTGTTATTAGGCATGCAGGCTTGCAACCCCCACGTCGTGTTCTCCCCAGCTGAAATTGTTGTGTTCTTGTAGTCGACATAGAAAGCTCCAAAAATATTCTCACAGCCTCGTGGAAACTCGGCTTCCGTTATCTTCTCGTATGTGGCCGTCGAGTTGATACGCGGGATAAACTGTCGGATAAGACCAGTATGGATAGTACTAGGCAGCTCAGCCAGGAACGGGTCGGGTAGTTTGGACATGTTCCCAAACATTGTGCCTCTTCCACAAATGTATCGTGTATCTAGATCCAGAGGTTCGTCAGTAATACAGTTGAAATTTGCCCCCGGCCACATTTGTGCTTGTGTTTGAGTGTTTATGGCTGTCTCCATGGCCGCCCGTGTCCTCAGCACAACGTCATTCGAATCTGGAAGAATCACTTCAGCACCCCCATCAACTGCTGAGTCCAAGTGACTGGGCAAATCCGTAAGCATTATAACCATCTGCGGGCCTGTCGGGACGTGTAATGTCTTGGTTCCAAGGAGTACCTGCTGCAAGGGTGCTATTATACTACCAAGTAGATGTAGCAGTATGGCGAATACCACGAGAGCACTGGAATAGCTACGTTTCGAACGGTTTATTCCTGGCCCACTTGATTTCCAAGCCAGTTTCCCAAACAAAAGATCAAGTATCGTCAAAGGGTCTGACCAAGTTTTATCTGCCAGCAGTACCAACTGCCCGAGCGATAGATCCTTCGAGTATTTTCCCCTCTGCGCGTAGACTACAGCGGCGCTCCCACAGACGGCAGACGCCACAGGAATCGTCAGGATGTTCACGATAGACTGGAGTACTCGCGCCGTCTGAAACCATTTTTCACTCTTTTGGTATAGGTCTGATGCTGTATGCCCCCAACGCTCATTGTAATCTTCGCCTTGTCCCATTCCGTCTTGACCAAGCCAGATGTCGTAATGTTGTAGCGTCATGGGGTGATATACGAGTATACACGTAACCACCCAGGCAAATAGTGAAACTGCTGCATAGAGTATAACAACAATTACTATATAGACGGAACGATGTAGCTTCGTGTACGTTTGCTTCTCAGGCTCGGGCTTAGCTTTAATGCTATCTCGATCGTGATCATGTGATAGCAGCCGTTCTCCTTGATCTTCGGCTAGGGTTCCTGTTGACTGCGTACACTCGCTGCTAATATTTGATTGCGGCTGGTGATATTCCTGCCCGATACTTGAAACGGGCCTATCGGGGGTTACGACTTGCTGCTCGCTGTGTGCATCGTCGATAACCCTAGGAGTCACAGTGTTGACGGCATCAGACATGATTCCCACTTGAAAATACACAAAATATGTCGGAAGAAAGGATTGACAATCTAGGGATATAAATCTGCGGGAAACTGACTTCATATTATTAGGGAAGGTCGTACAAGGCATCCAAGGCACAAACTTGGAAATCAGCATGGCCCCTTTCAGCGAACCAATCAGATCGCGTATGAACCTAGCCGGTAGTGCCTCCGCCTTACGTGCCAGTAGTAAAGCCTAAGGAAACCAACATAGCCCCTTTCACGAACAAATCAGATTGCGGGTTGGCTATACCTGGTTCCTCTACCCCAGGTACTGAAAATAAGCCTGCGGATCGATGACGAGGACCTCGCATTGGCATCGCTCTACCCGGCACTGGGCTTTATGACCCGTGCCGCCGAATACTTGCAGCGCCTTACCGGCAGTTTTAGAGAGGATGGTTATTTTCTTTCGGGCCAACGATGATCCGCTAAGCTAACGAGAGCATGCGTTGTAAAATAGTGATCAAGCCTGCCGAATTCAGCAGCCCAAACCGGCGTACTCAGATTGACGATACAACCTCACGTTTTCTCACCAACTATCGGTTCTCATTTCAGTGACGTTTTATCAATACTAATGAAATTACTATCTGCCATCTGGCCTTTCAAAAGCTCCGCGTAAATTCCATTCGCTAGCCAAGTCGACATGAGTGTCGAACAATACAAATTGTCGTACCTTGAGGCACAAGAAATGGGACAACCGTGTAAGATCACTCACCCCTTAATCTACTTCTGCTAACAACTATACCGCGGTGCGTAAGATGAACCGTTATAGATGTAGAAATCACCAACCTCATCGAGAATTGACACCTCTTCATTGAGTCGGGTTGGTCCGGCAAGCACCAGCAAGCATGACGCGACGCGACATTGGCCTCTTCGTAATTGTGGCTGCAATAAATATATTATAACATAAATTTAAAAGGGAATAGTTGATTAGGTACAGAGCAGGAATTTAATACACAAGAGCGTTGGAGAGTAGAAGATGTGTTGTTCCGGCGAATCCACGCACTGTCTTCCTTCATCGCATTGTGGTGTATCATAGCTGTACCCGGTCCAGAAACATAGCCCCAGGTTCTACACCCAAGATCGCTCTACGATTGTGCCAAGGACACAACACTTCTTGTCGTATAACAATTGCTCACACAACTTCACGAATTCTCTCACACGGAGGTAGTGGCACCTCGAGATATCACATGTGTATGCAATGTCTCCTTTCTCCGTAGCTAGAACAGCGTAGCTGCGCGTGCACGTTGACCTGCCGCTCTTTGCTCTCCACATAAGTCTTCCATATATATTTCTTCATCCCCGCATTCCGGCATACTAATCCGTAGGCTACTTGATTGTAGAATCTTCAGCACCGTAGCACGACCGCCAGTATTAAATCAAAAAGCTTCAAAGGAGCATTGGAGCGTTAGACAATCTATCGATATTCACATTCATTAGATATGCCTGCACTACGTTCCTGATATTCAAACTTTGACCAGTACATTCTCACTCGTAGTAAAAAGGCCACAGCTTTACAATGGTCACATAGAACCCGCACCCGCACGAGGACCAGGACTAGGAATCAGTGATACCAGCGCCGTTTCCCAATGCCAAGCCAGCCAGCCATGCAAAGCAACCAACAACGCTAGAATAGAAAGGCAGCTTGCAAAGAGAGGGGAACAGAAAGTGAAGAGAGAGCCAAAAAAAAAAAACAATGCATATCCTAAATCTCCAAATAGCGTTCGTTCGTTCGCGGCTTAGACGCGCACCCAACCAAAGTCCAAAGTCTTCCCAACAAGCGTACTGTACAAACCCCGTCCTCAACTCCCCCATCCACCCGCCTACCCAACCCATACCAACAAGTAAAACATATTACGCCCACCCCGACCCCTACATCACCTCTGGTGGTGGCGTAGGCAACCTTCTCCTCTCCTGTTCCGGACTCGGGGGACTAACAACTGTAATCGGTGTACTCATACCGCCCGTCCCCGTCCCGTCCGTCCCATCCCCACTAACAATACTCAGTCTCCTCCTCTCACCCTCGCCATCCTCCTCCCCCTCCTCTAATATAGGAGGCGGACTCATTAATCCGCCATCCTCGCTCTTCGCAGAACTCTGCGCCGCACGTCTACGTCTCCGTCTTTCGCGCTCCGAATCCGCGGACTCTCGTCTTCTACGCACGGATAACGAGCCAGAGGAGCCGTCTTTGTTTGTTTGTAGGCCTTCTAGCATCGCAGCCGCGCGATCCGCAACGTCGGGCGTCGTATCTATAGGACTGGTAATAGCATTCGAGCCCTCTGATTCAAATCCCTTTTCAGACATCGGACTCAGCATACCTTCTTTCCCTGTCCCTGCCCCAGCACCTGTACCTACACCCGCGCCTCCCTCACCACCCTCCCCATCTTCCATATTGACGTCTAATTCCGGTATCTTCTGGCCACTTGCAACGCGAACTTGGTGACGATCTTTTAGTCTCGCGCGACGACGACGATCACGCTGATCTCTTGCTTCTGGCTTCGCGGCTCGCAGTTTCTGGAGGAGGTCGTCCATGGCGCCCGTAGGAGCCGGAGATTTGGGGGCCGAGTCTGAGTCGGAGAGTGTGGCTGTGGATAATGGGGTTAGGGCGTTTGCTTTGCGGCGCATGGATTGCTCGTTGCGGCGGTGCGTGTCTTCGAGTACTGTGTTCTTTTCTTTGGATTTCTACACACGACTCTTATTAGTATTGCTGCTGCATGGCCAAAGGATCATTGTTGTGATATTGGGGATAGGGAAAAGTTGGGAAGTGGGAAGAGGGGCAAGCACTAACCTTCCACTCAAGCACGAAATTTGCTAGCTTCGCAAAGAAATCCCTCCTCGCACTATCATCCTGCGGATCCTCTCCATAAAACGCCATAATATCATCATACATCTTCTGCATATCCTCCAAGAAAACCTGCAGCTGCTCTGCCTTGCGTCTGGCTTCTTTCATGTGTCTCTGCACGGCAATGGCCACCTTATCTTCGGGATGGAATTTTGTGGGATCCGACAGATTACCCGCGTCAAGCGACATTTGGATGTTCTTGATATTGTCAATGTACTTCTTGGCGTCTGTTTGCAGCTGGTCAACATTGATTTTCTGGGCCGTGATGACGCCGCCAATTTCCTCGGTAAAGTCTTGCCACCCTGGATATTGGTTTCGGACGATACGTTCGACGAGGTCGGCGAACGTAGATTGGTTCTTGTCGTCTTTTAGCATGCCGAGGCGAGAAAGCGTGGATAGCTTGAAACCATTCGCCTGCTTATTAGCGTCGTTCATGAAGTTGCCGATATCGAGGATCAGACCAAGCACACTGATTAAGCTAGACGAGCTTCTTAAACTATCTGATACACGCGAGATCTCAAGTAGCTTGGTAGATATCTCATCGTAGTCAGCAAGATAGGTGCGGGTAAGTGCAAGCGCCCTCATCCTGCTCTTCCAGTAGTGGTGAAGCTCATAGGCGGTGAAGAGGTAGATTTGATCCTCTCTGGTGAGTTCGTTAGGATCCAGTTCGCGTTTGCTCTCAGTAGCATTCGGACCTGTCCAGTCTTTGGAGTATGGAGCCATAAGTTTAGCCGTATTGTCCGGGATGTCACAGAAATCAGCCTTCTGCAGGAACTCCATCACAACTTGATCATCCAAAAGCTTGCTATCGCAATGGATAATCATTCTCACTACCTCCTCAACAGAGAACGAAGAATACTTGGCCATGCTGATCTGGAAATTGTGCATGAGGTCTCGAGAGATGACTTGTTTCTTTTCGTCCTTCTTAGACGACTTCTTGCCAATGGCTTTGATCTCCTTTGCCAAGAAGAGCTTCTCGACTTCTTCCAATACACCTTTCTTGGACAGTTCGCGGTACTTCTCTTCCTTCTCCTCCGATGTGGGCGCGTGCACAGCCCAAACTGTCGTCTGTGGCGAGTCGACCTTATCCCAATGGAGAGCCTTGAGTTTCTTCGAAGGTCGGACCCCAGGAATATTGATCGAGACCGGAGCATTAAAGTTGGCCTTCGGCATGAATCCAGGACGCTTTGCTCCCGGCATTGGTGGAGGTGGAGGTGGAGGCATGCCAGGTCCATCGACCTGGCCAGGCATAGGAGGTGGTGGAGGGATACCAGGAGCACCAGGGAATCCAAGCATACCAGGGGGAGGAGGCGGGGGGGGTGGAATATTAACATTAGTGCCGGGCATGGGCGGCGGTGGAGGAATACCAGGGGCGCCTGGAAATCCAAGCATACCGGGTGGAGGAGGAGGGGGTGGAGGAATGTTTGCAGCTTGAGGCTTTGGTGCATCGACTTTGCCATCTGCATCCGCAGGAGTCTTAGGTGAGTCCGATTCGAGGCTTGGGTGTGAGGGGCCAGTTGTGACACCATCACCTGCATCTTCGTTGTCAGAGTCGTCATATCGCTTGACTTTCGATGCAATTTCTCCAAGAAGGTTAGTGGCTTGAGAAGCGCTCATCTTAGGCTTCCGCACCTCTACCAGCCGTGGTTTCTCGATTATCGCATCGTCGTCATCGTATTCACCAGCTTCTGCCATGGTCTGATCATCTTCCGCGAAACCGCCAACGGGCTTTCTTCGTGGCATGCCACTCTTTGCTCTTGCGGTACCTAGGTAGTTCGGATCGAATCCGCCAAAACCCTGGTCCGGCATTTCGCCCATGGTGCCGTCCATTCTCTCCCTCAGCTCTCTTAGCTTTTCGCTGGGTTGCATCTGTTCTTGTAGATTCTTGCCCTCGAGCTGTGCCTGAGTCTTTGCCCTCTGGAGTTGGATCTCCAGCCTGTTCATCAGACGTTCGCGATCCAGAATGCCCTGCATCTGCTTGGGGTCACTTGCACCAAGAACTTCCTTTCCAGTCTTCTTCGCTGCAGAAGCTGCAACATCTTGAGCATCTCGGAGCATCAAATATAGCTCACGCGTTTCTAACTCATTACGCTGCAATTCTTGTGCACGGATTCGTTGTATTTCTGCAAGGTCGGCTTTCATTTGTTCGACCTGTCTTCCACGTAGCTCGATGATGCGTTGCTGTTCTTCGACCTGTCTTTGAAGCTTCTGCACCAACCCGTCTGCACCCAACTCGACTTCCGCTTTCATCTCATCTCGCTCCGCAATGGCCGAATCGGCAATTTGCCGGGCTTCGATCGCCTCATCCCGAGCTTGTCGTGCCTCGGAGTCGGTGTAAAGCTTATCTAGTAAAGACTGAACGGTGAAATTCAGACTTTGCTTCAGGTCCATATCCGGTAGTCGTCGGTCCATGGCGACATAGCTGAGCATTGAATCCACTAATTGGAACATTCGTAGTCGGTCCTCCCCATCGGTATCCCGGATCAAAAGTAGATGTTGCATTGCGGACAAAAAGTAGTCTTGAGCTCGGCTGTCCTTGATCTTGCTCATAATCGCGTCTGCAATTTGAGTTGGGTCGTTAAGATCCTTGACCTCGCCCTCAATGCTATCCACCATAGAACTGTTCTCGCGGTCTAGCAAGTCTTCATAGTCGATAGCTTCGTTGGCCTTGTATCGCTCGATCTGCTTATCGATAACTTCGTACTGGAAGCCCTCCATCTTGTTGAAGATCCGCTTGATCCCACATGCTGTGAACTGTGCCCGAATGTGCACTCGTAGCTGGAGATCGCGTTCTGGTGCATCGACAACCATGTTGATGAGGAAGAGCGTAGCAATGGCGTATTCCATTAACAGGTTCTCCATGCCAATGCCTCCACTGCGGACTTCGTCTGAAGCACCCACCATGGATCCCATCTTCCCGCGGCCATCAACCGTAACTTCCACGATCCGCATCCATGCGTCAAAGCGGCCGTTTTCGCCATATTGCACTTTAAGGTTGTCAAGTGCTTGGAGCACCTTTTCGTGGCCCGTTCCCTCTCCCCAGTGGCAAAGAAATGTCAAGACGTCAGAAACCAGTTTTCGGGTGTTTATTCGCGAGGAGATCAAGGACCCGGCGAGGGCCTGGATAATTGACGGATGTTGCAACGCATTATCGGCGCCATACTTGTTGTTCATGAGCGCCTTCAGACATTTGATGATATCGTACTCGCGCTCCACGTCCCTTTCAGCATCTCGTTGCGACACACTGGGCGGCGGTGCTGGGCCCTGCCCTTTCCTGCGGTTGATTTTGGCCAAGACATTGGTGAGGGCTATTTGGCCTTGGGCCTCAACAAACCCCCTGACCCACGCAATTGGCTGGGTGCGTAGACTAATCTCCAAACTCTGCATCTGCTTATTGCTGATAGAATTGTCCATAACTTTCTTCACGTACCACTCCGGCGAGCCCTCCTCCTCGGCGCGCACCAGGATGTCAGGGTTGCCGGGCGTGTACGTCTCGCGCTTCACGTGGCGCTTCTTCTCCTCGTGCTTGTATTCTGCCAGCTTGTCCTGGTACACCAGCGTCCACTTCTTGTCGATCTTGTACGCCTCCATCTGCCGCCGCGCCTGCTCGGGCAGGCTCTTCCACCCGCGCTTCACCATCAGATTCATGAACTCCTGCTCAATCACATGATCCGGGGGTCGTTGCAGGTTGAAGGACTGGGGGCCAAATGATGAGGTGGACGAGAATGCAGAGGGATGGTTCGAATGCAGAAGGTGCCGGTGAGAGTCACGCGGGGTAGCAACCGCGGTGGGAAGGAGGCTCCCGGCATCAAGGCCGATGGAGGAGAAGGTCGACTGTGACGTGTTATTGGGGTAGTAGAGGTTGGAGGCACGCGTCTTGGAGTCATTTGAGTACACGCTTGCTTGGTCAGAGGATGTGCGCGTGTTAGCAGAAGAGTCGGTCCCAGCGTACGAGGAGTAATAACCATTGCTGCTGCCGCGGCCGCCGCCCCATTGCTGCATCGAGACGCCTCGGTCACCGGGCTGGCTGGATGCTATGGTGGTGCCGGCGGCATGTGGTGGTGGGCGTGGTGGGCCGGAATTCGGGTAGCCATTGGGGGGCAAGGAAGGTGGATTGAAGACGGGATACTGATGGAAGTCTCCCCCGCCCTTGTTCAGATGATGGGGCAGCGGCTCTTGCTGCCGTGCGGCCTCGTCTGACGTGTATCTCTGTGGCCGTCCGTCGACGCTGGTCGAGTCGTAGGGGATCGAGGTGATGACCCCGGCCTGCATAGCCAGCCCGGGCTCCATGCCCATCGATACGGGCCTTTCTATCGAAGCGACTGACGTTCTGTGAGAATGTCTAGACGACTGCGAGCCTGCCGCGCTCCCTGGAGGGCTCTGCGAGTTGGGGCCGAGGTGGGTTTCGTTGGTGGGCCGGTCCTTGTGCAGGCGGCGCCCGAAGAACTTGCCGGCGGATGATTGTCTCCCCTTGCCATCCTGCGGCGTGCTGGACGGCATCGTAGGTTATGCGTAATGTCGGCTGCTGCCCGGAGAGTTATGGTGAGCTGCCCCGGCGCGGGCTCCAGTGCAAGAGCCAGCGGCCAGCGTGCCAAATCAGTCTGAAACACGGCAATGCGAGGCGGAACAGCGGGGCACGAGGGAGCGCGGGCACAGGACTCGGAGCGTTGACGTTCGCGGTGGGCAGATTGCAGATTGCAGTTGCAGTTGCAGTTGCAGTTGCAGGAGGCGTCGGGATGTGGCCGAGTGCTAGCAGGGCTTGTGAAGGGCGGACTCCCGAGCGCGCATCCGCGCAGTTATACCCAACACTCGCGCGAGGGGTCGATGACGGGGAGAAACTTTTGCTGAAGCAGCGAGGAATTCACGGCGGGGGAAGTGTTTCGAGGGCCTGGGACGACGTCTGCAGGTGTCTGTCTGCAGCGTTTCCGCATTGGGGGGTTGAGACACCCTTCACGTTCTCCTGAAACTCGTTCGGACCACCTTGCGCCGCGTGTCGAACGTGGCTTGAGCGTGAACGGGGGTCCTCGTCTTGCCTGAGCGCCTCCAGCCCACGCACGGCGGCGCGCTCCATCCCAGGCTCACGACGTTTGTTTGAACCTCACCTGTGTCGTCGCGAAGACGAGCGACGAGAGCCGCTGTCCGCCCGCCTCTGCATCCGCAGCAGCAACCCCCAGTAGCAGGCGCATCCGGCCTCGAGCTGCTGTTTTCGGTCCGCCGAGCCCTTGTCAGCGCGCAGCTGAGCCGCATTCATTCACCCATATCCATATCCTCAGCAGCAGCCGGGCATCAATCGAGCAATAGAGGCTGTAGTCACCATGTCGGGATTCCTGCACTTCCTCAAGGTACGTCACTCAGCCTTACAAAACCCGATCACATGTTTCACCGTTGCATCAATCCATGGTCAACCATTGGATGCAAGCAACGCTACATTCCTCCGTCGCTCCGCTGACACTTCCTGTCTGCAGACAATCTTCATCCCGCTCTTTCTCGCCGCGCTGCTATACCTCTTCCTCGCCCACCTCTTCGTCCCCTTCGTGCGCCGATATCGATCGCGTTACAGCCAGTACCTCCCCATGCCCGCATCCTTCGAGGGCATGTCCACCACCACGTCCTCCTGGCGAACCCGCGTATCCGACGCGCTGTTCAACCTCTTTGTCCCGTCTAGCTGGACATTACGGCATCGCAGCGTTGTCGACGGAAGCGGAGGCGAGCACAATGAAGACGAGCTCTTTGACGATGAGGAGGGCGAAGGCATGGTCGGCTTCGACCCCATTGATGAGCACAGACGGGAGGCTCTGGAGCAAAGACGGAGTATGATGGGCGAGGAAGACCGGAGGTTGAGCAGAGAGTTGGAGGAGGGGTTTAAAGATGATAGTGATGATGAGACGGAAGATGATAGACGGCCGTCACTCTCACGGTCAAGGAATTCTGATACATTCTATTAATAGAGCATCTTCTCGTGTGGACGGCCCTTCACGGATACCGGTATATGGGACGTAAGGCTTTCAGGTTGATTTGGATCCTTAAGTGGGTATGGCATTTTGGGAGCGCATCGCATTTGCATGGTTTGGTATGTAGGAGTATCAAGGATTCATTGATTTATGTGCAGCCTACAATTGACCCAGTCTGAGTCGACCAAGGAAAAGGAAATTCGCCCCCTCTTTCACTCTCCATTCGTTCATTTTTTGTCACGCTGGCCGTACGCCTTAGTGGCATAGTCGCCCTTGTGCACAATAAGGTCCTCGGGCCGGTAGTCTTCGCGGCCGGAAAAGTACGAATCGAGGATAGCCTTAACACCAGCAGCATATCGCTAAAAAAAAAAAAGTAAGCAAGAGCCTTCATGATTAAGTGTTTCCACTAGACGTACCTTCTGGGCATCAATCGAGGTACCAGACATGTGAGGAACCATGGCGTTGCCTCCACCCCATGGGTTCTGGGCATATCGTAGTGGGTGATCCTTAGGCGCGGGCTGAGGGAACCACACATCACCACCATATCCACGAAGATGACCAGACTTGAGGGCCTCAGCAACGTCTTCCTTGACCACGATGGCACCCCGAGCCGTGTTCACGAGCCATGATCCTGCACCTCAATTAGTGTTGATATTGGTCATCGTTGGGTCACCACTCACCCTTCTTCATCTTGGAGATGAGGTCCTTATTGAATAGACCCCGTGTCTTCTCGTGCAGCGGGCAGTTGATGGTGACGACATCGCACTGTGCCAACATCTCCTCCAAGTCCATGACCCTTCGGCAGCCAATCTCCTTCTCCTTCTCAGGAGTTAGTGGCTGGTAGTCGAAGTAAAGCAGCTCCTTGCAGTCAAAAGGCTTCAGACGTCGCAGCACACGCTCGCCGATTCGGCCGACAGCGACGGTACCGACAACCTTATCCTCCAGGTCATACTCGTTCTTAGCTACTGCAGCGACGTCCCATTCGCCAGCGGCAATCTGCTCGTGTGCAGGGACGAAGTTACGGACGAGGGTGAGAATGGTCATGACTACGTGTTCGGCTACAGATACAACATTTGACCCCGTGACTTCAGCGACAGTGATGCCGCCATTGGTCTTGTTCGCAGCATTCAGGTCGATGTGGTCAGATCCAATACCAGCAGTGACAGCGATCTTGAGGTTCTTTGCCTTGGCCAGGCGCTCTGCGGTGAGGTAGCCGGGATGGAAACTGCGCAACAATCATAATTGTCAGCGTGCATTACCTCTATTGAGCGAACGTGGCAAGAATTAAGGAGAAGCCCGCATAGGAGTGGCGAGATGGTGGGGCGAGGAAGACCTGTAGTTGCGGGGCAGGCTTTGGCAGTGCGGGGTAGCTTCCAACATACGGAGTGGTGATGATGACCTCCGCGTCCACCAATTCCTGATCAAACTTAGAGTTCTCGCCCTCCTTGTCTGATGTCGTCACGAGCGTGTGACCCTGCTCCTCAATCCACTTCCTTATGCCCAATTCGTTCTCCGTTGTTCCCAGAAGCTGGGGTTCTTGCTCGGCGTGGATGCCGCCCTGCAAGCCGCATTAGTATCCAGGCATTATTCAGGTGGTACTTCGACTTCAACTTACATCGTAGAGGACGAGAAGGACCTTGCCCTGTTGTGATGCAGTCGCCGTTAGCGTTCTGAAGGCAATCGGCTGGCGGACGAACGATGCTCCACAGGAAGTAACCCTCGGGGCAGTACGTGCAGAGAGCGCCGAGGAAACCGGGCCGGCGAGCCTGGAGAATGAACGGAGAAATACCATTGTGAGAAGCAACTAAGAATCTGAAGAGGATCAGAGGGTCGAAAGTCGTGTGGTTATCTGACACAAGGTCAGTCGCCTGTCTTATTATCCGCTGAGCGGAGGGGTTGTTACATAGTTACCTTTTCCGGAACAACGTGACGTCGTAAGAAGGGCTCGTCTGGCTTCCACACAGTGAGAGAGCAGATTCAAGGTACCTCAGATCCTAGGGGCGAAGGGGTCTTTTATACACATCACACAAAGCAATGCACGCCCCTCTCACGGCCCATGAGACATCGAGACCTCAATCTTTGGTCATTTGAAGCGTAACACCGCCTTAGCTTCCCCACTCCAGCGTGCAGTTCCCTCTAGCAGACGAGTGGTTACAGCCCCCAGCGGCTATCACCATCCCCTCTGGAATTACTGCCCATTGCAGATAATGCGGGGTTGTAGCGAATGATACCAGCGCCTTCTATGATGTGCCGGGGGGTGAAGACGCCTGCTTACTTTGCTAAATTGGCTTCTCTGCCGCAGTGCTGCGTTGAAACTGGCGGTTCCTGACCGACGGGACCATAGAATACGATACGCTAGGTGGATGAATCGTGTGCTTCATGGTCTGCCGATACCGCACCACATCCGTAAAACTGGTAGAGGGAATTGGTCCTTGAACTGCAAGTCATTGGGATCTGCTGGTTCCAGATAACCTGACACAGGCCTTAGGCACGGCAAGTGAGGGATCAGTTGGATACCTAGGTACCGAGCTAGCATCCGATGAAGTGATCGCTGCGGGACAGCGGAGATGTCCAACTACGGCATCTACTACGCCATAGGTGTTCGAGTGCATGGCAAGCTTGGTTGTCGAAACGCTAGCATCGATGTGTGAATCAAGGTTTCCTGCAATTGGTGCATCTCGAATGACAGCACGCGTCTCTAGTTGAGCCTCAACCGGAAACTCTTGCCATGTTGAGCTCAAAAGCGCGGACGCAGAACGTCTCCTTCAAAAGACTCCCACTGCTTCACGATGCTTGTGCAATGGCGCTATCGGCTCACCTGCAGGTGGGGTAGCGTGACAGAAACAAAAGAAGAATTGGGAAACGCTGTGCTCATCGGCATCAGAATGGTGTAGGAGAAGCGGAGTGTCTGCGGTTCAACTTCGCCAATGCTGCGGCTGCGAAATGTCTCCAGCGGTCGCCCGCTGAAACTCGGCCTTCTCGCGGATCTATCGGTCCAGTGCTGGCTTTAGATCGGGAAAAGGAGATGGCTCGGACTCATTCGGCCGGCCATTGAAAACTTAAAAAAGGAACCGCCAGCTAAGGCTTAGAATAAATTTTTGTCATCGGCCTGAAGAGGCTGAAGATTAATGACACCCGTGTGTCATATGTTCACAGAGGAGCCTGCATTGTTAGTCGTTCATCCATCAATGAAGCCGCGCACAGACCAAATGGCCTCCCTATTATCAAACTTTGAACAAATCTTCGGCAATTTCTCCATCACTTAGCTTTCATTCACTCCAGCAAGCCCATTACATAAACTCCTATCGGACAGGAGAGCCATAAAATGGCGTGTGGAAGCATAAGTCAGAGTTTCATAAGCCTACCCTCGAGGGTGATGTGGGTTCTGAGATCGCAGAAAGACACCGAAATCAGTGTAGTGGCTTCGAAACTCCGTGGAAAGAATGGTAATTTTCAGTAGATCAATCTATCACTTAATGCTAATAACTACAGTTAACTCTTAATAGCGCGATACAATTCTAGAACAAGGATTATATTATTATATTGCAATATTGTTGCAGCAAGAGGGTTACGTAATCTAACTATCTAGAGTGCCCTAGACAAACTACTTAGACTTTTAAGCCTTTACTTTAGTATATAGCTGCTAGAGCGCTCTAATCTGCTAGGGAGTTATTAAATCTGTATGCTCTTAATATAAGAGTAGTAATTTAAGAGCCTACTCTACCTACGTAAGAGTAGGTATTTATATAAGAAGCCTTTTATTATCTAATTTATTTTTAACTAGCTGCTAGCTATATGTTGTAATTACATTTACTACATTAAAGTTAGATTAAGTAGGCTTATAATTTTTATTAATAGAATTTAAGAAGTTTTTAAGGCTTATAGCGTTTTAAATCCTACCTGCGTGCTGCACTTACTAGTAGAGCTTCTCTAGCTCCTGCTAAGACTGCTTCTTTAAATTAAGTAGGTAGATTAGTTCTTATAAAGGCTAAATTCTAGCTTAGTAGAAGTAGTAATAAATTATATTACTTTAAAAGTTATTATACTAGGCTTAAAAGGCCTAGCGTAAGGCATAGTAAAGGTTAACTTAAGTTACTAGATCTGCGCTGCGCTTATAGCTAGTAACTATATAGCATATTTATTACTTTTTATATAAGCGCTTAAACTAACTAATTACGCTCTAATTAAGTAGCTAGTAGACGCTAGTTAAGTTAGTAGGCAGCTATTAAATGTAAATATTTAGTAAAGGTAGTTTAAAATTAACGCTAAAGATATAAGCGCTATAGTTATCTATTAGTAGTAGAATAGACCTAGTCTCTTTTATTTACTAATAAAAGGCCTGTAGCTAATCTATTATAATAGTATATGTTATCTACACCTTAAGATTTAACAACTATTAAATGCTAAAAGCTTTAAAGTTAATAAATTATAAAGCATATAGTCTAGCTACCTTTTTAATAGCCTAAAAAGTAAAGCGCTTACTACTAGTAAAGTTATAGTAGCATATAATTAATATTTAGTTTTTATCCTTTTTCTTACTAAGTTAAGCTTTAGTAGAAAGCCCTAACAACAGCGCCTGCTGCTAATATAGGCCTGTTTTATCTATATTAAATATATCCTACTCTGCGTATTCTCTACACAGTGTTTTAATAGCCCTTATCTCTTTTTTAGCCCTAGCTAGCACTAACGCAGCCTTACTCTAGTGTTAATAAAGCTTAATATTATACTATTGCTTAAAGTTAGTAAGCTAGCCTAAGCTAAACTCTAGTATAGAAAAGTTAGCATAATTAGGTATCTGTAGCTAGATAGCTTTTGCTTTCTTAATAAAGATATTACTAGAGATGTTGCTGCTAAAGCTCTTAAGGTGCTACTGCTAGTTAAAGAGGACAGCTTTAAGAATAGGCTACTATGCCTATTATTAACATGTGCAGGTAGTAGCAGAGCTACTGTTAAGGTAGCTATATTACTCTAAAAGGGACTCTAATACTGTTAACTAATAGATGCAATAGTTGTACTCTTACTTAAACTACTTAATTACATTAAGCTGCTTTTAGCTAGGACCTTAACATTAATACTATTAACGCAGAGCCTGTTACTGCTTATTAGTAATTACTACACATAGCATTTTATCTCTTAATATAACAATAATCTAGCTAAAAGCTTGCAATATAGTAGGTATTGCAAAATAGAATATTTTAGTAGGAAATTAATTTAGGTTTAAGAAATGTATTGCTATATTAAAATATTGTTTAATCGCGCATCGCGCCATCAAGAGTTGACTGTAGTTCAGTTCTGAGTGGAGGTGAAGGTCTTGTCGAGCCTCGCAAGTTCATAGATCAGCTGATCAGGTAGATTCATCCACGAAAGTTGTTCAGTCAAGTTCTGGATCTCATCTCGAGCGTGTCCTCTGGTAGCGTCATCATTTTCCCCACTCACCTCCTTGCCCACTCTTCCCTCAACTACCCCAAACAGTGGGATTGGAGCGGAGGCCGTACTTCTCCTCTTGCTCTTCCATCTTATCCTCAAGTTAACGGTATTGACATCGGGTACAATTTGTAAATCTCCTCCTTCGAGACAATACGGTAGCTAATTGGCTGTCAAGTCAAAGTCTCACTTCTTACAATTTCTCTCTTCGTACATGGTCGGATTCTTAAGCATCACTAAAAATAGCGCATAGTACGACCGTTGTCGCAAAAAGCCGGGACATACTTCTTCAGCTTGGCAATGACGAGAATGAAGCAGCTGTGGGTTTCTCGTTTCTTCTCAGTCACTGGGCACGGCTTCAACTGCTTTCGATACCAAATTCAATAGCAGATTTACCGAAGGTCAAAATCTCTCGAGGGCCTCTGCGAGAGATCCAGTTTCCAGATGACGACCCGGCGTATATGGACACTACCTTGCAAGATTGCGCGCATGCAGAGTTCCGATCTCCGTGAAACCCTTCCGCCCACAACTTTAGCTGGTTTATGCGGTGCTCTGTGACAAATACGATTGCGTTGACACTGTCCGAACATGGAGTAGAGTATGGGTCTCAGAGGTGCTCTTGGAGCTATCCGCTTCAGACTCCAGAGGCTGCTCTTGCTGCGTAGGTACTAGACAGTCCACTTGAATCCGCCAAGGTAACTCAGACTATTCTCCAAAATTGTACAGGGATCAGTACCGAATATTCTATTCATGGGCATGCCTCATTCCTATAGCTAGTTCGTTACGTATCTAATACACTTACTGTTGAATGGGCTCTTTCAGCTAGCTGCTTATGGTATGAGCACTTAAGTAGCAAGAGTAAGAGTAGTGTACGGTGTGCACAGCGTACAAAGTAGGTAGGGTGGGGACAACATGTTTCTGGTTATTGCTCTGTCTTTTTCCTCCGTACGGAGGAAAAGGGGAATATCTAGATGTTCGCGCACGGAGGTTCGCGCACGAGCATCATGGGACATAGTTACGTGATCCTTCTTGTGCGCAATAACTAGTATCTAAACTGTAACGATGCTGCTGCGTACGGACACTTACGCTCTACTACTTTAGCACCGTGAACTTATCCAGGCCATATAGGCCGTCTAGTCATTTAGAAAACATCACACACGCTGTAGTTTTCTTTCAACCTTTTTCTCTACCATGGGAATCATAAATTAATCTATCGATACTGATAATATGGTGTGGATTGCCTATAGCAACGTTGACGCATATTCCGAACCAGCGACCTCCCCGCTGAGAGGACATTCAAGGCCTAGTTAGTGACACAAACTCAGTCACATGCGCGAATTAAATGCCGACTCTCAATTTGAGAGGATCCAACGACGTCGTCCTGTAGTCATTCAAGGATCTTTCACTTTCAGTATACCTTCGGAAAATCTCGAAGATGAGCGGAATCCCAAGTCACTACCAAGTAAGATTTCGTGGTATGTTATTTGATCACAAGCTCAACGCATTTCCCGAATCAATTTACAAATATAGATGTACTGATTAGCAGGGTGCAAGGCCTGTGCCTAGATTGCATCAAATCGAATATTCTGCTAGAGATGGCCCAGGATGTCCTCTCGTCCACAGCAAGGCAAGACTTTAAGTGATACAGCACTTTGAACTAGTTCCAGTGCACAACAAATACGTAAGTGGTCAAATTTTCATCTGTTATGGTCAAATACTTGAGTTGTTTTGAACGAACAATCCACTTCTCTAACCATGACACTTCCCCTAAAATCTACGATACTACTAACGTGAAGTATTTTGTGGACCGTGATATTGCCTGGAGCTTTAGAAGTCTAGTCTCTGGATGGATTTCGAATTCTCTTGGCGCGACGTTTTACCTTTATTTCCTCTCCATTTGAAAATATTCCCTACTAGTTCTCCATTCCTCGAGCGATGATTCCTTTAAATTCGGTATACTAACAGCTCTACCCGATTCACAATCCGTTTCAAAGGTTCCCTAAATCATAGAATTATTCCCAGGATTATTCATTCTATTATCGAGTACGACGTTAGGGGAATGCATCCTTACTCCAGAATGAATCCTAATATCCTATGACCCACGTGCTCTACGTCTTTCCGTCTATATTGCAGCTTGCACTATTAAAGCTAAGGTATCGCTAACAGCAATATTGTAAGACATATTCGAAGACTTCCATCGCCCATACTATTTCCTTATTTATACCATATCCAATGCGAATCGGTATATAGCTGCGTCGTATATAAATTTCTTTCCTTTCCTCTATTCTCCACACCTATTCATGACTCCTCTCCATTCAACTCCAGTCCAAGATGTTACCCCGTGTGAGCAAAACGTTAACGCCACGTTATCTTGGCTCGATGAAGCCCAAGATCTCTAAAACAGTCGAGCAGATACTCCAAATTAATCCCTACTCGAGAAGACGAAATGGAGCACCTTCCTACAATATGTTCATGATAATGCGTCTGAGCAACCCCGAGTAGTTAACATGAATATGAACGTATTAGAGATATTAAACACTTGGAAAGAGAATGATGCGTTCCGGCAAATTAGTTCGGCGACCAAGCATTAACGAATCATACGCTCATATTAACTCCTTTCGCCTGTCCCTCCCAGCCTCCCTCCCTCAAGAAACCACCTAGCGAAAGCGCAAAAGAAGCCTTCGCCGAAAAGCAGGGTTCTAGGATGCGGCTTGAAAAGAAGCCGATGCCACCTCCCCTGATAATCTTTTGAAGACAACCCACCAGGCCATTTCCACAGATAACAAGCCCCTAGAATACCCCACCCCCCCTTGAAAGCCAATTCGACTCTCCTCCATCCTCCCCACTAACCCTGCAATCCGCCATCCCCTCGCTGCGCCTGTTTACTGAGGATCACGGGGCTATGGTGGTGGGTGGTACGACCGAAAAAAGGTTGGAAAAGAAGGAGAAGGACACCCGTCCAGGTGGCCTGGGATGTAGATGAGCGTTTGGGAAGGAGAAGAGTAGAGCTGTGCTCACGTTGGTGCTAGTGCTTGCCAGCTACTCAAGAAATTAGTAGCTCTATGGTAAGTTGAATGTGCGTGCGCTGCTTGCTTATCCCTGGAGGGTGGTAATTTCGCTTCGGCGAGGTTCCCTTAGGTGTAGAGAATGAAGCCGTACTTCAGGGCAATGAACTTCAGGGGAATGGATATTCCGTGAAGTATTAGTCTAGATTGCTGTCTAATGGCACCTATATCCGAAATAGGACCAAGCTTCAGGGCCACGTCGGAGGCAGTGCTAAACAAACGTTATGGTTTTGGTATTTCTCCATTTCCATCAAACTAAGAGCAAAATTCCAGCTGAAGTACTTAACAAGTACAGAAGGTATCTGCATTAAGCCTGATTACCACGCGATTGTTTCCAAATACCCGTTTTCGTGTTTCATTTAAGAATTTTGTACAGTACTATTCTGTAGACTTGAACCTGGAAGATAAGGGTTGTCAAATCCGCACGGGTAAGCGTAAAAGCAGAAACCACTAGCCAAGGTTATGTCAAAAACAATGAAATAGATGACTAACGTCAGGCTCTGCCTCCTTTGTGATGTATATACTTTTCACAGTGACGGTAGGAATGCCTGAAGAGCACACATACGACCTAAAATCGTATACGTGGCTGCACAGCAATCGCATACCCTTCCATTTACACATCTTTGTGCACTACTCTCACTTTAACCACTTAACCACCTCTATGTTCCATCGCCGCCTTCGCCACATCTTCCCTCGCAATACTACTCCGTCTCCTCTCAGCATAAATCTGCGCCTCCTCCGTCTCATTATAGCTGATCAGCAGCTCTCCATTCTTGCCAAAGCGGTGCGGTATCTCATACGCAATCTTAACCACATTGAACGGGTTCGTCGTCTTGTGGAAAATCTCGTCCATTTCTTCCAACGAGCGGTAGGCAGTTTCTGGGAAGAAAAAGTAGACGGAGGGAACCATAAAAGCATTTATTACGGCGAAGATTATGTACGTCTTGTATCCGATGTTAGCGAAGGCGACTGGGGTGACCATTACGACCATGAACTGTGAACCACCGTATTAGCTTAGTATCATTGCTTGATTTAAGACGTGGCGAATCTTACGTTAAAGATCCAGTTTGCGGTGGTTGAGATTGCGTTGGCTGGGGCGCGGATGCTGAGTGGTGTGATTTCGGCGGGATATAACCTGGATGCGGATGTTAGTAAACGGCCCGAAAGGGGTTCAAGGCTTTGGGCTAACCATGTCATTCCTAGCCATCCGATGGCGAAGAAGGAATTGAATACGAAAAGGAATACGGCCTAGACGAGTCATTTGCGACAGCAATTTGAGCAAATTTGTATCCAAACGTACGGCGGTAATCCCTAAGCTGTGACTGACACGGCTGGTAGTACCAGCTAGCACGGCCATTGAAAAAGCTTGCCCAGCGGCCCCAAACATCATGAGCGAGCGCCGACCAAATCTTTCGATTGTGAAGATAGCAATCCAAGATGCCATGAAGTACTCGGTGCCGTTGCATGCAGCGAGCAAGCGACTGAGGAAACCAGAGAGACCAATATTTTGTTCGAAGATTGTAGCCGCGTAATACTATCTGGAAATGAGACCTAGGTGAAAACATCTAATGACGATAGCTTACCGTGATGATATTAATCCCCGAGATCTAATACAACCCTTAGTGACCACCCTTGAGCCAAGGATAACTCTACTTACCTGCTGGAACATCTGATTAACATACCCTAAGGCCGTACGATGGAAATTACGGTTCCTGTTCATCTTAAAGCAGTCGCGGAATCCACCCTTAGACATCTCGAAAACAGTATCTTTAACGGCCTGGAATTCGCTTTGAACTTTCTTATCATCGGGCGGTAGTTCGTTGAGGGCACACAGCACGTCTAGCGCTTCGTCTTCCTTGCCTTTGAGAACCAGCCATCGAGGTGATTCGGGAAGACCTGGGATTGTACAGACGATAAATATAGCAAGAATTATTTGAAAAGCGATGGGAAAACGCCAAGAAATGGTACTGGGTTCCAAGAACGAGAAGCCAAGGTCGATCCAGTAGCTTAGCATGACGCCGAAGACGATGAGCGAACCCTAACCAATGTCAATAATATCCAAATCACTCTCCAAGAGTGAATTTACTTCTATCATAACCATTTGCCCTCGACGATGCGATTTCGAGGTTTCTGCTTGCCAGGTTGGGACCGTAGATGTGTTCATGCCGTTACCAAAGCCAGTGATCAATCGTCCAGGAAGAAGCTGCCCGAGACTGAAGGAAGAAGCCTGGATAGCCGCGCCAGCAATCATAATCGAACTTCCGACCATGATGGTACGTTTGCGGCCAAGAAGATTACCGAGCCAGATGGTTGCAACAGCGCCGAAGAAGCACCCGAGGGTATATCCACCCACGGTGATACCCTGGATGTTGGATGCATGGCTTTTGGTGCTTCCAGGGGGTGGATTAGCTGTGTTGATTTGGGGAAAGTGCTCGAGGAAGGATGGTAGTGTGAGAAGTCCTCCCATAACACCCTGATCTAGGAAAGCTCGTGAGCGTAAGCCATTTTGGAATGTTTCGACTGACACTCACCATAGCCGAATAACGCGAAATCAGTTCCTGCCACAACAGCGATAGCAACGTTGAGCTTGAGGCCCGTGAGCCCGTAAAATTTCTTCATCTTGAGTGAATTTTCGTCAACAAACACGCTGGACAATACAAATAGGTAAACCTCAATGGAGGCCAATCGCAGTCCCTCAAGCAAAAAGGATATGTGATAATCTCCAGTAGTAACTACCGGATGTTCAATAGTGGAAAATAAAGAGCAGTCTCGCCAGATATAAGAAGAGATCCACAACTCATGACGGGCAAGCATTAACCCTCCGGCTTCAGCGCCTCGGCAACTGTTGCCAGGAAGCTAAACCGACGATGACGTTGCAAGGTAGAGCCTCGTGCGGGGATCTGGTGGCGGTCACAGCGGATCTGTTAGCCCCGTGGGGAATGTTGTATGGAATTTCACGACATGTATCTGGGATTCCTGCGTCTCATTCGTCCATCTCAACGACATTGAAAAGAATGCTGACCGGATTGCTGAATGCGAGAATTCCGAAGGCTTTTTAAACAAATAAGGCGTCCGAGGCATAAAACTCTAGTGCGAGGTGCAGGGTCAGTGTGAGGCAGATGCACACGCTAATCGTTCCTGCCCCGACTTTAGCGCCGGAAAACTGAAGATGGTGGTCTTAAGATCTGGCAGCTCGAGCTTCGATATCCCAAGAGTAGTATTCCGGCCCCGTGTTCTTTGGAGTGCGGAGTATGCCTAAGTCGAGATGGTTTTAGGGGGTGGTTGAGATGTGTCGTGAGATGATGGTGATGGGTTCATAACTATTCAGTTCGCAAGCAGGCAAGCGATGTTCCGCCCCACGACCCGGGACATGGAAAGCGGAGAAAATGTGGACGGGTACTCAACGCGCAAGTCCTTATTTTCTCTTGGAGTCTTTATCGGACTGAGCTTTCGATATATATATATATACTCGAGCCGATAATTGGAGCAAAATATATATGGTCACGTGCCCGCACTGTGCATCCTTCATCGTTCAAACAGCAACTACCTTGTTCATCTCATCGTACGTATCACCGGCTCTAGGCTTCCTATGCTCTGGTTTTTGAACTGATCGATGAGTCTTCCTCCCATGCGGTAGAGTCTAAGACTGCACTTTGACCCCCACCGCATTTCGACTCTAGTACCGCTACCACTACCTAGCTACGCTCTATGCTGCTGGAACACCTATAGTGCAAAGCTCCCTATACCTTTAATGAGGGCACTGATTCCGCTAGCGATAGATTTTGATTCGTGTTCGAGGTATCGATGGGACAGGCGCGAACTGTGCATCTTTTCATGAAGAATCATTATGGCCCCTTTCCCGGCTGCGTGCCGCTATACCTACATTGTGCGAAGAAAATATCATACCGCCTAGACATGTGAGGGAAACTCTCTTGATGTATACGCAGGCAACCGAGCCCTTCATGCTCATAAACGTCGAAACGACTCGCTACAAGACCAAACCAGACCGACCCTATTACTAACTAGCTGAATCAAATACTCGTCTATCCTCTTTACAGATATCTCAATCCCACTTTTCGGTACTCCCTCTAGCTTTCTACTCTGACCGAAAATCCCTTATTTCGGCCGGCTCATACAGGGTTGCGGCTTTACGTTCGTTCCGGCCCACAATACCAGGTTTAAGAATTCCACAATAGAAGTCTTGCATTTACCACCATACCCCCCTCCCCCAAAATTATTTTTTTCCGCATTGTGAGCGTCAGGCATCAATAGGAGGAAAAGGGAAATTTCCAAGGCCTTAACAGCTACATAGACAGACTTTCGGGGCACCCTAGAGGTAACGAACGGGGCTCTTGTTCTAGATCTGGCAGGCGTCTATATTTTCATCTCCATTGAAAGGATCTCCAACAAACTCGTCGCTGAAAAAGCTGGAACTAGCAGTTGTATTAATAAAGTCAAGGAAAGCCTGATCCCCGGGGCTTAAGAAGTGGTCGGTCCCAAGGAAGGATTGGTCGACAGTCTCCGACAATGGTCTCACTGGGGTAGAATGCGATTGCGATAGATCAATCCAGTCCGAGATAACTGTGTCAAAAACGGAAAGGGATTCGGCTTCGGGGAAACTTTGAATGTCGTTGTTTGGAGAATATTCGGGTACAATAAAATCGGCAGATCAGCTCTGTGTTCCGAGATCCAGATCCAGCCCCATTCCATCAAGGGGAGGGCCAGCAAGCTCCTGAACATCAAATCCACGGAGATCAAGTGAGGGGGCCCAGAATAGCATGTTAGTAAGGTTAGGAAGTTCTTCGATCAACTGGGGTTGCTGGATTTCTGCTGCGGCCTCAGAACGGGATGACACCCCTGTACCATTCAAATTGGGGTCAAAACCAGAAACGACTTCATGAAAACAGTCTTGAATGATCTCTCTTAAGCGGCTGTTACTGAACCTCAACCAAAGTTCTCCTAGACGGTCCTGTTCAACATAGGTCTCGAAAGCGGCTTCAATCCGCCTATAAAGAAGGTTTGGGAGTTCTCGGCGACAGTGATCCATCATTCGTTGTTGTGGAGTAGCAGCCAGATCCTCAAGCTCGTTAGTGAAATATACAGAGTCATGGGTGACGTCTAGGAATCTATCAGTAACATAATCTACGGTATCAGGTGGTACCCGTACATGGAGAGGGTATGTCGGCCTCCTCGACATTTGGGAACAGTATTCGATATATGTCTCTCCACTGATCTTCTCTCGATCGATTCTTCTTGCCTTTTCTAGACCTAAGCAGGTTGAACTTGGCTCGATCAACACCAAACGCATCTCGTCTAGGCCGCAACTGGCAGCTACTCAGACTTCTGGAATGTGCTTCAAGAGCCTCGTCGTTTGGAAAGAGGATAGAGCACCTTGTACATTGATGAATCTTGTGGCAAGTGTAGAGATGTCCCCTAACAGCTGCGTAAGCAGTACTCTTGGAATCTAGTACGTAATACTACTAACTTGATACGATGAATGGTAGGCCAGCCACTGCGAGCGCAACACCGATGCTCAGTGCACTTCCATCTACTGTGTTTAAAATACGGACAAGCAAGATTACGGTCTTCATCTGCCATATGCTGCCTCCGCTTAGATGAGCTCTTTGGGCTGTGACTGTCCTTGTGGTTATCTCCTGCGGATCCGGAAGCATTGCTGCTGCGATACTGTTTTTTTCTTGAATTAGAAGATCCATTGTTCGTAGTTCCACTGCCTGAAGCCTTAGATGAGAAACCGCCACTGTTGGAAGATGATTCTCCATCCTCGGGACAAGTAGTGCAGATGATTACACCTCTGCCTACATTGTATGTGAAGTGAATGCCTTCGATTATGCGCGCTACGAATTTACGCGTCTTTCGCGGTACGAGATAATGCAATGCCGGAGGAAGAGCGTCTTCAGGGGTAGTATCTTCGATTGAAGAGCATTCATCGTCTGAATCATCGTGTATGGAGCAGCAATGTCTTTCTAGCGTCCTCGGTGTTATAGAACTTTCTACTAGGTTCTGGTCGTTTCCTGAGATCCTTTGGTCGTCCCCTGACTTGTTGCGGATCAGGGTGGAGGCAATATGTACCCTGCTATCTACCCCTTTGCTGTTGAAATTGGGACTTTCGTTCGTGGCAACGTCTTCAGAGATATTCAAGCCTTTGCCCTCAGAGTGCCCACAAGGTAGGGACACGTCTAATTTTGGGCTTGAAAGATTATTCCCGAATGTAGTTCCATGCACGGTTTCGGGACCAATGTATTCCGAGGTGCTAGAGAATGCACTTAATTCATGAGGCCAACTGTAAGATTTCAAGGGAGTCTCATCTCGGTCACCGCAGACGGGGCACGCGTCCGAGCTCAGGGCCCGGGTGTTTTCAGCGCCGCAGTTAGGGCAGATCCAAATATCTATGGGAGTATATGGCGGCATTGTGAAGAAATGTATTCAAGACTGGGGCGCTCGATGGAGAATACCTAACGAAGTCCAAAATAAAGACGAGTGCAACGAGCTGGCACTTACACGAAAGAGAGAATTTAGAGAAATCTTGCCCATCTCATAGCGGGGAATGCAAAATAGGGACCTTTCGCAACAGAAGACAAACGCGCAACATTGCGCATTTCGAATTCCCATGCGAAGCCACAGGGGTGGTGGCCAATGGTGAGCGATGACGAGCGCCACACTTCTCCCGCTTATGCAATTATGCAGCTTTGAAATTGCTAGAGCATAAACGCGTTCTCTCAGGCAATTCTGTCACATTGCTGGTGAAACAGCGAACGTGTCCAGAAGACTATCCTGCGTGTTTGCACGATGTAGCCAAAAGCACCTCGCGTGAGAGACACAGAGCCGTCACATTCACATTCAACGCTTTCGTGGTCAATATTTGGCGGGGATTCGCAAACGCTGCGACGGATAGGGATTGTCGATCCGGAGTCTCGTATCCTCAATCATAGTATTGATTCGCATTCTAATAATATAACTTATTCGACTAACCTCCAACTCAATATCCAATAGGGCCCTGTAGTACCGGATCAAGAAAGATAGTGTCATCGACATCATCGGAGTTACCTTGAAAGTCTGCAAATTCTAGTGCGTCGCTAATCACTTGTGTCGAAAGAATTCGACCTACTTCTTCATTCTTCGCTGAATTCGCAGCTCGTCTATAGCGACCTGTGAGATTCTCGACGGCTTCGTGTGGGCCTATAGCGAGCAGTGGAACACGGGGTTCCAACCTTGAATCCGGAGTAACGGAGATAAGGCTATTGGTGCTAGAAGCTAGGAGTGGTGGTTCTGATGGCTTTGATAAACGGTCGGAATGAGTAATGATGTTGGGCTGGTAACTGAACTGCTCCTCGTTCCACTGCTGAAGGACTTCTTCGAAGTCGAAGCCGCTCAGGTCTGTTTGGAGACTACAGCCATCCCATCCTAGAAATTCTGCTGATGATAGAAAGGACTCGAGTGGTTCCGGGCGTTTAATTTGGGCCAAGACTTGTTGTTCCGCAGAATCATGAGCTACCTGATCCGGGCTATATTGGGAATCAACCCCTAGTTGCTTTGCCTCAACGCCGCGTTTAAACGAAGCCTTGACATCTTCCAAGCCTTGTTTTAAGGAATCAACAACCGAAGCCACAAGAAAATCTTTGAAGTTTTGCTTGTTGCGGGAGACATGAAGGTGTGGACAGTGGCTTTCGTTAGCGGTATCGAAGCGGTTCTGAATGGATAGTTCAAGATGCTTGATAGTCCGACGGGGAAGTTCCTTCTCAAGATAGTCAAACAATACGTCTCGGCTCGAGTCGTCGAAGTCCTCCTCCTCCTCATCTTCCTCCGTAAATACGTCGTCAGATGTGTAGACTGAGGGCAGTATTAGTGAATGAACCCAGAAATTTTAGAGAATAAACTTACATGGCGAGGGGATTTGAGATTCTGGGACATTTGGGAAGACAACGCGAAAGAGGGCTTTCCATTGGTCTTCTCTTGTACCCGGTTTAGCCCGCTTTTTAGCCCACATTTCTATTAGCTCCCATAGATCCTGGTTAATAGCAAAAAATTGTCGTTCGCGAGGGGAGCAGGGCTCTGACCTCTGTTGATGAGATTTTAGCGATTCGGGCGTGGGGTATGGAGAAGAGCATCGTGGGCATTGGAAAATCCTGTGGCAGCGACTTAAATGTTCTCTATATTGAGTTAGCGAACGAAACTGCTATTCATGGGCAAGCTAACTTCATCTGATATATCTCCATCCACCCTGGTCCAGAGCAAGCGCGATTTCGAAGACTCTTCCGCTTATTCCGTTTAAAGAAAATACAAGCAAGACGAGGGCCTTTGGGACCTTCAGACCTTCTGGGTTTCTTGGGATATTTTCCCCCCTTGCTTTCGCTAGTATTTCCATCACTTTCTTCTTCACCTGTATAATCCTTACGACGGCCGCGTTTACGGTTGGAGTTCGATTGTTGACCTGAGGAAGACCTCCCGGCTTGCGATGTGGACGAAGGCCTTTGGCAAGGACCAACCGTACCGCTAGTACATGTTATCACACCATTTTCTCGATCGAAGGTGAAACTTAGGCTACTAAAGATGCGTTGGGCCAGGCTTCGTGCGCTGTCGTAAACAAAAGACTCTGATGGCGGTATTGGGTGGATAATATAATCTGACTCTATAGAGCTCTTCATTTCAGGCTCGATACTTGCTTCATGCTCTGCATTCACAGAAGAGTTATGAGCTGAGCTAGAGTTATCGTGACTCGTTCCAGCGACTAGCATTGCTAATTCCTTCGCGGTGGTTCCAATTCTCCCTTCGGGGATTAAATCTACCGTACTTTTCGGACGAAAAGGAGCTAATTCACTGCTGGAAGGAATTCGCAAGCTTTCCTGAAATTCTTCATTCAGAGACTGTTTATCATATTGTATCGACCGATGGTTTGAAGATGTCGCTAATGGGTTGCTGGTTTGCGTGGCCTGTGCTAACTGAACCTCGAATTCGGTATTCAGTAATCGTGGAGGAGCAATAGATTTGATTCCAGGTCCAGGAGCGCAAAAGATGTGAGCACAATTAGGACAATTCGTCTGCCAGGCTCCGATCGGTCCGTCGCCACACTCACAGCAAAACCAGGTAACCCATAGGTCTTTACCTTCACTCTGGCAAGGCATTTTGGCTAAAATTCTAACAAGACGCTTAGCAGTTTGAAACAAATCCAAAGAGTGTAGTTGTTCACACCTGAGTACTAGATCCAGTTCAGAGCTTGGTAGCCTGAAAAGTTTTTTTTTATTAAAGGAAAAGGTCTAAAAGGAAAAGGGTTGAACACTACAAAGAGTTGAAATTGATTTGAATGGAAAATGGTTGTGAAAGAAATGTTGAAAAACACCCGTTTTTATCCCCAATGGTGAAGCTCGCAAAGTTGCGAGGTTCGAACACCGTGCGAGGCATCACAGCCAATGAGATCTGCAGCGGACTTCGCCTACATATTCTACCACCGGTGAGGAATGCTAAGATCGGCTGGGGGTAACCCAAATTTGCTTTTCTATACCTAGCGCAACGTCAGTTGCGATCCATGACTTTGATGATGAATGGAGTGCTAACTTGCCTTTTAATGGCAGAGCTTCACGAGAGCTCGAGTTCAATCGATAACTTCGGTCTAAATGTATGTGTGACAAGCAAAGACCCAACAACAAACTTAGCGATCACTTCGATTCCAATTTCACCATGAGCGCTTGTGCATCTTCGCTCGTCTACCTTCGGAGGGATCAAAGTCCCCCATCCCTAACATATCTAGAGTGGGTGTAGACGGGGGCTGGGGCGGTGCTATGTTTGTACGCATCATTTCCGGATTACCCTCCAGCGCGGCCAAAATAGAAGTTCCTGGATACCGAGTTCTAGATGCATAGGAAGAACCCTGGGATGCCTTATAGCATGGAATCGTCTGACGCCACATTAACTTAAAGTTAGGGCAAGGCCTTGTAAGGTGTTCTAGAAGCACTTAAACACTCGAGAACCATGATAATTCGCTGAGGGTCATTGAAAGACCGCGACAATCGAATAAAATATGGCTATAGTTCGCACGCAGCGGGGAGTATTTACTTGACAGCCAATCGGAACGCAAATCATGTTTGAGATGGTCAAGACCGTTGGAAACTGTTGAAATCGTCGTCTATCCCGTTGTCGATGGGAAAGGATCCGCTCTAGCATTTCCTAAACTCGAGTATAATGGAATACCATCTACAAATTATTGTCCTTCATGGTGCGCGACTAAGTATTAAGAGTCGAACAGGGTAAGGAAAGCAGCATCCGTGGACCCAAGTAAATGTCCTTGTTCTGGAGGTTGGTATGCCGGGCTCACTTCTCTGGGGAGTGGCGATGGTCCTTCATTGAATGAATTTGATTTGATAGATGAGAGGGCCTGAGTGGGAACATTGTTCTCGCATTTTAGTTGTGGCAGGAGCCCATCTTCAGCGTTTTCAAAGTCTAATTTCTCGCAGGCTTGAGCGGCAAGGTGTGCTCTCCATGACTCTTCCGTCATCCGCAGCCTTCGTCGTGGAGGGGGGTGATGGCCTCTTGCTGCGTCTGTTTGAGAGCATGACTGCGGTAATTCCAGTGAAGGTTGCATTTGTTGGAGTTTGTCACCTGTATCTGGAAATGTTGGCATGTAAGGGTCGTTCATCAGAGGGTATTCTGCCAAGTCCCCTAGTGTTGGAATTGGGGCTGGAGCTGGTGAAGAGAAGATGTTGCCCCCGCCAGTCAATAGAGGTTCACCTCCTTCCAAGCCTAATATAGCGAGTTCTTCGTAGTCTAGATCGGGTGGCAAAGTTCCTGTGGAAGTCCCATAAAATTCATTCGTATCCTCAGGCATAACTTGCGGCCTTGGTAGAAAGTTTCCAGTTGAATTACTACTACTTTGGTCAACAAGCATTTGTCCCCCACGGGAACGGCGTTTGGTCTTCATCATAGGGAATGGTCGATGTAGGATTGATTGGATGATGCCAGTGGAATGGGTTTGTTGGTGAGATACTATAATGGCTTCAATTTCGGAATCTAGAACGCTTCGTAGATAGGAGTGTAACCTAGTTTCTAGAAGTTCAGGTGGCAGATCTGGTCTGAGGTCGGCCACAAGTTCGGCTCGGAAGCGGTCTCGAAGCTGTTGGCTGTTGGCCCATACATGGTCGCTATCCTCATAGTCTAGAGAATGGTGAGCCGTAGAAGAGAGATAAGAAATAGGAGAGCTTACAAGGACTAGGGGTGTCGCCAGATTCATTAAAGATTATTCTGTAGGCCTCACGCCACTGGTCCTCTGGAGATGAACTTGCTGGACCCTTCTTGCCTTTCAATAGGTTGTGCTTTCTCTTATTAATACCTTCGATTGGGTGATGATCGCTGGGGTCCCGCTCCTGACATCGCGGCCATTCCCACTCATGTTCGTTCAGTTCTCCCTCGGTATAGAAAACCTTGAAACACCGGGCGCATTGATGGATAAGATGATGTTTATTCCAATGTTCTCTATTGCACGTTATACACACGCAGCACAACGAAGCTTGGTTGCTCACCTCAAACGGGCCATGTTAGGCCAACCACGCCCCCCACAGGATTCGCTATGATTTCTGTACTTGTGAGGATTGCGCTTGAAGAATGGACAAGCGAATTTGGGCTGATCAGGGTTTGTTGAGTCGAGAGTCAGTTTGGTAGGCTTGCGTTGCTTACGTCGCTCATCTTCGTCTTGATCCTGGTCTTCATCGTTATTCGATGATCTTTTCCCCCTTTTCTTCCCAGAGCCATTTGTGCTCGGCACTCCGGGAGTGCACTTAAAAGAATTCGAGCACACAACCTGACCTGATGCAACACAGTCCCCATGAGCTTGCGCTGCCTGGCCGGAGGCGCATTTCGTAGATCTGGGATCTAATTCTCCGGAAGGTGCTCGCAGACGGTCCACGAGGTGGCGTACGGCGCAATCAAGAAACATGTCTAAACTTGCAGAGCGTGTAGCAGATAGAGATGTGCTGTCATCCGACAAGAACTCATCGTCCACTTCACTTATTCGACCTCGTTCAGAGCTTATGCTAGAAAACGATTCGGTAGTAGAAGAATTAGAAATAGGCGATACAGGTGTACTGTAGCCTCGCGCCCAGTCGTGCCTGCTATGATAAAAAAAATTTGGTTGTAGAACTCGTGAGCTTTCCACCGACGGCTTCGCTGTTCCTTGATTCGGATGCGGCGGGGATTTATTGAAGGTATTACCAGAGCGTTTTAAGGGCCGTGTACAGGGGAAGTCTGAGCCTGAAAGATCAAGCCCGGTCACCGCTGTAATTGGCAGGGGCCAGGCAGATGCTGGTATTTTCGCCCCGAGCTGTGTGTGGCTTCCACATCGCGTGTGGTCGCAGCAGCCAGAACAGGCGGCATTGACTGTCCACCCCATTGGTCCATCGTGGCATTTACAGCAATACCATAGGTACTCCGTGTGGCCGTTTTCTGGTATGTTGGTTTCGACTCTACAAGGCATTGTCCAATACTTTGGCGCCTCAAGATGGGTTCTCGGTCAAAATGTAGGAGAAGATAACAGAGGAATGGAGTATGGATCGGACCATCTAAAGATGTCGGTAGCCTCTGGTCTCGCGGGCCACGACCCGAGCCTCGAAAGGGGAAGACAAAGCAGAACCCTCTGGGACTGCTGGAACACAACATAATCCGACCCCCGAACCTATTCGAAGCAATTATAGCCATGATGAGTCCCAATGTTGTTTCTCGTGAGAAAGGCCTAGGCACGAGAAACTCTGGATGACGCGGTTGGCATAATCAGCCACGGTCCTCATTGGAGAAGGTAGCGACACGCACCTGCAAGAGGCCCGATTACGAAGAAAAGGCAATTTCAAACCAACCAGCGTGGGGTGGCCTCAACGCCTTCGTCGTTCAGCTCAGGGTCGAGAAAGTGTTTGCAACATTGAATGCTGCCTTGGGCGTTGCAGAAAAAATGACGCATGTTGCGACACGGAGAAACCCATCATGGGGCGGATTTCGGCCTTCTGAGTCCAGAAAGTGGTGTGGATGTTTGCTCCCAATCAGTCTTCACCGCTATTTAGGCTGGGGAAGAAGAAATTTTAGAAATTAAATGGAGACGGTGAGACGAAGGCAACTAACAGATAATGGAGGACTTCGCGTGCAAAGTGTGCCTGCAAAGGATGACATCAGAGCCAATGGGGACAGCCGCGCCAAACGGTGCGCCAGACCTTCCCACCCTGCAGGACAAGAACTAGATAAAGTTATAGGGATCTGATATATTAAGAGAGGCTTGTTAGTTTCATTGCGAACCTCATGACTTTGGCCATATCACATGATGTTCAGCCGAAAATCTAACTTTGGAAGATGAGGCATCGTTATTTCATATAACACAGTATTATCCCACTTTTAAAGGTTATTTCGCGCATTTGCTATCTGTGGAGTTGGCTTAAAATGAGTGGATAAGCTTTCTACCATCCTTCAGGTTGAAGGGGCAGCCTGCACTGATATCAGCACAATAAATGATCTAGGCCTTGGCGGTGGCGAGCTCAAGCTTCAATCTACGGAACCCTCCACAAGCAGCGACATCCTTCTGCAACTCGACCATCCTCTTCTGATCGCCTGTCGGATTACCAGACTCACCATGTAAGGCCCAGTCCAGGAAGTCGTTCGTGTAATTTGGCTTAAAGTCCTCGTTGAGGACCCCGAGTCGTTTTCCGTAATTGGTGACTTTGGCCCAGTCACGGGCAACATTCTTTAGGTCGCTCGAGAAGTAAGCGAAGCTACGCTCGAAGATCTTGTAGTTCAACTCGGTACCCATGACAGATTTAAAATTGACGTACTCCTTCCATGCTTTCTCTGGATCTGCCAACAACTCGTCCGTGGCTAGCTTGACGGCTCGCATGAAGGCACGAACTTTTTCATGGTTCTCGGCGACGAATTTCTCATTCCCGATGTACAGGATAGAGCAAAAGCAGCAGCAGCCGAGTTCGGCTAGTTCGTCGATACGAAGCATTTGCACATCACTCTTCGGACGGCCTTGCACCGCGAGCCATTCCTCAAGCTCTACCATCTGCACGTTCTCGAGGCCAATTCCTGCGTCGATGGTGCCGTCAATGAGGGCTTGGGAGACATTCATACCGCAGCGAATTGCGGTATAGGAATCGGGTGTCATGCCATAGTGAGAGGTGAGTTCGTCGATTTGTATCTACAGTAGTGGAATGGTAAGTCGAGGGCTGCAAAGTGAAGTACCCATCTGGCATTACCTTTCCGAACTCTCCAACATAGCCGATACGTTTGCCCTCCAAAGTGCGGAAGTCAGAGGTGATGTTGCTCTCTTTAAGATAGACGACGCCCGTGAAGGGCTCGTCGAGAAGAGATCCAACGCTAATGACGGGAAAGCCACGGGCTTTAGCCTAACCTGGAGATCAGCAAAAGAGGCAATGGAATTCGTTGTGTGGTAACAAACAGCAAGAGTGTGGATCATGGCTTTGAAGCCCATATCGACTTTGCCAGATCCAATGATCTCGGTGACATCCTGAAACAATCAGCGACCGTCGGTCACACGAACTCAATTATAGCGAGCTATGACTCACACTAGGGTCGTTTGGCTCCAGAATTGCTACATTGATCCCTTCATTCTTGAAGTATCCTTTGGCTTGGGCGAGATACAATGGAGCATGGTATGGGGTAGCGTGCCTTTTGTAAGTCAGCAATCTCTAATAAGTAAGGTGAAATCGGTGACCTTCTACCAATTGGTCAAGAAGGTGATCTTGTCGGTGGTCATGGTGCTGCTAATATGAGTATAAATTTAGCAATGGGAATAGGGGGAAAGAAGCATGTTCTTTCGCTGGAATTATCCAGATCAAGTTCGACGGTATAATCTCAGATCAATTTTGCAAAAGGGCAAAATTGAACACCCGCCATGCGTTCTTTGTACAAGAAAGTTACCTTGATCAATGAATAGGTCCATTGCGACTGCCATTGCTTCCTACAATCCGTACCGTTTTTCGGGCTTCTTGTGTAATAAGGGTTCGAGTACGGAGGGTACTTGATGGCGATTTTTAGTATGGTGGACCGAATGCTCGACTTGGGGAGAGGAATCGCACGGTTTAAATATATCCCTGGGAGGATGAGGGGTAGTTGTGGGCCTTGGGTGCACAGTGCAAATATTTATTGCGACCCCCACATTCGTAAGGCCTATCAGCGTACAGAGAATTGAAGAGGTTGGGACAAATCCTCCTGTGAAAAGAGGATTGCTCCTCTATTACTGGCTAGACTGATTCAGTAAGGCTTATCTTTCATACCAAGTGTTTGCGGCCCAGAACATCAACTCTTTGACCCCACTAACCTCACCTCAACGGAAACGACGCATGAGCAACTCTGCCCCATCCGAAAGCCCATATCAAGCCACGTTGTACTCTCTTTTAATCTAGGTCTCTCCCAAGCTTCACGCTAAAATTCTCTGCTATGAAAAGACTCCGCCTCGAGAACCGGGAAGACGTACAAACTTGGAGGGACCGACTTATCGGAAAGCGCATTGTGTCGTCAGACCCCTTGATTGCGGAGCATGAATTCTGGCACACCAAAGACTCCAGGGCTTGGGAGCCACGCATCTATCACTCAACGCCGGCTGGTGAAGGTTTTGAGAAGAACATCAGTTTCGATGTTCAGCCCGATTCTCCATTGCTGACATTGCCTGCGGAAATTCGCAACCGCATTATGGAGTTCGTTTTACCGCCTCACATCCTCGAGCCGGACATAGATGCATTTGGAAAGTATCAGCCCGAGGGTGCCGAAGCCACGTGGATGAACACATCAGCAATCATCTTTACATGCAAACAGATGTATGCAGAGGGGAGAAGATTGGCTGTGGAAAAGAACACCTTCGCGTATGAAAAGTTTGTGAGAAAGACGAGGCTTTGTGCGACGAGAAAGATCGAGATTAAGTATATCTGGGATCTGTAAATGTCTTCCGCAACCCCCAAGACAACACAAAACTCATCCCATCTAGATTGAATGTCGTTTGCGACCCTACAACCATGGTAATCAAACAAGTTTACTACGGATGACCTTTCCAGACCCGTCTAGGTAACCAATAGCGGCTTCCACTTCCCTGTGTGATACCTGACGAATGCTGCGCAACTCGACTTTAAAGTACAAAAGGCACACAAGCGAGGAATACGGCCCATCTCGTCTCAAGCTAACACTCACAATTCCTCTTTTTCCTCGTCAAAGTCGGCCTTCGCTTTGATTATATCCTTTTCTGCATTGCGGATTGCTTCTGCGAACTTCTCTCCGGCTTTCTTGTCGGTAGCAAACTATCCTGATTGTTAGCGGTTTCTATACAGTACGAAAACAGAAGGGATCAAGTACCAAATGTTCCTTCGCCATTCGCCGAGGCGACTCTCCCAGCCATTGGAACAGCGAGAAGTCCTCAAACTTCTCGGCTCGGAATATCTCCAATACCTCCAGTGGCTCGTTGTTGCTCAAGTTCTCGATAAAGTGGCCCATGTTCTTCGGCACTACGCCCACATCGCCAGCCATGTAATCGAATGTTCTCGCATTTCCCTCCGCGGCGAAGATAGTGACTCGAGCACGACCTTTGATAAAAAAAGACCACTCGTCAGCGTTAGGATGCCAGTGCATTTCTCGCATAGCTCCTGGCTGAATGTCTAAGTGAGCTGCTGCGACCCTTTTAGAGATGGCAAAGTTGGTGGAATCAGTAATCCGAACCTGCCCGCCAGTCGCGTTTGTCGGTTCTTGATTAAGCATCTTGTATGTGAACTGAAAGTTAGACTTCTTATATCCTTTGCTCTTGGGATCTCTTTACTGATGGAACCAGGATTAGAGCCTTGGAAGATGTACTTCTCCTTCTGAGGAATGGCGTCGAAAACTTCAGGGGCCAATTTAAAATTCTCCGATATAACCTGCTTTGGAGTATGTGCAAGCCAGTCTGTCAGCAAGAATGTCGAATCCTCTGAGAAGTTTCCATCATCAAAGATGAGCAGGAATTCGGTGCCGTTGGGGCTCAAGCCTTGTAACGAATGAGGGTGCCCAGCTGGGAAGTACCAGAGATCTCCCTTCTCAAGATCATCGACAAAACTTCCACCTTCAATATCGAGAGCGGTGATTCGGACGTGCCCTTCAAGAACGTACGCCCATTCGGCTTCCTTATGCCAATGTAATTCGCGAATTACACCTTCATCAAGTCGCATGTTCACACCAGCCAGCTCTTTACTAGTGGGCAGCTCGCGGATAGTTGTTTGACGCGTCCACCCGCCATCTTCAATGCGAATATGCGAGTCGGCAAATGACCATCGCATGTTTGGAATCGTTCCGTGATCGGTACTAGGTGGACGCACAAGGTCAGGATTCTGTCGTTCACGGGCCCGATTGCGAGGCCCGAGGACGTCCGCGCCATCTCCATTTCTCTAGGTGATGTATCAATACTGGTTGTATGTACACGACTCTGTCATATCCAAATCGCGATATCATCTGCGTCTTGCGCCGAGAAGAATCGTTCAAACAACAGCACGGACGACCGAAAGAGATATTTTGGATTACTTACATATGGCAATGGCTGGATCTTCTCCCCAACAGTATCTATCTTTCCATCCAGCGGATCGCAATGCCCGGGAGTGAACGGTTTCCCTTCAGGACCAGCATGACGTCCGTTTCCGGTTAGCGGCTGTTGTTGAACAGGCGCCGCCCAGGTCGCGCCGCAGCCCAAGATGACCAAGAAAGTCGCCGGATACATATTTCTTCTTCAATTAACTTCAACATTTGCCTCGTAACAAAGGGGATTTGTCAGGATTTATATCCACTTTTCAATGTGTATCTTTGAAACTTTCTCCGCACGCGGGTTGCGTCTTTTCCGTGATGACGACATTTCCGGCGTTTCTATTTCATGGCTTGGCAAGCCAATGCAGTTACTCATTGCTCAATGTCACATAGCTGCATTTCATCTTCCTATCATCTCTCAAACAAGCTTCCCCGCATCCTCAGTCCTTGGGAACAACTCCATCGCTTTCCTGGAATTGCCGCTGAGTCAAGGCTGTGCATCGCAGAGATGATGTGCCTGACGATCCCGCACCTGCCCATGGTCCTTCTCTGTCTTGAGTATTTCATCATATATCCCTCCCCACTTTTCACTTTCGGTCTGGAAAGACGCAGCGGGCAATCATGAATAGCCTAAATTCGAGGAGAGACACTACAGAACACGCTCCTGACGAAGAAACGCCGCTGCTTGGCGAGCCCTCTGATGGGTCTCGGCCTTGGAGAAGGCTGAGGAAGCACATGACAGTAAATATCAGCAAGAGCTGGGCGGACTGTATCCTGTTGTTTGGATACGTGATTACTGGACTACTGGATAGTTCTGCAGTCTTCATTTGGGGCGCGTTCGTGAGCATGCAGACTGGTATGTCATCTCTCGCTTTCATCCACTACCGAACTCAGTGATCACCAGGCAACACGGTATATCTAGGTCTCGGCCTCGTAGAGCCCGCGGCCGGCATTCGGTGGATCAAATCACTAGTCTCAATAACCTTTTTTTGTCTGGGTTCATTCTTCTTCAGCCGTTTCCATCGCTTCTTCTCACCTCGCCAACGTTGGGTACTAGTCGCGTCATACTCCATCCAACTCCTGCTCATCGTTCTTGCAGCGGTGATTGCTAGTATTGGAAATGGCTTATCGAATGGACTTCATTGGCAGGTTCTCGTCCCACTAGCCTCAGTCGCCTTTCAGGCAAGCGGACAGGCCGTCACTTCTAGAGTGCTGCAGTATGGAGGACTCACCAGCGTTGTACTAACGAGTAATTGCTGTGACCTCTTCTCTGATCCGAATCTGGTCGCTGCGTCGAACGTAGAGCGCAATAGGAGGGCCGCAGCACCGATTTTGCTGCTGCTTGGCGCAATCTTCGGCGGGTTATTTGCCCATAGTAGCGTCGGGCTTGCGGGTGCATTATGGACCGCCGTGGTACTGAAAACTTCCATCATTATTTCTTGGTTGCTCTGGGCGACCGAGCCAGAGGAAGATGGCTAGTAAATGCTGACCGGCTACTCACGAAGGAGAAATCAGACCACGGCAGAGCAGGCACTATTTCGACATCTGCATTGCGACACCAAATCACTGAGATTACTGTTTTAAATGCAACCCTCAATCTTGCTCGCTCATTGGGCTTGCTGAAAGGTGCTGGTTAAACGCTGTTTGCATTGAAACAGTCAGTGTCGCAATAGAAGTTTGGAAAGGACCTGGGAAGAATTGACCACCCAGAGCGACACCTCGCCTCCTTGTTCTATCGTTCCCTCACTTCCCACTCCACAATTATCCAGGTAACTTCCTCCGAATGGGAATTTGCTATCTCGAACCTACCGTTAGCCAGGAATTCCGCATCTATACGAAACATCTGATTAAGTACCACCATACCGGTGCATCATCGGTATTGCCGGGACCTGTAGGCGCACATACTGGCCATTGTTGTGACCAGGGATATTACCGCATTTCAAAATGGACGTCGAGAGACAGCAACTTCTATCCTCGTTCCCAAATCCACCCGCCGGAGTCCCCTCGCGTCAAAGGCCGACGACATCGCCCATCGCATGCCCATCTGACTTCGGCTATATCCAAGTGTGCATGGATCCCGATTACAAGCAGGTTGTGCCTCAGGCCGATCATGCAGCAGCCTCATCAGAGTTCTCACTTGTCCTCGATAACCCCAAAAAGTTATTCTCCCCTCTGGACACCATAACTGGTTATATCAATGGCTGGTCGCCCTCTTGCCCCTCGCAACATGTTCATATTATTCTCGAGGGACGCGCAAAATCATACATCACCATCGATAACGACCTATCACATAAGGATCGGACTCCCCTTCTCTACCAGATCACCCATCTTCTTTCATCATCCCAAGTGGTTCCACGCTTTTCCATCCCCATTCCTGAGCACGTCCCTGTTGAGTTAAAAAAGCTGAACGCCCTGGTACCGCGCCAAAATATAAGCGAGTATTACTGGACACATGAGTGGCCAGCATTAGATCCATACGAATATGAAGCTGGGCATCCATTACCACCAAGTGTAATACTGCCGCGGCGATCAAATTTAGGATTTCTCTTTAATGCAGTTGGGCGCGGATACATTGAGTATAAACTTACAGCCATCAGATCACGAGTGGGCGATGGTGGCAAAATGACCCCAGATGCGAATTTTCAGGTTCCAATTTGGCTCACCACCCTTCGACTTCCGTCCTCTAAGCTCGATTCTCTCCTTCAGGAGACCAACTCTATATCCCATAATCTCTCGATCCAAACCCTAAAGCTGCTTTCCGACAAACGTTTATCTTTCGGCGAATTGTTCCGAGACGCATTTAGTTCTTCAACACCAGGCTTCTACTTCACGCCCACTATAACTATCCCCAAACTATCCATACCCGGCGCAAATCTCCTCGTCTCCATATCAGTCACTATCCTCCCACCCCCCCTCGCCAGACTCTACAACTTCCCCGTTCCATCTGTCTCAATCTCCTCCTTTCACTGTCGGATAAGATCTTACACAGGAATCCGCACAAAGGGCTTACTCCTCACCCCTTCCCACGCATATACGTTCAAACACTGCGAACTCCGCTGCGAAAAACAGCTGCCAACCGCAGCATTTCATCCCAAGGAAGGAGGCTACGAGGGACAAAAGTGCGTTGTGACGATCGCGTTGCCAAGGACCATTCTCCCTAGTTTTAAGACATTCAATTTTTGGCGGAGCTATAAGGTGGAGGTTGATGTCGCTTTTAGCTGTGCAGGTAAAGAAGTCGTGATGTATGCAAAGAGCGATTTGAATGTTGTTGCGAGACCTGCTGATGGAAGAAGGGATGGAGAAGTGGAGGGGGATTTGAAGACATACAAGACGGAACCAGAAGAAGAGATTACGAGTTTAGAAATGGCAACAACGGTGGTAGAGATGACTAGTTTAGGTTTGGGGGTTACGGAAGTGTGGGAAGGGTTGTCTGCATTCCCCGGATAACTATGGTTGGCAATCAAGCCAAGATGTCGACATGAAGGCTTCATATATTAAGGAAAAGTTCGCCGCTTCCCGAAACCACTTCAAGTGTAACAACCTTTAGGAGGAGATCTCAGCTATATTTCAAACCCTTAAGATTTCGACGCTGAGGATCCACCAGCTATTCCTAAGCCCTCATCCTCTTAAGTTTGAGTGAAATGCAGCCTTTGCTACTTCCACAATGTCCCTCGGCCTTACTTATCTCGACTCAGCGGTTACTCCACGCAGTTGCGCCTAGAATGACTTACGTCAGCTATGACCCAGAGTCCATGGATCCTTCATGAGGCCGAAATCATGATACAACCGCTAGGATCTCAACTCCAAGCCTCTACTTTGCGTCTTTTGGATCCCACTACACTTCCAACCAAGAGAAATTCACGTGATAATCGACTCATGAAATGAAAACGAAAAGGGACGTAGAAAATTCTTAATTGTTCCCCACATCGCGATTTTCGACTCGATTCTAATACCAACGATTTCCCTGACCTGGTTCAACTTCAAAATGCATTTCGGAGAGCGGGCAGCTGAAGAATCGAGGCTACGGACATGGAAGCCCACATGCGATCACCCCCCTAAAGGGGTTAATTAGGTGTCCGTGACTGAGCTACGGGCTACTCTTGACATTGTTTGGGCATGTTTTCCCTATTCCCCGTTTCTTCACCCGCGGTCTCCTCTCTCCCTAAAAGCTACTACTAACAATCTCACAGTCCTCATTAACGATCATCGTTCTCTGCACCTAGCCGATTCTCTGCCTTAGCTCCCTGATGCAAATGGGGCCACACACAGTGCGCCTGCGGCTACAAAGGCAGATATACCTAGCGTGGCGGAAAGTGCGGTTTCATAGTAATCTCGTTAATAATGCTAGAGATCATTCTCGGGAAGTCTATGGTAGATCAGTGATCTGTGAGAAATAGTAAGAAGAGAATGAAGGAGTATAACGAACTCGATACTGTAGAGTATGTCTAAGCCATGGGTTACTAGACGTCACGGGCGAGGAAATTTGGGACCAAACTAAGAGCGATTGTTTAATGAAAGCGCTAGCGGCAATGCAACTAGCCTGGTTCATGACTCAACTGATCTCGCGCGCACTGGAAAAACTCGCAATCTCCTAGCTTGAAATCGCGGCTCTAGCAAGCCCGGCTTGTACGATACTAATGTATCTACTGCAACTGGTGAAGCCAAAGGATATTGTCATGCCTATTTACACCCCCGCAGCGCGATATCCTACGGCCGAGGAAATGCACGTTCTAGCCAGCCGCGGATGTTTTCTGTATGGACCGAGGAGGCGGGATTCGGGCTTAACGATTACTATCTTGCTATTGATCTCGATGGCATTGAATAGCGTTTTCCTGCCATTCTCCCTTCATAGTAAAGAGATTAAGTCAGATGGACTGATGATTAGAATGATTAGTCTTATGCCCGGGTTTTGTGTGACACTATGTATGGTTTGTAGAGTTGCGATTCTCGTAGAGACGTTTCGGAGTCTGGCGTTTTAGAGAGCTCGACATTTGCGGCGACTTGGAGCGGGAATTTTCCACAGGCGCAGTGAGAGATAAAAGAGGTGGCATTTACAAAACTTTAGAATAGCCTCTAGCAGGATGTATTTGAGATCTCTAGCAAGAGATCTTAATCTACGCTGCTACTGAGTATGATTGAATCGTCCTAACGCCTCTTGGACGGACCACAGTGATTGAGAAAGGCCGTTTGGTCAGCCACCATGGCAAATTGGAGATTTAAGAGAAGAGATTGAGCCAGAAAAGAAGTACTAGGATTGTCCCTAGGGAATGCTCGATGGCTGGAAGGGATACCTAGATCTCATTAATCGAAGCCAACATCAAGCCACTTCATTGACTCTCGAAATATCCACATCACGTAGGCCATACGATCTGCCCCAAAGAAAATAATGTTCATTCAACTAGGTATACATATTTTATCATATCTCTTCTATCTGTAATCCTTCTTTCCATCTATATTGGTACCTTCCCGGCAATCCCCCTCCAAAATTCACACCTCTTCCCCCGTCCACCCTCCCACGCCCATGCATTCGCCACAGAAATCGCATTCTGCAACCCCGGGTCCATAAACTGCGTGACCGTGGCGCCAAACTGGGTAACAGTCGTATACGGAGTCCCTCCTGTCTCATTCAAATTCAACATTCTTGATTTTTCATCACCTGTCCACACGGGCCAGTTACTCGCTGCCGCTTCGGAGGCAATGGAGGGGTTAGATTTCATGACCATGTTGCCCCAGATTTGCCGGAAGGCGAGGCTGAATGCGGGGGATTGGTTTGGGGCACTGGGGCCAAAGTATGCGGATATGTCGTCAGTGTGGCCAGCGAAAGGTACGCTGTATTGGTAGTGGTACGAGGATTTGGGGTCGTAGGCGCTGTTGAGCCAGTAGCTGGGGCAGACGAAGGTAGATTCGGCATATATGTTCTGCAGGAAGGTTAAAGGGATTGAGAAATAGGTGGTAAGGATCCATGAACTTATGTCTCCACGTTGTTGCTGCCCTGTAGCGACTTGGCTGACGTTCACCGCAGTTACTGGAGGAGGGGTAAGACCATTGGTAGCGAATTTAGGTGCAGCGGGATCAACAACTGCGGCTGAGGCTGGGTTGGCATCTAGGATTGCCTGGATATCCTCATCGGACAGATTAGGGAATTCTACTTTTAACCAAGCCGTTAGATCTGCTAGAGTGCTAATGGTAGGTGGAACAAAGAGTGCGCCTTCATTGGCATTATTCCCTACTAGCATGTTTTCGCCATTGACTTTCTTTACTTTGAGCTGGACGCTTGGGAGTTGTTGGATGTAGCTGTAGTCGGTTACGGGAAGGAAGGCCCATGTACCGTATGTCTGGGCCGCGCCAACGTTCCAATTCGCTTGCTGAAGAGTAGCGGAATCTTTAGCCTTGATACAGTCTAAAACAGCACCTGAGGATCCGCATCCAGCAGCCGAAGAGAAAGCGTAGAAGCGTTGGGTGGGGACGGTTGCGTTGAAATCGTATTGGGCGACTAAGTATGGTGATGCGGCAATACCCTATGTCCGAATGTCAGACATCGACAGTAATTAAGAAGCAGAGGGGTTCTCACATTCTGCCACAAGGTGGTGCCGAGAGTCCCACCCTTCGCCATGGCGTGGTACATGACTGAACCCCCACCAGCTGATTCTCCAGAAATGGTGACTTTCTTTGGATCTCCGCCAAATTTACTAATATAGCTCTGCACCCAAGCAAGTGCAAAGGCTTGGTCAAGCAGACCAGCATTGACGACACCTTTTGCCTTGACCTCGCTGGAGGACAAGAAGCCAAAGGCTCCAAGCTAGAAACCCCTTAGTTAATTGAAGACCAAGAGTCCATCACAACGATCTTACCCTATACTGGATCGTCACGCCCAAAAACCCTCTTTTATTCGCAGAGATGATAGAGCTCATATCCTGCGTTCCGTCCCCATATCCATATCCACCTCCATGTATCCAAACCAACACCGGCAGCTTACCCAACTTACTAGTATTCGCAGGAGCATACACATTGAGAAACAGGCAATCTTCGTCCCCGGGAACATTTGGCACATTTGGCACCGCGGGGTAGACTTGGGGGCATGTTGGTCCGAAATTTGTTGCCGATTGTGTAGTTTTGTTAGTTGGTGGTGTTCGGGGCGCTTTCCAGCGGAGATCGCCAATGGGTGCGGCCGCGTAACGGATTCTAGAGGTGTGAGTGACGCTTTCCCTTACACTTAAGTGTCGATTGACACGTCAGGAATTTAGTGGCTTACCCTTTCCAGATGTTCAGACCGGATGTCGCATTGTTGTAGCCTTTGTATACGGCATAATCAAGGTCCACCTTAAGATCTAATCCCAGAAGATCCTGACGCCGTCGAAGTGTCGCATCGCCAGTGGGCGCCGCAATTGCGCCTGCTAGGAGAATTGCACACCCCGTCAGAGTTTTGAAAACTAAACTCATAGCTGATCGGCGGGGAGCGGGCGAACGCACAAGTGGAAACGAATTGCGGTTCGTTCCTTATATATCATCCCGTGGTCATCACTGATATCATCATAATTAGAAATATTCTTGTAGAATAGACCCAAAACAACTTCACGACCCGAGCCGCGAACCAATCTATTGGAACGACATTTAGATGAGGATTTGGCTCTGCGCCAACGCGGCGATAAGTACCATTTATGAAGTAATCGTGAGGCGGGGGAATGTCGCTTATCCTTAATATATTTGCAATCTGCCACAAGGGGTAAGCTCCCTATTGAGATGGCGTGCCGCTAAACCTGGGAGGATTGGAAAACTCTCGGCCCCGGAATGGAGAGTCCCGATGGCATGGCCATGTCGTGATGGTTGCACACGAGTTCGGATATGCCAAGGTACTTGGGTACGAGCCTAGGTCAGATGATTCAGCTTCGAGGTGTTCCATTTCGGGGAGAGAAGTCTCTAGAAGGGTGGGTGGAAAGTGGGCATGACTCGGATTTAAGCGGTTGTCGTTTCTCGAAGAATCGTCGAAAGAAAGAACAAATTAATGGAACATGTTGCAACGCTCTTTACTAAATGATTATGTGTCAGGATTGATGCGATCCTATGGGACTAGGTTCGGTTCAACTTTTGACATGGCTGCACATCATGCAGGGTTATCAGGGAGATCCCGGTCATCAAAGTCTGTATCGCGACCTTCGACGACAGGTTCATATCAAGCTTTCAACTTTCGACAGTACGGGTGAAATGTGCCTAGATATGCATCCAGTACATCATGATTCAGTATCGTATAGCTGTAATATAACATACAGAAGGAGTATGATCCTGTTAGATATTGATCGGCGTAGAAGAAGACGGAGTGGGACGATCAGAAGGAAACCCAGTTCCTGCTCATCTCCTTCCGCCTCTGGCTGCCTTGGGGAACTGTGCGACAAGATCTTTTTGACTATCGCTGTCGCTCCTCCTCCCTTCGTCCTCAAAATGATGCTCGAAGTCCTTCGATATGTGGATGTTTCGGGGCATAGGGTCGTTTGGACGGTAGGCAGGAAGGGCGCTGAGGGCAGAGTGTTTCTCGCCTCGTTCTAAATCATCGCTCATGGTCCTCTGGCTGCTCTTTCCTTTCAGCTCGATGAAAGATTTGCCCTTGGATAATTCCCTGCTGGCTTTAGAGTTCCCTTCGTTGCTGCCGAGTCGAGAGGAGAAAGCGGGGACGAGGTGAACAACGAGCGGTTTCAAAGCGGGCGTGGAGGCACAGACAATTGCGAGATTGACTTCGATGCTGGACCAGTAGGCAGTCTCGGGGCTATACCAGGTGCTGTCTTCGCTGTGTTTTGCGAGAATGACCAATGAGTTTAGTCGAAGCATGGAGACGATGCACACACTATGATGGCATTAGCAGCTTTCCTCGAATCTTCGCTAGAAGGAGGGGACTAGGCCTCACTTACAACCAACCAAGAGTGAGAATAAGAAGCAAAGCACCTTTCTGCCGGCGCGGCATTTGTAAAGCCCAGATAGCCTTTACAGGAAGAGCTGCGACAAGCAGGTCGGTTACGATGTTCAAGGCCCCATTAGCGTACCACAGACCGGAGGGAAGTTAGTTTATTTTCCACATTGAGGTAGGGGATAACGTACGCGTGCTCATTAATGCATCTTGCAGTCGGTTGCTTCGTAAGATCCCAAAAGGCATCGACGGGGATGCAGGTAAATATTCCGGACGTTACGGACTCAATTCCATATGCTACACAAATACCCATAACGATGTAGATCGGTAATCGCATTTCCCTTAACGTGAAGATGCGTCGGTACTGTAGGAGAATCGAGACCTTGGTCAGGGTCAAAGCCACGCAGTAAGTGAAAATGCTGAAGTACAGATACTGAGTTGATTAGCAGGTGATTCGACCAGAGTCTACGAGAGCGTACTTTTAGGATGTTGATACCCTGCGGTAGCGACAGGAACATAATATGCTTTCCATTACCCTCGTGTGTCTCTGATGTACATCAGCCCAGCAGAACCAACATATTGGGTTGGGAGACTTACGGAGAACTTGACACACACACGTGCCAATAGAGAATGCCTGCATCGGCCATATTAGTATGCTTGAACCAAAATTGACTGGCGGAGTTTCCCTGATTCTCCGGCCACACAAGGCCTAACATTCACACCCTTGAATTAAAAGGTGCTTACCATTGACAGTGCAATGAAGTAGTCCTCCAGTCCTAGGTTTCGAACCAATTTAATGCGTGTGAAAAATCGAAGTATAACGCAAATGAAGGATAAGATTGTGAAAGCGACGCAAACGGCAATGGTAGTAGGACCTTTGTCCTCTTTCTTCAGGGCCGCGAGAACCTCTGGGGACATTTGACCCATGATGAGCGGTGATGGATTGAGATTAAGAAAAGGGCTATATGAAGTCACTAGATCCTGTGTATGATGTTGGAGTCTCAAGGTAGAGTCTTATATCTCATCACACAAAGCGCCTGACTTATATTCATAAGGTATAGCGTGCCACGGACAGGAAGTTTGTACGAAACCACGGAGATGTAACTGCTGAGGTCGATGTGAGTGAACTTTCCAGGTATTCAACGGCTCTACGCCCTTTTCCGTTGGTGTCCGAAAGTATAATTTCAAAGCGGTAAGTGAAAGAGGAGCTCAAACGAGGGAATCTGCAGAAGGACTGAAGAAGTCTGTGGCCCAAATAAACACTATTGCGTCGTTGATTAATGATTGGCTGATTTTCAAGTGAAAGAGTTGCGCTAAGGAGGGTGCAACGCCTTGCCGAAGAACTACGCCCGTGACGACACACTCTTCTCACGAAAATCTCCACCTTGTGAGGCGGATATGATACCATAGTTCTAGCACGTAAAGAGAGCGGAGTCTAGGTATTGTCGAGAAAGAGTCCAACTCAGGACTAGCTGGAAAATTGCCGGACTGGGATGGTGCAGGATTACGCACCTCTGTCACTTGAGTTCAGGGCCCCTTGCATGCCGCCTTCAGCTAACTAGCGAGAACTGTTTAGCTGACCGAGATTTGAATGTTTTTACGAAATGATATGGACTTCTTCCTGCATGAATGTAATGCAGGTGCTCTCCATAGGCTCAAGACATCGAACTAACACGAATAGAGCAAATAATCAGCTTGCGGGCGTTGGCTGAGCTGAAGGGTACCTTTTTTTTCCCCAAAGAATTTGGCAGTTCCATTATGCTAGCTCCGTTAACAACTACTCGTTTACTTTCTTCGTGCAGCTATTAAGAAATGGTCGAAGGAGACATAGGTGAGAATGACACATTAAGCTTTGTACTACTAAGACCTGCGCATGTCAATAGCCGGTGAGGTAGATTTGACAAGTTGTTGGACCCGCTGATGTTCATGTTTACCGGCTTCGAAGCCTTTGGTGTCCTAGGAAATTGTGGGGAATAAAAATAAGGTTTGCTAGACTCTTTCGCCTGGCAGGCAAGTCTGGGAGACCACACATGGAATCATGAGCGTATCAGTGCTTAATATGAACTAAGTTCTCCGGTACGAAGTACAGCGAGATCGGCTGATTGGGTTAGGGTTCGGAGTGTTCGACGGCTGGCCCCGATGCCGCTCACGCTCTGCGGTGTGCACAAGCATGAAGCCATCCCCCCCGGATGTGGCGTTCTCGGCAGGAGCTGTCTTTAGCACCCATTAATGTCCCCTTGGGTCTGCAAATGATATGCTACATCCACGTGCCCACAGTATGCCCCCTCCCAAAAAAAAGGTGATCATAGGGCGATTAGATTAGTCGTGGACGGACTCTCAGGGGATACTCAATAAATTCTTTCGCCCACTTTAGTGATTCTCTGTCTGATGTTTCTCGGGGGCTATGTCCCCATCATTGTGGCTTGGTCCCATTTAATTTGGCACAACACTTTAGTTCTCTGCAGCGTCTCTAAAGTAGGCCCTGGAGGAGCGGAAACCGAACCTTGAAGGCTGCTAAGAGGCCGTGTCTGGAAGAGGTAGATCTGCGCAGCATTCGTCAGAGCCGATGCGTGCGGTGCTTGAGTCGCTGGCAAAGTAAGGTAGTGAACTAACCTTATCCCAGGATGGCTGCAGCCCAGTGTATAAGCTAAAGCGCTAGTGCTCGCGTCTCTTCGGGGTTTGCAGGGTTTGACGGGAGGGTTCCTGACTGGCTTGCAGTTTTTCATGGAACCGCCACCTTGGGTGAGCGAGCTCGTGATCAGTAAGTAGAGAGATAGTTAAACGTAGAGTACCAACTTCATGCAATGATCTAAATGATAACGGGTTCCGTCGGGAAATATAGAACCAATACCTGGTCAACCGAACAAGAGTACTGTTTTATGGGAGCCCTTATTTCCTCTCATCACGTTAGCTGGGTTCCACGTAATTCGAGAGTAGTGAAACCCCATACAGACTCGTGACCAAGCTGAAGGCGAGGCAAAGGTTTGGATGGGATGCTTAGAGGCGGGGAAACTTCCGTTTAGGGAGTGGTAGGGAACCGGCTCTGGGCCATGACGGGAAAACCAGGATTCCGGTCGCTTCGACGATCGACCGATCAAAATGGCTACCCTTAAAGGGTCATGGAAGTAGTGGTGATTTGGCCTCAGGGAGTGAAACATCTGATTACCATTCGCCCGCGAGCTATCAGCAGCATTTGCCTCAGAATTATACTTTGTAACATGCGCCATGACAGCACCATCTCTATCGCGAGGATTCTGCGAGGTTCTGTGATGCGCACATTAGCCTCAGTGTGATACACGAATTCAGACGTGGGTTAGCATCACGCAAGCCGGCACCAAACTCCGTCAACAAGTTTTGTCGTGTATTATTGTTCTACTGAAACCGAGGCATGGAACTCCTTGACGTTAAATCACTTCCACTGATAGCTTTAATTGTGAAATAGCCTGCATGGTATTGAGAATCGCGATGAGGTGCTGGTGGTGAGGGTTGTTATCGAGATAAGAACCTTCCAGCTGACAAACTGAAGGGCACCACATTTGTCCACGTGATCTAATCCTGCTTTTAGCCGATATCCTTGCGATTCGCTCATCTCCTAAGTATCACACCGCTTCCAAAATTCCTCGCTGCTCTCTCAAACCCAGAAAAACAAGGTATGCATGATTGGTAGATCGAATCCATCCTTTTCACATGCTGCATCGTTTTCAAATGATTCAGAGGTACTTCGGTACGAACCCTGCCAGGACTTCATTCTATTCAGCGACCACGCGCTGCAACCGAAATTTCGCATGGAAGAATATGTTTCATACCCCGGCTTGCAGAAGTCCAGCTAGGCTAGGGTTGAAACGGAAGCATGCAACCGCTACCACAATCGTGCTGTGCCATGTACAGCTGTTAAGGTCGGACAGTCGATGAAAACCAACTGGCCAAGAAACGGATCCCCTGTCGACAATGACCTGATCATCTCTTCCTCCTTCTGCCTTCTCTTGTATGTCAAGCCCCGAAGTGTCACACGAATAATCGCATGTTGGGCTGTACACGATACACCAGTTTCAATAAAGAGAAGCGTCACAATGGTCGGGCGATGCAAGGTCAACATTGCGTGCTAACACTATCGACCCGCAATACCATAATTCATGCCGTGTAACCACAGTTCATACCTTAAAAATGTGGTGTTTGGTTCCGCTCTCTGCAGATCTTCAGCCCGTTGAACAGAAACCAGGTCGGTGGGATGAGAACACTAAGCAAATGTCCTCCAAGGGTTACACCATACTCCCCCACATTTCTGTCTTCGACATCCGGCTAAAATACACTTGGCCAGTTGACTCTCTACCTCTTAGCTGGAGAAATTTTGATGCAACACTCAATTCTGCATTTTGCGTTCCAGAGCCCACCTAGCACACCAATTTCCTTCCTCCACCGTCTTTCGACCCTTAGTGAGGTCGACTGTTTCGAAGATGATTCCACCATTCCTTTGGCGCAAAGACCATCCTCTCCTAGAAGCTCTCACCCTCCACTACTTGCTCTATTCCTCACACTCCTACGTTACATATCCCCGAGTCCCCCGTCCTCCAATACCAATTTCGCCCAATTCACCCTTTTCGCGAAAAATATCCCTTCCCGCCAAAATTTGACACTGGCCATCCTATATCCAAACTTGCCATGACTTCTAGTTGTTAGGTACAGCAAATCCTGATCATTGAGTAGGCATCATAGAAAATGCGGGAGAAAAGGCTTGCCACATCAGATTTCAGATAAAATCCCTATCCAATCGCTCAAACCTTCACTGATGCCAGAATGCAATAAGCTTCGGAAAATCAAACACTAATCGTCGCAAGGACCCCGAGCTACTGAAGTAATCTTCTTCCCATCATCAACCCCCTAAGAGGCACCTCAAAGTTTCTATACCGAATCTCAAATTCCGCATGATACTCCGCACCCACCCTAAAACCAACCCCCACAGCCTCCACGTGGAAAGCGTTCGCCTTGCCCTCGGCCCCTAGATACGACACTACTTGTCCTTTCCGTACCATCCAACTCCAATATTCGCGCTAGCGGAGAACATATGGATTTCCACCGTCTTGACACTACGCCTAGATATCTCTGCGGGGTGGATGAAGCCGGCCGAGAGTTCAACATCAGTACCGAATAACTAATCCCCTTCTTGAGCTTTGGCCTCATCGGAGAGGTAGAAGAGAGTGCCACCTGGTTTTTTGTCCCTAAAGATTTGAATGTTGAAGTTTACTTTGAGGTGCTTGTTTATTTGTTTATACCGTGTTTGAACTGCTCTCTAGTTGTTTTGATGGCTTCCAGGTCTTTTGTTTGGACTAGCACGAGTAAGTTTATCGCCGTCAACTTCCCGTCTTTCACAGCCAAGTAGTTAACAAGTAGGAACGTGGTAAAGACTAAACTGTCGTCTTTTTTCTGCAATTAGGCTTCGATATGGAGGGCTGTCGTATGGCCTTTTGCAATGTATGTAATTGCGCGGGCGGATGTGAAGAAATTATGCGTCCCAAACGAATTAGCCGTCGACGTAGCGAGTTCTAGGTCGGAACGCGCTCAAAAAAAAAAACCCTTTTTTGTCCTCCCTAGAGTGTTAGATTTGAGAATGGAGGACTCGTTGGAGGGGAGACTGGAGAAGGTGATACTGTCATTGTAGTCGGTGAGTGGCATTGTAAGTGAGTAGCAAATTGGATAGATGGGAGGCGAATGTTGGAGAAGGGGCTTGGAAGTTGAGTTGTGGGATCTCTCTTCTCTTCGGTATGGAATAGAAATGGCTTGTATATTAAATGCTAGATACCTATGTAGTGTTTTCTTACTGGGGTTTGACCGCAACGAGCTGGCTGAGGAGTTTCAGATACCTCAGCTATCGAATCTTCAGACACTTAAGTCCAGCTAGCAACCATCCGAGTTCTGAACGAATGGCTCCATATAAATGTCTGAAGGACAGTCATTCGCCTCTCGTTTATGTCAAGAAGCTTGGAGTGCATATGATTGACAGACGAAGCCGAATAGCTAAACCTGACTGAACCACTGACTAGACGAATCCCGCTGTGTTCAAGCCATGGGACGGCCGAGCGCAGCCTTAGAGCAGTGCTACCTAGACGCTTTTAGCTTAGCAATGCCTTTTGAGCAAGGTCACCGTCTACCCTCGTTTACCCTTAAGCATCTCTCTAGCTGAGCAGTGCATGGCTTTATTCATTCACTTGCCTCTCTGCCGCGAAAGAGGCGCGTCCCCACGTGCCCTCGCTGATCATATTAGCGCATCTCAGTCTAGATACTGGGATCTAACCATGGATAATTTATTTGGAGATTTAGATTTGGGTAGATACCAACGCCGACGCTATGCAGAAAACCCGGCTTCTTAGATTATATCTCTATGCTCTCTCGATCAATCAAATCATCAGTACTATACCCACAAGTCCTGCGACCGTCGCAATCATCGCCGCACCAACACCTTCAACTCTCGTACCAGCGCCCTTCTTCACATTCCCATTATTTGCACTCGTTGGCGAACCACCGCTCAAACTCGAATTATGTCCCGTGCTGCCCTCAACACAGGTGGCCTTGGTGTCACCCCATCTCGCATCCACCGTCTTCTTCCACGTGTTCGTGACATCGCGGATCATATCCGCGGTATAGAATAGCCTGCAATCCGCGGCCTCGTAGATAAACTCGAGCGGGATACCACTTGTATCGTTGATACGGATATTATCCCTCAGGTTGATGACAGAGAGTGATTGACCGTTTGCCTGGTACGCTGTACGCATGAGTGGGCGCTCAGCATACACGAGTGCGCCAAGCTCAGTTTTGTTGAGTTCTTCCTGATAGGCCGGAAGGCTGTTGAATGCGATGCTGGCTTCGTCGGAGACTTGTGTGAAGGTGTAGACCTGGGCGCCCTTGGACCCGGCAACGCCTTGCATAGGTCCGGTGGTGGGTTTACCTCCGACTACAACTTGCTGCACACCGCCTTGGGTTTTCATGAATTCGGAGAAAACGGCGCAGGTTGAGCCACAGCCACCGTCTTGGAGGAGCACGATGTTTTCGGATTTGAAGGGCTGGTTTTTGTTAAGCTTGTTAGCACGCGTACGATAGCCGGTAACGTCGAGTGTCAAGTCGTCAGAGAAGAAATTGTTCAGGTCTTTGCGGTTTACAGAAGTGTAGTTGTCGTTGTTGAAAACGTGTGGGCCGAAGAAATCTTCCCAGGAGGTGAAGTTCTTGTTATCAATCGTGTTCGGAAGTTTATAGTTAAATATGCTTTGCCATGCCAGGCCGAGCTCGCTCTTCAGACCGTTCTTCTGGAAATCGGAGACGGCTTCTTCATAGGTGGCATTTTCTAGGTATTTGGTCATGAACTGTCCAGTAATATCAAATGCCTCGTTAGCGCGGAACCGGGTAGCTCCATAAGGATCCTCCGAAGGGAAAAGCTGAGGTTGTTAGAGCATGCTTCATTTCATGATAGTTCGACACGGCTTACCTGCTTGAAAAGATCATAGCCCAAGAACACTCGGCCACCGCCATTGCCGCGCAAGTCAATGACAAGTCTCTTCTTTCCTGCCTTGACGGCATCACCGAGGAAGGTACCAATGAGGTCTTGGAATTCAGCAGGACCCTTCTCCGATTCGGGTGAAAATGACGGGACACTAAGGACCGCAACATCGTCGTAACCTTTGCCGCTTAGGTAGTATCCTCCAATGACACCTTCAGAGTGGAGCGTCTCTGGTTTAGGAAATCCCGTCGCTGTAGGTTCGGCACGTTTCTCAATGGTGACGGAACGCTTTGAATTCGTCCGGGGAGGGCCAAGATTGCAGAAGCGCGCGAAGAATGCTTCCCCATCCTCTACATTGTCGAAAACGTCCAGAGGAACGATAGCATTGTTGATGTATTTGAAGGTGCTTCCGTTTTCGTGTTTGATGGTCGTATAGTCTCCATCAGCAAAGTTGCTTCGGCCAAATTGATTGACTCGGTCACCCATCGAAATTTGAGCTTGGTTGGGAAAGAGGCGGTTGTAGCGTGCATGGTCTTCGTGGTACACGAAGGTCTTAGAATAGTTCTGGACGTACTGCTCGGCATCTTTATCGTTAATGGTGCTGATAGCAGAGGGCGTCCAGCCTTCTTTTGCTGCAACCATGATGTCATCTAGATCACTCGATATTAGTGTTGCACCCCAAACTACTTAAATTGGAGACTTACAGTAATTGTACAGCTTAGGAAGGGCCTTGCCGTCAGAAGAGACAGATATGAGGGCAAATTCGTCAAGGAGGCCACGTCCAATGTTTCCTCGCCTGAACGAGAAAACATTCCGCAGAATGTCCGGAGAAAATGCGAAATGGAAATCGTATGACTTAGTCAAGGCCATGGAGAGATCGTACATCACATCATACTCGTTCTTGTACTTGTCGTTGCCCAAATCGGTATGAATCTTTTTGATTTCGTCAACAATGTCCACTCTATCTTCTGTATACCCAGCTGGCGGATCAACCAAGTAAGCGAGATTGGATTGCCAACTGATATACACCGTCATTTCTTCAATCAAGGCCATGTCTTCATCCTTGTCCAGGGGAACAGATTTCATACAGTCCTCTGCAGCTTGGGCGGGGACTAGAGCGATGGTCGCTGAGGGGTAGAGCGAAATGAACGCGGAGGACATGGAGCTAACGGATTGGCATGGGGTACCATTGGCGGCCATCGCTGTCCTGCTGTTAAGCAGGACAGCGGCGCTCACGAGGAGCAGGTCGAAGAGCATCCAGAGAAGGTTTTCGGGGGAGCCGTCGATTGAACTATTAAACCAGGATTGCGACGCGCCCGGAATATCTCTTCACAGAGAATATAAATGCAGTAGAAGCAAAGGAAAGCCCTAAGAGAGGGAGTTGCAATACTGAAAGAAGCATCGTGAGCGTGCGGGAGGCGGCAAATTAATACTCTCCCACCGGCGGATTTCGCAGCTCCTGCGCCTTAAAATCCTTTATCCTGATTCGACAAAATTGCGCCTGAATCACAGCCACCACAGGAGTGGGCGACCATAGGGCTGTTTGAGGACAAGCTCATCAGAAGGAACGAACGCCAAGGAGAGCTGAATCCATGCGCTACTGGATACCAAAGTAAGCTTAGGGGCCAAATGCCAAGACGAAATTCGAGGTGGAGGGCCTGAAAGTTTCTTTGAGAGGGAAGTTTGCTTGAGGCTGAGGAATCGATTACTCGAGGACCAAACAGGAGAGACGACAGAATAGTTTTGTCCTGGGGAAAATGCAAGTGTGCTGCGTCTATGAAGTAAACACGGCCTGCGTTGCTGAGTTTTCTAAGTTGAGGAAGTGTATGCAGTCAACGGCGCTGGGAAGCATTGGGTGATCTGATAATTTCGCCGATTCGGTAAAAGGCCACGAACAAGCGTCAGCAAAAGTTCCATCCAGGAAGGTCAATCCAAACGTCACGATGCGGCTGGAACTCTGGAGGGTGGGTTCCTTCGTGGCTCCAACAAGCGCTCTTGGCACGCTCTGGGCATGCTTGGCTTTCACCCTGAATCTAAATTTAGCCCCAAGTCCAGGGAAAATGAAACCCTGTGGGTTTCGCAACAGCAAAATGGCAGTTAGATGTCGAAAAAAGATAAGTTCGAAGAATCCTTCATGAACTTCGCCGACTTCGCAAGGACTTTCATTTAGAGTTGGCCAGTCCCCGGATCAGAGCTGAGATTCCTTGGCACACTCACCGACACGTGGCGGTGCTGCGGGGAGCGCGAGGCTGAGGGTACATTTGACATGCAGATACGGGATATCTCCCACTGTCCTTCACAGTATTAACTAACACAGGACAGTTTAGTAAGTGCATGCGGTCGAGTTCCGGTCGAAAACTGAGAAGAGGCCTGGCACTGTGACCTCGCCAGAGCATAATTTCTAGCCTTGTCTTAGGGAGGAGTCGAGCTGATGAAGTAGTACTTCATATATTCAAAGGGTGCAGTTGCCTAACCTATATTCACACTCCTTAACTCTTCATTTCTGACTGGGACCGTGTTGAGCGAGTGGTCACAATTAGTCAGATCTAACGCGTTGTCACGTGACATGGCGCCTCTAAGGCTTTTTTCGATCAAGTCTTCGGAGCGTACGGCTCGGATTACTGCGGTGGGCAGTCGGGAGGTCCGATCCTGTAAATTATATCCATCACATCCTTAGAGGATGAAGGGGGGGTTGAGAGAATCCTTTCTGGGGAAGCGAACGGAAATTTACGGCGGGGAGGATGTCGGTATCTCAATATCCGCGCAATTGTCGGGAACATCCATGTCAGGTTGCAGGCATGCTTCATGAAGGAACCGTCGTTGCTGCATCAGACGTGACGATTTCCCCAGAGTTGTACGACGATAACAGGCCATGTGCGCGACGAGAAAAAAGTATTTTGACTAGCCAAGCACTCCTAGTGCCTCTGAAGGACGAGTATGAGGAAGCAATTGATGGCGGGTGAGGACGGAGCCATGGACGAACTTATGGGGTTGTGGATCGGGATGGACTGTTCCAAGGTTGAAATCATTGGCCGGATGCTGTGCGGGGCGATGGGAGGACCGGGCCGAAGCCTCACACTCGCCTCTTCCTTTCAACATTTTACATGGCTGCTTTGTTCCCCCTAGAGCCTCAGCTGGTGCATCTTCAAGCGGCAGCCGATGAAAGAACGATGACGACATATCAAGGACTCCTCGCCACTTCCTACACTCACAGCACCAAGTGTGAGAGACAGACTCCCAAATACTATGGAGGATATCCTTTTGCCAACAACCCACTAGCAAAATCTATGATCTCTCCTCCGCATGGCGACACTCTTGCATGCCAAGGGCGTAAGTTGGCAGGGACAATGCTTGATAGATCTTAGCATGGGTTTCTCCCTCACTTTGTCTAGGCGTCTTGCTGCTCACGCTTCTGGATCAGCTTCAATATGTATTGTACCAACCCAAGATAGTCTAATCATCAATTTACCATGCGCGATTCCTTGACAGTCTAACAAGCCGAAGCGACAGATTTGTTGTGTCTCCCACAGATGCTTGCTGTGCGGTCTCGCGCGCATATGCAAGCTGCCGTGGCTGCTTCCGAACTTTATTCCTCAAACACATCCAGATGATCGCCTTCTCGCCATTCACGAGCCAGTGTTTTGCTTTTCGAGCTTGGTCGGATTGCGGTGTTTGTGACAACCTGTCACAATAGCACTGCCGAAGTGCTCCTACATCAACACGATGCCGGGGCCTGGATACACCCGGGTTGCATCTGGTGGTACTCCAGCAAAGTGCCACGTTTTGGCGGTTGTACACGTCGGTCGCCCTCATAACAGTTGCACTCCGCCGCATATTGTGTCCTCGTGTGTTGTCATTGCCTTACTCGCCTTTTGTTCCCCATCCCCTTGCGTCCCAAAACTCGGACGGGAATGGCCACAATTGTATTGTTTTCACATGGCAGCATGTCTACCATATTCAGGCGAACACCAACGATAACACCTCAGATAACCCCCGAGTATTTGAACTACAACGAAGGACCCAAGTTTGTTGCCATTGTTGCGACGCTAGTTTCAGTAGCACTTCTCATCTTTCTGCTACGAGTCTACACCCGAGCGAGAATCCTCCACTTCTTTGGCTTCGATGACTGGTTTATGCTCATCGCTGCGGTGAGTCAATCGAATGTGGACAGCATCGAAGATCTTGTTACTGAATTTGGGTCCATGGCAGCTCTGTGCATCTGGACTCTTAATAATATTCATTGCGCTCACACGGCTTGGTTTTGGAAAGCACACCTCAGCGATCCCTCTCGATGACCTAGGCAGAATAAGTAAGTGGCTATGGTGGTTTAGTCTGGTCTACATTATGGGTGTCAGCTTCGTCAAGCTATCTATCGCTTGCTGTCTCCTACGGATTATACAAAGGCCCAATTATCGAAGATTCCTGTATGGAATGCTTGGTGAGTAATGATACCCTCTGTCCATTTCTGCTAACAAGAGAAGTTCTTCTAGCAGTCCTGACCTTAGCGTGGTTTTTTACCTTTATTTTCCAGTGCGTGCCTGTTGCTGCCGCTTGGCATTCTTCTCTCCGACCTCCACATATTACCGAAGGGAATGCGCGGTGTATGTCCCATACTACGTATAGAGACCTTGGTCTTTTCAACAGCGGTAGGTGTGGTTTGAAACGTGGCCGACCCTCATGATTGAATAATACAGCGATCAATATTGCCACCGATGTTATTTTCGCAACGCTTCCAATTCCCATAATTTGGAACCTCCGCGTCAATTTACGCACCCGAATCTCTTTGATAGTCATTCTCGGGCTCGGATTTCTGTATGCCTTTACGAGGATACACATTCCTCACCCAGATAAGTCTAACATAACCCAGTGCTTGTGCTGCATCTCTTGTAAGGATGCTCATGATATACCACATTTGGGAACACCCTGATCCATTCGCGTAAGAAGAATCCTAACGCCACTTATTCGCCAGAACGGCAGCTGATATAATCTCAGTAGTAGCGCATGGCTTTTCATCTGGAGCGTGTAAGCTATTTTCTATATTTCTGTTACTCACGATCCTGTCATATGCCAGTGATCCAGCCATGGTGCCCCAAAATTCGCCCTTCGCCTCAACCGTGTTATATTCCATCGTACGGGCATTCCAGACTACCTTCCTTCTACCAGTGGCTTATGATATCATAGCCTAGATGTCGCTCATGACCCCCCTTTTCCCCAACCTAATGTGTCGTACTTCATGCTGCCTATATCGCTGGCTCCTGCTCTGTGCCTTTGATTCCCAACCTTCCAGCGCGTTCCCAAAGCCTTATTAGAAGCTTCTATCATCTTTCTAAGTTAACGCCTATGTTCCAGTATCGAAATGACCCTCGGCATCACCGCCGCTTGTCTCCCGTCTCTTAAACCCCTTCTAACCTCTATTCTCGCCACTCTCTCCTCCCTGACTCCTTCCTCACGAGCAACCTCGGACTCCTCAAAACCATCAATCTCTCACCAACGAAAAAACGGAGACTACTTCAATTCCCACAACTGCTACCACCTTGACTTCATCCACCTCTCCAAGCCGAAACCTACGCATTTCCTGCACCGCCACCGCCCCCAAGATCCCTCGCTTCACCGTAATGAAGACGGGGACCATGAGGCGGTCAATGATTCCCTTATACATTGTCCTTGGGCTACTGGAGAAATATATTGGGGACCCGGGAGGGTGGGTTCAAATCTCTCCGGTCTATCGACATTCAGCACCACCCCGAGCTATCGCTTTGAGGTCGAGAATTTTATTGGCCGATCGAGAATGGGAGGTCCTGCAAAGGCTAAGATTCGGACGCTTGGTGATGAGGAAGAGATATGGCAGATAAGAAATGGATATGCCGTTAGCATTACATCGGGGGAGGCGGTTTGGGATGGTGAGAAGAGTGGAGGTGGAGATAGTGGAGAAGTGTTGACGGAGGGTGGGAGGACTATTCGGAGGGTGAGAAGTGATGAGGAGGGCGGAAGTGTAAATGGGTGGAGGATAGGGGGATTGAGGGGAGGAGAGATGGGGATTGTGAGAACGACAACTACGGAGGTGACGATCTCGTAAGCAAGTGGACTTAGTCTTGAGGACTAGGTCCGGAAAAAAAGAGAATAGGTGGAAATTTCTTCAGCAGTCGATCTCGCATCATTGATGTCAGCAATTTGTTAGGACACCATGCTCACCAGATTGAGCCTGCAATACCGGGTTGCAGGGGGGCATACTTGATATCATTAGCATGGTGATTCAGTAGACTTGGGCAGCAGAACAGGTTGTTATGTGTCGCAATGATATTGAGAGCCTATTTCGGGATATATATATTAGCATCTTAGCATTCTCTGCTCTACCTCATAGCTTCTTAAATGGTATCGACTTATGTAAACGGCTCTTCGAGCTACTTTCTTTCCTTAGGAGACAAATGCAATAACGGTGAGCGCACCTACCTTGGTATAATGAGCGAAACGATCCAAAAACAGGGCGTAATTTGATCCATACTTACGTGAATCACATTTTGTGGAATAATCCCTCAACGATCTGCTATATTACGATTGCTATCGCACCGCCAGGTTGATAGATAGAGGATAGAGGCGAGGGGTCAATTAAGTGGTGGGAGCTAAACTAGGTAGATTGAGCGGTAGTGTAGGTTCTGAGGAGCGAGAGAGCGCACTGAGGTGAATATATAACGGATAAAAATGCGCTAGTCCTGATCGGTAGCAAGTGCGACGCATGAGCCAAAATCAGGTGCGCTGCCACGTCACGTGTGACACAGCATTAGGCGTGACAATTACAAATAGAAAGCCAGATGCGAAGCAGGAGGATCCCGAAGTCATAAGCTTCGGCTTGAAGGTGTTGCAAGTGGCAAAAGGTCAACACTCTACTTGCACAGCAGAAGAACATAGATAGGCGGATAGAAATGCACACGATAGGAGTAGTATGTTTGGAAGGGAGGACATCCTTGAACACAACTTTGGAAAATTTCCGAGATGCTTCGTCCCTGCATAATCCACCTCCTCGACCTCCTCATCCTTTTCTTGTGTCTGCTGTGTCCTCGCTGCCTGCTTACCTGCTTGTTGAAATGCAAGTAAGCTCTTCTATATGGAGTCACAATCGCGAGCGTCGGCAAAGATACGCCTTTCTCTCCGACATCAGCGTACACGAGAGCGGCCAAAGTCAGCTTTGGATCAACGACAGACCTATACTTCCATATAGCAAGTTACCGACCGGGCCATCTCTGCCCTAGTGACTATAGTAGACAGACAGGTACCTGGAGAAGCTCCCATCAACCTTGCTCCACTCGCCTTCACTCCCCGGCTTCCCTTGCCCATTCTCGGGTCAGCGGGCAGGTGAGCACTAGCGAGCTAGCTCAAGAGGTTTACTGAGAACTGCATAGGTATGACAATATCGTTGGAGACGCAGAAGACGCTGGTCAGGCTATTGTAGAAAGTTAATGACGAAGAATGCGTTAGGAGGATTAGATATGTCGGATGTATTCTAAAAAGCGACGCATTCCCAAGGAATCGCAGACCAAAAGCACTTCACTAACACCACTTCAAGATTGGCAGCCATTCTATGCCGGTGCGGTCCGCGTGGGTCACATGGTTACCAACACTCCGCTCAATCGTTCTCAGCTCCAACGCTAAGAAATTCAACAGAGACGATCGCAGGAGATGTTCCACCATAGACGTGGACCGTTACCTTTTTTTGCCGCACGACAGGTCTCCGATAGCGATGAGTCTTTACAGGGATGTGATAAGATCAGCAGAAGTTAACTTCACAGGTGACCGGGTTTCGGTTCCCCGCACAGGACCCGGGTTTTCAGCACTACCTAAACCGGTGTGATCTTCAAATGGTCTCATCGTCATTGGGTGATATCCTCCGAAAATCTGGGGATCTTCGTTTCAGCCTTCCAGGTTCTGACCGAACCGACTTTTGCAGCCTTTCTATGCCGCGGACGCGATACGATGGGATTTCCTCACTTCGACATTGCCACCAACCGATTTATCTCCAGACTTTTCACCTTTAGGCTAGAAAGAATCCCTTGTCTGACGAAGCACCAAATTGGCGAGCTAGGTCTAACAGTTGCAAAGCCCTCCGGGCAGTCCGTCTTACCGTTCACGGTCGTGGCATTCGCTCAACGTCGCGAACTCAGCCCTATGGTCAGAGTGGCTTTCGGGGGGCTTTGACAACTGAAGGACATGGCATGGATCCCCACGGGATTTAAAGCTCTCTCATTGGACGCAGGAAAGCTTCTTTTACGCCATCGCTGCAAGTGCTTTGGAGAGCCGAATGATCGCCGGTTTAGCGCCTCATCTATCCTGATCCAAGCCTCGCGACTCGACAGAAACGACCTTGAGACGGACCTCATCGAAATTGAAAATCTCCATTTCCCCTGATTGAGGCCCTGCTTCAATTCAAAGGCTCCAAACTCTGGTTGAAGATGCTAACAGGCTGAAGCACCAAGAGCTCATCTAAGATCTGCTGATGCGAGCGTCTGTTTCGAGGGTGGCCTCACCCTCGTGGCATATGGTCACGATATCCACAGCGTCGGTATGCGAAATCTGATAGTTAGGGTGCCTCGCAGGGACTAATTGTTGGCTTCGCATATTCAATATTATTAGACGCACACAGCCTACAGAAGCTGTGCCCTGCTCAAAACCTTGACGCATAATAGGTAGCGATCGACAGCAATAGGCTACCTGTCATCCTCTTAGTATATGCAAAGATGGCCGCAGCTGCCACACAGATGGCACACAGCGGGGGTATTCCTTGGTGGGGCACCGATGTTTGACCTGAGAACCGAACTCTCACCAGAGCACCTCGCCATGCTTGCACCAGTCGATCTGCTCGGCTTCTCGCACTAAGCCTGTTCGAAGCCATTAGTCGGCATTCTATGAAGGAGCTTTCACCGTATGGCCGGCACTGCCGGCGATTCGCGCGACATTGTACTATTTTGGAAAGCTTCGAGTACCTGACTAATTTGTATAAAGAGTTCTGTGAATCATCTCCGTCCATCTGGCATTTCCATCAGGCCAGCAATAACCTTTCACAAGTTAAACTGTACAGTACTTCGTACTCTCTTCAATCGTTGTCTTATTCATTCACTTAGATCTACTTTACAAAATGTATTATTCAATCACCCTCTTGGCTACGGCAACTGCTGCTCAAGTATTCCAATTCTCTGATGTCATATCAGCTGCATCAAGCATCAGACGCTCTGTGGCCGACACGACCGGCTCTCTTTTAAAGCGAGATGGCTGCCCCAGCGTCTGGTCCGACGTGTCGAAAACACTCACAGACGAATTCCTCTCGGACGGCTCATGTACCGACAATGCTCGCGCAGCCATCCGAGCAGCCTTCCACGACTGCTTCAACGGCGCTTGTGATGGCTCCCTCATTCTAGCTGATGAATGTAGCAATTCTGAGAATTCCGGTCTCGCAGGCTACTGCTCATACCTCAGCGGTGTTGGGGATCAATACAAGGACCAGAATGTCGGTATGGCTGACCTCATCCAATTCGCAGGAGGTACGTATCCGCCTACTCATATCAAACTCCCTTCTCCTAACATCTCCAACAACAGCCCACGCCATAAAAACCTGTCCCCTCGGCCCTACCATCTCCGTCAAAGTTGGCCGCAAGGACTCCAGCTCCGCTAACCCCACTGGCATCCTCCCACCAGGCAATGCCAAAGGCGACGATCTCTACAGACTCTTCCAATCTAAAGGCTTCTCCGCTACCGACCTCGCTGCTCTCATCGGTGCCCACAGCACCGCAAAACAATTCAACGCCGATCCCTCGCAAGCCGGTGCCCCTCTCGACACTACGCCCGGGAAATGGGACGTCTTGTACTACGCACAAACCATTGCGGGTACAGCACCATTCACCCTGCAAGCGGACAAGAATCTCGCAAATCATCCTGTTGTCGGCGTGCCGTTTAAAGCATTTGCGGCGAGCCAGGGGGGCTGGGCTGCCGCATTTGTGCCAGCCATGGAGAAAATGAGTATGATGGGGGTTAGTGGCCATCTTGTAGACTGCACGTCTGCACTGCCTGGTGGGAGTATTAAGCGTGATATTAGGGCAGCACCGATTGCGGATCGGTTTCATTGGTAACTGGTAATTGTGACGGCATTGATGCCGTACACTTACGCACTATTTTTGTTGTATAATCTAATTTGTAAAGGTTTGGTTCTCGGTGAGTGGCGTTGAAGCTATCAGTTCATAACTCAATCGGTTGGAGGTATGGCGTCCAGCGTTACATAAAGGCGTGTTTTAGGGCCTTTCTCTGCATTTTTGCGTCGGGATAGACTGGGGTACCTATGGATATCGTACATGCACGGTATGAGTAAAAGATTGCGACTACATATATCAGGCATGTCACCACTGAAGAACTACTATTCCTTCAACTCAACAACATTCATATCCACTCGTGATTCGATACGATTTGAGCTAAATTGATGAATCAGTGCTGCTTGCTTGAGCGCCGTCTTGAGAGGGGAAGTGGCTTTGGATTTTGCCAAGCGATTAGAATGGCGTCGCGGTGTTAGGCCTTGCGGGTTTTCATTTCTGGTCCACGAATTGGCTACAGTACTGGGAGCTCTTTGTTGGTGGCGACCGTGAATGGAAAGAAAACACTTTGTCGGTGCGTCAGAATTCGCTTCGGTGTTGAGGGAAGCCAAGCTACATACTTAAGCAAATCCAAATTAGAAAGGTTCATTCGGACGCGAGTAGGGTTGGGGGTTGGGGGGCTGTTGTCAATTGATCTGCTCTCTTCGTTCAATACGCCTTATGCTGGTCACGGGCGTGTGCTCCATTCTGGTAGACCTGTCGCCCGTTTTCAACATAGCTATAAGCCTTTTCTATTCTTGCCTCTGAATTCCCGTTCCTCCAAATCCTCTCCTCTAGCCGAGAGTCAAGGCTCCATCCCCATCCCTCCGTTGTTATCCATCGATTAAAAGTGGGTGCGTTTAATGAAAGGCGACGATTCGTGATTCGTTTTGGGGGGGAATAGCGTCACAATATTAGCAGGACAGGCGTGATTCGAGTGGAAGAAGGCTAGCGAACGGCATAGAGGCTACAGCTCATGGCTGACATCTAAGCATGCAGGTAACTTTGAAATTGGGGAAGGGGATCCCAAATCGATGGCGCGCACAAACTACTAAAGCCGTCCCTATCTCTGTACCACCGTCGAGAAATTAGGCTTGATTGCTCATGCAGGGCCTCGAAACGGGTTGTCGGGACAGGCTACAATCCCGGGAAGTCCTTGGTGTCGGGGCCGGAAAATAGGCACATATGTATCTTGGATATTGCTTTGAGGTTGTCCGAGGGCTGTGATTGGGTCATTGTTCAGCTTGGATCTTGATTAGGGTGGGTACGGGGGTGTGAGATCTGCTTATTGATGCTGACTGGCTGGGGTGGCGGTAGGCGGATGGGTGGATGGATGGGAATTTCAAATACCGATAGGTTATCTATGGCGGAATTCTAATTGAGGTACAGTACATATGTAGAGGGTCGCATTAATTTCTTGTATTCTTCGTCTATTTGACAACCCCGATTGTTTTGCCCGGAGACTCGCGAGGCTAACGCGAGATCTACTGTTTCAGGACCCTATTGACTACTCGAAAAGCTGGATGAGACGAAGCATGCCCTCCCTATCTGGAAAGGCTCGGCTTTCCTTGATCTCGTCACATTCATTCATGTCTCAGCTTCTCAATTCGATATATCGTCCTGTCGTTCCTTTGAAGTTCTGCAGAACTGCATTTCATCTCCTTCTCAGACAAGCTAGCTGGGTTTCCGACAAGTGTTTTCTTCCCGACAACTTGAAGACGATATGCCTAGTTCCGTAAGTACTAGGCCTCTGGTGAGTGACTCAGGACCCGTTACTTAAGGAGCGATAAATATGCTATTAGTAACGTAAAAGATTGTTAGCCACTAGTATCGCCTCACTTTAAAAGTGAAAGTGTGGCAAAAGCCGTAGGGGTGCTTTGGCAGAAATTGTGACTAGCTAGACATATGTTAGTAATATCGCAATTACCATGCACGCTAAGGAAAAAGTAAAGCAGACTCAAAAGCATTGGATAAATGCAAAGCAGACGCAAAGAAGAGTGACCAAGTCAATTGGAATTGAGAAGATAGAGCAAAAAAGGTACTAGAACGAGTGACAGACAGTTGGAAGTAGAATATAAATGAAGAGAAAGACCAAATGAACGAAAGGAATGAAAAAGAGGTGCAACAAGTGCACGAAACTGAATGCAAGAGAGGCGCAACCAGTGCATGAAACTGAAGCCGAAAAATGCTCACCCAGCCAGAAAATGGTGCAACCGAAAATATCAACGGCTGAATCCACGCTGGTGCAGTGCCGTAGTTCAGTGCCAAGCCGGGACCCTAGCCCGATGCCTTGAATGATATGAACCTTCTGCGCAATGCAGCTGTATATTGACGTGAGTTGTGGACGAATGGTCGTCTACGAAGAGGGCGGTCCTTGCGAAGTGGTCAGGTCGCCAGTCCAATTCGAGAAGCACTCATCATTGACGACTGAAGAGATGAGTTTGAAAGCCCAGAATTCGGTTCCGCGCTCGAGATGTGAAGTTCCAGATGTGCATGGCCCTGAAAGGAAAAGGATCAGCCTCTGATATAACAATGACAAACAATGGTGGTATTCTGGGGGCGAAGAATGACCCGCTTCAGAGCGAAAGAGGATTTCCGCTTTTGGACATGCGGGATTTGCCCTGTCCCTTCCGAATGCTGACTCACGCCCGCCCTGATCATCAGCACCTCCCCTAAAGGAAAGTGACACCTGATTTGGAGGTATGCGAAATTTAGAATTAGAAAGACAACTTACACACGAGGTCCATTTTCAAAGTGTTCAGCATATCCCACCAGTTCCACTCCGGTGCGCCGGCAGTAAGCCCACCGTCCCCTTGCATGTACCCTCCAGACTGCCTTCCCTGTTCGACGGCCGCAGAGTAAGCATCTAGCTTGTCCCATGGGACGTCAAATTCTAGCTGTTCACCTCCTTGTGGGCTTGGCGATCTGGTCGCTCGCTCACGAGAGTACGGATTGGCATCTGGAGCTCGGGGAGGGTAGTTGGTCACCATGAATTGCTTGAACTTGTTGAAGTATGAGAAACAGAGTGTACGCTCAGCACTCCCATCTCGACTAACAAGTGCAAGTATGAGTAGCGGGAGGGTGATGTAGCGGAGGTATACAGGATCGAGATTTTCATAGAGGGAGAAAAAGCTTGTCGAAAGGGCGGAAAACGCTTCATTGTGAATCTCGTAGCGGTTGCCCCAAAGGCTTGATGTCGGGGGCTCAGAAAACGGTACTGGCGAAGGTCCACGGGAAAGTGGGTCGTCGATGTTCAGGTTAGCAGACAGGTTCTCTGGAAGATTCCCCTCCCCATCTTCCAGAAAATCCCCAAGACCGAGGGTCTCCATCCCATGTTGGTACAGGCCAGAGTCTCCTCGAGAAGTAAACCATGAGGTTGCTCTGGTTGCGATCGGCGGCGTTCGTGATCTCTGAATAGGTGATTGCGGCGTAAGGTTGGGTCTCCCAAAGAACAAATATCGAAGCACGAGGATGGTCACAGCTCCTTTCCATGCCGTACTGATTAAATCCCAGCATCGGAGTCTTTGCTCGGTGCTATGAGAAATTAGCATAATCCACAAAGGAGCTCAGCTTGTCTTACACAGGGATGTCCTTGTAGTAAGATTCTTGTACATCCTTTGTCCCATCCTCAGGCCGGAATGCGAGTACATCGAGGAGGATTTGTTCACGTTTGTGTAGGTCTTCTGGCATAGCTGAAGTGCGATTTCTTAATAGCCGTGAAGCGCATGCCCCAACGTCCCATAGAACGAGCGTGAGAGGAGTTGGACAAGGGTTGTAGAATTTGCGTTTTACGAACTGGGCTTCGCACAGCATCTCGACAGATTTTCGGGATGCTTGCTTTGTCTTCGTGATTGGAAGATGCGAAAGGATGATCCACATCGTTTCGAAGTGCGCGACGTGCGTCAAAGGAAGTTGTAAATGCGGATAATACGTCCAGAGATTTTCAATACCGCCAAAAGAAGCCATGACCTGCACGGAACCAAGAAAATGCACCATCCATCTACTCATCCCAAACTCGAATAGCTGTGCAAGATTAGAAGCATGCTAGAGAGAAAGCATGGGAGGAGACCTACGTCCATGGCATAGATCAATATGCCGCAACAGATAATGACATCAGGCTGCTGATTTTGTGGACTCTGCAATAATCGATTGAAGCTCTGGAATACATTGACCTTTGTCTCTAGCGCAAGCCTTTCCAATTGCATGTTTTCAGGCTGCCGTGAGGCCATATGGACGGCAGCATTCCCAAGAATGCAATTCACAATGTCTTTAGGGAGCTTCTGAATAAGGTCGAATGAAAGAGGTGCAATTGCCCGGTTGATAAATTTCGTTTGCTCAAACGTGACTGTCTCGGAACACATTTCTTTGTTATCTGGTAGTTGGACAAAGTGAGCAATTCGTACCTGACTGCTTACGAGAGGAACTTACGATATGTCATCAACTCCAAAAGTTTAGCGTCGGTTGATGCAACATCAGTCAAAGAATTATCCGTGGCATGGAGTCCAAAATGTGCTGCTTCTTGCATCGCAGAGTTGGACGAAAATTGCATCGTATTCTGCACGATGCTCACAACCTGGCCTGTCGATTTGATTAGGATTTGAATTCATAGAGAGTATTTAGGAGGGATCTCTACTCACTGTCCACAACCGGTTGGGACTTCCCTTTGAGCTTCCCTCTAACAGCCACACCCTCGGCCCATCTCAACGGCTTCAGGTACCCAAGACATGGTACGCCCTTTTTGGCGCATTTGGCGCATGCTGGCAACGTACGATCACATTTAACGTGCCGCCGCCTGCATGTGTAGCACGGTACATCCGAGATCTCTTCAAGATCATCTGGAGGGGAAATGGTCGGTGTACCCGAACGGGAGGGCCTTTCGTTCCTTTTGGAAAGAGGAGAGGAAGAGGATGAAGCGAGCATTTTCCTTGCCTTTTTTGAATATATCCGGGATAGTCGACGAGTATTTGGTGGAGGAAGATATGACATCTTTATACACTTGAACGTTGCGCCATCCATAATAAAAGTTGGGGCGGATTTTAGATGTGATGAGAACCCGTTGTAGGGCTATGACTGTGCACGCACTGAGTTACTTCAAGGCTGAATATCGTGATGCAATAGAAGCTGGATGGCCAGAAGCATGAGACATGAGAATCGTCGCCGTAGATGTCGATGTGGAGAAGAAAAACTTGCGGCAAGATCTGGCGGTGGTGGATCCTAAGCGAGAAGATGCCATTGGAGGGCCGCAATATCTGGGATAGAGATCGCCATCTATTTTAATGTTGCCGAGGGCTGATATAATCACCTTATCGTGTCGTGGGAGCTCAGATGCTGGTGTTCGACGTTACATGCCTTCTTTGGGGTTAGCGCTGAGCATGTCGCCGTCTACGCGGGCTCCTACCCAACGAACCCACCGAGTATTAGGGCGCACTGTCGGCTGGTCTTGCCTGTGAGCTTGTCAACCCTGCCAGCCCTGCCAGCCCTAGCCACAGTGTCCGTGACACCTGGTGAGATGGGAGATACAACCGTAGAGTAGCGGTGGCATACCGCGACAAGCTTTCTGGCTGTGGCGCAGTGCGGCTCCAGCATGAATTTACTGTCATAGCGGATATGGAGCTGATCTGAGCGAGTGGTAGTCGAGCAGCCATTGCAACCTGAGGCTGTTAAGAGTGAATGAAGGAGGAGGCGGAGCCGGATCGAGTCGGTGCGACTCAAATTAGACGTCAGCGTGCGTCCAATCAGGGCAGCCAGCTTCGTTAGTCATGGCTCTCTGCATCGGCGTCTTGCCCCTCGCGCTTAGCTCGGCCACAACCAGCTGATTTTTCGTGCACTAGGATGTGCGTTGAGCACGACATGCAGACCTGAAAAGCCAGCGCAAGAGCGGTGAAAATACGGGTCGGCGAACCCCCATCGCCGTTCGACTTCGCCGAAAGCAGTCGGTATGAGCCGCGCTGCATGTCACTGCGGGTAGCTGCATAAGATACCACGACCTGTGGCGGGCTGAAAGGAGGCCACCTGCGGACACCCAAATGCACCCATCGTACGCCTTCTTACAATCCCCGTTGACGTGACTGTCTTCCTCCCATGTGTTTCGTCGAACAAATGGACCCCAAAGCAAGCAATGAGACAGATGTGTTGGGCCGAGACATGCTCATTCCAGTTCACGAGGAGGGTGACTGCACATGGACGAGATAGGTTTTAACGTGGAGAAAGAGAGACAACTGTGGGAATGAAGGCCACTTGCATAAGATTAAACTGAGTGCAGAGAGAAGACAACATGTGAAACCCTAGAGCAGATCATTTGGACACCAAAATTAGGTCAATGCTAAGTCCACCTAGAGCTAAACGCGCTATGTGCTACACGGACTGACTACATCTAGTTCTCGGGAAGCGACGAAGTTCCCAAACCTTGTCCATCACAATCTCTACCTCCATATTGCTGCTATAGACCTCTTCTCTCTTTATCATATTTCTCTTTTCGCTCCCTCACAGGACTAGGCGGGTATCACAATTGCGATCAAAGTTCCTGGAAACTTTCGTACAATTCATTATATAAAACAGCACTAGTCGCCAAAGTACCCGGAAATTAAATAAACGAACACTTCATAGTGAAAGGATTAGGTATCGCGGAAATGTAGGCCAAAGCACGAGCATGTTTCCGGGTTTACTAGGTTAGGGCAGAATCTCAATAGCCCCAACAATGCTAATTTTCGACAGGCCCAAGGAAAGATGTCTTACCATTGGTTTCATGTTGGCTTCTAGCAGGTTTCTTACCCCTGATAAACTCCTAGACATGGTGATGATCTCCTACATTGTTCGATGAGGTCGGTCGGGAGGTGATCTCGGTAGTTGGGCACCAAATCTCTGGCAACAGTACGTCCAGGAAATTGTCCTACAACCCACCCATCGATCTATGTTGAACTGCGATCGGAAAAGATTCTTCTTCTCTTCCCCTTGGAGACTTGAAGCGCTCCCATCCTCTCTTGCGCTGCGACCCGAAAAGTCACTTCCGCGATTATCCACAGAAAGCCCAAGGACTGCTCACAGTCTGCGGTAAGCACAAAAAGGGGCGGACATTATCCCCCAGGGTTTCCGGCATTCATGAGGTGCAGCAGTATTGGCCATCTTTTCGACTTCAGGAGATATCAATGGAAGAAAGCACCTCAGGGCTTTGCTCAGTCACCAATGGGCTCTTCCCCTGGTGCGGTTGGCCGTGTAGCAGTTGACCCTAGAGCCCTCTAGAATTTCCATTTACCTCTCCAATCGTATTAGCCTTTGTAAGTCCTCAAAGCGCTCTTGGGCATGCTGCGTAGTATTTTGATAAGACTAGGTGAGATCATATAAATGAGCTTTGAAATCAGAGGATAACAAGCACTCATCTTTCTATACCAGGTTTTGTTGTTGTCCACAGCGCGATGAAAGAAGCGTTATGGGCTACCTTCTGATCCTTCTTCTTCTCTAACGGATTCCAATGCACGAAAAACCATACTTATACTCTCTACAGGATCTCCTAAAAGTCTCCTTTAAGTTCTGTTGAATGCCGCCGGCTGCCACAGCACCCTCGACCTTCTCTCCCTCCATCCTATCTCGGAATTTCGACAGCGATTGTGCCTTCACAATTTGTTACATATATTTTCCGAGGTTTGGTAGCAGATAAATAGGCAATTGGTAAAAATCTACCGGCAGTGGAATCCACAAATTGCTATATGTAAGAATCCGTTAGGAATCGCTCCTTTCACGCCGGCAGAGAAACTCGAGGCATTCAACTCAACCTATCTAGCTTCGACTCCTCAGCACCGAGTGTAGGAGGCTGTTTTCTTCCCATTTTGCCGCTATCATCCTTCACTTTTACATCCTCTGCAGTCTCCACCAAGCCAGGTTTCTTCCCTTGCGCTCTCTCTAACAAGATCTATCCGTCATGCAGCTGAATCTCATTCTGTTTGGGCCTGGAAGCCTTTTCGTTCTCGTCGTTGCAGCTCCTCACGAAAAGAAGAACATCGCTAGCTATCGCAACGTCGGCATTGTCTTCACCTCGACCTCTTACGAAGGCAATCTCCTCACTTGCTCTTAACAACTGGTGAGCCAATACATTCCTCTGAGCCCATTCTCCAATGGTAACACGACCTAGGACCTAGTAGGCCTGCCCTCACAATCTCCATGCATCGATACCAAGACTGACAAACATGATATTTCCAGTTGTCTTAACCTCGGCCAAATCTATATCTGCGGTGCTAGCCCCATCCGCCTTTTTCCTTGGACTGCATTGCGAGGCGTGGCAAAGATCAAGCGTTCACTGCATTTTTACACGGAGCCTGGAGATGTCGCCGGCTTGGAGCCGCATTCGCCTCACGACGGTTGTCCTAGGTCGGGCCCTATCGATACAGAACCGGGGCTTCTGCCTCCGGTGCGGTTGGCGTGGTGTTTCGTATGGCATGTTCCATTCCCTGTCCACCTTCTGTGCGATCGAGAAACTGATCGGAGAGGAAGGAGCCTCATGGAAACGCCAACAATGCCTGGAGCAAGGATGCTGAAGTCGCGTTTAGGTCAGAAGTAGGCATATTCTTCCATCCCCACGTCCTGGGCTCTTCTTCTGACGCTTCCTCTTTTCAGGCTGACTCCAACCGCTTCCTTCACTTTGGAAGCAAACACCTCATCCGCGTACTCTTCCTACATCTTTACCCTCCTTTACTAATTCAAATGATTCGACTCTGCTAGAAACAACATGTTGCCTAATTCCCCGGTATCTAAATGTATTCGTCTTGCGTATGGACGAACCCTAATTTCAAGACCTGTGTCGTCTTTTTCTGATGGCATTTATCTAGAAGACAATATCAATTACTCTCTCAATTGGACTACGCTGATGTTAGGTATGAAGGGAGCTGAATTGGGAGAGGATCCACTAATATGTGAGCATAGTTGATTAAGCTCTGACGGGATCAAATTAACACAGTGATAGAGGATTATGGGTGGCAGAGGGATAGGAAGCTGGTAAGTTGAATGATTCTTGGTAAAGTGTGGAGCTTCGAGGAACTCTACCCCCAGTGATATATTCACAGAGATCTTAATTCCTTTTAAGAAAGCCCTCGAATATCGTGTATTTTTCAGCTCCCTACAATCCGGTCTATTAGAATACTGAGACCTGTTGTTGATAGTCCACCAGAGAATGACCGAGATGTAAAGCCGAGCCTCGAAGAAAGGGAGATGACCGATCCCATACCATATTTATCTTTCTGTCTGACCCCATTTCGATTGGTGCCATCAAGTCCAGTCGGCGGCTGGTGAATCTATACTCACACATACCACATTAGCATCCCTTCAGCGGTTACTCACCCTGCGGGAATCATAAAGATCGAGACGGACTTACCATTATCACTCCTAGAAAGCATGCTTCCCACACCAGTACGCCATACCCACCATCCCCGGATACGGCCAATGCAAGATCATACCCTCGGGACCTTGCATATTGATTCCATTGCCGCCACAGCTCTTTTGGCTGAAGATGCAACATTTGACAGGCTTCTCGATTTGGGCTGCGAGGACGCTGGAGTGTGTGTTAGTAGGATTGATGATGGAGGTTGGGAGGGGATTGCCTTACTTCTCCAAATTCAAGTCAACGCACTGATCGACCTCCCACAGCGTGACGGCACGGCCATTGCGATCCAAGGCGTGGCCGACGGCCGATGGAGTCTTGGCCTCATTAGCGTCGACAGGAGAGCCGAGGGTGCTAGGGATGCTTGACGCTCCGATGAGGAGGAGAGTGTTGGTGAAGCGCATTTTGCTGTGTTGTTTACTCTGTGGATTGAGGGCGAGTTGAAGTTCGAAAGTTGGGAGGTGTTGTTGAGGGTGGGAAGAAGGTGGGGTGGAATAGAAGGAGGAGATTGAAGGGCTTATATAGCTAGCTCCAGCTAGTGGCGATTGAAAGTGAGACTGCGGTTCGTTCGTATGAAGAAGCGGGTGTCGGATCGCAGTGGTGAAAGTCGGTTTATATGAGTTCATAAGAGTGAGTTAGTAGCTTTGAGTCTGGAGTCCCTAGAGAATGCCAACCCTGATCTTTTTCGTTCCATTTCTAAAGATCTGTACAATGCAGTGAAGTATACCATGTTCTAATGTTAACTCCTACAAGAAGGAGCAGAAGTAGAAACACGTGAAGCTGCCACCTACCAAAGAGGTCCCAGACCCCAGATCGCAGGGAGAGATTCACAAAGGATCCCTCTCTCACAAGAAACCTTTCCATTCACCCAGGAACTGCCCTCAAGTGGGTGATATCCAAACTCGACAGGGATTTATCCACGTCAATCCCTACTTATTACATCAGCCTAATCCTTCTCTCTAACACACAAAAAGAAAGCCACACCTAAGTCAATCCTTATTGCATTCACAGTAATAGGTAGTTCATAACTTTAAACTTCGTCTCCTTCTCAATTAGACCCAGGATTACAATAGTATCGTAATCGCATTTATCGGCAACAGAAACCTAGCACGCATACGGTTTGGTGAGGTCTGTGGTGACGATTACTGGCAGCTAGGTAGTTTCTAGGAGAGCCCGTAGCGTCTGAAGTCCAGCTTTCTTCGAGGAGCAGCGCGAGAGTGGAGGAATGCAGGGGGTTGATATGGTAAGTGAGTAAGGAATTGATGCACGATTGAGAGAAGTGCAAATGCGGTTGATATGTGGGAAGCGAAATGGAGAGGTGGAAGAAGACTGATTAAGACCTACAGACCCTTCTCATATACCCTACTACCCTCAGAATGTGGCTATTTTTTCTCTACCCCAGAACCAATTGGGTTTCAATCTCCAGAATCCTTCATAGCTGTAGAAACTCGATTCAAATGCTCAGATCTAGAGGGAGGCCAATAATTCATTCAGGTTTTTGTTTAGAAAATGAGCAATGAGTTGAAAGCTCACGCTCAAAGAAAGATCGATTCATTAACCCATTGCAGAAAAGAGTTGAAAGCCCTGCCGGACATACATGAACTTCACCGCCGGTTTAGAAGAGCTATATCCCGCCATTGAGACTGGTGCACCCATCATATCATTCTCTGCACATTGAGCACTATCCCATCTGTCGTTCATGGAAAGCAAACGAGAGACCTGACTTAACTAATTGGAAGGGATGGAGAGATCTATATTTAAATTCTGCAATTAACGACTACTCACCCAATCTAGGAAACACACTCACCGTGCATATTGGCGGCTAACTAAGACGGTACACCACAAGCGTACGTCATGACGCCGTCGCCATCGGAGTCAGAGAATTGAAGGACATGTTTGGCAGGGCCGTCTATGGTGACGCTGTTGCCGTCACATTTTTCGCCGGTGAAGAACACGCAGGACACTGCCTTGGTGATCTGGATGTTGGCGAACCTGGAGGGCTCTTAGCAATAAATAAGCCGGAAGGCAACAGAGGGCTTACTCTCCGAAGTTGACGGCAACGCACTGGTCGATACCATAGAGAGTGGTCTTGCCACCATGAGCGTTCCAGGCCATGCCAACCGTTGGGATAGTGACCTCGGTGGGAGCACCGACAGCCCTAGAGACGGCGGCGCCGAGAGCGAGGGCGAAGGTTGTGAAGCGCATGTTTGTGCGTCGTTTGGAAGGGCTGGAAGAAGGGTTTACTGGATGGGTTGAGGAGCTGGTGGGAGCGGTTGTAAGCTGGAGAGAGAGGCCGGGGCTTCTTTATAGCAGCAGACCTGGAGTTGCGGTGAAGGGGAGCCTGAGGAGAAGGTGAAGGCAGCCGGACGGCTATACCAGGCATTCTTTCAGTCACAAGATTCCCGACTGGGCCTTGGCAGGGAGTAAGGCAAAATTATCAAATGACGATGCTTCCATATATGGAAGATGCAGTGAGTGCTTTCCCTGTCTGAGCCAAGAGTCTAGAACCTTCCGAAACTCCCCAAAGAAAATAAAGGGAGGACATGGAATACACATATCCAACCTGATTCTAGTCTCGAAACAATTTAGACTGTTAAAAAATGAATGCGATAACCTCATCTACTGACCTCATCCGAACTCACAATGCTAGAAGACTAAGGGCTAGCTCACTGACGCACATTAACCAAAATTTATAGAGACACTGCAACACAAAGCCGAAATTATAGAACGTCCCAAGCACAGGATTTCGGGAATGCGCCGTCAGGGAAGGCAAGGTTCGTGCTGCCCGGACCTGTAAGATCGAAGTAGACATTCGGCGGATCGCAATCTCTCTGAAATAGAGCTAGCATGACCGCCCGGATTTGATACTGCCCTTCACTGTGGTCCTGAAAACAGCCGGCTAGCCAAGTTTTTCCTCGTAAATGGGGGAGTGGACAAGCTTGAAAGAGGGAGTAAGCCGTACAGAGGTGCCCAGTTTCGGTACATGATACACTCCTGCTTGCCATACCCCAAGAGTGGAAAGATTGCGTTACCGCTTTAGCCCAGGCTCCACCCGAGTACAGCACCCAGGTCAGCGTCAGTAGAACCCTCGATGAGACCGCTCATGGGAGCAGTACTGACCAAGTTGGTGGAAAAGGCAATGACAACGCTAGAGATGATAGCCACGACAAGGGGAAGCGAGTTGATGAAGTGTATGGGGAAGCTGTTGCAACTGGCAGGTGTAAAGTTTGAAGGTGGTGGAGAAGAGTTGTGCGAGGAGCTTCGAAAAGTAGTGTGGAAGGAGGTGACGAAGGAAAGAATTTGAGGACAGTGGAGGGGAAGAGCAACGCTTTGGGGAGAAGTCAGCGGTGTAAATAATGAAATAGCCTGAGAACTGGCACCTTGTGGGTGGTGGAAGGCGCGAGTTCGTAGAGGAAGCAGTTGCGGGCACAACAAGCAAGTGCAAACTGCGACAAGGGCACTTGATTTAGCCATAAACGGAAGGCACATTCAGACCTCACCTCGCGGGAAATATTTCGATCCCTGGCAAACGTTAACAGTACTGATACCTAAGCATTCCAGCCTATAATGGCCTCAAAGCTTCTCCGTCAGATTTCCCTTTTCAAAAATGACCTCCCACTGACTCGCCTCAAATACCTTCACCCCATCCATCACATTCCTCGCTAACTCGGTCCCCATCAAAACTTCGCCCTGGTAAGGATCCATGTAAGTAGAATCCATTTCGTGGATCGCTAGCCACCGCGGTTTCGAGCCATCTGCGGACCGATATCGCGTCGATCGACGGTAATTTGGTAGCATAGAAAGCATGTCAAGATGCTGGGGGGCATATCGGGTCAGTTTCAGTACCAAGAGCACGCATCGATCTCTAGGTATCAAAGGAAAGTGGGGAGATGGTGGGAAGCTTAGCGAACCTGTTTTCTATACCATTCCTCAACAATATTGTCCCCTCCCTCCTTAGGCTCAATCTTAACCATCACTACAACCTTAGGCCTTCCACTCGGAACCTGCCCTTTCTTCTCTCTCAACCCTTCAAATGTCTGAATCGGATTCCACGTCGTGATCTCGATGGCAACATCATTCGGACCAATATCTCTTTTCGTAAAGCTAATTCCTGAACCCTCCACTGCTCTTCCCATGAAAGCTGCCGACGTCGAGGAAACATTCGGGTGTGCCTTATAAAGCGTAAGGTAATCCCACGCTGGTGCTTTGGGAACGGTGACATTGGCGGGGGGGATTAATTTGTAGCGCACAGATAGGGAGACATTGTGATTCTCCATGAATCCTGGTAGCAGAACCGAGTTGTACCAATTATTAAATTCGCTGGATGTGAGGTTTGGATTCGTGACCCGGGCGGTGGCTATCATGAGCTGTGTGGTGGCGGTGGTGAGCAACATGGTGGTGATTTTGGAGAATAGAAACCGTAGATTCGAAAATGGGAAGATTAAAGGAACAGGGAGGACTGAATATAAGTTCTACGGACATCCCCATGTCCGGGGATGTTGGTGGAGCCTCAAATCCACACATGCCCGTCTACGGCGTGCACCTGCATCTCCACTTCTTCCCCAGAGAGCTGTAAGGCTGAATTTCGTGGTTATCATTTGTGCGAACGCTGCCAATTAATTAGAATTGACGAGTATTCGATGTTGCAGAACGAAACATGCATCTTCGGCAGGGTTCCTGCCCAATATGGATAAAATGCGTGACCAGTAAAGTGATTCCGAACTTCCCCGCGAATATGCTTTGCGATTGAACAATAGTAGAAGCAGAAAGCTTGAAGAAGCTTAACATATTCTACAGCGATTAGAAGATAGGAACCAGTTGGGTATTATATACGCGCCTGCTTCATGCTCTCGCGCGATCGTTTATCTTATTCCACAGAACTCCTCAATGCCCTTTGTTTGTCGTAGTTCGTGCGGAACAGGACAAATTCCATTTGACAGCGTCATTTTTCTCCAATTTGAGCTCACGTATCCCGACCTGAGCACAACTAGATTACAGCTCCGCCATGAATCTATTCTCAGACACAGCTCGACCCAGGTGGTAATTCCCATCGCAGGCAGACGCGGCAGCGATCGTCGTTGGCGAATTTACATTTCACATACATGCGAAGGTTTGTGACCGTTGGTAATCCTGCCAAATTCGAGGAGGTGGGATTCTTAGACTTGCGAGGAGGGTAGAACAAAGCCCATCGATCAACGGAAGTGTTCACCACTTTCCCCCAAGCCGTCACCTCCATCCAGGCATCCGTGAATATCCAATTCCCCAAAGGAAACCATTCCTGTGCCATTACTGCTCCGTCATCTAACTAGAGGAGAGGAGTTTGGGTTTTGGGGGTGTGATTGGCCAATTTGTACCACGCCCTCGGCTATTCCTTCCATTTCAACTACACAGCCTCACCTAACGCCTTACTACTGTATTCCTATTTCGGAAGTGGATAGCCTCGCACCCATCTATCAATCGAAATCGCACGACAACATCTGTTCGGAATCAGACCTCTCCGGCTTGGATATTAGATTCTGGCATCGTGAGAGGTGCCAAGAGTGGTGATACGCACATCGGACGACGAAAACGGACAGTAGGTATGGGGATTTAGAGGGAGAGTGGAGTGAATGAGTCAAATGAAAGGAAAGGTCGGGTTGCGAAGAATGCGATGGGGACGAAAGACGGACCGAGTGGGAGATGATAAAAGGTGTTGAATTTGGGAGTTTGGATGGAATAGTTTCATGAACCATTCGGTTCTTCTTCTATCAATTCAGTCATCTTTTCATCCTCGGCATCTTCAGCATATCTCCCAGAACTGTTTTGGTCGTTGTCGTGGTTGTTCTCTTATCAGACAACAGACTTTCTATCATGAAGACCCTCAATAGCTCAATTGACACCTTCAACCGCGCCCGCGCAGCTCATGGCGTCACAATATCCGTGGCAGTCATCTTGTGGTTTCCCCTCGGCGTCTTCCTTCTGCGCGCCTTGAAGGGCAACAACACAGTCCGTTGGCATGCGCTCTGGCAATGCATTGGTCTCGTTCTCCTACTCACCGGGTTCGGTCTGGGAGCTTGGCTCGGATATATTTGTGACGAGGTAAATTGCTTTCTTGCACTTCCTCCTGTCGACTCCTCCGAACTTAGAAATGACGGTTGATCACTGCGCAGGTATACACCCAATCCCACGAGATTCTAGGAACAGTCATCGTAGGACTGTTTCTCCTCCAGCCACTTCTCGGATGGTTTCATCACCGGCACTTCCTTGCGAAGGGCGCCAAGGACTACAAGCGGGAGGTACATGTCTGGCTGGGGCGTGGTCTGATGGCAATCGGCACGATCAATGGTGGAATTGGGATAAAGTTAGCGAGCGAAACGGACAAGAGTAAGACTGCAGGTATCGCATATGGAATCATTGCAGGACTCGTCTTTGCTGTTTATCTCGGAGTTTGGTTCTGGTCTCGTCGCCAGAGACGCGGAGAGGCGGGGAAGACTGAGACTAGTGGCAATGAGGCCGCGGAGGCGGGTGTTTCTGGTTAGTCTTTGCGTGAAAGCCGGATGAATTCGGCGGAATGTACCTAGATATGTGGTCGTAGGAGTGGTGGGAAAGGTTGTAGTGACGCTTGAGGGACTCAGGGCTTGGAAATATTCCATTGAGATGGTTTCGGTTTTTTTCTGCGTAATGTTGATATTCTTGGCAATATTGAGGTGGCTAGATTTTCGAACGTTCGAATATTCAGTAAAGGGGACATTTGAATTGAGTCCCCTGCGAGCACTTTAAGCTCGCTTGCTCCTGCTCCGTGGTGAACCCTGAAGCTGGTAGACATCAACATCTCTCACCGAGTGCATTCGACTAGCCTTTGGTAAATCAAAAGGGCTAGCTTGGCTGTGAGTAGAACCAGGAATGCCGAGCTTCCTTTGGCTCCCGGGTGTGGCGAGCAGATTCGGAGCCTCATCGCTGGGTAGTGGTTCAGCTAATGGATCCGTACAAAAAACAACAAGAAGCTTTTCCACAATGTCGCGGAGTCGGTCGGGTTGAGAATGCAGCGGTTTCGTGGAGATGTGTTTCCTCTAAAGAAGAGTTAGCACTCGGTTATGATGAATGTGGCTTGAGGTGTGCTCACCAGCGCGAGAACGGCTCCCTTGTAGGTTTGGTGGTAGATTAGCTTGTATTCCCCATCCTTAGCGGCTTCTTCTGCTGCTGCCTCTTCGCTCAATTGCTCCGCCATATCTGCGCCTGGGGCGACGGAGTTGTGGCGAGCCTTATTCTTCTTCCGTTGTTGCAGCCCGTGCATGCGCATAGCTGCCATCACCACGCGTGATAGAGATTCTTTATTCCTCATCTCGGTGGTAGGCTCCTCGGGTTGAAGCGATACAGTTGCAACTTGGCACAGCGCTGATCGTCTGGCTTGACCATCGAGTGTTCCCTTTCTGCTCAAAGGCCGGATATCGGAAGAGATACTAGGGGATCTGGAGTGCAAACGAGAAGGAGGGCGAGAAAGAGCATCGTTTGCGGATTCAGGTCTACTCTCTGGGAAAGGTGTGGTTCTAGTGTCGATGGACAGGGACCTTCGAGCCGTGGGAGCTAGGTGTGCATCGCTGGCTCTAGCTGCTGCAGCTGCGACACCTTCACCACCCTTTCTCCTCACCTTCGTCCGCAGTTGTGTTGCTTCATCGAATAGGTCCCTCTTCCGCTTCGGTGAGCTCGTCGCAGAGAGATTGGTATAGACGGATGAGAGGAATTGTGCGTCGCATTCGAGAACGGGCGGCGACAGTAGTGGGATATCGGAGATTGCTGCAACATTCAAAAGTTCAGAGGAGAGTGGAAGGGCGTGTACTCGAAGGTCAGGGAGAACTTCGGGGCGGGGGTGGGCAAGTTCAGGCGAGGACGAAGGTGGTGTTGGGAAGCCTCGATTTGCGGGCGTACTAATTGCGCCGTAGAACAGGATTTCAGTTACCCTGGGAGAGCTCCTGGCCGCAGCCTCCCCTTCTACCTGGACTAGTATTCCAATGGGCGATTGCGACCGCGGGTATGTCCACCAGTCCTGCATAGCGGCATTGCCTGTTGTGGGGTCGATCACCGCGGGAGCCTTCCCCCCCACTATGGAATGAAACCATCGTTCAGTGTCTTCACAGCTCGTCCAGACATTCCAGCTTGGGCCGACGACCAGACAAAGGGGGATGTGAGCAGTGTTGACGCTAGAGAGGAATCGAAGCGCGGTCGCGGGGAGAGCGGGAGAGGACGCGACCTGGTGCGATGCGAGAGTAACATCTGCCTCTGTTAGGATTGGGGACCAGAAGAGTTAACCATCATGTTACCTCTGATTGCAGTGTTGTCGGCGAGCACAATGTCGCCACTCCATATGTCGGCCATTGTTGTAATGATTTGTGAGACGTATCCGAGGAAGACGCGATAGTGTTCCTCGGAGGAATCGGATCTAAGACACGCGCTAACACGTGATACAACCATCATCTTATGCGGGAAGTTTCACAGAAGCAGCTTAGCATAGCATTTGATTATCACCGAGAATCTCCCTGATTCTAGCAAGGCGTTTGGTTTATCAAAAACACGCTACTCTGTGTCCCTCTTTGCGGCACCACCCCCTTGAGATCCCATTAACGCACGGTAAGCTGGCATTATGCTCGAGAAACACCGTCGAGAAGAATCTCTCATCCATCTCTCCCAGCGCCAGAAAATTCGAGTTCGCGAAAAGCAGCGGCACCATTATCATCAAGTTCTCCATAACCATATTTTCCGAGCTGTTGTAGTATTCCTGCAATCACTTCGGTGCAGGCTAGTGACCTGCAAGGCTATACAAGAGATGTTGTATCCGTGTTGCATTGACTCGAGAGTATACGCATAGTTAGTCATCTGCCCAATGTTAATGGTGCGGTGATTGTTGACACCGGCGACATTTTCGCTCATGCTGTACTTCGAGATAACTTCTAGATGGCGCTTTGCTTGAGTGAGGAGATCGTCATTGAGCGTGGGGACGGTGTAAGGGTCATCGTTGAGGCGGCGGTGCCAATTGTTAGGAATGCACTCCCAGCCTTTGATTTGTGACCATTAACTTCTAGTAAACTAGAGCATAAAAATTTTTTTTCACCTACATATTTCAGTGTACTCTTTGGACCATATTCGACGCCACAAAAAGACATTCCAGTCTTTCAGTCCAAACGGCCCCGGGATACTCCGCGCTTTGATTTGCAAAGAATCGAAACATCACAGCATGAGCATTGCCGTTTAGAATCAAGTTACTAAATGTTTGTAGGAACAGCAGTGGATTCTTCTTGACGCTGTCGATGTGAGATATGGGTGAAATCAAGACCCTGGGGCGGAAATCTCAAGGACATTACAGGTGCAAATGGAATCTCGCCAGATTTGATGGCGGTACCTACGGACGTATAGCTAAGGTCGGGCGAGACAGAAACTGCAGTACCGTACAACGACACAAGAGTTGCCAAGTCAAGGCTCATTCCAACCGCTGTATTGAGTTAGCAGGTAGCGATCAGACTGCGCGGTATCAGTACCATTAATCGAAGCATTAATCATTTCACAACAGAGGCGATTATATGATGCGGAATGAACCCACTATCATAGTGTTTCATAGAACGTAACTGTTACTGTTAGTAGTGTTTTCAAGGCGTTACTAGCAGCAATAGAGTTTCGTTCTTACAGAGAGAGTAAATTAAAACAGCCTTACAGGCAGTAACAGTTACTATTGACTTAATTAATTGTAAAGCTCCTGTTTCGTGCAGTTACTGCAGTAACTAGTGTTTCTAGAGTCTCTAGAGGACTAGTTGCGGAGATTGTTTAACTCTTAAGTCAACAAGTCCTCTGGCAATCTAGTTGCGTTGTAGCTGCAGAGCCTTAATTAAAGCACTTACAGCTTATAGCAAAGATAGATAGGAAGTTAATAGCCATTTTATGCAGCATTAGATAGTGCGCGTGCTAAATCTAATACCACTAAATAAGTAGTTAAATCTCTATAGATTATATTGTCTTTAGCTGCAACAAGGAGATTGGATTAAACAGTATTAATGTACTACTAAAGCTTGTTTGTTAGGCGGGCCTCCTGTTCCACAGCAGCCCTTGTGCTACTTCGCGCGAAAACGACTTCCGCGAACGCGCTACCAAAAAACTAAGAAATTAATTAGTATAGGCAGGTACTGCAGTAACTAGAGCCTCATTAACTGTGCAGTAACAGAAGGCAATTGACTTTTGTTCTAACTGCTAAGAGATTGCTACTATCAGTAACAGTCGGAACAGTACTACATTCTATTAAACACCACGCCCACTATAAATGTCGCCAGCATTCTGGACGCATTTATTTGAGGTGGAGTTTAACCGTATTGATTGGCCAATGCATTCAGACCAGAGCAAGCTCCACCATGATCTCCTACTTCTGGGCGGGACACACTTGTGGTTACCTGTGACCTCGATGCATTAGGCTGGGGGTCGAAGCTCGTCGCTCATACGGAAGTGAAGAAATCGTAGCCAAGCACGATATCAGCAGTGTGGCTTAACAACTTCATCCTGCGGATATGGAAAAAGTGCAATTGTCCGTTGAGATTGAAGGCAGGCGCGGATGGGGAAGACATCGCTGTAGATGTGAGGGGTAAATCTTCCCAGGTTCCACAGCTCTCTCCGGCTGCCGCGCGGGCCCAGGCTCCTGTGCGTATTGCCCAATGTTAAGTAACAGGAAAGCGCGGCTATCGCAAGGGCAATCAGAAGCGGAGGCCTAAGCTATGAAGTAGCCTATCATTGGGGTATGCTATGAAGTGGTGTAACGTATCATTAGTCTTCGCGACTCGTGAATCCCTCCGCACCTTGCGTATGGCTTGCTTAAACTTCGCGAATACGGAGCAGAATGGGTGAAAGGTAGTTCGAGTAGTTCGCTTCAAGAGCCTTGACATAAGTCCAATTACGAAAAACATCTCGTCCAGTCTTTCTTAAACACTTCCGAAGTAAGGTTGACGCCGAAGTATCCATTGACTCTTCTTCCCCAAAGCCTCTATATGCATTATCTAATCTTCCTTCGGGCTGAGCTCTATATCCTTCCCTGTATTGAAGCCCCGCTATTCTAGTCCAGTCACATCAGTGGCTTGACACCATGTCCTTTGTATCTCTCACGGAACAGAACCGAGACGCCAACAACTTGCCCCTCAGCTTCGCTTTGGAATCAATTTGTTGGAATGAAGGCCGGTTAGGCGGTTTCCTGCGCACTTGTGTAGCTCTCTTGTTGAGGGTAGGTGGACACGTAGGAGCCTCGCATGTGGAGTTCATAAAGGAGGACTCTAGCCGTATGTGCAAGTGAAAACCAGTCATCACCAAATCGGCCGCAGAAATGTCGTAGCAGCCACTAGCAGCCCAGCCTTTACAACCCACCATTCTAATTTATGCCCCCCCGCGCTCCCCTTTGGTGACGGCGCTTGTACGGCACTCGTTGTTGAAGCTTCGTTCAATTGCTGGGATGCTCCGGATAGTGATGAAGCCACTGATATCCCGCCTGCCCCATACTCATTTCCCAATCCCACTTTGTCAATGTAGCTAGTACTCCCAGTTGGTCCAGTTACCACAACTCCAGCAGTTCCAATGCTAATAACTGTTCCTGAGATTGTAATGGCTGGATCACCAATATGCAGCGTCTTCCCGTCATGGAGTACCAGGTTCCCAGCTGGATCAATTGTCAATGCCTGGTCGCCCACATTGATTACCTGCATGCCTTGAAGGCTGGAGAGGGATATGGACTTGATTACACCGGTCCCTGGATTCGTGATTAAAATTCCAGACACACCCATGCTGACCACCGATCCGGCGATTGTTATCGCGGGATCTCCCTGCTTCAATGTCACTCCTACAGCAAGCAGATTTCCTGCAGAATCGAAGTTAAGCTCCTGAAAACCGACTGTGATGTGGGCGGATGAGCCGGCGCTTCCAATGGGGATAGAGGTCACCCCGGCCGGAGACCTGAGTGTGACAGACCTGTCGCCAATACTGATCGTGGTTCCAGATATAGTCACCGCAGTACCACCTTTTTGAATTGTTGTGCCGGGATCAATAATTAGGCCACCGCCGTTTGGATCCAGGGGGAGTATGGTTGGACCGATCGTAACTACCGGCGCTATTGGGGTGGTTGGGCTGTTCTGTATCCCTGCCGTCCCTGACGGCCGTGGAGAATCCTCCGGATCGCCATGCTCAGGTTTACCGGGTCGATGTCCAGCACGTCCAGGATCCGAGGCTTTTGTTTGAGTAGCCACCGCTTTTGGACTACTAGGTGGTAGTGCAGGTGTAGTTTGGGCAGGGGCTGCAGCCGGCTTTGTTATCACCATAGACACCGGCGACAAAGCGACTGGCGGATCGCGAAGCGCCATTGCAAGGGTACAGCCACTCCACGCTGGGTCGACCCACTGCATTGAGATTGGGAGTTGGACAATGGGATGGAATTGATCCTGGAAAACGACAGATCGGGTACACCATGGCCCCATTTTAATGTTCATGCCAGTAAGACAGTCTTGCAAGGCTCCTTTGTATGCACTTTATTTGTTAACTTGACGGTTCAAAAGCTCAAAAGCTGGGAGCGACATACCTCCAAGGGTAAGGAGTGTTGAAATCAGCGTAATCAATCGGGTAGATTCCCAGCTTATCGTTTCGGTTTGTATATATATCGGTCGAAGCCAAGGTCAAAAGAATGTTCGAATGGACACCACCAAGTGTGGATCGGCAGTTGTCGGTGACACTGCCCAATGGGATAGAGAGGTAAACATTGCCTTGGTAGTACGTATTGCCATCGATGACTGTAGAAGGGCCAGTTGTAATAGGCGTATAGCCTGACAGAATTAGCACCGCATAACCTCACAACCAGCATTTCCCCTGCTCAATCGCTTAGACCTACTTGTGTTACTATACTTGCCACTCTGCCAAGGGTCAAAATACCCCTTAGTGGGAAAGTCTGTACACATATCCCGCGCAACCGTGGTCGGGACTGGCCAGTAGTAGAGTTGCAATTTCCCAGATCCTTGAATCCAGCAACCAGTTTGACTACAGTGTTTGCACCCAGGTGTAGCGTACGGCCAAGGAGGTTCCGACTCGGGAGGCCCCATATTGTTATACCACGTGTTCCACACAGACGTCGACTGAGACCAAACCTCCCAGATGGACTTGCAGGCGGTTGAGGGGATGGTGCATGTTGGCGCAGTCCCATTGTATTTCGCCCACTTGGTAGAAACCTCAGTTTGCGTGCTAGTAATTTCCGAGATCGTTGAATCGGTAGTGGTAACATCCGCATAGCATACGGACCCACATGTTGATGAACAGGTATATGTCGTTTGATAGACAGTTTCTGTATACACGGTAACTTTGGTCATCGTTACTTCAGAGGTAGGTTTGTAGGCCAGAATGCTGGACTTCGAGTAAGATGCCCATTCTCGGTCGCAAGAAAGGATTGGGTCTAGAACAGGTCAGGCTGGCCACCTTGCAGGAAGGACTAGATCCTACCGATGGCGGACGATCGCGAAATGGGACTTGTCAATGTCGCGTTAAATCCATTCGAGATATTTGCATGCTGCGCAAGTGCGCAGGCAACAAAAAACCACCACACTCGCAGTATGTTGAAAGACATGCTAGGACCATACCGAACTCATTATTGCGCCCTCGCGTCTTTATGAGCATGACTTTCTCGACCGGCATTCCCCGCACCCATAAAGGGTCTCCTTGAAGAAATTATCGAGGTCAGATCTGGATTTTCGCCCCTGTCAGCACCCTAGCTCCTGCATGGTTCGGCGGCCGTTTTGGAAATCTACCGAGCTCATCATCCAATCAAACACATGTCAGCCCCCTGCAGCAAGTAGGATTCAGCCTCGTCCCTGAGGAGAAACCAGAAAGTGGCTCAAATCCCCGATCGAAGGAAGCGGAAATATATGTCGTAAGACGGGAACGGCCCCATGATCATCTGTATGCAATTCAATCGCAATTTCGAATGTTGGATCGCGTCTCGAATGACGGAGATCAAATATCGAGATCTCGGCTAATCTCAAAGATTTTGACAAGGCTTTGTTTCTCAATACATAAATAAGCGCGGAAGAGTTGACGACATCGGCCCAAGGCCACTGGAGGAACCTCTGCATTGATTATAGAGATGGAAGTAAGCCACATCCCGATATCGAAGGTATTGAGGAGACCTATCTCCAAGCCGGCGGTAATACGTTAGCCATGGCGTAATGTGATGCACCGAAGATGTTGAAGGACGATGGATCGCTGGGGAGGGCGAAATGTCAGCGCCAAGGAATATTGGCACGCTATGCCTCTTCTAGCTTGGTAAGTGAATGATATAGAAAGGAGAAAAACCTGGGTATCTCTGTAGGTATTATGGGCTGTGACAGATACACTGGTTGTCCCATACAAGTTAACAATTTATTCCCGTTAGATTTAATGCTACATCTCGCGCGGTGCCAAATATCGTCCATGGGCTCTTTCTTATTCTATCCTCTCTCCGGCGGCAACCCTACAGCAAGGGGTTTTAAACTCCTGCAGCTTCTTGATGAAAAAAGAGCTCTAGATTGACAGTCACGCAGCGAGGCTCTCTCCCTTTGCACAGAATGCGAAGCCATATGTTGCAAGTTTTGGAGTGGTATTCATTCCACTCGAGTAACTTCCTTGCGATTTGACCAGCATTGACGTACGCGTACGTGCAGACGGACCTAGCTCACTAATGGGTGAGCCTCCTGTGCTGTGGGTCAGGGGCTAAAATTCTTTCCGACGAGTTGACATATTGAGTATGGTCGAGATGAGCAGGATAATTCAGAGGTGTATTAAATAGGATACTGTCGCCACAGTGTCTCAAGATGTGTTGATCCATATTCTTGGACAATGGGTGTTTGGCATGTCAAAATGTGTATCGCCTCTACAATCAGTGGCATCTGCGCACAAATGGTAATACTCCAGTATGCGTAATCTTCAAGCATCAACGAAGCAGTACGTGCTGCTGTGGTGTTGAGAGAGCATATATGTCATAACCAGGAAACAGTACAGCCCTTTTGTAATTCTTCATTCTTGGCCACAAGCCCTTCCGTATCCGCATCGGTCCATTCTGGTCGGCAGGTGGTTTCTATGTTCAGACCAGCATATGGAGACGCTTCAAGGAACCCAGCTTATCGCCAGTAAAGTTGCTTAGGGACCTCGTCTGGAGTGACGACTTGGAACCCTCCGAACTGTAATGGATATCCATTGTCAATAGTGCACTCCCATATGAAAAGCGACGCTCGCGCCTAGAGTTTCGTTGCTAGTACTATAGTCAGGAAGTCTCAAGTGCCAAACTCAAAGCTAGCCAAGCCAAGATAGTTCGTTAAGACGAGGATATTAAAGAAGGCGACAGTTACGTAGCCTTCGAAACGAAAAGAACGTAGTAACTTCATGGGAGGGAGAATTCAGAGACGAGGACGGAATCCATCGTGATTGCGATGAGCAGGTAATAGAAGTCTCATGGCCGCCGTCTGCCTCCACCGATATAAATCTGGAAGCCACAGGGCTAGGTGGCCAGTCCCTGCTGTGAGCATTGGCTATGGCTTGATCTGCATTTGCCTCTTCAGATTGCGCCGCCGTTTCCAATATTATGTCAAGTTCTTCACCGATAAATCGTTCCTCTTCCTCTTCAGCACCCTCTACCCCCTCTCCGTCAATATCCTCATCATCAACCTCTGACTCCTTGGCACATGTGGGAATGACTGGCATTCTTGGTCGCAACAGCCCTTCCACATCCCTCTCACCGGCAAAAGGTCTTGCCATGAGGGGTAGTATACTCACTGCTAGTTTCCCAATTTTTTTGCTTGGTGGAGGATTCAGCACACTTGCAGTCATAGCGTCCTTGTGCTGAGTCAGGACAGCAGTGCGATCCATTCGGGCTCTCAGAGAGTCTGAAAGATGCTGTGCAGGTGAATTGGTAAAAAGCATTGGTAGGAGACTATCTGCGGCCTCTTCCAGCCCTCCAAAGATCGCATTTGGTTCCTTTGGATTGGAGGAAGTGTTCAGAAACGCATCAGCATTCGTTGATGACCGTGATTGGTTACTTCCGTTTGCTCTATTTTGAGCTGGCGATGACATGGAGAGCCGTGGTAGATAAACTGAAGCAACGTCTTGCGGCACAACATAAGGATGTGGCAAGTAGGGACGCTTAAAATTCTCGGCAAGGGTAGGGAGAGAACTAGCATAAGGCTGAAAGATTCCCCATCAGGGTAAACATTTGCTTCTGTCGATGCTATGGAGGAAATTGAGAGACGGACCAAGGTTTTGGATGTTGCAGGTAGAATATTCTGATTTGTCGAACCAATGCGGTAGTGACACTTTGTTTATAGAATCGTCAAAGCTTTCGATGACACCAAGGCACCAAGAGCAACCCTGTCCTATATAAGAGCCTGTCTAGGACGATCCAATAAGCTCCATTAGCCTCTCGGATTCAGAAATTCTCTCATTCGCTGCCTTCAGACAGTCAAGTCAGGACCCACTCTAATCCAGCATCATTGGTGTTTGCCCATCGTCTCGGGTAATGTCCACCGCATTGCTTACTTCAATGAAATCCTCTAACTCTTCACTTGTTGTTTTTAATTTTTCTTTTACAGCAGTCACACCCTCGAATCCGACAATGTGTCGTGCAGGTGGATTATCGTGACCTCCGATGGCAGTAAGAGCGTGAACAGTTTCTGCGATTAACGAAGCCTTGACTACTGAAGGCAGTGGAGGGTATAGCGATGTGACGGTATCGGAGCTGAGAAGATCGCCGATGGAAGGCTCATGCATGAAAGTGTCGGGGCTTGCAGTAGAGGAACTAGTTGTGGGTGACTTATCTTCCGCGAAAGTGGATGGATTGTTGACTTGGTCGAGTTTATCGAGTAGACCGGAGAAGATTTCGCGTGCTAACGGTGCAGGATTTTCAGCTTGCGAATACTCGGGTAAAGGTGGCACAGAGGTCATGCGGTTAGTCAAGACGTTGACCTCCATGTTAGCTTGTACAATAGACATCTTGACATTGAAGGGTGCGATCTCGTATGCAAGACTCTAGCATATTTTCAGTATCCGAAGGAGTGATGTGCGGTATACGTACGTCGCAATAACCTTCAATCGCCCATTGAGAAGAACAGTACATGCCTAGTCCTGGTGTACCCAAATGCCCGGCTGCTAAGTGTCAGCACTGCTTGCGGCCATCTTTAACCCTTTTTCATCTCACTCACTTATTCCGGTTAACATAATCACATGGCCGTTCTTCCTCTGCCGCATGGTGGGCAGGACCGCCTTGATTATGTTCACATTTGCGAAGAAATTGGTCTCAAAGGTCTCATTGACGAGGCTGATAGTTCGCGACGTTTGAGCCATCTCTTCGACCGTTCCAATAACGGCTACCATATATCGAGAGTCAACGTCAACCTATACAAGGCATCGCGCAAACTGAGGCCCGTGGAAGAGAATTCTCACCTTCGCTGGTGCTTCCAAGGAGTACATCAATCCTTCCAAAAGCTTCAACAGCTTCTGCTATGGCAGCTTGGCACTGGCCCACAATCCTACCATCAACCAACCAGTTAGCTTCAATTGGCCACAGAGATGAAACTAGAGTAAAACAGTCTCTCCCATTACCTCCCGTCTAGTCCAACAACTCTCAGCCTCTCTCTCCACCTTTCGGTCTTCTTTACATCTTCTAGGAAGCTCCGGAAATCGTCACTCTGGCCTTCTCTTTTCTCGAACGGAATCGGCAGTACACCGGCCACAACATAGTCGCCATGTTCGAGCGCTTGCCTTGCTAGAGCAATGGAGATGGGAGAAGTGCCCGTTGTGATAAACCAGACACGAGGAGCATTGTGGGGTGGAAAATGTGGGGATCGCGGGCGTGGGGGCCTTGACGATGAAGGGACGCTATTCTGCTGCGTCATGACGAAAATGCAAGTGTGAAAGCTTCATCTCAACGCATATGGAGCGCAATTGTATCGATTATATAGTGCGGTGGTCCTGCCGCCAGTACATGGATGCGGGGAGCCAACTGCCTAACGCCGAAACTACGCTAGCCGAGCTTGCACTAGCGCTGCCGCCAAACTCAACTTCACACTTTCACCACCAACGTTCACTACTTACGCCTGCCAAACCATTAATTCCGCAACCTTCAACAAAGATATGTAAATGACCATTATTAGGATATTTCAGGAGTTATAAAATGCTGTATGCCATCTTCTGCGTCAAAATTGCGCTCTAGAAAGGATAATTTGGACCCGAAGAGAGTCTCCACTTGCGTGCCCGCCTCTTTCACGCACATTTCTCCTCGAGGTATGTCAAATTCTTCACTTCAATCCTGCGCCATTTCTTTCCTGTTGGAGCCCCCTCCCAGCCTCCCCATTAAGCTTTCTTCCCACTCGTATTCGCCCACTTTCCTTGTGCTCTTGTTCTGTATCATCTGTACTATCCCCTTCAACATTTCTGCCGTCTATCTTGCTGTACAAGCACCCATATATTCTTCACACCCCCTTCATTGAAACATCATAAATGGCTCCTCAAGCTCCATTCACCCAAGACACGGACTTCGCTCATGTCGATTGGGACAGACTCCTCGCCAACGCTGGCCCTGAGATCATAGCGCTTCTTCCTACCGGCTTGTCTGAAGCAACTCGCCAGCAGTACATTGGAAATCTCAGAGCTAAACTAGGGGATAAGGAAGACCGCAAGTACAAGCCCCTCAAGCCTGCTTCCTGGGTCAAGGAAAACAATTGTCGCACCCCGACCGGCGTTCATACCGGATCCGGCGTTCGGAAGCAGTTAACTACTCTGAAAACCAAGTTCCAGCGTCCATCAAACCGCCTCGGCATGCCGCGGCCTATCACTCTGGCGCAGCATCAGCGTCACTCTGTGCTTGTCATGTCTCAGGCGCTCAGCGCTCGTGCCCAGCGTTCTCCATTCACCCTCGTCCTCGACGACTTGAACCAACAGGCCGACCAGATTCTCACTACCATGATTGCTCGTGGTTTGTCGCGTGGCATCAACGTCGTCTACGTTGCCTTCGAGCATCCTTCCTCCCATCCAGCTGTTCGCTTCATCCCGGCTTTCGGCACTCACTCACACCACACCGGCGACCAGATTCTTGCCGAAATTGAGCGAGCTATCGGCATATTTAAGGAGAGCCTTGTCATCGTAGACTCTTTCCACGACCTTTTCGATATCAAAGGCGTCCAGCCAGTCGATTTCGGTAACCTCATCAACAAGTATGACTCTTACACCGTCGGTGTCTACCACCAAGACATCGCAACGCCTGTCCACGCCACCTCGTATGCCCCGAGCCCACTTGAAGTCACCAAGTTCATGGCCACTGCTATCTTCACGTGCAAGTCGCTCGCCCAGGTCCTCGCCGCCAAAGCCGCCAAGGAGCGCAGCTTGCCAGAGCCTACCTTTGGTCTTCTCCAAGGCGCCGAGGGCATCGTTCAGAGCATCACCGCCAACGACCTTCGTGGAGTAGTTATCGATGCCGAGTTTCGCCGTGTCTCTGGTCGACCAGAATTTGAGACCTTCTGGCTTCGTCGCACCTTCACGTCCGATTTCGAGCCCCCGCTTGCTGGGCTCCCGTTTGGACCCCTGAAACAGGAGTTTGTCATGTGCCTTGAGCAACTGCCTCTATATTGCAGTGATGAGACGATGGCCAACGTCAATGCCAAGGCAGATGAGATCGATGTCCCGTTCAAGCTCGAGCTCACACTCCGGCAGAAGAAGGTTCGCGATGGCGTCCTCCTCCCCCATTTCGATGCCCAGGGCGGGGAAGGCGGCGAGGGAGGCCGGATTCTGTACGAAATGGGGGAGGAGGACGACTTCGACGAGGAAGAAGACGAGATCTGAGGTGATGTGGTTGGGGATGGTAGACGAAGGGTCTTTTGGCGTTAGTGGAGAGTATCTGTGCTGGGCCTAGCCCAAAATGAAATACCCCTGCATAACAGGCGTTGGAGGTCCCTAATAAAAGTTTATCACTTACATATTCCTATCTTGTGCTGCGCGCATAGCGCGTTGATACGGGATTGGGAGACCTTAGAGAACAGCAATTGCCTTCACTGACCCTTGCTAGCACTCACTATATACCTAGTAGGAATACTTAATAGGGTTTGCACTTGAGTATAACTTTCGATGATATAGAGTCTGTGGCCTCTATTACACTCAGAGAACCCCCCCGGCAGGCAGTATATATCCATACATCTAATTCCCTAAGCACTCTCCGATTTGCTGCCTTGTCTGAACAGCATTCATGCTTCTAGATCCTTGCGAACCTTGATTGCGCGACCAATAGGGCACATAGTCACGTGACCAAATGGGAATATCATGGTTTCTCTTCCATCTTACGCACAGTAAATGACTAAAAAGACAACCTAGATTTATAATTTCAAAGCTCGAAGCGTTCTGCATTGGATAACATAGTAACAACAGCTGTGTTTGTCCGTACGCAGCAGCAGCGTTACAGTCTGGATACTAGTTATCGCGCACGAGAAGGATCACGTAACTATGTCACATGATGCTTGTGCGCGAACCTCTGTGCGCGAACATGTAGATATTCCCCTTTTCCTCTGTACAGAAGAGAAGACAGAGCAATAACTAGAAACCTATTGCCCCCACCCTACCTACTTTGCGCACTGTGCACACTGTACACTACTCTTACTCTTACTACTTAAGTGCTTATACTATAAGCAGCTAGCTAAAAGAGCCTATTTAAATCTAAATAGTAGTTAATTTAATTAACTATAAATTAGTAAAAGTAATAATAAAGTACTTACACTTTATAAGGTAATATCACAGCTATGTTACAGCCAGGGCTTCCAACGAGGCGTAGTACTGTACGATTGGGCGATTTTGAGGCCTGTACGGGTGAGATTTTGTGTACGTTCGTACGACAGGGAGGAGGAGAGGTAGGTGTACGTATCGTAACTGTTACGGCTCACGTGATCTGTACAAGTAGTACAATTTAATTAAAGTACGCTGTACTCTAGTTAAAACAGCTAAGACTATAGGTCTCTAGAGACATAAGATTAAGGTCTAATTAACTAGTTCTCCCTAGTAACAAGAGCAGATAGGACTAGATAAGGCCTGTAAGGCTGCAAGAGGCGTGGATAGATAACTCTGCAATAGAAAATGGTCTGTAATAGGCATTTTTAAGACAACAGACAGATGGATAGATTAAAACCCTTAGAAAGAGATTTAAGCGTCTGCAGGCCTCCTACTTGCTAGAGCCCTTATACCCCTCTAGAACCCCTATACAAACTTCCTAAAAAGGTAATATGATCTGTACTACGTACCGTACCTAGGGCATCATTAAACGTACGGTACGGCTCACGAACTCGGTACGTTCGTACTGAACACGTGACCGTTACGGTTCACTTTGTACGAACCGTAGTACGGCCCGTTGGAAGCCCTGGTTACAGCTATATAACCCCTAAGTACCCTAAGGGCTTAGCACAGGCAGAATATAATTAGATAGACCTACATAGACAAGAGAAAAGTAACTAGTACAGAAGGCAACTTTTTAGATAAAAATAAAAAGTTGCTAGTGTCTATACACAGCAGCAGTGTTACAGTCTAGATACTAGTTATCGCGCACAAGAAGGATCACGTAACTATGTCACATAATGCTTGTGCATTAGGATAGGCTAGTTGTGCCTTGTAAATAGCTTTGTAAATGATGTAGAGCGTTTAAGCTATTATTGTCCAGCCTTGTGCGCTTGTCCTGTGAATGTTTGGCGGTGTACAGGCTGTTTGTGCGGGATTCTGTGGGGGATAGTGTGGGATCTTTGCGTAGAGAGGTGCGTAGAGAGGTGTATATAATAAGGTCTCCCCTCTCCCTTTGCCTTCTCTTCTTTAGCCTTATCTTTACAAACCCTATTGTACAGCCCCCTAGCTCTTTTTTTCTCTTTTGTACAGTGCTGACAGTGACAGATCCTCCCACACGCACACACACACACATAGTGTTGCTATATGAGAACTGTACCCACACTTTGAAGTCCTCGCTAGCTTTCGCCGTGCAATCTATAGAGTGCACAATTCGCTACAAGGCAAGCGAACTTCGATGCGAATTTCTAGATACGAACTGAAGGCAGTCACAAGCCTGTCGCTGACTTTGGCCAAATTGCTCCCACCCTCGCACTACTCGATCCCAAGCCCTAGGGTCATTGCGAACAAAAATTAGCGGCATAGCAGGCTAGTTGAAAAGGATTTATAGCTGAAATAGCTAGAACGACATTTTGATAATCATGGAGACTCTTGGTGAAGATGGTGGGATACATAGGCTCAGTGATAATGCGAGCAAGCGTAGGATGATACTTGGGCAGAATAAGTCTGATACGACTAGCCTAGAAGGAGAAAGCTTTGACAAGTTAGTAACTTTTAATCAAGATTCTTGGCTACAATTTCCCTATTTCAATCTATTCTAGAAACCTGGTTGTTACAAGTGCGTTAGCTACGCATATTGCGCTAACTTGAAGAATATCCCGGCGCCGCAGGTCAGCACCAATACACTGTCCGACGCCGTTACGATATAACTTGTGGGTTTCCACGAATTTCTCTAGCTATCCCATTTTTGGCGGTGTCTTATATTAGGTCTAGCGTGCTGTATATTACCCTTAGCGGTCCAAGGCGGTCCCTTCACTTTCACCTTGGGTATGTCGCCGAGAAATGAATACCGAAGTTCTCATGTTCGAGGGATGACTGTATGATATAACGGTAAACCCCTCTTTCAAGTCTTGGGGTGCACCCTTTCCGTGAGAATGCAAATTGGCTAGAAAATTGCCCAACAGACGAGATCTTCTGGGGTCCAACGGCACAAGTAATTGTGGTTACGCCCCTCACCTAGCGTTGGTGGCCTAAGCTCTTTGTGTTGGGAGTCATATACCTGCACGTCTTTGCCTACCCACCATCAATACTTATACGTGCAGCTCCGTTCCCCAGCGACTACAACCAGAAGTCCACCGATCCCTTGTGGCCAGCGTGGCCAACAGTCCGTAGTACGTAACGTAACTACGTGAACGTAGTAATCACGTGAGGCGTACAAAAGTAGTCAAAATGTAAGACGTAACTTTTATACACTGAATTGCCAAGTACGTCCTGTAGTACAGGTCAGAGAGGTCATATTTTAGGAGATTTCCCTCCTGTTTTTAGACCCTATTAGCTATCGCGTTAGGAGCTTTGTTTAAGGTCACGTTTTAGAGTAACAATTAGATAAAACTCTGCGTTTTGTAGCATAGTAGCTGCTTATTAGAGTTGTCCTAACAAGCTAGAGATAGAGGGCAATAAGGAGGAGGATCTACAACCTTACTAGCGCAAGCTCTCTAGTGGTGAGTATTATTATAAGCAAACTCTCTCTGTTAACATAAGCCTTCTTATAGGCTTAAGGTTATATAAAAAATAGCAGAAAATAACAGAGCTTTAACAATACTATAACAGCTACATTAAAGACCTCTCTGTAGCTAAGGAGGAATCCCTGCTATTCTAATCACCTCTTACTTAGTAGCTTAAAGTTAGTTGTTACTCCTACCTTACGCTTTTTAAAATCGCCCTTAATTTCCTTTATATAATATATATTAACAAGCTGCAACTGTAAGAGAGCCTTCTCTAGGGGTAAGAGGACAGTTATAATTAATAGAAACTGCTTAGCAGGTTGTATATAAGGCTCTGCAGCTCTAAAAGAACTAGTTACGTCACAGGGCTGTAGAGAGTAAGTTAACTACTCTAGGGGACTTCATCTAGGCTAAAAAGCTTCTCCCAGAACAATTTTAACCTAGACTAACAAAACTTCTTGCGAAAAGTACAAAAGTATAAGGATTTTAAGAAGTTACTGTTATGTTACATACTTGCTAATTAATTCACTGCTTACGTACAAAAGTACTACTAAATTGAGAAGTTACTAGCAGAAAAAAGCTCAAACGTAACGTACTACGTCCTGTTGGCCACGCTGCTTGTGGCTGCGAAAGTGAAACATATGACCTGTCCGGACCACAACCTCGGAAAGATGGCAGGCGAGCGACTGAATCTCATGCCAGAGGAGCCTGATTTTACCAACCCTCTCTTCTTGCCAATGTTCGAAATCTTTGACAAAGTTCTGCAGCCAGACTCTGAACTTTCCGTAGAAGATGCAGTGGCCCAGTTGGTTGTCCTGTTACCCGAAGGGAAACCGTACTCGAGTGAAGTGGGCGACTTCATCGGCACGTGTGTCGAGATGGCCGATGCAATACCGTACACACATTCTTCTATGCTCAAACTCGTCTCGATACTCGATCTCTGTCTGCATTCGGAGAGATTTCCCGAGAAGGTCGGTTCAGCCGTATGTCCCCACTATGACATGCTTCCTACCAGCGGAGCAATGCTGAACGGCTCATAGAATATCCAGACTGACTCAACATTGCGATCTTGCAAGGTGGCAGAGACTATGCGCCATTTCTGGGACGGTACTGACGAAGAATTCCCAGCCCTCTTAGCCTTGCTGATCCCTGACTCTCGTCCAGGTACATGCCCAGAAGACGGCCCGGCAAAGTACGTCAACTTCAACACGTTCGCCGCTCGCATCCACCAGCGCGGCCTCTTGAAAGGAGTTATACTAGCTATCAGCACGCTCGAGGATGCTTTTCAAAGAAAACTCGGGAAAAGCCAAGAGCAGCGCGAGGCCTATGTCACAGCTGCACTGCAGTACCTTCTTCTCAACGGCGACATCATTTACGAGGATATCAGGAATGACGAGAGGTGGAAGCACAGCTGGTCTTGTTGGCGCAACGAAGTTGCACGCCTGGCCGCCAGAAACCGGAACGACAAGCGTTGCTTGTGGAGCCAGGAAATTGTAGAAATGGCTGGTCGTGCGCTGACGGCGATGGAAGGGATAGAGCGCCTGAAAGCCGGTTGAGATGTAGTCGTCCTTTGATGCGCTTTAGACGCACTTTTGTCATAATGTATGCGAAGCGGTTACAATGCGCTGGCTTCTTCTTTGTCCTTGTGCTTTGTTCCTCTCATTCTTGTCGATGCTAGTAGATCATAACCTCACGGACGCATTGTCAACACTTACCGCAAAGGCGTGAGCATAGCCTGATATCGCACGAATTCGAGCAAAATCTTCTCGATCCGATAGCTACCAACATCACAAACTCCGTCCTGCCGCAACCAAGATCATTCTCCAGCGTCGCACGAGTTCGAGCAACGTTCCCCCGGGATCTGGCACTCTCCCACATCGAAGAACCTTGTACATAGATCGCCGAATGGACGTCCATACTCCCCCCACCGACCCGCCCACAACCTCCTCCCAAGAAAAGACACACAAAACCACGAACGACCTCTCCCAACGAAGCCCGGCGACCAGTCGGACCCCATTTATTTCCTCTAAGAAGATACACGGCAAGCGCTCACGTCCACTAATGAGACACTCTATCGGACTCCGTATAGTTCCGCTGAAATGTCTAGTCCCAGGCCTCCCTAGCGCAGATATTCGTTGGCACTTCTATAGTTATTCTATAGATTCTAGTAGTTTTATTTTACTAAACTAGTGTTATGACTTTAGAGTTACTAGTTTGTTGTTCACTATTTCTATATCCTTCAGAGCGCTACTCGCTCTCGCTCGATTTAAATGTGCTTCCGGGTTCTTCCCCTCTCTATATTCTAGCCAGAGAAGAGATGTGATATAAGTGTTGAATGTGCTGCAAGTAAGATAAATAGAAGCTATGAAGACGTTATATTGAACTTGACGAGAAGAGAACGAAAAAAGACGAAGACGAAGAATAAGACGACCGATTTGATAATGAATCACCGCACTAACTGAAGGTTCTAGAGAGAAGAGGGGGAAATAAAATTTCCTGCTTAAACTTGAAATGAGTGACACGGAGAGAGGACAAAGCCATAGTTGTGATCCAACCCAGACAGACGGCTATGCCCAAGGCGGCTCATCCTGCTGCATCAGCAAGCCCCCGGCGGTGATGAATCACCTCCAGTCACTCTCTGAAGGAGATCCCGGGACTGGGAACCCCCTGCCCCCCCACCCCAAAACACACACAGGGCCGCGTCGACTTGACGTTCTTTCTCATGGTGTACGGCGTGGCTGCTCAGATGACGAGGGGCCCAGTATCGGGACCACGAACGTGAGCCTAGGCAAAAGCGTGAGCAGCCTGAGGTAGCTAGATTCAACCGTGAGCCGGCGTGAGTTGAGGCGGTGTAACGGGAGCGTGTTGAGCTATTAGTTGCATTAATCGGCGGAATTCCTTAGCGATTTCGCTTCTGTCTTTGTCCCCACACAAACCTTATAGAAATTAAGACACATTAGTAATACACCCTAAACTATGCTAATATTGTTGTAATATTATAAGATTTAACTACCTAATTAGGAATAAAGTTAAAGCTAACTCTTTAGTGTTAAGAAGGCCTTGCTAGCATCCTACCATAGCCCGCAGAGGCACCCAACCGGGGGCAGCAGAAGCGCCTCTGGCCAAGTCAACGCGTTTAAGTACTAGTACTGTCTAACAGCCTACTGCTAAAGCAGCTGCTTAGTTGTTAAGAAAGCCTAATAAGCAGGCTAGTAGTAGCAGAAGGAGGGGAGAAGCTGCAGCAGCGCGTAACTAGAAATTAGTTACCTAGGTTAATATAGAAGAGCCTCTTACGCTGTCGCTGTTGCCTGCTATTGTACCTGCCCTAATTAAAATTCTTAAGTCGCCACGCGTTATGCTAGATCTACTGTTGTCGCCGCTGCTACCCTAGCAGCCCTAATATAATATAGATATAACATATATTCTCTGCGTAAATAGGGTTAAAGTAGTAGAAGATTACAATAACTATAAGCGTGTGTTCTTTTTAATGTTATTTATAAAGGATAAAGTAACATTGCTAATTAATAACCTAGCGTTAACAATTAACAGCTGTGGGCACTGTGTACAGAGCTGCAGCGTTAGCTTCTGTCTAGATAAAAGAGGTGCTGCTTAGCAGTGTGTACTGCTGTTAGATTTTAGTACTGTTAAAAAAGTTTAGCTATTTAAAATAGTTAATTATTATGTTACCTGCTTTAAAGATATATTGCGTGTAAAGTTTAAAGTAGAGATCTGTGTTTAAGTTAAGGCGCTGTAAAAAGCCTTCCTATGTAATTAGTTGTTTAATAAGGCCTTATTTAAGCTAGGTAATAACATCCCTGTAAGCGCCTACTGCAGTAAGCAACTGCTAAGAGAGACAAAGGCTATAAAGTGTGTAAAAGACATTAAGACAGCTATAGATTACTAATTAATAATCTACTAAATATAAAAGTGCTGCGTTAATCTCTGTAATAATAGTAGTTAATAGTGTTATATCTACCTAAGTAGTGCTTACTATAAGATTAAACTAATTAATGCAGAGGCTTAGACAAGGTCTATTATTATAGGCAAATTATTAGCCCTATATCTAGCTTATAAGATAGTTAAGGCCTTAAAGCTGTAAAGTAACAAGCTGCAAGTAGAGCCTTATAGTTAAAAAAGTAAAAAAAAAAGGCGTAATTTATTATCTAATTTAGATAAGCTAACACTAAAAGAGCTATAAAAACAGGCAGAGAAGCAGTAATTAATAAATTAAATAGTAAAGATAGAGAAGAACAAGGCAGCTTAAGCAGAGCAGCAAGAGTTTTAGTAATTCTAGATGCAGCAGATAAGGCTTTAGTAGATGCTAGCAGCTCTGCTAGCAGCTCTGCTAGGCGCCTTCTTAGGTGGGCAGCTGCTGCTACTGTACCTATTGTCTTTTATTATAGCAGCGCCTTTTTAACTAGTAACCCTATTAATGCTACGTACAGCAAGTCTTTTAGTTCTGTTGTTAAGCCTAGTAGCTAGAGCTAGTAAGGTGGATACCTACATAACTATAAGAGAGTTCTTTTCCTAGCTTATAGAGCAACAGGAGAAGAAAGAAAATAATATTAACTATGTTACTGCTAGTAAGGTAGTAATTAAGTAGAAGTAGATAATTAACAACCTCTACCTTATGTTAGATCTAGGTAATAAGCTCTATACTATTACTATTAGCAGGTTTAAACTTAAGGATAGAGTAGTTTAGCACCTTTATAAGAATCTCTGTTGCTTTAAGTAGCTATATTAAAGAGTAAATAGCTTTGTAGAGCTTAGGGGGGTAGCAGGAGCAGCAGGAGCAGCAGGAGCAGCAGGAGCAGCAGAAGCAGCAGGAGCAGCAGGAGCAGGTGGTGAAGTAGGTAGGAACAGAAGTTAGATAGCGCATAAAGTTAACTAAAGTAAATTTAAGTAAGTTTGCTGTTTATATAGGCTCTCTAAGCTCTAGCTATACACAATCTAACTTCTCCTGCTTAATATATAACCCTCTAGCAGCGTACTAAAAGTGTTTTCTAGCAAATCTATTACACCTGCTCTTACAAATAGCAGCTACTAAAAAGGCCCTAAAATTACTATTAAAACAATGCTGCATAAACACGTAGTTCCTTTAAATCTATGCCTTAAGTACAGCAAATGTCAGCTTAATTAGGTTATAGTTAGGTAAGTATAGTAGTAAGTAGCGTACTAAGTAGCCTACATCTTAGATAACCTAGGTAACCTTATTATTTATATAAATAGCAACGTTATTAAGTACAATAACTATGTGCTTAGGGCTGTACATTACTTAGAGGCAGAGGATAAGACAGTTCTAAATCTAGTTAAGGAAATCCTTGCAATTATAGTAGCCCTTCTTAATAGCTGTATAAGGCAGGTAACTGTAGATTATATATGCTAGCAATATTGCATATGTACTGCCTCTAGAGATGCTCTGCGCGTACCAGGCAGCGTGACTAACAGGAGTGTACGCGTGGTGCCTCTAGCTAGTCTTCTTATTAAATATTAACTTATCTAAAAACACTATATTATTAGCAGCAAACCTTCTTATTAATTAATAGTAACGCTTACAGAGCTCCTTACTATAATTAATAAAGAAAGGCCTTAAAGTTTAGCAGCTTTAACTATGCTTTTTTAAGAACTTAAAAATAGTTAACTTGTCTACCTTTACACCTTTCTCTACTAGCAACTAGTGTTAAATCTTATTTAGATACATCTACCTTAAGCAAACTAGCTTTTTAAATAGTGCCTCTATGTTGTCTTTACTAATCTTAGGTGGCTGCTCTAGCCTCTTGCTAGCAGGTTTCTGTACGCTGCTGTATTTCCTTAGATTATCTAGCACGTTATACATAGTAGTCTTGCTATAGTTCTTGTAATTAGCAATTAACTAAGGCTCCTATTTAAGCTAAAGAAAGTAATAAATATTTAGTTAAGTTTAATCTAAGAGGCCTTAACTACTACAATAACACTGCGCTAACAGCGCTTAACAGGGAAGGCAAGGTAGTAGGCGAGATGAGACCCTATAAGCTTAAAACATGGCGACAGTGGGCGCAATAACCTAAGAGAGACTTCTACAACACTAAAAGTTAGCTTTATATTTGTCCCTAATTAGGTAATTAAAATCTTATAATATAACAACAATTTTAGCTTAATTTAAGGCGCAATATAGGCCTTTAGGTGATTTGTTTGGGGTATGTTGTTAGGAGAAGAAAACATGTGGATGTGCCAAGAAATTCCGCCGATTAATGCAACTAATAGAGCCGAGGTTAGGCCGGGCGTAATTTTGCTGAGTTAACGTAGTTAGGATGTGGGTGCGGTCAATTTATCCCAGGTAATAGCGCAAAGCAATTGAGAAACCTCTCCTTGGAGACCTTCTCTCCACGGCGAGAGTGACGCCTTGAAGACTTCTTTCCACGGCGAGAGTGACTCCTTGAAGACTTCTCTCTACGGCGAGAGTCTCTCCATGGCGAGAGTCTCTCCAAGAAGAATCCCTCCACGGACCTCCTCCCTCCTTGGTGATCTATCATAACTCACGAATACGCTTCATATTCCGCGCATAATAATGTATATTTTACTTGCCCACACCTCTAGTCCAGTCCCCATTTAGGCATAATAAGCCCGCACTTCAGTACTTACTCAGGTCTTTACGATTCAATTCTGATAATAATGTGACCTTTAATGCTCCTTCTACCCTCTTCTACCTTCTTCTCTCTCCATATGTCATATTACTTACGTGAATAGAATGTCAAGAGTTGTACGTGTCAGGGACCAAAAATCAGCCCCTCTGAGTGGTCTGAAAATGGGACCCCCTTTGATCAAAATCTCCAGGATTCACCAACTAGGCTCATCATCAAGTCAAGATACACGGAGGTCACATGAAGGAGGACCTTCTTCCCTTTCAAAACTCTCATGGATAAACACCCCCCCAAATAAACGTTGCAGCTCATCATTATATCACAGTCATTTCAGTATAGATAACCCCCCAAAAAGTATGATTTCCGAGACTTCCAAACATCTTAACGGTCTTAATACAGTGTATGATAGGAACTTCGTACAGAGGACAAACATGGTGACGCCTGCGTATGAAAAAACGTTGCCTGGACTCGAAGTAAGTATTAGAGTATGGTAGGAGTTAGCTAGAGTTTACCTGTCTTGTGGGTTTGCGCCCTTGCCTTTTTCATCCTTCGTAAGTCTGATGTAAAGCTCCGTCTTCCTAGATTGCATACTGAACATTGTAAACATGTATGCATCCTGAAACTCGCTGTTAATAGAATTCTTGAAGGTACTCTCTAGGAATGGTCACCTGGAAATAGAATCCTCTTAATTCACGTTCAGCTTCATCTTCTGCTTCTCCATCATCTCTTCTATCAGATTTAGCAAATTCGCCAATCCTACCGGCGCTCTCGAAGTTCGTCGTAGTGATACGATGCTGGATAAACCTTACTCTTGGTTTAACGTGTACGATTGGGCTCCGTCTCCATGCGTAAACACTAAATACTCCGTAGTAGAAGTCGCCGCAGAATTTGGGCTCTCTTACATATAGTCGGAGGTGTAGTACCTTCCTGACAAATTATTTATTATACTAGAAAAGGTTGTGAGCCAAAGTAAGCATATCAGCGTGCTGATATGAAACTAGCCTTCGTCATATGCTCCTTATCATTTTGAGAAACTGGGTGCCCATCTCCTTGTCTTTCTCTCTTATCTTTCTCTCTTCTATTTTATTGTTTAAAGTAGTAGTCATCTCTTTCTACCCTTCATACCAGCGCCAACAAAGAGCATGAAGTCCTCTAGGTCTTTGACATATTCTATACTTGCGGTTGGATGACTGAGCTTGAACCTACAAAATTAGCTCGCAGCACATGAAGACAGAACATGAACTTACACTGCCTATTGATGGCCTTGTCTCTGCTTGCTGGCTTTATACTACTTGCTAGAGTCATCTTCGATGGTTTTGTTCTTGACCTTTGACTGATCAATAGCCGTAATAGTTGTACTGCTGCGTGCAAGAAGCTCTTGGTCACGCGTAGTTAATACTACGACCATAGCGATACTCAGTAAATAGAGGTTGTTAATAAAAAGAGGGATATGGTTATAAAGAAGGATGAACCAATTGTCTACCTGATAGTTGGGCAACGGCTTAACTATAAGCGCTTTTGTGATAAAGGGCGCAGGTCCATGAGACTCTGAGAATACAGCCTGGTATATGGACACAGACCATCAATCAGTCAACGGGAACTCCTACCTAATAGCAATCACTTTCATCATCTGGGCTCGGGGGGGTCCTAAAATTGGGAACCCCTAGAAGCTATAGTCCTTCGGCAGGAAGCAACCCCGATATAAGCACTCTATATTCTATTAGGAGTAATATAATACTATAATTACACATGTACTGCTTTCTGGTTCACAGTCAATCTTTCTGTATAGTAGTGATTGATCCGTTGAAGGAACGATAACAGTAAATGCACACTATCATAAATATACTTAGATCTAGTCCTACAATATATAAGCTACATATTTGCAAAGCAATCAAGAACAGTAATACAAAGACTGCTAAAGCACACCAGTACAAATAGGAGGTGTGTCTACAAGGGAGGCTCAAGATAAATCTTCAGAGAGTATGATTGTAGATGCTCGCGTAAAGTTGCTAGTGTTTAGCAGAAGAGTCAGCAGTTGGAGGGACCAAAATCAGGACCGGGACAGAAAATGGAGCGAAGCATAAGCAGCCTGAGGCAGCAAGATTCGAGCTTGAGCAACCCTGATTGAGTTTGAGTAGACCGTGAGCGAGCGTGAGTTGAGGCGGTGCAAACGTAAGCGTATTGGGCTGAGGTTGAGCCGAGTAAGATTTTGCTGAGTCAACGTGACTGTATTGATGACCCGAGTTGGGACGTGGGTGCGGGCACTTTGTCCCAGTTAATAGCACAGAAAACACGAACCAAACGTGTCGAGACGTGAACTTCAATCCCAACTCTATAAAATAGCGAATGGAGAAAGATTCGGTGAGATCCTAGTCAACAGAAGATAAGATATCGTATGCACTAGGATGTCGAGCAAAGCTATTGTTGAGGAAGTGCAAGACCATTGATCAGAAATTTGCTCATTACTGATCCATTCCACGCACGATAATCCTATCGTGTAAGCACTGGGTGGGGTACTTTGGTATCCCATCCACGAATTCGGTCTTGCAGGCATAGGGGAGAGGAGGGTGAGAGACATGATCAAACTGGGCCGTGATGGTTGGAGAGGAAATATTTCGGAAGAGAGCGATGTTCCCACAGTTTCATGGAGATTAAAAGCCAATAATAAGCCATCTGAGTCTCTAGTGTAGCACAGCAACGCCTAGGCAGGCTCCTTGACCACTCTTTAGAGGTCTTGGAGCGAAGTGGACTGAGAGTGAGTGGCCAATTACATCTGCGGAACTCCTCCAGCAACCCGATCGCGCTAGCGAATATGCCTCGGCCAATCAGCCGCCTCGGTAAAGGCCAGGAACCTTCGTACCTCTCCAAACGCGCAAAAATAAGCACTGCAATCGACACTTTTTCCTTCGAGGCCTGTTCACCTTCCTGATTAGGAAGTTTGATCAAGGTACAGAATACTTGCGTATGTCTATCACAATCGGACTGAGTCGTTAATTCCGCGTGCAAAAGGCCGTGGATTGCCGACGCTAGTCAGGGAGAAACCGGATTTTGGAAATTGGCCGAAATTTAGAGATGGATTTCCACGCGTTTTGCTTACTCGACGTTAGTACTATCTGATCGAGAATGTTCCGCGCAGACGCTGATATTGATGTTCACTAGTGGTCTGTAGAGCGGTAGAGCCAATCCTAAGAGGCTTTGATGAATTTTGAAGTTTTTCCTGCAGTTTTTTGCTTGCTACCAACAATTCAAGGTTGAGAATGGCGTCACGTGTCTTGAAGCATTGTTCAAAATATTACAAGAATTGACGATGATGCCCCGCTTCCTAGGTCCCCCTTTCTTAGCTGCATACTGCACTCTATATTCTGTGCCTAGAAGACTTCTATTGGAAAGCATGAATATACGAAGCTTTCCTTTTTGCTATAAGCAGAAGTTTCTACATCTAAACAAGGAATAGTGCTAGCGAGCCGGCTTGGGGCGTTTATTAGGCGCGCATCAGTATGCAATGCCCGCAGTTCTATCACATAGGCTGGGATGGTCTAGGGGAGGCTATGTGGGATGAGGAGGGCGAGGATTAACAATGTAGTTGTAGATGTGAATAATCGCACCACGAGGTAGGAGTGAGGTTAGAAAATGGAGATATAGAATTCATGACTACGGTTTAGAGGAATTCATGCGCCTATCCAGGTTCTTGAGTGCCATGATTCAGAGGGGTTGCAGATATGAGGTTGACAGCCTCATCGGAAAGGATGCCAAGCGCGGAGGTGCACGGAGCCTCCGCCGAACCTCAAAGCCATAGAAGCGGCCTTTGCTGCCCACCTGTACTTCAACCTATACCACACCACATCATCGCAAACATGGCGCCCAGAGGAGGCCGCCCAGACAGCACGTCAGCGCGGGACGATACTGCCGATAACCACGACAGAGATCGCAACAAGGACAGAGGCAGGAATGTTCGAAACGGAGAACGAGATCGCGTAGGCACACCAACCCGCGACTCCAACCCTCCAAGTCGCGCCCGGCTTGACAGCCCGAACGGTCCCCCAAGATCGCCTCGCGAGCGCGGAGTGCGACGGAACTACGACGCGAGAGATCGATACGGAGGTCGCGACCGCTCACGGAGCCCTCACCGACGCGGCGGAAGGCGACATGACCGTTCACCAGATCGACGAGATAAGAAAGATCGGGACGACAATGACAGAAGCACATACCGTGACCGTGAGCCGCCAAAGGGTCCACGTGGAGGAGGGGCATATCGCAAGCCGGATACCAGGCCCGCAGCACCAGCGAAGACACCAACACCCGCGCCCGTGAAAGCAGAGCCTAAGGAGGTGGAGATGGAGGACGTTATGCAGGATTGTCCTGAGGGCATGGACCCTGAGGATTGGATGATGCACAGGCTGATGGGATTTACACAGTTCAAGTCGACCAAGGACACGAAGGTGCCAGGCAACGACAAGAACTATGGCGTGAGGAAGGACAAGCTCATGGCGGCTCGCCAATACATGAACAGGCAAGGAGGGTTTAATAGACCGCTGTCTCCATCTCGAAATTAGGGTCTCTGCTGTGGCAAAAGGAACTACTACGCCGTTCTGGCTTCGTCCCACGGGTCTCAAGCATTTCAAAGGCTATTCCGAGGTACGGCGCTTCCACACAGCATTATCTTACCCTCTTCATTACTGTACTGAACGGACAACTAGGTGGTTATTCTCTGGCTTGGTTTCATTCTAGATGGCCTCTCAAGCATGGCGAAGGAGTTGAGGGTTATATAGCTAGTCAATGAGGCCCCGATCATAATGGGAGCGCCTTTTCTCATGACGAAATCATCCCAAACCCTCAGTGTACTTGCCATATGAAGTGGTGAGAGATGCACCCCTCCAGGATGATCTAGCTGCATATAGCATATTTGACGTATTTGGCATGTGCCGGTGTGGCGGTGCGAAAGTGTGGCACTTCCGAAGTGAAATGTGTCAAATCCCCGCCAGCCCAAACCTCGCCAAAGCCAACACACCTGGGTGGGCTCCCGCACACGAAACTGCGCCATGGAGCCATCAATAAGGTGGCGCTTTCTGTTTTCCCTTTTCGTGACGATTCTTCTTACCCAATTGCCATTTGTGCGGGCACAAGACACAGTTGCGTCGATTGAGAAAGCCTCAAACGACACGCTGCTATGGGGTCCCTACCGCCCCAACTTATACTTCGGCGTCCGGCCACGCATACCGAAGAGCTTGATGGGTGGGCTGCTGTGGACGAGAGTTGAGGATTATGCTAGCGTGCAGAATAGTACGTCAGACACTGCGTTCTAATACTCTAGGGCATCAATTGTCTAACACATTGGCTGGCGGGTAGACTTCCGACACACGTGCGAGCAACATGAACTCGACGGCTATGGCTGGGACGAATACGACGTGCGAACTGGTGGCCGACAAACAATTCACGATCCTGCGAATGGCATCGATATTACGACAGAATTTGTGAAGATCCCCGGGGGTCAACATGGCGGAAATTGGGGTGTCAGGATCAAAGGTACGCCGCGGGAAGACGTGTCCCCCGATTTGCGCACTACGGTTGTCTGGTACAGCTCCATGGAGGGGTTAGGCAGCTTGGAAGTCGAGGCGGAAGAGGGCGAGACATTTAGTGAGGGGGATGTCGTGATGAAGGGCCAGACGGTCGAGCTCGGCGACTTCGAACTCAGGGTTACCGAGGGCACTGGAGAACACCCGAGGACAGGCCATCCGAGCGCTGATGAGAAGCCGTTGGATAAAACGTTGGTAAACAGTCTGCAGTTGCCGGAGGAGGCGCTGTGGCAGACGAAGGCGGTTCTATTCGCGCATCTAAAGAAACAGATTGACAACCTGCTGGCCATGTACCCAGAGGACAATCCACCGCCGCCTGCCCAGATCTATACAATTCAACATGCTCCAGGACAAGGGAATCTGCATCTCGTGCAAAAGGTGTTTGAAGGCGCGTTCGAGTTCGATGTGCTCTACTCGTCGGCCTCTGCACCCAGGCCCATTACTTCCGAGGATCTCACTCAGCAGATCAAGTCTGTTACTACTAGCTTCTCCACCCGATTTGCCGACATCTTCAAGCCCAAGCCCCCTTTTCTCAAAGAGAGGTACGAAGAGTTCTCAAAGTCCTTGTTCTCAAACCTGATTGGCGGTATTGGCTACTTCTACGGCGACTCGCGCGTCGATCGATCCTATGATCCTGCCTATGAGGAGGACAACGAGGGCTTTTGGGAAGATGCTGCCGAAGCGCGGGGCAGGAACGCACCTGAGCTCGAAGGTCCATCAGAACTCTTTACCAGCATCCCATCTCGGCCATTCTTCCCGCGTGGCTTTCTATGGGACGAAGGATTCCATTTGCTTCCTGTGATTGATTGGGATGTGGATCTTACCCTAGACATTATCAAGAGCTGGTTCAAGCTGATGGATGAAGACGGTTGGATTGGACGCGAGCAGATCCTTGGAGCTGAAGCGCGCAGCAAAGTCCCTCCTGAGTTCCAGGTGCAATACCCGCATTACGCGAATCCCCCGACACTCTTCATGGTCCTTACTGCCTTCCTCGACAAGCTAGACGCGCAAAAGAAATCCTCAGATTCCAGTGCCCAGAAAGTGCTAGCTGAGAAGTCATATTCCATGCAATTGTCCAACCGAGAAGCCGCCCTCGAATATCTCCGCACTCTATACCCTCTCCTCAAACGCCACTACTTTTGGTTCCGCAAAACCCAAGCTGGCGACATTAAAAGCTACGACCGCGAAGCCTTCTCCTCCAAAGAGGGTTATCGCTGGCGTGGCCGCACTCCCCAGCATATCCTCACCTCGGGCCTCGACGACTATCCCCGCGCGCAGCCACCCCATCCTGGTGAACTTAATGTAGACCTAATCAGCTGGATCGGCATGATGACTAAATCCATGCAGCGCATCGCTGCGCATCTCTCCGAAGAAGACGACGCCTCCGAGTTCGCAAAATACTACGAAGCCATCGTCCGCAACATCGACGATCTGCACTGGTCCGACAAAGCGCAAACATACTGTGACGCTACCATCGACGACTACGAGGAGAACTCGCACGTGTGCCATAAAGGCTACATCTCGGTGTTTCCGTTCTTGGTTGGACTTTTGCCGGCGGATAGTCCAAGGTTGGGCGCAGTGTTGGATACGTTGAGTGATCCAGAGGAATTGTGGAGTGAGTTTGGATTGAGAAGTTTGAGTAAAAGTGATGAGTTTTATCATACTGAGGAGGATTATTGGAGGGGACCTATTTGGGTTAATATTAATTATTTGGCGGTGGTGAAGTTGTTGGTATGTATTCCGTTCCCCCATTGGTCCCTGCTCCCCCTCCCCCCTTCTCCTTAGTCTTCTGTTTCTTTCATCCTAGTTTGGTTTCCAGAGTTGGAGTTTGAATAACTAACTACAACAGGACCTCGCACAAATAAAATCCCCCCACCAATCCCGCGCAAAGAAACTTTACACCGACCTTCGCAAGAACCTCGTCAAGACCGTGTATGAGAGTTGGAAGGAAACAGGTTTTGCATGGGAACAATATAATCCGGAGACAGGGAAAGGGCAGCGCACGCAGCATTTTACGGGCTGGACCAGTTTAGTGGTTAAAATCATGGCAATGCCGGACTTAGAAGGGGGCGAGAGGGTGAGAGATGAGTTGTAGGGGTGAGCAGTGAGCAGAGAGGGTGAGGTATGATGTGGATGGTGGATTATCCTGGTAGGTCTGAATGGTCTAAGGCCTTTATGGCAGGATGGGTTGGTTGGGGAGAGGAGAGAACGACATGTATTATATCATAGTAGACGGTCTGTGTCTATACTAAGGTATTTGTTCAATTCAACTTGTTAAATTAGGAGGGCTATCCTGTCTACTTCGTTTGCTCCAACTCCCACTAGATGGAGGGGCAGACTGGCGTCAACTCCACAGTAAGTCATTTGATTTCGTGTAAGTATGCTGGGGTAGATGTGGTTTAGCGTGGTGTGTTGATGGTGGTGTTCTTGTCACTGTGTGGTTCGATGCTTTGCCTAAGAAAGAGAGAGGCTTATAGCCATAAGAGCTTATGGTTCTGGAGTGAGGATTTGGAGTGAGGATTTGGAGTGAGGATTTGATGGGAGGGTAGGGAGATCGTGGTGCTGAGAGAGAGAGAGAGAGAGAGAGAGTTAGAGTGAAATGTGAAGTCTTGATGAGGATTGAATAAGAGAAGGTGATTGTGGAGTTTTTTTGGTTTGCGAATTACGTAGAAATGGCTGGCGTGTTCCTCTCTCATCTTGTTACCTAGACTCTATCGGCATCCAGTCCGTCATCACACGTCGTCTTTGTCTCAGCTCGACTACGTTGCTTGTACCTGGCTTTCTCAATGCTAAGGCTTTGGTGTCTTTAACTCTACATCTATAGCATAATTATCGCTCCTCTTGCCGCATATCCCATACCGAAAGTTTATGGACGTCGACCGGTAAACTTTACTAGAGCTTAAGTTAGAGCCAGACGGCCAGTATTTCTATCAAAGCTGAGGGAATTCATAGATTGCTTCCAGGGGCTTAACAGGCAGAGTGCGCCCGGTGATGAAGATTAAGGCCTCTAGGCTTATAGGTGCATTGGAAAGAATTGAGTCTGCCAGGTTAGTTCTAGTTAGTCACCCGTAGGTGGGTATGGGTGTGTGGGGGTCGGGGTCTAATTCTTTCGAGATATAATGATTGAATACTAGTAGGTTGATAATAGGAGTTGGCTTTGGGAAAGTTAGATTTTATGTAGATACTCAGGCAGGATATGTCTACAAGGTACGTTGGCAAAAATTTTAATAACTGTGTCGCTCGGTCGAGCGAAAGTTCGACAGCAGTATTGGTCTAGAATGTCTCAAAATATTTATTTCCCTCAACTCACTTCTGTAAATATCTAGGTAAGTATCCTAGTCGTGGGCCGGGTCGGTCCCGCGTAGACCTAGACTAGCCCTAGAAGATTCCCCCCCATTACAGACACAATTACTACTTAAAACCCACCCAATTATTCTCTAACCTTAGTAGGATACCCAAGCTGGCACACGCTCCGTGAGTACAACCCTTCCATAAATTTTTCCCACTCCTCACTTTCCCGGCTCACCCACATGTCGCCGAGCTACTCTACAATTTTCAATTATATCGATGATGTGGGGTGCGTCAATACTTTCTAAAATCTCTGTTTCATTTTGAAGAGCTCTACGATGCCTCTGTCTCGAGAACGTGCAAAAAATAGTCGTAATATAATCCTCCTTCTACTGTAACCTGTTCTAAGGTCCTGTGGGAATGGCTTTGAAAGCAAAGGATGAATGAATATCGCCATACTTTGTATCTTCGTAAAGGCTATGATATTTATGAAGCAAAATTGGCCGAATCCTGAGAAAAATCACGACATTTCACATGACCCTCTTATGGAGAAAGTAGTAGCATATAGCGCAATCCATCCCCCACCGGTTGCAAACAAAGATGCTTTGGGAACTTCGCTTTTGCGAAGTTCATCCCACAAACGAATACTTTCGATCTGGGTTCCACCACCCTCCCACTCCCCTTCATGGCTCGCTCTCTCGCGTATAGTAAGGTTGGCCTTCTTTTTACTCTACCTCTACTTATAAACCTTCCGAAATGTAGAGGTAAACATGCAGAGCCAGAGGGATTCTCCTCGGATGTTCATGATAACCTTGAACCCGCTTTAGACAGCCTTTCCACCCCAAGGTGCGTCATTATCTGTGCTGTTTATGCTGTGGGATTCCGTATATCGCCTTCGATTTGCTAGCGTACCTTCCTCTAGCTCTGAAGCGCCAGAATTAGCCCCGGAGGCCACTGTAGAGGGTCTTGCAAAAAAGAACTGATAGGTCGGATCTCCAGTTACTTTGAGCAACCGTCACTAAATTCCTTCAGCCTCATTTGTCTAGCCACTAATCTAAGTCCAGATGACCTCCTACACAATGCTCCTATAACGGGAACAGAAATCAGAGAACGAAATATCCTCTAACGTCCCTCACTATATGGCAAGACACCCTCCATGCCGAGAAATATGAAGGGTACCTTAAATTCAAGGGACGCAGAATCCGTGCACAGAGATCTTCACCGCACGATCAACCATCCTTATGCTGCCTTCCATTACCTCACCTACTACATACGAACAATTTCGACAGCACCTAATGAAATCAATGTACAACATCTCGTTGGGTTGTCTGATCCTCTTCTGGGTATGACTGGGCCCTGATTGACTTATATTCGCGAGATCTACGCTCGTGAAGCGGGAATGAGATGGGACAGTTAAAAGGTTTTCGGATTTGGCTTGAATTAGAGATGGGATGGGATTTTGGCCCTCCTCTGGTCGTTCGATGAATCTTGGGGTGTCACTATGACCATTAGGTACCGTCGACTTTGTCGTTTAGGTGAACGTGACTTTGTATGTGGTTACTCACAAAGTGCACGCACTTTCGATATTTTGGGAGCTAACACGGAATTATAGGCACTACTAAGGCCCTAGTTTGTTTTAAAGCACAGGTAAGTTACTAGAGTCTACCCACCTAGATATGTCTTTCTTACTGTCATGTGATGAGCACGTGGTTTTCATATTTTACGTGCACCTACGTCGTAATTGTGCTTATATTTTACCTTACTTAGATAAACATCGATTCGGTGCATCGGCTCCCTTCTTAGGGATGCCGACCTCGCTGACGAGTGCACATGTATGGGTTCGTTATTCTCAAGTTAGACCTCGGATCCTTCGACTTCATTGCTGCCTGCTGCTCAACTGCCCTTCTCAACACCCAACACTCACCAGCTCATAACAAGACACTATATCTTCTAATAGCTTCTATCAATTAAAATGGCCTGCCTTTGCAGGCTACCAACAGAGTTACTCCATCAGATCGCAAATTACCTCGACGATAACTCCACCGCGAGCCTCGAACTCTCATGTCGGTTGCTTAGCTACGCTATCTCTAGTCGCCGCACCGAACATTACGAGAACTTGCTGATGTCTCGTTCTTTTCGTCCGTTTCTCAAGCGGCTTTGCAAAGTTCCAGAGCTCGCACAATATGTCAGATCCGTCAGGATTCGTGGCCCTCGATCTCGCGATCCATATCCAAATCCAAAGTTTCGGGGTCAACAGACGGCCGTAGTTGCATTAGTTATCGCTACGGCCGAAGAATTAGGCGTATTAAAGGAAGAAAATGCAAGTGAAAAACTTCCCCATCAAGGGCGGAAACGGAAGAGAGTATCAGCGCTCAATACATATTGGGTCCAGGATCTCAGGAATGGAAGTGAAAGGGCACAAATCATATTCATACTTTCCTTGCTTCCCAATCTCGAGCGGCTGGTCATCGACGAGTTGCCTTGTCAAGTTCCCTACGAACCATCACGGCTTCTGGAACATTCTGCTAGCGCCAAGACCCTAAAGCACTTAGAGATAAATGCAGCAAAGGACGCCTTCGACGCAACGGGTTCAGTAGTAGACCGTGATCTACACACCATAGGATCTCAACATGCGCTTCAATCAATCCGGCTCTCAAACGTTTCCTTCCGCCAACAACCTTTTATGTTTTTGCCAAGGTTCCAGTCCTCTAGCATTTCCACAGTTATTTTCAGCAACTGTGCAATATCAATCGATTTCATACGCCTGATTGGAAATTCAGCGACCAAGTTGGAAACCTTTCACTATAGGTTTGGCCACTTAGGACATAGTTTTAAACTAGGCAACCCTTTTTTCCGTGCCTGTTTCCTCCTTCCCGATGTGTTGACGGCGTTACTGCCATGTGCGCAGTCACTAAAATGCCTGGAACTTATCTTCCCCGAAGACGAGTATGACGTTCAAAACATTCCACCGATGGACAAGAGCCATACCCAAACGATCCTAGATAAATTTACTATGTTGGAGACGGTTCAGATCCCGCTTCACTTATGCGATCAAGACTGACAGATATTGTATTTCTTCTCTTAAAGATCATAAGATGGCAAGCTTAAGCACGCTCACTTCTATTTACATCTACTTTGCTATGGGGCTATGGTACCTAGTGTTGAACGAGAGTGCTCATTGGGAGCCTCGACATGTGTGCCGCCGGGGTGTGGAGATTTAGATTGGTGGTGGCACATAGGCGGGCTCGCACCAAATGGTATCAATATTCATTTCTGAAAAGCTACTGCTCGTTTGGGCTATTTAATCTATTTATTTCCATAGTTTACAATTCTTTGACAGGGGTTCAATGACTTGCCCATAAATAGCACCCCATAACCGGTCGTCTTTTCATTGAGAGTCTCGGGACTCCCCAGTCATGAATCCTGTACAATAGCAAACAGCATTACCATAAAATTCTAATAAATCAGGATAAGACTCTTCTGCCCATTTCAATGCGAGGACGAGGCGTTCAAAAAACTCGACCAGCCTCTTCTTCAATGAAAAGCGTGTCTCCAGAGTTTGTTCATGCCAGATTTCCAAGAGCAGAATCCCCAGCTCGAGTAGGGCTTCCTTTGGTGGTGGCTTGTCGTTGTGATTTTAGAGAAGGTAGCTGGCTGTTCTCGTCAAACCCGGAAAATACGAAAGGTTGTCTGAAGTCTACTTGGGGAGTGCCTTTGGCATAACAGGGGGACATCGGGAAATAGACCATCCCCTTTGAAATTGCGGAATGTATCCAGGGCGTATTTCAGAGCTGCAGAAGTTTAGATGCAAGCCTCAGCGAGAGCAACATGTGAAATCGTAATGGAATGCTGCGTCGTTTAGGGATGTTCGAGAGAAGGTCATTCAATGAGGTTAAACCCTGGCAATACACTTTTAAGCACTTCTGCAGGGACGGAATGGTCGCTATTTGCCCTTGGCCTCTTCTGGCGGCGAGAACAAAGGCAACATGTTGCTTGATTGATCTTGCAGACTGTGCCGCTACTAAGGCCAGACAGAGATCATCAACGCCCTTTGGAGTCAGACTCGTTGAAGTACGCTCTTTGACGAAGGCTACCGAGGACTCCCTTGAGCTGGAGGGGGAATTTCTTTCGTATCTTCCTCGCACTCGGCTGGAAGAGCTTGTATGTTATTCTCGTGACCTTTGGATCTGCTTTTCGTTCGTCCTTATTGAGAATACGAGGTGGAATACAGGAACCATCTTTGGTCCACCTGGTTTCACAGATTTCACGACTTCTAGCCTATCGTCGAGAAACAGCTGAACATTATGGCTCGGATGGCAATCACTCACTCACCCCTGTCCAAGGGCTGCATGCAGATTACTAGCGAGTGTCCTTATTTGGCGAAATGCCTTGGTTGACTAGCTTCTTCGTTTGGCGACTAGATTCATGTTCCGCGGGTTGCCGAATCCTGGTGACCACATTGATGAGTCTACTGAGACCGTTGACAGCAGTTTCCAGCTAATCCATGGTATTGGTGAGATCGGAAGCTCCAAACATCAGTTTGAGCCTTGGGAACAAATGAATATGCTTGACGTCATCTTTCCTGTTCACCTCAATAAGAGCGAGGAGGTCATCAGTGGAGCGCTGAGTGTCTCAGTCAGCTCATGGATGTGCACTACGAGTTAACAATACCACAACGAACCTTTGCCATTGGAACCAGGCGTGCAAGACTCTTTGCGATGGTCTTAATCGCAATAATACTCTGTGTGGTCTTCTTCGTGAAAGTAGTCTCTGTCTCCTAGCCCAGGTATTCGCGGAAACGTTCTTGCACATGGTTTTGCTTAAGGAGCTCGAGCGGGGAAACATCAAGGCGTAGCACATCCTCAGGATCGCAGCCACTATGCGCAAGGAGCATCTGAACCACTTCCGCGAGTGTACGTACCCCTTTGGAAGTACAGGGAATCCGCTAGCTCTTCTACATACTTCCGTTTCTTGAAGAACCGACTACCGGCTTGAACGGTCTCCTGGTAACTTTCAACGTCTTTCAGTAGAATTGGGATGGCGCCGAGCACAAGGCCAGCGACCTCGATTCCGGACATAATGACGATATGTCTTAGATTAAGGAATCCGGGGGTTTAGAGGATATGTGGAGGACACCTAGTCATATGCTAAAATTATATTTGAACTACGATATTTCCAGCCAATGTGGAGAGCATTTTGGGGGCTAGAATCAAGTTCAACAGGCTGCCAGGTTGCCGAGCGTCTCTTGATTGGGGACTGACAAAGTTCTTCGTCGCGAAATCGAAGCAAGGAAGGTCAAGTCATAACTAGCGGAGAGAAAGAATGAGAACTGGAGAAGGTCTTCAAGATTTAGAGGCAGGGTAGGTACCGCAGGCGACAAGCTATCAAGCAGATTGACTGAGAGATCTATACGAACCACACGGGGAACAGTTTCTCCCCGACCAGCAGGATTATAGCGCTATCAGCTTAGCATTCACCTCATGAAACTTACGACAAGCACATTCCTAATGACTGAGCCATCTTCTTTATCCAGAAGCGGCGCTGAGGCTAGGCACATATTCTCCCGGCTCTCAAATGACGGTGGTTTCCACGGTGAAGAGTCGATTAAGGCCAGATTTTGCGCCGAGGCTGAGCGCTTCGAGATTTGGGCTGTTAATTTGGGCATTTTTGCCCCTGGTCATGGCTCCTTGGACTATCGGGTCAGGGAAGCAGAAAATGTGAAGAGCATGCTGCAACGATGCCTATCGTCACTGAACCGATCATTAGCTGAAAGTCAGCCCTCATTTTCGATCGTGTTTACAATATGATTGCTTGCGCATACTACGGAACACGGGCAGGATAGATTTGATCTACACAATCTCTTCAATGGGCCTAGAGAGGTTGCTAAGAGGTTGGCACTTACCGACATAGATTAGATGGTAACCATGTTCTGTTGTAAGTGCGAACATTGAGTAAAGCCTATATGCTGACGCGAATGGAAGCAGTAATCAACTACAATTCCATGCGAAATTCAGTCACTGGAGATGCACAAGCAAAAAGCCAAGTCACACTTCTCGGTTCCACCGCGACAGATGATAGCTGGGATGCCGATTTCTTCGAAGGCTCAGTGTCCGACATCGAACTCCTTTTGCACAGCATTAAAACATGTATCGACCGACTCTATAAACTTTCCCTCTGGATTAGGAGCTCATCATCTAGATTTGCTTCCTCAAAAGCACTGCGGCACCAGCAGATTAATCACGACACCAACGTTGATCTCCTCAAAGAATTTGAGCCCTTTGGCCTAGACTACGTCCAAACGCTCTTTTACAATACCGCAATATGAAGGCCCGAGAAGTACAACCGCCTTCACCCCCACAGGCTCAAAGGAAGGGCGGTAGCGATGATTCAGAGAATGTGTGGGAGCCTCTCAGAACTCTGCTCTCGGTCCATACCGAAGAGGTGTCCAATGGGCGCGAATCCATTTTGATCAGTCGTTTGGCTCAAGCACACCTTCGACACCGCCAGCAATTCTCATACTGGAGGAGGCACAAAGAAAAGCTTGCGCAGCACTCGATCAAGAGCTCTCATCAAGCACTTGCGAGTCGTGAACGGGGATTCATGGCCAGAAATACTCCTGCTAGAAATATCTCAACGCCTGAGAATCTCCTGCCACAAGCGCCATCGGTAACTACGGCAACGCTTCTCCAAATTCCTCCGCAGTAAGGTTTCGGACAAGATCAGTCCGTTGTGTCAGTTTCAGAATACGCACCCTCAAATTGGCAACTCAAGAATGAGCTCATCAATTTTCCTCCCTCTCCAAAAGTGCCACCAGGCCACAAGTTCTTTGAATGCCCGTACTGCTTCACAATGTGTCCTAGCTCAATGCCCACTGAACCTGCATGGAGGTGCACAGGGTTTCCCTTCCAAGTCTCCACACTAACCAGTTTTCAGAACATATCTTATCGACGATCCACGCCCTTACATATGCACATATGAGATTTGCAGGAACCCGCATCAGCTATATGACAATCGCCGAGACTGGCTTCAAGACGAAAGCTCGGAGCATCGGCACGTGCTCTGATGTCCCCAACACCCAAGCCAATATGTCTTGAATCTTGAAGAACATGAAGAGCATATAACACACGGAAATGTCAAAATGACCTCAAACCCAAGAATTTTGGCCAGCCAATCAACCCTGAAAACTGCCGGGAGAGACTGTCCAGTTTGCTCATCGACATCCGAGACTCTTGAAACTTTACAATCTCATATTGCACGCCACTTGGAGCGCATCTCATTATTTTCGCTCCCCCGCGACGTTGGAGACAGAGAGGGGGAGGAAAAAGAGACTGGATTGGGTCAAGTCAAATCAACTTCGACGGATCTCGAGACCGTGACTTCGAGGAAGATCTCGAATTCGCGGATGAGGCGGCGGCGCACACGAAGAGATAACGTCTGTGTTTGGCGATAGCTTACAGGAGAGCGTAGACTCATCATCCGCCCGTTTTTTAAATCCCTTCTTGATGAATGCTGTGTTAGCTAACAATGAGGCCGAAGTTATTCGGCTTCTAAAAGAGGGAGTAGATCCAGACGACAGCTCCTCAACACGGAATTCATACATACTCAAAGGCTTAAATCACTTCGGACAAAGAGAACCGCTTCATCGTGCTGCAGAACTCAGTTATGTGGGCATAGTCAGCATTCTCCCTGAGCACGGTGCAAATATGGAAGTTAGAACGCAAGAAAATGCTACCCCCCTTATGTTAGCGGTAGAGCGTGACTACCTCCAGACTGTTAGCTATCTGCTTTCTTTCGGCGCGGATGTATCTGCGGTAGACATATTCGGCCGTACACCATTGCTTTGCGCAATAATTGCCGGGCACGAAAGCGTGGCAAGATTGCTCATAGTGGCCGGTACAGACAAACATGCAAAAGGGTCTGATGGTCGTAATCCACTTTTCTGGGCCGCCCGTCATGGGCTGGAAACCATTGCACAATTACTCCCTGATGAGAATGCGGACCCTAACGTTGTTGATCTCACGGGCTATACCGCTATTAGAGGCTGTAAAGAATGGATACAATGGTGTGGTAAATCTTTTACCCTAGAATGGAACTATTGATGTTAATCATCACGGAGGGATCATATGACGGCATTGATTCTAGCAGTAGAGAACACTGACGTCGAAGTGGGTAAAGGTCTTAACTCAACACCTTGGGATAGACCTCGGGGTGAAGAAATTCTATGGACAAACAGTTCTGGCTTTGGTGGGAATGAAGGCGCTGACGGATTTAAGCCGCAAGGAGCTTCGCAGGGAAGTCGTTGAACTGCTTCTCGATGTGGAAAATGCAGAGAAGCTGCTACCTGACCTCGAACATAAATGATAGGCTTCCATATCTATTTCATTATGAACAGATTCTTCCGGGAGGCATGCAAGTACTATTGATCTTTCATACAAGCCAATGGTATTTAATACAGAACAGAAACTTGGATGCTATAGTATGTTTGGCGTGTGTGGGGCTTGGATTCCCGACTAGAAATGTGAGTCGAAGTCTGAGAAATTACGCTTTATATAACCTAAACATAGGAATAGTTTCGTTGAGTGGTGTGCTAAGGCCTACGTCACTCAGACCGTTCTGATTAGAGCGCGATCTCCTGATGGAACATCTCCTCACACCAACACAGTCCAGGCGAACAATAGATCAAAAGACGGAGGACAGCTAGGTAGATATTAGGAGACGGAGAATATACAGGAGGTGTATGAACTGGGACAGCCGATGAGAGGTATTGATTGAGAGCAAACAGGCGTCCTGGTGGGATAGCAGTTCTCGTCCTCGTCCAGCCACCTTTCACACAGAAGAGATCCTCTCGGGCATATAAAAGCACCCACGACAGAATACAGACTATTAGGAAAGGCTGAGGCTTGTCTTATCCTTGTAGTTACCCGGAATATATCATACCTAAAGAGAGTTGTTGAGTGATTGATGATACCGTACCTCTTGTCAAGACTTGAGGCGTACGGTATTGCGACAAGATTAGTCACTAGTTGAGAGCAAAATTAGGTAGAAATATTGATAATGAAAGCAAGCAATTAGCTAATGAATTTCAGATGGGATAGAAAGTCAGGAGTGAAAGGTGAAGATTCAACAGAGGCTGAACGAGTGCACGGACCCGAAGCAACCCCACTCGATCATCGCAATCTTCAAAAACCACACCCCACCTCAGCACAATGCGCTTCAAGGCATCGATACAGAATATAACCACTTTCACGAGTAAGCCTTCCTCTCCTGTTCATGCATATCATCAATAAGGATCTAATTCAGTGATGTAGAGCTTACCGCGTCCCTCAATTCACTCGGCCCGCTTGCTTGGGTGAAGCTCAGCGACGAGCAAGTATGCTTCACCATCATCCCTGAGCAGGGCACACAGGTGTGGGCGTGAGTTCGACGCGTCCAATCTCGTGACGACGCCACTAATCAGTCCCATAGTGTTCTCTCTATTGTAAGCGCGAAGCTCCTACACCTCAATTGTAAGCCTAACACGTCCACAGGACACTATCTTCGAAACCTACACGGTGCAATCCGCTGCCAACAATGTTATTAACCTGGAAGTCCCGCTCACATCCCTTAATCGCGCCCTCAAGTCTGCCTTGAATGCGACGTCCGCGCAAATTCGCCTCACGAAGAAAGACAACCTCCCACTACTCGCCCTCACCATCGCTACCACGTCTTCTTCCAATTCATACGCCGCATTCCCCACAACAGGCGCCAACAATGAAGATGGCCTCAACACCTTGGACGCCTCATTTGGCGGAGGTAGCCGCGAGACCATCGTCACGCAGGAGGTTCCGGTGCGGGTCCTTGGCCCAGACACTGTGGCTGGTCTGCATGAGCCACAATGCCGCGAGCCTGACGTGCACATTATTCTCCCACCCCTGATGCAATTGAAAAGCATTAGCGATCGCTTTACTAAGCTTGCCTTGCTCGGCGCTAGATCCGGCACCACCGCTTCACGAACTCGCCTGGAAGTCGCCGCGAACATGCATGGTTGCCTGAGGATGAGTATTAAGACTGACGCAATGAGCATCTCGTCCGTCTGGACTGACCTCAACAACCCAGAACTCGATCCTGGTCAAGTGGCTGGGGGAGATATTGGCATTGCAGAACACCCCAGCACGCGGATGAAGCAATTAGGAAGCGCGGACGGGCGCAGCGAGGAAGGGTGGGCGACGGTTAGAATCGATGGCAGGGATTGGGGAAAGGTGATGAGTGTGGGGAGGCTCGGGGGGAGAGTCATCGCGTGTAAGTCCGGTTGTGCCTTGATTTGCCGCCGGCCGATTCGGAGACCAGACATTGGGTGGTGATCGAGATCCAATGGCTCTGACAACTACTAGGTTTCTGCCACGAACACGCCTTGATTTTGTATGTCTACCTGCCGAACGATAATGGCGATGACGAGTCGGTCTTGACGGTATGTGGCTCTGCGATCAATCCTTCCGAGGTCCCCGCACCGCGGGGAAGAATTGTGGCTGATGAACGCGATAGTACTATGTATCTTCCTACAGCGCTTAGCATGGCGTTTCTTCCATCTTCCGATTTCTTCGTATTACGATCTACATACCAACTTCTAAGAGAACCACGTAGAAGTTCTTCATTTCACAATACCCTCGCAATGCCAAGACAGCCCTCTTCAGCACCCAAGCCATCGCCCTCGCCCATCACGTGCAACTATCCACCTAATAATCCCTATCTCAATTTGTCATCCTCGCTCCCTCGCGCTCATCACATCCATATGTATAAGAATATCTGACAAGCCCTTCGGCCCTGCTCCAATTCCGCCCCCACCCAACCCAACCCAACCCAGAACCAGCAATCTTTCTAGAATCCCCGAACGCCGTTCGATAGTAATTCCCGGTAAGCGCGCTGTCAGCCCGCCCCCGAACACCCTGTCAATTCAACATCTGCACTCTTCCACCGGCAGATAGAAACCTTTCCTGATTTGTCACATGCGCATTTGAAAGTATCTACACCCGGCGCAATCTATCATACCTGCTCACAAAGTGCAGACCGTTTGACCAAGATGGGGCCAGGCGTATTTCGCCAAACTTTCTCTAGGGCCTGTGAAGCGGAGTTCAACGAGCTAGAGATGAAATGGGGTTTGCGCCTGGTGCGGATCGGTTCGGACATTCTATGGATTGGGGTGCGTCACAAGATTCTCAGGTCACGGTATACCAAAGCGATGAACGAGGAAGTGATGCCGAAGTTGCAAGCCACAGCAGGCGCTTATTCATAGGACGGCCGATCTCTAGATTGTATTGCAAGCGCAATCCATGCGCCACTGCTTCTCGGACACCCCAGGCATGGACGAATGTACGTCAATGGCACAGCAGGGGAGAGCATCTGATCAAACACAGCACACGCCAACCAAACCAAACCAAATCAGGACGGACTGCGCACCCTAGCTATCAAGGCCCGATTCGGAAGGCTTCGAGAAGACTTTCTGCTCCGGGTTCGACAGACAGGCTGCCCTGGACATTCATTTGACTCGCAGGTGGTTTACAAGGGTGCCTGGATAGGGCATCGCACAACTTGGGCTCAATGACAAGTATGACAGACACGACAGATTTGCAGGGCGCAGGTCGCAGATGCTGGACATCTGACACTAGACATGCAGAGAATAAAGCACGGTCTTGTATTTCGTACGCAGTGTTCAACACCTTCTTAGACTCCACTCTCGTGGGAGATCAGGTCAGGGTTGCGAGGTTGCAGGGCCGTGCGGCCACGTTTCTTGGTGGCCAGATTGTGCTGCTGCACCCGTATGCCGGGAAATACTGCTGGGCGAGATGAGAAGAGAGGATTGCGTGGGTGGGATGCTGTCTTACGACGGGCTACGTATGGTTTGGGCGAGGGCTCAGGTGAGGAGCACGAACAGAAAGCACCTGTGTAGGCAACTAAGACAACACTGATTTGTGTACGCGATACTCGTTCTGCGCTTTCTTAGAGGTTCAGCTTTCTGTCCGTTTGCGAACTGTTCGGTTCCGTTCGGATCTTGTCTCAGTCGTTTGATTTTGCTCTTTGCGCATGTGCCTAGCAGTGAGGAGAGCTACTGCTATTTTCGCTTTTGGCGATGTTGTGGAACACACCATCGCTTTTCTTCGCATTCCCTTCCTTTGACAGACCGTGGTGACAGCATCGAATATTGATTGCTTCCGGTCAAGTCAGGATCTTCTGCCTGCTTTCCTCTCTACGATGGAATATCCATTTCGCATCACCCGCGTTGACCCCCTCTGTTCTATTCCCATCCGTCCGACATGTTCGCCCGATGCGCAGCTCTAGGTTGCGATTGGCTTACTGCCACCTGCACCTGCATGATGAATGCATATATGAAGTCAACCTGTGACCACGATAACGCACTAAATCAGAACGGGGAATGGGTATCTGTAGATACGATGCATGCGATACGGTGCAAAGAGGAGATCCGTTTCCGGTGAACCGGATGGTGGGATTTCGGTGCTGTGTTGGCGGGCGAGGTGCAGGTGAGCGAGGGCGCGTGCTTGTGGATGGGTGTGTTGGTGTGTCGTGGCCTTTTGTCAGCAGGGCTGTAGACTGGCTATCTGTCTTCTTGTCTGTTCGTTCTTCTATATCTGGGTAGGCGAGAGGGAGCAGAGTTAGGTCTACACACGAGGATGGAGAGATATTTTCGCCTCTCCGTGCACAGCGCAGTGAAGATGGCACAGCACTTCGGGGATCAAAGACGGGGTTGCGTATGCTAGATGTATGGGCTAGAGATTAAGGGGAGCCGTGAGGATTAATTTGATACCTAGTAAGAAGGTACTTCCGGCAACGCGGGCTGCACTCCTGCCGTCAGCACTCCACTCCCGTTCACGTGGGAGTCGCCCAACCTCAGCCCAGGCCTGTACCTGAGTCAAGTACGGCCCTCGTAAGAGCGGAGGGAATCCCAGTGCTATAGGAAATGACGTCTAATGTCTCTACTTTGCATGGTAATCATGTTGCAGTTGCATACCTCATCCTGGCGTGCTGCCGAAAGCTGCCCAGTGTGCTGCGCATTCCTCTCTGGATCCTGAGGCGTAAAGTGCGTCTGCGTCTCCGTCTGACGTGCTTGGAGATGGGTAGAGCAAGCCAGCTTCTATTGGATTGGATGAATAAGATGAGATGAAATGCGATGCGACTCCTAAAGCACATTCGCATATCTTCTATCTCATCCTGACCTGGTGCCAGGTAGATCCGTGAGCGAGCCAAGAAGAGTGAGATTAGGGGCAGCAATAAGATAAGATTGCGGCTGGAATTGGTGGAACTGGGGAGTTGGAAGCCTAAAATATAGGAATGCCACGTGCGGCCGGAAATGATGTAAGCAGTGCGGTGCAGTGCTGGGTTGGGCAAGTTGTGTGACGGGACGGGCCGTTGCATGGGTACATGCTGCGCGGATCAAGTCGTGTGTCAAGATGTGTTTGAATGTTCAAGGCGCAGAGCGGTTGGCATGAATCATTCACGATGCTCCTGCTTGGGTGAACGGAGGCCTTTTTGGGGGTTTGTGGACGGTTTTGGCGTATAGGATATGGTTCCCGAGACGAAATTGCACGGACACCAGACCAGATTTATTCTCAGAATAGAATGAGAAGAAACAATGAGGGTGTTGTGGGAAGGCGAATCTCCATTTGAGATTTGGTCCGAGGGTTCAGCCTTGAGCGGCTGACTAGGTCTGATCCTAATTCGTACGCCCGGACCTCATGAAGTCTGCAACACCGCAAAAAAATGTCCGCTTTAGCATGCCGTTGAAACAGCACCACCCACGAAGCGTAGGCCAAGGGTTCCCTCAGCCTTGCGAACTCGCGTTCATCTCGAATTACCCGTCCAGCATCCGTAGACGAGACGACACTGGAGAAGGCATTCTCATGCAAGAACTGAAGTTACTGAATTTTCAAGCCCATGCACGGATACAACCCAACACGGCGACACCACCAACTAGGACAGTACTCCCATCATATGCTTCATCCTCCACCGGCATCCTGTCCCCATCTAACTGTGGGACTCCTGTTACATCCCCGTCATTTCCATATCCAAAGCGCATTATCTCCACCTCAACGCTGATAACCCCGAGGCCAGCTCAGCTAAGCAATTTCGCCGCAGGCTTGCTGCCACCATCTTGCTTCGCCTCTGACGTATGTGTACTGCTTGTAACATACAATAGATCGCCAAGCTCATCAGCATTATCGGGTTTTCGTGGCCCTATGCCTGGCTGGCAGGGCTGACATCTTGTGAGCCTGATGCCCAACGGCCCGCTATGTCGCATGGCATTCGGCTCTAATTCTTACTCTCACCCTAGCACTAGTAGGGACATGGACACAGAAAAAGACATTGTAGCAATGTAAGCTGCTGCAAACTTTCGAGCTTTGCGGAGTGCAGTACATCTATTTCTCTATATTCGGATTATGCACGTCTGACTCCTCGGCAGCAGCTAAGCCGTTTTTCGGACCGGTATACCATGGTACTACGTTTCAGAGTGAGACGATAGAGTTGAGGACTGCGCGCACAAGGCCGAGTTTGTGGGTTTGTTACATGCCAAGCTTCTTAGTACTGTATACTGTAGGTTGGCACGAATGTTGAGGCTCAGTGGCATCTGTAATGGAGAGTTAAACTGTGACCTCGGCGGCTTCCGGCCGGAGAAGTATTGTATGCGTTCAAGGATCTTAATGCGGCTTGGGGTTAAGATTGTGGAACTGCGTCGCTGGTTAGCAGTATGTCTGGGTCTGTTGCTGCGCTTTACCGCGCATCGGTCGGCAATATCAGTTGCCTAGAAATAAACGACTCCTTGGCATTTACACCGCGGAATGGAAGGAAATGTGTCCACGGTTATGAAGTATCACAGAGGCAACAACCAAATACTGACAGCAATTCAGATTCGCATTCCGGTGAGCAATGACTTGAAAGGTATACCACGAGCGGCCTCTCCTTCTATTTTGCCACTTCCAAAGAAATAATCTAATCTCTTCCATTTGTCCCATGCGCGGGACTAGAGTCCATCATCGAAGATGAAGTAATTCAGCATCCCACCTAATTCCGGTGAACAGAGGCTCCCATGCAAGATATTAGTCACAAGGCCACCGAGTGCTGCAAAATCCTGCCATTCTAGCAAATAAAAGACAGAGACTATCTAAAAAGTAAATGAGTCAAAGAAGCCATGATGTAAGTGTTGTGGTGGGAAGGAAACGTGGGAAGCCCTGCGCTCGGACACACCGAGCCGTTTTACGTTTCACCCTGCATATGCCATGCGATTGCATCCCTGATTCCCCGATATTCCCTTCGCTGAATACTGCCGTGATGAGAAATCCTATCTCTTTCGCTAAGAAAAGCGCCTCCTGCAACTGTGTCGAACCTGGTGTTGAAACTGTCGATCAGTGTAGCTGTGTGGTTTTTTGTGTGCATCTTAGCGGGGTCGATCATGTTCTTGGAAGATGCGTAAGGCTGAGCGAGGAGCAAATGCGAGGCTGGAATGGGCGTAAGGCTGATCGATCGAGAAGCGGGTCGGAGTCTCCGCTGCATGGCATGCACATCTTGACCTATCATGGAAATCGCTAGAATTCATCAAAGATGGGTGTAATGTTCTCGTCTAGTCGCTTGCGAAATAGGTCGAATGCAGAGTGTATGCACAGCAAAGGTAGCTATCACGACAATAGCACCAGGCGATGAGTCGAAAGTGTAGCGTTTCAAATGACTGTTTCGGTTAGGGATGCCCCAAGGCCTCAGGCATTGACTCCAACTTGCAGATAGGAGGCTGAAGCTATAACCAGATGCGGTTGTGTGACGATACACTCCCCAAGCCTTCTTCGAAGTTGAGACGCCATGATTGCTTTTGCTCTAGAATCAAACTCCTTTACATTCCTGCGCGACAGAAAGAAGCGAGAAGGCGAAAGACAAACAAGCGTTCATTCCATCCTTTTCCGACCTCCCCGACAAAGCTGCCACAGCATTCCGAAAATGCAATCTGACGTCACCTGTCCCCGATCCGGACGCTGAAAGTGTCCGAATAGGGAGGATAACAAGGAGAGCCCTATTTCTTAGGTAGATAGAAAGCATGAATGCTAGAAGGAAGATTACGAACAGGGCACGCAGCGACGTCGAAGCGAAGTGCTAAGGGCCGCCAAGAGTATGATTTCGATATGAGAAAGAAAGGAAGGGAAGGGGCATACATGTAAATCCAGAATCGTGATCCTAGATTTCAAAACCATTTTAGTGCTGTCCTAGATTGGGTACGTGAATGTCGCCAATGCCATCCGTAAAGCCCTATTAGGAAAGTTCTCACGTCTTTAGCCCCCAAAATAACTTATTCCAGATTCTCAACTTTCCTAAACACCGCAAAATCCCTCCTCTTGTGGTATTAGCTCAGCTGGCCGGCTCGCATAATTATAGCTAATTGCCACTCGAGTGACCAATGATGCTTTTCAGCTGTCCACCATCACAGCTGTCGAGCTTAGCGAGCCCTTTAACCGGTTTTGGAATATGGCTGAGACACAGCGATGAGGTCAGCCCTATGGCAGGGGTAGATCCTTACCAAATCGCGTTTGTCGCGTTTGTATTTCGGAGACGGGGACTATTTTTGGAGGTGGGAACACACCATCTGTGATGCAGAGCTGATGGGTTCCTGCAGCTCTGGGCTCTTTCTCGGGTCTTATGAGATGGATGAAAGACGCCGGGGAGATGGCGCTGCCGTCCGGCTGCCGTCAGGAGAGGGGATTTGGAAAGCGAACAGTAGTTTGGTCGGAGATGTTCCAGAGTGTGCGACTACTCGAGTCCATTATCTCTGCGAAACCTCGAAGGTGCGGTTCAGAACTGGCGAAAATGTTTCGTTTGCCTTCTCGTAGTCGCCCATACGGCGCGCATACACCTTCTCAATAATTTACGAGAATGCAATCTGGCTTCGAAGACTTGGGTCTTGGGCACGACACGCGGTCCTCAATTTTTGCCTACCTGTTGCCAGCACTCCCCAAATCCCAGTCCCCAAAGATAGCATACTCAGGGGCTAGAAATGTTTGTGATGCCACCAATCGATACCCCGTTCCAGGCAGCTGGGGCGATGTCCCGCAGCATGCAATATAGCTCGTGGCTCCAGTCGCACGAGCAAGGCTCACTCACGCATGGAAAATCCAAGAATTCCCAACGCCGGGACAACCCAAAAAGAAAACAAACGTAAATCCGAGGGGTAAGTTGAATGAGGTGAGAGAGCCAGGGTTTCCACGATGTATGCTAGTCTGTTTTGGTAGGTGGGCAACCCAGGGCGTGTCTCAAACTCCGCAATAGGAATCTCTATAGTTATTGGTGTTCTGGATTGGGGCCATGCTGTGAATAAATCTTGTCGGAAGACGAGAAAATCGATCTCCGAATGTTTATTGGACCGTGGTTGGGGATGCGATCCGTGCATGAGGCTCCCGTGAATTGACAAAAATATATTTCTTCAAGAACTCATAATTAAGCACCACAGTGCAGTTTTCGCCTTCTTTGCACAATTTAGTGCGAATGCTGCCTTGGCTGTGGCCAGTTACGAAAAGGTTGGAAAAGATAATTATTCATGCTTACCTGCTACCATCATCTTTCAGCAGACTCAGGAGAGCGTAAAGCTGCAGGTACGATGTTGCGCATGGGGAATGTGATGTTGCTTGTGTTGCGGCAGCCCTTCCGAAGCGGAAGGGCACCGAGAGGCTCCCCGCGCACAGTCGAGATGCCCGTTAGCAGCTGAGTCGTGCATCTCAGTTGATGTTCACGCCCGCTGGAGTGGAGCAGTTGTGAGGCTAGTGGAAGTTCCGTGAAGGAGAGGTCGTATACACAATGCTACTGGTCCATCACAGAACAGCGAACGAGCGCACGACGCTCTTGTCTTCTGATAATCACCGCTTCTGAAAATGAGTCGAGATGACACAGCTGGGGAAACGCAGGCCTAGCAGTGCCATGCTCTGTGCACCCCCCTCCCAAGCCACTCCATCCCCACTATTGGCCGGTCAGGATCCTAGGCAAGCCCCCGAAACTGGTACCCGGTGCTGTAACGTTGTTTCGAACAATGTTCCGCACATGGCCTTTGAGCACAGGAACGCAGAATTGGCCTTCTTTTTGAGCAACGATGCTCAAGGCACCTCGTCCGTAATCCACGTCTTATCCCAGATCAGGAATAACAGCTACGGGCGAAGCTTGCAGCCATCGCGATCTCTCCTTTAAGCGTGTTACCCTACGATAATTGCCTCGCAACAGCCCCGTCATGTCCCTTGGCGCTAGTGGGTAGAAGACGATCAACGGCGCGCCCGTTAATGTCCTCGGACGCTGGACTGCAATATAAAACAGAATCGCGCGAAATAGGTGTAACGGCAAGCAGGGAGTCGACGCCGCGATCTTAAGTTCCCTATTCGCGGGCCCCAGGTGGTGTGGCCGGATGATGTTGCATGACTGTATTGCGCATTGGTCAAGTCGTCCAATCACAAGGATCGCAGCGCTTGTCAGGACTACTGGGGAAACATCCTTGTTGGTCCTTTGCAAGAAAACATCCCACACTTTGGACCGAGACTTTTAAATCAGGAGGAGGGGAGAGTCCTGGAGGGCAATATGGTGGAGCGTATTTTCGAAGAGGAGGCAGGCAGCACCTCAGAGGCAGACTGGCACCTTCTTTCTCAACTCCCGCACAGCAACTGTGACTCTGGGGATGTTCTCAACGCCGCACCGCTCCCGTTTCTTCACAACCATTGAATTCACCTGGGCATTCACCCCACTTTTGCCGCTCACTGCTAGCTGCCACGGACCGGCCTGAATCCTCCAGCGTTGCCGCAGCCGGGGTCCAGCACCCCTGTCCCACCACTATCAGCCGCCGACAGCCACGGCGTCGAGCCATTGCCCGAAGCCCATGCGCATTGCGGCTCCTAACCCCTGTCGGACTGGTCGGCCCATGCACATGCAGTCACTGCCACACCCCAGTTCCAGCGCTACACACCAATCCTCTATTCCTGTCCAGCATGCTCAGATGCTCACTGCAACGGTATTTGGGCCAAGCCTCTCTTTCCACTCCCCGGAGAGCACCAAGTCGCGATGACTAGATGCCTTACGGTGGCTTGCAAGGGGGCCCAGGAGCCGTAGGGCGGGACTCCGGTGGACTGGGTGTGGCCTACGCCTTTGCTGCGTTCGTGCAAAGCTTCGTTATAAAGATGCCTGGAGTGCCTGCAACGGGGCTCATCAATCAGTCACACAGTCCCTCGGCACTTCCTTCTACGTTTTGGTATCCCTTGTCCTACGCGTCTGCTTCGTTCGAGATTATATATTTCCTTTGAGTCAGTCGTTCAATCCAGTCATCCACCACACCTTCGACTTTCTTCCATCCCAGTCTACTCTACTTCAGTCAACACTCGTCTACTTTCGGCGCCTGATTCTAGTCTTCTACACTTCACACCTCACACTTCTTCTATTCTGAAACATCTCCTCCACAACAACAACATCGTCTTCGTCGTCGTCATCAGCATCAGCATCAGCACTACGGTTTCATACCCGTCGAGTAGCATCAATCAAATCGTGGCTACCTCAGCAGTCGCAAGCTTCTTCTCAGCAACACTTGCTCAAATGGGACGTGGAGGCTACAACTAAGCTGCTCGTATTCGACTCTCAATCACGGAGGCAATAGCCAAGCACCTCAGCCTCTTCTCAACCTTCCAAATGGGACGCGGAGGATACAACTGAGCGACCACCACATCCGCGCAAACGCACCAAGCCAAGAGGCGCCCGAACTATCCATCTAAATATTGAACACGCCGTCATCATGGGTCGCGGCGGTTACAACTAAACGTCTGCGGGGACTCCCGCATCCCGCAATCAACCAGAAACCAAATCCTTCAAACCACACTGGCACAATGACTTTCCACCGCTCACATCACTCCAACCAAACCATCGGCACAAAAACGCTTCGAAAGAAGCGCGTGGAACGATGGCGATCCTGAACCCAAACCACGAATTTCCTTCATTTCCTTCCAGCTTCAGCTTTGTATTACCGCCAACCCTTTGTATTTCCTTGTACTTCTCTCTGCCTTCCATCATAGCGAGTAGCCTAGCATAGCGTTTGTCTTTCCTCCTTTTCCTTTCTTCCTTCGTTATTGTTTCCTCTCCAGCATTTCAGCAAGCGAGGTCTTTACGGCTTGGGTGGGTTCGGACCTGGGCATAATTACGGGCACATGATTACGGGGCACGATGGACATCATATGATATCAGGATATGGCTGGCTGGCTTCGGCCTCCAGGTTTCGGCGTTCCTTGTTTCCCCCCTTTTTCTCTCTAGACAGTTGGGTAGCTCTTCACTGAGCAGCGGCATTGGACACAGGCGTTGTATTTCCCCTCACAAGCAATTTGTTATCTTCTTCTCATTCCAATTGCCTATTCCTCTCTTCCGTCTCTCGATCGCGGTCGCCCGCTTGGGCTGGACTCCCGATTAGCTTTTGTTCGTCTTGAACGCTACTCGCATCTTCCAAACTCAATCCAACTTCATCTTCCCTGAATTATGTTTCGTTTCGTGGTCGATCGATCGAATCGTGGCTTGTGCGAACGTATTCTACTTGCCGACGCAGAATCTAAATTGTGGAAAATCATTAGCACTACAAAATCAAGAAATTGAAAAAAGGGCGTGCGGGACGAGAAACAAGCACGTGAGACGGTAGGCTCCCCAACTCTGAAACTCAGATCTGGTGATGCGGGAAGTGGAGCCGCCCGATATTTCGAAACAACGCGTTGAAAACGGCCGGTTGAATGGACTCCACTTTCACCAACTAACCGTGCCACATACCTCACTCCACAACCCTTTCGCAACGTCATAAGGGGTGTGGCTTGTGTGCGGGGCGAAGCATGGCACAGTTAGGGTGATTCTCCTACCGGGCGCTTTCGGAAAGGCGTAGCCGCGGTATCGATACCACTGATATTACTCACGCAGGTGAGACACGTATCGCAACGGAGACCGAAATTGTGCGGTGCGGTGTGGGGCGGGGCGGAACGGAGGACTGGGAATGGAAGGATGAGGACTGACTTCTCAAATACAACCCCCAACACTTCTTCGACATCGCCGCATTCACCTCGGCCTGTTATCCGCGAGAGTGTTTCTGCGGCTAGGCGGAGGGATTCGGCGGCTACGACGATGTCGACGTCAACGTCGCCCGAGGGATCGGGAGATTCAAGCGCCTGGGTAAATTGGTTTTGCGGTGCTGCTGCGTCGTTAGCGTAACCATGGACAGCTGTCAAGAATGATCTGAGGTGGGAGAGGCATTCGGAAAGGAGAATTCGCTGGCGCTCCGTTGCGCCGAGGGATTCTTGCCAGATGGACGGATCGGGTCCCGAGTCTGGGACGAGTGCGGATGTCATGTCATTGAAAGTCTGGAGGAGGCCGCGGAGGAAAAATTGTATGTTTCCTGGGTCTTTGTTTAATTCGGCGCTAGATGTTGAGGCTTCCTTACAAGAAATGAAGAAGATGCGCTCGTCTGGGACGCTGAGGATAGATTGAAGCTTTGCTTTCCAGTTTTGTACTGGGGTGGAGGGTTGGACTTGATCGATCTTGTTAATAGCAACAACGACGTTAATGCCCAGATCTACACATTGTTTTGCCGTTTCCGTGACTTCTGGATCTATCTCGGCACTGGCGTCTTGGACGACGATCAAGACGTCGGAGTCGAGCGCTCGTTTTTTGGCTCGCTTGATGCCTTCTTGTTCGACAGCCCCAATAACACCAGGCCCTACAAGACCTGCTCGACGCAATCCAGCCATGTCTCCAATCTTGACTAGCCAGCCTCCTAGGTCAACGCCGACCTCGACAACATCTCGAGTCGTGCCGGCTTCCTGTGATACGATCGCTGCTTCGCGACCAACAATGCGGTTGAGAAGGCTGCTCTTCCCTGCATTGGGTGCGCCAAGAAGGGCAATGCTAATGCCACTTCTCAAAAGTTCTCCTCGGACGGCGTTGGCGACATGCGCTTCGATTTGGACATTCAACATCTGCACATGCTGCGCGATGGATGCGCATAGCACGGCAGGCGATTCGTCAAAGTGCTGGTCTTCGGAGAAGTCGATCAACGCCTCCAGCTCAGCGCGCGCTTGAAGTAACAGCATGCGCCATTGTTCGTAGCGCGCCGCCAGCGAAGACGTTGTGCCACGCACTGAGAGTTTGCGCTGCTGTTCCGTGGAGGCAGACAATGTGTCTCCAAGGGACTCAATCTGGGGGAGGTCCATGCGATTGTTAGCGAAGGCGCGGCGGGTGAACTCTCCGGGTTCGGCGTATCTTATCAGATGCGTAGTAGAGGCCAGTCTTGAGCTAGGGGTATCAGCGCATTGCGGTATGGCAGAAAGGACTGCCCGCACAATTGCCGGGCCACCATGGACGTGGAATTCGAGGACATCTTCACCAGTGACCGTGTTGGGAGCCGGGAAGTATAAAACTAATGACCCCGAATCAAGCAGGGTGGACGGTGAAGGGGGTAGATGAGGAGAATACAGCTTTCGGAGCGTTGCTTGCCGAGGCCTGGGGATTGGCTTGGAGGGGCAAAGCTCTTGGTGTATCTGATGCGCATGTTAGGTTGTGCTTAAGTAGGAGATGATAGATAGAGGGGGTACCTGTCTACATGCTGGACCAGAGATACGGATAACTGCTATGGCCGCCTTTCCGGAGGCAGTTGAGAGAGCGTATATAGTCGGATCTTCTTGACCAAAAGCACCGGAATGATAAAATCGAGCCTTGGGCAGCGTCAAGGGCCACTGGTTGAGGTATGAGACGCCATGGCGGTAAGTCGAATAGACCTGCTCAATTGGCAATTGAACAGGCTTTTCGCGCCAAGAAAACGGCCATCTAATGGACGTGGGGCAATATCTTTGAAAAGATGGGATGAATGGTCTCATCCCGAGCGCAATTGTGGTATCACATGATGGTGAAGGTGATAGTGGGTGGTGCACTCGTCTCCGCATTTCGCGCACGGGGCGCTGGCTAGCGGCGGAAGAAAGTCGGAGCGGATGCCAAGATTTGCAGCAAAAATTCCAAACCTCCGGACTGCAGACGGCCAGTCCAAAGTTTCCTCCACAATCATCAATCGTAAATTTTGCAGTAGCACGACAATGGCTTCAGGTATGCTATCTCCATTAACTGGTTTTAACAATCTAGAAGCTAACGAATTTTATGGACGACCTCGTGTGGAATATCATCGGCACAGACTTCTGCTCATTCAAACTAAAGACGACAAAAGACCAGACCTTCTGCAGAAATGAAAACAACGTCACGGGCTTTTGTTCGCGACAAGCCTGTCCTCTCGCCAACAGCCGTTATGCCACGATCCGCTCCGACCCTGCCACCGGCGCCCTCTACCTCTATATCAAAGCCATTGAGCGATCGCACCTGCCCTCAAAATGGTGGGAGAAGATCAAGCTGTCCAGCAACTACACGAAAGCCCTCGAGCAGGTTGACGGCCATCTGATGTACTATCCAAAATTCCTGGTGCATAAAAATAAGCAGCGCTTGACGCGCTTGACGCAAGTGAATATTCGGATACGGAGGTTGGCGAAGGAAGAGGAGAGGCTCGGCGAGCGCCTTGTACCGAGGCTCGCGCCGAAAGTTCGGAGAAGGGAGGATGGCAGAGAGCGGAAGGCGCTAGCTGCGGCCAAGGTTGAGCGAGCTATTGAGAGAGTCTTGGTCGACCGCCTCAGGAGTGGCGCATATGGAGACCGGCCATTGAATGTGGAGGCAAACGTGTGGAAGCGCGTCATGAAGGGCTTGGAGAAGGAAGGACAGGCTACTAGGGACAAGGATCTAGATGAAGGCATAGAGGAAGAGGATGAAGAAGTTGAGTATGAGCGGGAGATGGAGAATGAGACCGCGGATGTGGAGTACGTGAGCGATATTGATGGCGAGTCGGATGGCGAGTCGGATGACGAGTTGGAGGACTTTGAAGACTGGGTTGGGGGTGAGAGTCCAGAAGAGGAGGAAGGTGAAGACGACAAGGATGAAGAAAGTGAGGGTGAGAGTAGTAGCGAGGAAGAAGAAGAAGAAGATGGTGATGATGATGTCGAGGCACTCAAGAAGAGGCTCGCTAGCCTCAAACGGAAACGCCCAGCTGGACCGCCGCCGAAGCCGAAGAAGAAACCTTCAAAAGATTCAAAGGGTCCGCGACGCGAGATTGAGTACGAGATTGAAAGGGAGCCACCTGCTCGGGAAGTTTTACGAGCACGATGAATGGATAGCGGACGGAATATATCCTAACTTGGACATTGGGCGTAACACTCATCAGAGGACCAGAAGCTGACAACGCGGATTTCTGGGGCTTACATAAAAGTAATCAGGAGGTATATGGAGGTATCAAACGCCTATACCCTTTCAAGTCTCTGGAGTTTCTAAAAGAGGTTCGGATTGGAGGGTATCTGGGAATTATAATGCTCGCCGCACGCTATGGCATGTTGCAACATGCTTTAGTAGACAAGTTATGGCCAAAAAAGCAGTATTATTTCTAGTGTCTCCTCCGAACAGCCGAAATAGTCGGCCCATCCTTGCCGTCCTCGACCCGGTGTTCTGTTTTCTGCTCCACTGGGCCAAAAAAAAAGTTGGGGCTATTCAGTGCGTTAGTATCCCACATGATCGATTATTCCCTCTTCATTTCCCATTGTCTCATATGAGTGGGGCTCCCCACCATCCTTTCCTCCATATTAAATATACTAGTAGCCCGTATCGTTCTTTACTCTTCCTCATTCGCCTAGCTCCCGCATGAACCGGCTCTCATTCGCACTATCCCCTGCTTCTTCCCCTACGTCCAGTCTAACTCAAGTTCTTGATACTCTTTTCCAACCTCTTTCTAGCTCAGTCTGTCTCCGATTATATTGATCCTTGAAGCAGTGGAATCTCACATCTGCTTTGACCAACTTGGCAATCGGAACCAGCACCCTCATCTTCAATTTCCAATCCTCATCATCCTCTCCAAAGTCGTCTTCCCAGACGATCGTCAACGTTCTCAGCGCCCTGGCTCTATTGCTTAACGTTCTCGCCAGATGCCAAGCGCGGCCCTCGACAGAACGAATACAGATACCAAGTCCGTCGGCTCCAAGATCAGTAGCCGTGGTTGGATTCGCCGGATCCATCAATACCATTTGAGCAAGATGAAACCGAACTTGAAGAGACCGGACTTGAGATAGTCTTTCTGAGGCTCGCAGTTTCTTGTATACAGGGTCGAAGTGGAAAGACTCATGATACGGGGTCAAATCTCCGATCTGGAAGGTTGTGGTGCGGAAGAAATGGTCCCTTATTTCATTGCCGATTTGATGATTGATGAGGAGAAGTTCGGTTGGCGGAGGGGTGCCGTAGAAGAAGAGGAATCCAGAATTGCCTGGGGGTTGGAAGGGAACCGCTGTGGAGGCGTAGGTATGTACGGGAAGAAGATATTTGAATATTTGATCTCGAAGCTCTCGTGGGAGACTGAGAAGCGAGCATGATGGGTATTGTTGAGTTCGCTTGAATGGTTGGGTGAGGGCTTTGAGCATGAATTGGACTGAGAGCGGAAGAGAGGATAAGCTGCGACGGGAGATTGATAATCGCGACGACATTGCTGACAAGATGCAAGAAGAATTGAATAGATTGAAGAAGTATATTTAAAAGTGAGAAGAGTATCGTTGTTTATATGCAGGGGGAGGTTTGCAGGCAGACGCTCGCCAAAAGTGTAATTTTGCCTGTGGCTGGGGCGGTGCTGTGGCGCGTGCTACACTGGCCCCAATGTGCGCTAGTTCATATTAGGTAACGCGTGTTTGCTAGGTTGCTCTCGGAAGGCGGGGATTTCCACCAGCTTGTCCTTGGTTGAGTCGCGGACAGCTGTCATCAGCCAGCAGGCAAAACTGGATAAACACACCGCTGACCTTCCACATTTCTGCATTGCCGGCCCTTCATATCACCTCCCTTGACCTTTCATCGCTCAACACCCCCTTTTGCGGTGCGTGATTTGTCTTGTTTCTCCGGGTGGCTTGTCGTGGCTCACACTGTACCACCATACAGCCTGCTCCTTTGCTGAGCGTACGACGTTATTTGAATTCACCCCCTCGCTTTTCTGCAGCTAGTAAATTGCGGCGAGATTGTTGTTTCTCCACTTCCGGAATATCTGGGGTTGAAGAGGCGGAAGCCGAGCATGTGAATTGCCCGTTGACCAGGAAGAATTGCAAACACCCCAGTTATCTGATTAGCCTTCTTGAGGATAAACATTATTTATCGTACAATATGGCCACCTCCGCGTAGACTGTTGCGCAAATCATCCTGGATTAGAGCCTGGTCGACGGATAGAACACGCGAAAGAAGGGTTCGTGCTCTGTGGGTCCTGGGATTTCGATATACAAATAGGTTGGCCTCGGGCCTCGAGAGATTTCCCGCCCCACCCCCTCTGCCAGCTATATTCTACTCGTCATATCTCTTTCTACCATCATGACGCTCTTCAAATTCCTCATATCTAGTATCGCAATATCTTCTAGAGCGATCCTTGCGCAAGCAAAAGTCACGCAAGATGACTTTACTGGCATTGGCCACATCCTCGTCCTCAATTCCAGCGACTATCGAACTGCGAGTCCGAAGCAAATTGTCGGCTGTCTCGACGACAGTGGACAAATTATGCAGGAAAAAAGCTTAGACGATTGCGGTACGTTTGCCAGACTAAATGAATATCCGTACACCCTTTCTAGCAAAGCGGGGAACTGCTCTTTCAACGATAAAAATACGGCGGCGAATACGGATAGTTATTATGGGAAGAATGATCATGCTTGGAGTTGTAATGCTACGTATATAGCCAATATCTACGATGAGCTCTATACCATTGTGAGTTTTCCACATATCTCCCAGCAGGAAGGAGTTGGAGTAAGGAGTACTGACGTTTGGAAAGACGGGATTCAACTACCCCTTCCTCTGCTGGGGAGACATCGCCTGCTACTACGATGCAAAAACCATCCCTTCCCACAGCGACGACAAAATCGCTCTTTGGCAATACCGCTGGGGTTCCATGCAAATGGATATTACACCCGGTCATGTCATGTTGCAGTTGATGTGGAATAAGACGGGCGACCTGCCGAAGAGAGAAGACGTTGATGTTGCGCCAGGACCAAGAATGGAATTGAAAGGAGAAAGTCAGGCTGTGCTGCTGCAGGGACAGCAAGTTAGTTCGTAATACAGGGGTTGCGTGTGGCAGAATACATAGAGAATGCCCACCAACTAAAGTAGGGAGCCTGAGTGGCGGTCGTGGGTATCCCAAATCGGGACCGGGGAAGCAGAAGGATTGATCTGCGAAGCCGCATCCACCCCTGTTAAATATCAATAACGATGCATGCATGTCTAATATCGGCTTTGCGCCATTCTCTTCGCTTCTTGGGTTTTCTGGAATATGCAATGCAATCCTTTGTTTACCCGGACCTGCGGTTGCGATCTTGTTACCCAGTCGCGTGCGAATTAGTCAAACATGAGCATGACATCTACGAAATATTAATGACTATGAAAGGAATCATAACATATTATTACTCGCAGTATCTATGTACTATCCTCTTCATCGCATCCTACTAACAAGTAAGAGATGAAAAATGTCTTCCACAAGGGCCCTTCCCAGATGTAACGCTACTAGAAATCTCATCACAATTAGTCCTCATTGATCTCATCAATCGCATCCAGCACGCTTATATCAGTCTCCAACTTGAAAGGTACCTCTTTCATCCTCTCCCACCTAGAAAAGAACCTCCAAACCGCAAAAACTGTCAGCGTAAGTGTAATCGTGATAACAAAGTACACCCAACCCCATCTCGAGACCACCGGACCTTGGTGTCCGGGCTGGAAGTTCCAAAAGCTGGCACTGAAAAGAGTGGCCATGAATGTGCCAGGTAGAAAGAGCAATGTCACTACCGAGATAAGCTGCATGTCGCTGCTGTATTCGACGGAGGATTTTGCGATGATGGTGTTCATGTGGCTTTCGTGGGCAGCGATCTTGGAGATTTTGAGACTAAGCTCGTTGCGTCGCTGCGAGAGCTTGGCTAGGCGGAGATTGAGGTCATTGTCTCGTTGTGCCGTGCATGCATAAACCTGTCAAATGTATTAACCTATGGTTTGTGAGACACTCATTGGCCGTACGGCCAATATCCGCACCATTTGAGCTTGAGCCTGCAGAGCCTCTTTCAGATAGCTATTATTTTGCTTGATCGACTGCACTAGCTGTTGAAGAAAAACGACGAGCTCCATGAGGGACTCTAACACTAGTGTGTCGTACTTTGGGGCGTTCCCCAATTGTAACTGGAGGTGGTCTTCTAGAAAGTCAATGGTTCGCCCTAGAGTCTTACAGACCTGTGTTATGCCGGAGCTCGAGACGGAAAGCGCTGTTATCTTCCTCGGAAATTCGATAAGGTCTGGCTCTATATCGTCTAACGGGATGTGCGTGTACTCGGCGCACTTCATTGATCTATAGATGTTAAAAGATACCTGGTCGTGGCTTCGATCCATTTCGTTTATTGAAGTTGTGGCGAGATCCGCGAGGACGATTGGGACGAAGAGAGGATTTTGCGGGAGCTCGCCGGATCGGTTTGTCTCATCCATAGTCGCGAGGAGGGCGTCGATCTCCTCCTCATGGAGCCCTAAGCAGATCCCATAAGTTGTTTTGGTCTCCACATTGTAGGATATTGCTAAAGTGCATTCCCAGGGCCATGTTTTCTCATTCGAGATCAAATATCCTGTAGTATCCGATTTAGAAGCAGTATGAAGTCACTGATCGGACTCGCTCACCTCTCCAAGAAGGGTCCCCATGCAGGGGCGCATAGCTCATTACACATGACCAAAGGTGGAAAAATGCCCGATAGCAGGTTAAGGGGATGTGCCAGTGTTCACGGAGTGCCTCGGTAGTTTTATATGACACTGGCAAAATCCTTTTTTCTGGGTTGGCTCTTGGAGACAAGAGTCTGCAATTTTAGAACCGTTGTGTGACTATGAATGAGGCCCCAGGTGCCACCTACAAATTAAACTCCCAAGTGGATTGCCCTGAGATCTCTCTTCCTGCTTCCCGGGTACCTATGGCTTGTATTTCTTCGTCGGAGACTAGTGTCATGTGGGTTTGTATGGCAGACTGAAATCATCATCAATTGATGTGGTACATAGCGATGATAAGAAATTACAAAGCCTCACCCCAACTTTCCGAATTTGAAGGAAGTGGCTCTGCTTTTCCAGGCTGGAACCTTGCGGCGTTGACCAGGCCCCCTCCTCACATAGTGGAGGTGAATCATCTGACCCAGGAAGCGTTTGTGGTGTCTCCTCCTGAGAAGACATCTCGTGGTCCTCTCCAGTTCCTCTTACACTTCACGTAGGTTGAAGATGGTCAGGTAAATAGGGCATTAGACTAGCGAACCCAATTTAAGGTTCGTGGTGAGGCTGAATACGAGGTCCTTCAATGTGGCGCAGGAATTTGTGTCTTTTTTTTCGAGACGAGGCTGGAACATCTATGCAGCTTTCTACACGATCGTGCGTTTACAGAAACGTTCAAATTCACTTGAAAGAAGAGGAAAATAATTACTAATGATATCGATCTAGTGAGTTGACTTGCGCCGTTTTAGATATTCAAACCAACTAAGTTATGACCTTTGTACACTACTGAATATCTTATTCGTATGATCCCACACTTTCGTACCCATTTCATCTTCCCTCAAACCACTCAACACTTTGTTACCCGGCACTACAGTGGAATCCCCCTGTGCCAAGTAAACTCCACTTCCCTTCCCGCCGTCGCTTCCTCTTTCAGCTTCTTCCCTACCCTGCCTGTCCTTCGCTGGAAACATCGGACTGGTTGCAGCATATAGCACTCTTTCTCCCGCCTCCTCTACAGAATATCCAAACCATCTCATTAGTGGGGTCGCAATCCAGTCTACCAGTACCTGCGCCCAACCCGGCAATCCCTTGATCGTTAGTCCCGTGCCACCTACGAGACCAGGGTAGAGGTGGACGAAGCTGATTTTCGCATTTCCAGGCTGCTTCTGGAATTCTTCTAGGAACAGAGTCATCATACTCGCGCTTGCACCCGCCGCATTAGGTAGACTATAATGGTCCTTTAAGTACAAATCATCCGCCCAGAGCTGTCCTTCTTTCCCCGCACCAAGAACGGTGACGACGCGTGGCGAGGAGGACTTTTGCAGTAGAGGCGCCACGGTAAGGAGAATCTGCATCCGCGAATAATACCGAATTGCTTGCACGCGATCGAGGCCTTCATGGGAGGGTTCGTAGTACATATTTATATACCCAGGACTCATGATAAGAATATCGATTTTCTCAGCAGACTGTGCGATTGCATTTGCTGCAGATTGCGCGTCTCTGATGAGAGTGAGGTCTTTGGCTAGGATTGGGATGTATTTGGCCCTGGAGTTAGTGGCGGCTAGGGAGGATATTAAGAATTCGAGACTCTTCTGGGAGCGGCCCACTATGTAGATGGTTGGGGAGGCGCCAGAGGTGTGATGTACGAATGCTTGAAGCGCGCCTAGGCCGATTCCATTTGTAGCTCCAACAAATACTGCTGTTAGATTGGAGTTTGAGGCTGTGGAGAAGAAGGAGGAATTGGAGGAGAGAATGTCAGAGTATTTGACCATTGTGAGGTTGGACGAATGGCTGATTGCTGAAGACTAGGTGTCGTGATGAAAATGTATCCCTTTCCTTTCAAGGTGAAATTAATATATACTAGATAGAAATGAGATTTAAGGTTTGATGAAAGGGTGATTGCTAAGTATGTTGGAGTCTGGAGATAGGCGTAGACGGATGGAGTCGTAAGTATTGTGCTGTGAAATGCTCTCAAAAGCGGGATGAATCTGAACTTTATATATCCTTCTATTCCTTGCCTTCACTCGTCGCATATCTAACGCTACCATAGTTGTCTGCTGGAACACACCTTGTGGTGAATATGCTCGCGGCATGTAAGGCCATCGAGCCCCGACTTGGCTCTCGGGCCGAAGCATTAGCCAATCAGTGAGCGCAATGTTTGTCAGCGGTGGCTGTTGGTGGCTTAGGAGTGCTCGGACCCCGATTTACCGACGATTACAAACTCACGATGACAACGGACAAAGCCAACCTTACCCTCATCCTGCAGGTGTCTAAGGAGTAATCAACAAACGCTATAGAACTGATCAATAATGTGATACCGCAATATTCCTCCCCCACCACACATCCAACGTGTCCGAGGACAAGTAATAGAACTCCGTACACGGACATAGAAGTCCGCTTTAACACAACAAAGAACGTCATGTCATATCTTAGTGCACTTCTCAGGGGAAATGGGTGCCATAATTATAGTACAGGATCTCTCTTGAATCAAATTTCCCTCTTTGTTAGCTAACGCCCACCTATCACCCCCTCCCAAGATCTCATCACTCCTCAATAAAACATATCTAGAGCTTGCAGTAAAGCATCATCATGGTGATGAAGTGGTGGCTGAACTGTGAGTCAAGAATGGACCCAAGCCATAGAAGGCGTTTGCTCTCTAATTTTGGAATCTGCTCAACCAAGCCTAGACACTTCAGCGTCTTTAAAACTTCACTCTCCAGATTTTTTCATCATCTCTCTCCTTTCGCTACGGTTCTCGTTTCTCACACTCTTACCACTTCCGAGCCTCCGACCATTAGAGCACAACAACAGCATGAATATTTTCTAATCCCATCTTTTCTAAGGGCTATGTTTCTGAAGACGGGCATTCTGGGCGCTTGGCACCCCAACTTGCTCCTCCCATGAAATTAATCGATAAATTCGAGAGAATCAAAAGAAATGGAGAAGAGGTGGACAAAAACGGCGTAGAAAACGATGATTTCGTAGAGATGATCCACTAAACATTTCCAGATAAGCATGTTCTACTGGAACATGTTGCGTGGTCGGATCCGTGGTTCCGGGCTTCGCTGAAAGGGTATATATTCCAGAGGCCGACTCTTCTACCGGTAGAGAAATTTATTTCCGTCATCAAGGACACTGGATTCACGGTGGGTTTAGAGATCTATGGGTTTAGCAGAATGGGTGCGTTAGTGTATGCAGTGGCAACGGCATCCTCATAGGCCATAAATACTACAATGTCTGGAGGCGCTAGCCTGTCCTCTGAATCCGGTGGAGTCAGAAGTTTGTCGACCGTGTTTGCGTCCATGGCTATTTTTGAGATGGACACGGGAGGGTCTGACGCGATTGCATTCGCAACTTTCTGGTGGGAGAAACATATGGCTGGCGCAGGATGTGTTTTTAAAATTAGTCAGAGGCTGTATGATCTAAACTTCGAGCAAGAGATGAACATTTGAACATCCTTTTCCCGATCATACTCCAGGTATTGCCTTGATATACTCCCACTGCTGACCGCCCTTCACCTAGATCTTGGGTGATTTAAATCCCCTTCTAATAGAGCTTTAACGTCTACTGCGAATCACATCTGGGCATGCAATCGCAGTTGTTATTCGCCTTAGCAATGACACCGGCCCTCCCTGCTCCTCTCTTTAAAGATCTAGCACTACGATATTTTCCATCCTAGGTTGCTACAAAGACACCTCCAGCCTCCACAACCTAGTGCATCAAATCACCATTGATATCAAGCTACTCGAAGTTAGTATTATGTACAAAGAAAGGATCTCTACCATATAGCAGAAAACAAGGGAAAAGAAGCTCACTCCTGCGGAGAATCGGGAGCGTACCAGTATCCGCACGCAAGTCACAAATTTGCAAGAAAATATGCGGAGGATAAAAGAGTTGCCGCTAGATCAGCGCGTTCTCACAATCGTGTCGAATAAGCTGCCACTTCTAGAGATTAATTAGTAGAGGATAGATAGTGTGCTGTTAAGGGAGTTTAGGATGATGTCTGTGGTACCCAGGCAATCATTTGCCAATCTTCCATTCAGAACAGCCACAATCATCTATCATGCGGCCCGAACTATCAATCTACATATCTCTCCAACACCCCTTTAATTTCCTTCCTACCACTGCTCGCTCCTTCTTCACACTCTTATTCCTCTTCCGCCCTCTTCCGCCCACCCTTCCCGACCTCTTTCACAGCCACCCTTTTATTTATCTTCTTTCTTTCTTCAAACTAGTCCGAATACGCCACATGATTCAGTAAGTACGGTGCATCTAGCTTCTCCTTGAAAGTCTCCCCAACCGGGTCACGAGATGCAGCACATAACCCCTTGTACGCCCTAATAAATTCCTACTCAGTCATACCGCCTTTTCAGATTTTTAGATCTGCTCTGCTCCTCGACTTATGGGATTCTCCGCCAGTTCAACGATGGGAAGGTGGAATGGAACCTTTTGCCTCGCTATTTTTATAACAGTGTCTTTAAGTTCTTCTGGGTTCTTCAATGGAGGGCCTTTACCTCATTTGACGCTTTTGGTGATTCCTAAGAGTATCAAAACGCAACCTCCTTAGTTCTATCTTAGCCCTTCTCAACAGCAGCTAATTTTTTTTAGAATACCATGCAGCTCTTAGGAAGTTCCGGGGTCTGAAGATGGTTGCTGCATAGAGTTAAGTGCCTAAAGAAGAAGCTCTTTATTCTTTTTAGATTCACCTGAGTGCATCTTATTAGAGCTCTGCAGATTCTGGATATGCCCTAGTTCTAACCCCCTAAGGTGTCTTTGAGGCAATCACGCAGGTTTTAACGAAATGGGGGGCATGTGTGTAGTACTTGATGCATGTAAGCGATCAAACTAACTAAAGCCTTTCTTCTCTAAGCCGCGCAGGTTTCGATGCAACTAGCACTGACGAAATCAAAGTCTGGGATTCTGCACGTCCAAGAAAGATGGCCCTACTGTTAGGGAACTACTGGTTCCCATGATACCGACAGACGCCTGAAGATGGGACATAACTCCCTAGAATATGGGTATATTGTAGGTAAATTTTGAAAAGAATATTGTGCCAGGTTTTCTGTTTTTCTTGCTGAGCTATTAAGGTAAACCTTACGCTGATCTATCACAGCCGTTAATTGGCCTAGCTAAATTTATCAACGCAGAGTGGTCAACTCTCTCACAGATGGCAATGGACGTAGTATCCATACCCCTGATGAGCTCTGAGCCGAGAGGATTTTCTCGCTAGAAAGTGTACTTATCATCAATTGCCGTAACAAGCTCCAGTAGGACAATATTGAGGCTCATGATTGCATAAGCTCATGGGATAGGGCGGCATGCGGAGAAGATTGACGAGAGCGACTTCAACAGCCCTATAGAGGGTGTGGAGAACAAAAACTGGGTTTAGTTTGCTGTACGATTGAAGACCACGCGGTGAAATTTAGTTTTATAGTGAATTGACAGCGCTGTCAACAGTAAGTAGCAGTCACGTGAGCAGTTTGCTTCCCCATCCCCAAATCCTATAAAGTCAAGCCGCTACTTCAGTTCTAATCTCCCACCTCACTACCACCAGCTTCCCAAACCAACTTCCAAAAACCTTCTCGACTTCACTGCATTACATTTTCCAACTTAAATAAACTTCCAACAATGCCTAGCAACAACCAAAACCAGGGTGGTGGAAAATCGAACTGGATGACCAAGGAGGATGCATCTCGCATTCAATCCACCCAGGTAAATTTTTGATCCTTTACATGTCCTTTTGAAGGAGATATATTAACATTGTGCAGGCCACTAGCGGAAAGAACACCGGTTCTGGATCGTTCGCTTCTCGGGCCCAGGCCGCGGGCGATAAGAATTCTAACGCGAATAGCAGCGGCGGTGCTCAAGGAGGAGGTCAAAAGAAGTAGAAGAAGCAAAGAGAGAATCGGAGGGGTTATGGTTCGGGAACGGGGGAAAGTTGATGGGCTCATGATGCGTGCATCTTTTGACATTCCGATATCGGGGTTGTCCGGTGTTTGAGGTGTCATTCATTTCAAGGACTAGCCGTAGAATAGGCAGCAGAATGGGGAACCTCTCTTGAATAATCCTTGACGGGTTAATAAGGAAACGCGGGTGAAAATAATGGTGCATAATTTCTTTGCGTACATGCTCCGAGGAAGCTGTTTTCGAGATCGAGATTATATCTCTTTGGAGAATTAACCTAAGATTAGTTAGATGCATGATTCTCAGTCGATGAGCTAGCATTCAAGAGCTCCATTCACCTCGTACCTACTTAAGTAGGCACTGAGGCAATTTACGCATGTCAAGTTCATATGATAGGCGCCTACTTCCTCGATTCCCCTCTATATGGTGACTCACCATCATCCCTCATCGCCAGAGAATGTCTAATCGTTCTAGTAGCCACGATATACCCCTGTCTTTCAACGTTCTCTGGTCCATCCTCTGATCTTACCAGAATATCCGCCATATTATTACATACACAGGGCAAACAAGGAACTGGATCAGTGCCTCCTCTACACCGCGTTGCGTTAGTTCGAAGGTAGAGATCTATCGTCTGAGAATAACGCCACCATTTTCGTCAATGAACTATATTAGAGAGGAGGTTGTCTTGGATTCTAAAGTAGCATGTTGAAGAGACGTTGAGTCGCATATTAGGCCTTGAGAGAGCGGAGGATACCGGTGGTGTCCGGGGAAGCTCAAAATTCCGTGCTTAAACCTCGCCTAATTGGAGGTACCTTTGTTTAGCACCCTCTGTTCGAATAAAACCGAAGGGTTCGAGGAATAGAACTGGGTTTAAGAGTGCTAGCAAAAGAATGTAAGCCGTCGTGACTATTCCTTCCCCCGCTTTCATCACCCGAAAGCCCAAGTACATCGGATATCCACATGAAAAGGTGCCTTTTGCGAATTGTAATTAACGACTTATTCCTTTCCACCCTTAGAACACCACAAGAGCAAAAAGCCACCTTACCCTCATCCCAACCCTCAGCCCCAAACTCCCCCAAAAACGCATCCTCCCCCATATCTTCAACCCTAATCACGGCATCTCCACCGGTTCCTCCACCCCACCTCGTCTATACACTGTCTTCTTTATCACCTCAGTTCCCATTTCATTAATCTCCCCTCCCCCAACCTCACTCGGCGCTGGTGGCTGATCATAATAACCACCCGCATGATGTGCCGCATGAGCCGGCAGTCCGCGATGCCCTTCTGGGACATCCGCATACCCCGTTTGTGGCAACTCGTACGCCTTTGCTGCATGGGAGCGTTTTCGTCGACGCGCGTATAATCCGAGGAAGACACCAACGGCGAGGAGAACGAGGCCTCCAATGGCGGCACCGACGCCTACGCCTGCCTTTGCGCCGGTGGAGAGCCCGGACGAAGAAGAGGTGGAGGAAGATGATGAAGGAGTACTTGTGGCGGGTTGAGTTACGCTTGGCGAAATCGAAGATGGGTTGTCTGACGTATGAGAGCCTGTGACAGAGGCACTGGAAGCAGTGGTCGGGGTTGAAGAGCTAGCTGGCTGCCCTAAGGAAATCGGGACTTGTTCAAAGTCTGAAGGATTGTTGGACGAGCAGCAGGCGGTGTTGTTGACCCCGCAACACCATTTTGTGGCCGTGATAGTGTCCCCACAGGGAGTCAGAGGTGCTGTTCCATCGGCGGAATGCTGCTGTCATCGTTGTTAGCGTACTAATCGTATGATGAAATGATCTACGTTGGGGATGGCTGGTGCAAGGCCAAGTCGAATTGCGGACCAAAGCCACCGGCATCGAAAAACCGAATCACCAACGAGGCATAGAGGGATGAGTTCACGAAGGTTAGCTTACTCCGTCCCCAGTACAAGCGTCCAAGCACTTGCTGCTCTTATAATCACTCTCCGTGCAATAATCCCTCCAATAGGCGTATATCTTATTCCCCCCCGAATCCGTTAAGATGTTCTGGCAAAGCCCACTGGGCAGGCAAATATCGGCGGTGAATCCATTCGCAATGTTGCCTCCAGAAGGATTGTTTCGGTTCGTTGCGCAACAAATTGTGCTGAGTACATTTGAGGAATCATTTGAACAAGGCTGGTACACAGAGTTTGCGTCCCAGTTGAAGACCGCGGAGCCGTTGGAGATGTAGCACATACATGATACGTAGGCGAAGAGGGTTGAGAGCTGCACGAGGATGGAGAAGGATAAGAAAATTATGCGCGGCATTTTGAGCACATGGAAGCTCAGCGTCAGCGAAGCTCTTGGATTTGATAGTGGCGAAGTAGGAAAGTGAATCGAACGCCGTGTGATGGCTGGCCTGAGAATGGCAAGTAGTGGAATCTAATCCATACGATATCTTCGACAAAGATGCTTCGAGAAGAGGAGAAGAAGGCATATATCCTGCTAACAACAGCGGTGGCGGCTATCATTACGGCAGTAATTAAAAAGACTCGCACTTCGCAACAGGTCCGCCACAAGTGAAAGAGTGACCATTCGGTACTAACAATGTATCGCGCTAAACTAGCTCATTTGCACAACGTGGAATGCTTAGATCGCCCCTGATGAGCCGTAAGACGGAGACATCTTGAGAAAACTAGTGAACGTTTCTGAATTCCTAATAGTGGACTTCGAAGAGATAAATGAGACGACGGCCTGAGTAGCCCCAACGAGAATGCAAAGCGCAAGGTGGAAAGGGAGGACAAGCGGCATCTCCCTCGAAGGTTAAAAGAAGCACGACCCAAGCCACTCGCGCCTCGCTGTCCGGGCATGGATCGCCTTAGCATTGGATTCCACAAGTGGAGAAGCATGTATCTGCACAGACCTCGCGAATCTGCCACTGCCCATTTACCATAAACCCTATATCCTTAGGTAATTAACTAGTCAGTACTTGCAGATATCGTCGAACACTTTCCGTGGCGCAGCTGACTAGATTGGACTGCGCAAGATGGGATTGGGCGCTGTCAACGCTGGCTAGGAATGTCAATGGACAATCAGCGGGTGAACGGAATGTGCCTAGGGGCTATATGTCGGTCCTTTTGACGGAAAATTATCCGAGCATTGTCCCAAAATGGGTCAGTTTCAATTGGTCGGATTTGGGTATCAACTAATCAGAGCCACCAGGCAACGAGACTAGCAAAGCACATTCACTCCATTCATGCCAACAGTTTTTCAACAACCCAGGGTCTCCCAGGACCCTCTCTCTTCTGAATGACCTTTCGCAGTCCCAAACCCCAATCTTGTCGACCTTTCTCCCCATGCAAAGAGACTTCAACTTCGCATTCGCGACGTTCCAGTCTTTCCTTGTCTTGTGGCAGATCAACAATCTTCCCTTTTGGCTTCGAAGTACCAAGTAATGGCGTTCCGAGTGCGATGTTCACGAGTTGTGGTCGCGTTACAGGCGTGAGAGGATGCATGCGAGTCTTTGGAGTCTTTCCTCCCGTAATGGTAGATGGCGTTGCGCGGTGGAGATGAGAGTAGATGATATACCCAGGGAGCTTTGTGACAGTGGTTCGTGCAAGTAGTGATGATGGATGGATATACACATATTGTTCAGAGGGGTCCGATTTTCTTGATCGCTCGAAGTGTGACGGGAACAAGGTGATGTAAGGAACGTCGATCGCGTTCTTGGGTTTTCGAGGAAGTTCTGGAGGCACGGGGGCGAGATCAGCTCGCATCGCAACCTGGTCAATGAAGCCAGCAGCGCATATCTGCTTCAGCAAATTGATCTTGCTCTCAGATGGTGCTGGAAGCTTCGGCTGATAGGATCCGATCGCTGCCGGTCGATGCGTTCGAACTATCGCCGTAAGCTGGCTACGAAGTTGGCTTGCCTCATGCATCGCCTTCGAGTTCAAGAACATCTTCCCGCAAAAGCCGACTGCATCAGCCTCATGGGCGTATGCACAAACCGCATTGCTAAACTTGATGCAATCGCTTTGCTTTGCGTTTGCAGAAAGCTTGGCAATCGCGGCATTGTAAGCTTTCCTCAACTGAGATCGTTCCTCGACCTCAAGGTTGTCATTCTCGGACCGTATCGCAGAAGACTTCTCCGGTGGCTCGCGTAATCCAAGTTTATTCTCAGGAATGATGAGTTCTGGGACCGAAAGTGAGGCTACTAACGCGATCGTCTCCGCTATCAGATTCTGGGCAATGCCCATGATTAACATTCGGGCAAATCGTGGGTTCAGAGGGTAAAGCGAAAGCTCATGCCCTAGTTTCGTCACCTTGCCGTCAGGTGATGTAGCTCCAAGATACGATAGAAGCTCCTCCGCTTTTTCGAGGTTTTCGCGATCCGGGGGTGTTGGAAATGGAAAGTTTCTAACCGGGGCCCCCATGCTCTTGAGCTGAAGAACGACACTCTCAAGGGGTGTCCTTTGAATCTCTGGGGCAGCGTACTCTTCAAAGTCCCGTTCAAAGACAGCTGATGAATATAGGCGATAGCAATGGCCAGGCCCCGTTCTTCCAGCACGACCAGCTCGCTGGTTTGCGCTTGCTTTGCTAGTCCATCCGACCTCGAAGCTCTGAACACCCGTGATGAGATCGTACTTCTTTTCTTTGGCTCGTCCGCAATCAAACACGTATCTTATGCCTGGAATTGTAAGACTCGTCTCAGCGACATTAGTCGCTAGGACTATGAGACGAGAGCCCTCAGGAGGGGGGTCAAATACGCGTAATTGCAGGCTCGTCGGTAACTGCGAATAGAGGGGAAGGACATGAACCTTCATGACGGTATCCGTTACTGCTTCTTCGCCAATATCAAACTCGCCGTCATCTTCATCGTTATCCAGACCGACCAGGATTGAATCTTCAGAATCTGAGCCGTCATCATCCTGATAATCATCAGCTTTGTCGCCAAGGTCGATGTCCTCAGTTTCCAATGGAGTTTCAACCGGCGAAATTTGCACTTGTCCCATCTTCGCATCATGGCCTTGGGTTGAAGTAAAGGTCTGCTTTAGTCTTTTCGCCAAGTGCGCAATCTCGTTCTGGCCTGTTAAAAAGACTAGCATCCCTCCCCGAGGAAGCTTGCGATGGCCGCGGCAAATCTTGCTGAATGCGTCCTCCACGTAGTCCCGCTTTGTTCGACGAGAGAAATGGGTTGTGACTGTGTATTGGCGACCTTCAGCTTTCACGAACGGGGGAGGTCCATTTCGAAATAGCCTCTTATTCTCGATGAAGTCTGATATCCTTAGGGTAGCTGACATTATTATGAGCTTCAAGGGTTTATTTTTTGGGTTATCTTCGCTCATCACAGCCCGGAGGTCGACGATTCTGCTGAGCATTCCGATCAGAATATCAGTGTTAACACTTCGCTCGTGCGCTTCGTCGATGATAATGGCGGAATATTTTGTCAAGAGAAAGTCCTGAGATATCTCCCGCAATAGGATTCCATCCGTCATGAACTTGACAGCGGTTTTCGCGTTTGTCGACATGTCGAATCGAATCTGATATGCGACTTTGGACCCAGCATCCCCGAGCTCATCAGCCACCCGCTTGGACATACTGACAGCAGCGACTCGCCTCGGCTGTGTGACTCCAATCATCCCGGGTGTTGGACCATTCGGTGCACCGTATCCAGACTCAAAGAGAAACTGTGGGACTTGCGTAGTTTTACCGCTACCAGTCGCTCCCCACACAACCACGACATCGTTATTGTGTATGGCTTCCATGATCTTCTGTTCCTCCGCAACCACAGGAAGTTGCACCCTGGATACCTCTATTTCGGGCGTTCTTTTCACGGCTACGCTAAAAGCCTTCCTTGTGGCATCTGTAGCAGTCTTCGTTTCTAGCTCCGGCGGCAGAGGATCCATTTCTGGTGCACGAGGCTCAAAGTTTGCAGGCTTCGGTGGAATGAGTTCTGTTAAGTGATTACTAGGTGTAAAGCCAATAGCTTCATTCCTTTGCTGCGTTGCCCATGCCTTGAATGCCGATGCGCGCTCTCTCCGGGATGCTTTTGCAACTTCGTCCAGGCTTGTGTCGCTATCTTCATCTTCGTCTTCGTCTTCGTCGGACCCTGTCTCAGGAACGTCCGAGCCGGACAGATCCCCATCAATACCTGCTTCCCTCGAATTTTGATGATATGAGATATCGGCGGAAGTAGAGGACTCACTGGAGTGGACAGAGCCCTCTGAATCTTCTTGATAGGTCTCAGCCCCCTCATCCTCCGAACTGAATCCTTCCCATGGAACTTCTTCCTCTACAACAGTTGGCTTGTCCTTGGTCTTTAGACGTTTCCTAGTCTTGATGATGGGCTTGCCCTCCTCATCTAGTTCTAAGGGCCTCTTCAATCCGCCTCCAAACAATCTTGCACCACTCGAATTACGTTCAGATAGCTCAGCAGCAGTATCTTTGACAGGGCGTTCTTGTATGCGATCTGAAGGTGATCGATCTCGTTTTCGTGATATCGCCGTCTGAAGCGAAGTTCCAGTCGGACGTTCGACCAGCTTAAGATTGGGGTCCCCCTCCAGCTCCTTCCGATTTACGCTCTGGGCTAAGATATCAAAATCCTTTACATCTCGCACCGTTCTCTCCTCGAACAACAGTTTTTCATTTTCCTCAACGTCTATGCCGGCTTGTCGCTCTGCCACGGCTCTTCTGAGCCTCTCTTTCTTTGTTTCTTCGCCAGTCCCCAATCTCTTCGAGCTCTGGAACAGAGTTGTATCAACTTTTTGCGCTGCTAATTTCTTCAGGAGAGTAAGGTTCTCTTCTTTCTTCAGCTTGGTATCCTAGATTTTCTAGAGTTAGAAACTCGTTTGGAAAGAGAGAGAAAGGGAGGGGGAACACACAATGTATTTGTCTAGCCTTTTTCTTTTCTTCCCGCTCATCTTCCCCTGGCTCTCTTTTGCTAATTCCTCCCTGAGCTCCTTCTTCCTTTGCTCGCGCTCTCGCTTTTCTACCGGAAGGATCTCAGTTGCGTTTGCGTCGCTCGTTGCGGCGTCTTGGTACCCTCCATTGTGTTTCTGCCGGGAGAGAACCTTGTGCTTCCGCTGTCTGGGCACAAATTTGGGCATCTTGACCCGTAGAGAGAATTGAGAATTGGCGTTTGAACTTCTCAAGACACGATTGAAATTTTGGCGGGGACCGGAGGTTCGGCTGTAGTTTTCCCGAGGGCGGTGGCAGAATTCTCTTGAACTTGTTTTTGGTTCTCCTCTCGAATGGAACCCAGAGCGGGCTGCACTACGGCATCTCCGGATCTCTCAGATATGGCAGGGGCAGAAAGTGAATACACCGTTACTCTATCTCCATTCCCTGCCTCCACCCGGACAGCCTCGGCGAGTATCAAAGGCACAGAAACAACTGCAACAACGGTCCAGTTTACGGACAAGATTCTGATCACAGTCACCCAGAATGGACGGTTAGCTCACTGGGTGCGTCTTCTTCCATTAATCTATATCTCAGCGTTGTAACGGAGTGTCTTAAGGTACACGTTCCCCTCGATGTCTCCGCCACCGACAACCCCCTGTCCTCCAACCCGTACCTAGACCAGGATGACGATCTTCCTCCTTCCGATCTTCTCCCCATGCACCACCTGACCGCCACGACTATCCTTGGTGGTACTATCCCTGAGCTGGAAGTGCTAGGTCAAACATTGGCTACGCAGATAGCGAGTGCGGTCTTGACGAAGAACTCGAGCGAGAAGAGAATGGTCGTCTTGGGCATGGGCCTGGAAAGAAATATGAGTGGCAGAGAGGAGTTTAGTGAGCTTATGGGCTTGGTTCTCGAAGTGCTCTAAAGCCTGTGAGACCTTCGTCCAATGCAATGGTGCACAGGATAGCGGAGAATGGTCCGAAGACAAGAACATGGCCGTCGAGAGATCTGATCTAGGTATGTAAAAATCTACCCGAATAAGATATTCATGAACATCACCCTGAAGTAATTTTACAGGCCGATTCAATTCCTATTACCGGAACGCCAACCCCAAATGCAACCCCGGCTCTATTTGTTGCTGTCTCGCAGCTTCCCTATCAACGTATTCACAGAGTCCATGTCGCTGGCGTCGAGCTTTCCGCTTGGTCTGAATTCGGCAGGCATATTATCAACGGTTGCATCTAGGCTAGGCTGGAAATTTGTCACGGCGGAGGAGAGTGCTTTGATGGCCTTCTTCCGAACATCCTTGTCTTTATCCTCTGTTGCCATTTTCGACAGGACTGGAATAGCCCCGACCCCGAGAAGCTGGAACGCATTAGTGAACAGGGTCTACCGCATTAGGAGCGACAGGTTCACTTACCCGCTCTTGAGTTTTGACGTTGTTTTGAACCGCTGTGTCACAGCACCAGGCAGCCCACAATCTTACGTCTCGATCCTCGTTCTTCAATTCCTCCACCAATGCGTTCCAATGGGCTAATGTCATGCTATTCGCGTTGTCCAAGTTCGCGATGAGTTCTTCAAAATGCTCGAGAGCTTGGGCTTTCTCAGTTGCCGTGGGGTCCTTATTTGAGACAACGTCCATGTAGTGTGTCATCCATTCTGGGTCTGATCGTGGGCCTTGTCCAGAACCCGAGCTTGGGAATAGAACTTGCTTCAGGGCCTCGGGATCCAGCTGGGTTCGTGAACCTGTGTTCGCTGTTGGATCGTTTCGAGACGCATCAGAATTCTCGACACCCCACTTGAAGAGGTTGTTAAGCCGTGGGTCGTTCATGTTTTGTGGATACTTTCGTGTTTCGAGGAAGTTCGGGATGTGGAGTGACGGGGTTTCTACATGAAATGGCAGTGAAGCACGTTGTGCTGCAATTTATTTAGGCATCTGGGATATTTCTTTGGCGGAAAGAAGATGCGGATGGACCCCGCGCGAAGGGCCTAACGTGTTCGACAGCCTTCTACAGCGTTCACCTCAACGAAATTGAAAGTGTGCTCAAGGGCTGAATGGTTTAACTACATGAAACCGAGAAGACGCCTTTGGAACCACAATCCACGATGAGTTAATCAACCGAAGAAATTTTGTGCCCCGATCCCCGCTGCGGTACTCCGCTCAGGACTGCTACCCCTCATTCCACGTGACTTGCAGCGGAATGCCCCCTATTTGCTGGGGCTGGCGGGCGAGTGAGTTGGCGGTGAGCGGTGGATGGAATCAATTGAGACGGCTGGGGAGCATGTAACACCATCGCAAACTCGTTCAGCTGTGCAGATGTAAGTTGTGCACGCCCGTGTCGGGGGCACATAGCACGAGCAGCGGCCGTATCACTGTTCAAAGCGCTTTCTTTTCTCCGTCGTCACCGCCAAGACGTCTTTTGGCGTTGCCTGGTGCTGTGTCTGTAGCGACGATGGAGCTTCCTCACGCTGTGGCGGAGAGCTTGCGTGGACAGCGAAAATATAGAAATAGTGCAGCCTAACAGGAACTCCATGCGAGTACTATAAGATTGCCTCGTGGCTCCGTAAGAGCGACCTGCCGCTATAATCTGAGGCTGCTCGAGGAATCCGTGCTTCCTTCTGCTGCGCTGTGCAAAGCCTCCCTCACCCAACCTCGCTCCCGCTTGCCGCCCCGCTAAACTGGGCAAGAGTTGCTACCCGCTTATTTAGCAGCACCCACCGACTTCGCCTCTCGCACAGAACCTTAACTTCACCGTCCACACCTGTAAGCCTCCCCGTTCGCATTCTTCTCCTCCCTCCGACCGCCGCAACGGGCTCCATCTCTTTTCCTCGCAAGCTAATTGCCAATTCCTGCAGCGAATCCAGATCGCCTAATCCACGGCCCCTCCACACCAACTCCTATCTCGAACACCCTAATCAGTCAACATGGAAGGTGAGCAGCTGAAGCCCAACTCCCACAACCTCGTTTTGCCCTCCTCCCGCTACCACAGCTGCGCGCTCCTGTCCTCCATGAATCCTGCTAACGTGTGCTTTCTCAAATGCAGAGGAAGTCGCTGCCCTCGTCATCGACAATGGGTGAGCCCCCCTCACCCCCCCCCCCAAAATTTCAACAATCGTATCCCTGCTGTGGGGTTATCTGCATGAGCCATGCTCACGCCCTCGGCCAGGCGGAATAACCACTGCAGGGCAGCGATGGTGGTATAATGGTCAAACAGACTCGAGCTGACAACTTCCAGTTCGGGTATGTGCAAGGCCGGTTTCGCCGGTGACGATGCGCCCAGAGCTGTTTTCCGTAAGACCCCTCACTCAGCCCCCATGGCCGAAAACCGCAGCCAAGTCTTCGTTGGCGATGTCTTTTAGCCATTCTGGAAAGCATCGCTAACAGTTCCGTAGCATCCATTGTCGGCCGACCCCGTCACCATGGGTACGATCCCTTCTTTCCCCGCAGCCACCCGATTCGCGAGCTGACGGATAACACAGTATCATGATTGGTATGGGCCAGAAGGACTCCTATGTCGGTGATGAGGCACAGTCAAAGCGTGGTATTCTGACGCTGCGATATCCCATTGAACATGGTGTCGTCACAAACTGGGACGACATGGAGAAAATTTGGCACCATACCTTCTACAACGAGCTGCGTGTGGCTCCTGAGGAGCACCCCGTATTGCTCACCGAGGCTCCCATCAACCCAAAGTCCAACCGGGAGAAGATGACACAGATTGTTTTCGAGACGTTCAACGCCCCCGCCTTCTACGTCTCTATCCAGGCCGTGCTGTCTCTGTACGCCTCCGGCCGTACCACCGGTATCGTCCTCGACTCTGGTGACGGTGTCACCCACGTTGTCCCCATTTACGAGGGTTTTGCCCTTCCTCACGCCATCTCCCGTGTCGACATGGCCGGTCGTGACTTAACTGACTACCTCATGAAGATTCTTGCCGAGCGCGGTTACACTTTCTCCACCACCGCCGAGCGAGAAATCGTCCGTGACATCAAGGAGAAGCTTTGCTACGTCGCTTTGGACTTTGAGCAAGAGATTCAGACGGCCAGCCAGAGCTCCAGCTTGGAGAAGTCCTACGAGCTCCCCGACGGCCAAGTCATCACCATTGGAAACGAGCGCTTCCGCGCCCCCGAGGCCCTCTTCCAACCTTCCGTCTTAGGTCTTGAGAGCGGGGGTATCCACGTCACCACTTTCAATTCTATCATGAAGTGCGATGTCGACGTCAGGAAAGATCTTTATGGCAACATTGTTATGGTACGTCTAAGGTTTCTTCACGGCATATCTTGCATTGGCTAACAAGTTCCTAGTCTGGTGGTACTACCATGTACCCAGGTATCTCCGACCGTATGCAGAAGGAAATCACCGCCCTTGCCCCATCCTCCATGAAGGTCAAGATCATTGCTCCCCCAGAGCGCAAGTACTCTGTCTGGATCGGTGGTTCCATTTTGGCTTCCCTCTCCACCTTCCAGCAAATGTGGATCTCTAAGCAGGAATACGACGAGAGTGGTCCATCCATCGTCCATCGCAAGTGTTTCTAAGGTACTTTCGCCTCGCCGGACTCGAGACAAATCTGCGACTGACATTTTGGAATTTCAGCGTATTCCTGCGTACGGTACTAGACATCATGGAAAGCCTGGTAGTGGGGTTATCAGTTGGTTGAAGCTCCGTTATGCCCGGGGTACTCAAATTATGAATGTTCACAAAATGGTGAAGCGTGACAGCGGTTGGGTGGTTAACTTATGGAGGAGCTTGGGCTCGTTCGTGGAGGTTACAAGGATCTTAAGATTGTAGCTTAGAACCTGGACACTTTCACATCCCCTACAATTGGTTGATTTCTTATCCTAAATTATCCCTCGGGCCTTCCGTGTTTTCCGCGAGGCAGTCAAGTTCCAGCCCACCACACATTTGGCTTCTTGAGCAATCAGAGTCTTGCACCTGTACTAACCCTCGCTTACTCGTCTGAATCGCGGCCGCTTGATCATAACTTGCAGACCATATTTTCATGCCTTTCTTAAATCGCTACCCTTAAGATTTGGACCGACCTTCCTAATCCAGTCAAGTTGAGTGTTTGCAGACGTTCCTTCCGCGCTAGTGGACGGATCGGCACCTGAATGAATACGTGCCAAGCCTTACTCGAGACCACAGCTCCCAGAGTCTTTCACACTCATCAACAGTCTTTTAGCATTCCACTACGGTTTCATTGGGGATTCCTTGTTCGCCACATCGCTGTCGCAACGTCAACCCCCTTTGGCACGTGGCCATATTCATCTACGCTGAGAAAACCTTTTTCTTTTTTTTTTTTGCCGCTTCTAGTGTCACTTGGTGGATTACAAAGTCAGTCTGACACGTAAAATTTAACCGCTCATCTTGAGACCACTCCTATCTGCCTCTACCATGGCTGGATCAAGTTCTTCCCGCAGCGATGATGATGATTCTACAATCAAAGCGAGCGATGAAAGAACGCCATTGCTTCCTTCGATAGCACCGGCACCAACCGCTGAACCCATTGAAACGCTTCCTCAGGCCAGCGGGATCCAAGGGATCCATGAAGGAGAGGACGAAGATGCGCCACTACCGCTCGGCCAAATTTTCCTGCTTTGTTACACTAGGCTCGTGGAGCCAATTGCCTTCTTCTCCATCTTTCCATATGTCAATTTTATGGTTGAGAAAACTGGAGGTATTCAGCCAAACAATGTTGGATTTTACACGGGGTTGATTGAGAGTCTTTTTTCTGCGACCCAGATGTGCGTCATGATTTTTTGGGGAAAGGTGAGTTCCTTCTCCCTTACCAATGTGAATGTCCATCTGACAAGTCCAGGCCGCCGACCGATTTGGAAGAAAACCAATTCTCGTCCTATCGTTGTGTGGCGTAACAGCATCCACGGCTCTTTTTGGATTGAGTAAGAATATCTGGCAAATGTTCCTCTTCCGATGCCTGGCTGGCGTGTTTGCCGGGACCATTGTGTAAGTATTGTCATCCGAAAGGTGGAGCCGTGAAGCTCATATGAATAGGACCGTTCGAGCCATGATCACGGAGAATAGCACGAAGAAGACGCAAGCGAAGGCGTTCAGTTACTTTGCTTTTGCCGGCAATCTAGGGATCTTTTCTGGACCTCTTATTGGTATGATTCTTCACCCCTTTCACGATACTTGCTGACAAGTACGATGTAGGTGGAGCGCTTGAAAGTCCAGCGGAAAAGTTCTCGTCAACATTCGGTAAAATCCAATTCTTCCATGACTATCCATACGCCTTCCCTGGCTTCATAAGCGCCTCGGTAGGAGCTTCAGCTACGATATTGTCAGCGTTGTTCGTAAAGGAGGTTTGCTCACTCGTCAAAGCTGGACTCAATTACCGCAACTAACGTTTGAGGTCAGACTTTGCATCTCCATCACGGCAAGAAAAATACAAATGAACCGCCCATGTCCACATGGGAACTCCTCAAATACCCAGGTGTTGCTCAGGTGTGCATAATATACATCTACATTCTGTTATTAGCCTTCGCATTTACCGCAGGCGACCCCGTGTTCCTCTACACCCCTATTGACATGGGAGGGATCGGCTTTCCGGCTTCGCTCATAGCCGCAGCTCTGGCCCTCGGGGGTTTCTCACAAGCGTTTTGGCTTCTTTTCGTCTTCCCTCCTCTTCACAAACGCATAGGAACTGGCGGCATTTTTCGACTCTGCGCTGCCTGTTGGCCATTCTTCTTCGCCGTGTCGCCGATATGCAATGTGTTCCTCCGCCACAACCTTAAAGCCCTGTTCTGGGCCGTAGGACCTCTAGTCACGGCCGTGGGTAGTGGGGTCGCCATGGCTTTCAGTAAGTCTTGTCTTCTTGTGTTGGTTGCGAGATTTCAACTAACTGTCATTAGCCGCAAACCAGCTTGCTGTCAACGACATTGCTCCCTCCCATGAAACTCTCGGTACTCTCAACGCGATTGTCCTTGCCGGTTCTAGCGGACTCCGAGCCTTTGTCCCCGCCCTTTCAACCAGCTTATATGCTGTCGGTGTCAACTCGGGGATCTTCGGAGGTCAGCTCTTTTGGATCATTCTCATTGCGCTTGCCGTGGGTCTAAATTGGGTGATCAGGTATCTGCCGGCGAGGGCTGAAGGGAAGCTCCAGCAAGAGGATGATCGAGACGCTTAAGCGCATCCAAGGCATGCACTTGTCGCTATTCTAGTAGGAAGAGTGGGAGTGAACTTGCACAAAAGAAATTTTCTAAAGCACAAAGGCCCTCAGTAATTTTCACAGTGCCTTTTCGACATGGGTTCAGTAGGTCGGCCCGTACCGCGCTAACCGCAGCTCTCTTTCACTCTCTTTTGCGTGGCCATTGTACCTAAACACAAGAAATACAACGAAACCAAAGTATGTCCCACAGTTTGCTCCATCGATAATCCGCGTCCGTAATTACAGTCTCAACATGGCAACCCGCTATCGCCAACACAAGCTGAATAATGTCCTTCTGAGTCTTGATCAACAACAGCCAGCCATGAAACAAATAGCCCCGTACGGCCTCGTCCGCTCTGTTGTCAGTCAGGTCGCACGCCTGGCTTAGCGTGGTCATCAGGTGTCTTCTAACAAGGGACCGGGAACGTGTTACCAATATACAGCGGTAAACATGACGTGCTTGAGGAATTTTTTTCTGTGGCTGATGTCGGCAGGCTTGCTAGGGAGAATAAGACGACGCAGGGCGCGATTAGTCGGATCTTGAATAGTCTTCTAGAATTCACGCCAATGGGTGTGAGGATATATTATATGAAGAGGCTGCCGAATGAGTCGGCGTTGGGTAGGTGTGACAGCGGAGATCCAAAAGGTAAGATTGCGGCTAGCAAGAAGGCGGTACTCAACCCTCGTCCACCATTTTGGATCTTATCGTCGCTCAACCCCATATTAGCACGGGTCCGATCAGTAATTCACCGCCATCTAGCTCGGGCCCTGCCAAATCAGAGCCCATCGATTCTCAGATGTCCTCCCGACCGCTACGTCTCACGAATTAGCTATCTTCCGTTCCGTCTCACTCGCGCGCCCTACAATAAGTTCTAGATGATTTCTTGATCAGCAGCAAGCTCCACAGAGGTAGAGCATCAACAGCGCTACTTGGGAGACTTATACGTCTTGAAGGAAGGAATGTATGCCAGCCTCATCTTCGTTATGTGTCCCCAATTGAGGGCTCCGTATTTGTAAGAGCAGTGGCTTCTTGATTTGACTAGTAGGGCTAATTGTTATGAAGTTCACGAGGCCGCTGTACATGATGGCGAAGCTCTGGTTGCAGGTATCGAGGGCAACCCGAATGCGGTCGTGAAGCTGCCTGTTAATGCCATGCAGCTACCTCGTCTAGCTAACAAAGCTAGGACCGCTCATGTTAGTTATTTGCCGTTGGCATGATTTCCAGATGTCAGAGACCGGGAAATTTCGCTTCGAGGCAGAGAAGCCGAGGTTCTCAGAATCCGCATCCCCAGGTCTTCAGCCATACAGCGCATCTTATACTCAATCCTGGTATCGGATCTGTTGCATCAGCGGTGCCTACGAACTTCAGCGGCTATCCTCATCCGCGGTTTGCGAGATCTGAGCCAGAATCTAGTCCATTGCTAAAAATCCTCCAAGCCGTCTTGCATAAATCTCTCCTCCCTAACGACACCGCACTCCAACGGGCCTCCTCGTCTATCTAGGAGCCACCGGTAGGTCGCTACTCTAAATACGAAGGTTTATCTGGAGTCTTCAAGCCTCCCAATCCTAATTCTTCAACTAACTCCCCTTCCACCTATACCTGTGCCTATAAGAGCAAGATTCACACCAGGAACGAGAACGAGAGCGAGCACAGCATAACCGCCACCCCCAGCACAAACCCTGAGAGAAATAAAATTGAGTTAGTGGGAGCGCGTGTGGGAGTAGGAGCTGCGGGTTTTGCGATTTTCCCAAAGCCGAAGAAGACGATTAATGTGTTCTTTCTCCGGGCGACAGCTGAGGGGCCACACTTGCGGGCGAAAATCCAAGGTTGTCAAATGGTATGTTGCTTCTGCCTTCTCCTGCTCATTGCTAATTTCAATTTCATCTCACCCCCATTCCAGCCAAGCAAGAAAACCAGGCGTCAAACGCTAAGTCTGCTTATAGTCAACCCACCCGATCTCCTCGTCAAAGCCTGGGCCGCCATCCCCCCGGACGACAAGAAACACTGCCTCGGCCTTCAACAAGAAGAATCCAAGCAGTACGAGGGACAGAATAAAGTTATTAAAATGGGAGTGGAGTGGGGAGGCTATTGATTTCACGGGCGAGGAGGAGGGATTCCGAAGGGGTTAGAGAGACGGCTAGGGGGATTCATAGGATCCCTTCCTGGATGACGGAGAAGGTGGCATTGCTTCTCCTATTGGTTCTGGACCTGGTCCTGCTTTGGCCCCTAAGCTCTCCGCGAAGAAGGCATGAGTCGAAGTGGGTTATCCGTTTCGTCCTACACATAACTGTTTCACCATACAATTTGCATCGAAATGCTCGAACAGGGCGAACTCTACCACCTAAAGTCAACACTTCAGTTACTTCGATAAACCCTTCAACAAAGCTAATGCGCCAAGATTTAAGCCCAAGCATTCATTTTCTGGGCCCAAAGACACCTAGCATCCTTCTACCGCGAGGGCGCCACCTGGTTAAAGTATTCATACGTAAATATCTTGCCGCATAGACACGGCGAATTTTCAGTACCTTCAGTGATATTTCAGGGACGACCGTGGGGAGGATGGAGAGGAAGATGATCACAACGACAATGAAGACCTAGAGTTTTGGAACCATAGAAACCCTCGCCTCGCATTACACAACAGCATGTTTGCGCCCACTTCGGAACCTATTAGGGGGAAGAATGTCATTGGGGGGTTTCCTGCTGTTCTTTCTTTTCCTCCTTCTGTGAGTTCTTACAGGACTTGATCTAGGAATAGTTTTGTGGAATATCATCGCAGTATTTCAGACTCCCAGTTGTTAGTTATTTACAAGGTAAGGAAATGATATCCGAGGGTTTGAGGTTCCGGGTTTAATATTGAAAGTGCAACCATAGCTCGACGACCCTAGAGCAATCACAATCAAAGATAGGATGTGGATAGGTTAGTGCAGGATATTAATGTACATCCTAAATACATACCTTGAACTTGTTTTTCGACATCTTAATAACGTTTACGCTAATATAGTCGAGACTGTAGCGAAAAGGTTAATCAGGGATGACAGCGCAAGGATCCCCAACCCTTCCTTTACGTATGATTTACGAGTGAAAATTGTTTCCTGGACTCGAGGCTAAATATTTAGAATAGTTTGGCCGCACTCCCGCCCGAGTTTGCTTATGCGCCTCTACAAGCAGGACCCTTAGACAAGGGAGGAGACGACGTACTAAGTTCCACTGAAGTATGGCTGAAACATGGGTGGGAACGAAGGTGTGCTGGGACAAGGTATTCGTCATATTGGAACAAACTAAAAGCGTCAATTTATTCTTTGATTGCGTGGGCAGCAATAGGTAATGAAAGTTCAGCAAAGGGAATATGAGATAGAGATATGTCGTAAACCCCTCTTCCACGTAGCTCGGAGAGCTCGCAGAAGGAGCTAGGTATTGTGCGCAGATAAGAAAAGTCCAACAATAACTCGCTTCTGCTAACTTCCCAGGCGTTGTATATTCGGCCTGTGCTGGAAGTCATGCTTGACGGACTGAAAATGTAAGGCCGGAACCCGATAAAGCTGCCTACGAAGGATGAGCACCGACCTCATCCAGATGTTAAGCCGGATCATCGCCACGAACGAACGCCGCGATACCATTTTTCATCATCGACTTCCGCATGGCTTTTATAGGCCCAATGAACGATTCTGCTCAGCATCATCGACGCCAGTATTGTCCAAGGCAGTATAACGAGTAGTATATCCTGTAGCTCCAAGCCTGTACCGAGGCCGATTGCTATCCCACTTGAGATACCCCCGAGCACAAAGTAGTCTTGATTTCCATCATCTTTGTTCCAATGGTAGAGGCACGCCGATGATGTGACGAAACCTGCAACCGAAAACACCCCTTCCACGGTATGTTTGTATTGGCCCAGATCTGGTTCCCAGAGTGGACTCGTGAAAGCTCTCAACCACTCGCTGATCGAACTAGAAGGGTTGTTGTATCGGTTTATCCCGAGGGCTGAAATGGCTGCAACAGTAGAGTACGCGAAATATAGGATGCAGTGGTTTCTATTGTTTTTTCGGATGACGAAGCGCCTGATATTCTCGAAATAAATGTTATTTGGTGTCCAAGCAACCAAGACTGTCCTATGATTTCGGGGCCGTCCAGCAGACTCTAGGAAGAGTACTTTGAACACCTAATTGTCATCAGAGTGTGCATCTCGCAAAGATACATAAAATGAGAGAATAGATTGGGTGCCAACGAAATTGGGGATAATTATACCCTTCCAACTCTGAAGAAGTCATGCTTGGAGACCGCTTGGTAGCGAGGATCAAGCCTCTCTCTACCCTCGTAAGTCTTGATGTACTGTTTTTGTCCATCGTGATTCCAGGAGTCACCGCATTCTCGGGTTGGTAGGGGAGAGGAGAAGAGGGCCACGAGTGGTGGGTAATAGGAGCAGTCCATGGATGGCATCTCAGAGAAGCACGAGAACATGGATGGTGTGAAAGAGAAGCACTGGGCCATTTGGACATCGTAGCCTACATCGACTCTAAGGAACTTCTAACTTATAATTAGCTCTATAGTAAGGTGGCAGGAGCGATTTCCTTACCTCTTCATTATATTCCATTGCGAAGTGGTCGGTATGGTATATTTGGGCCAGAGTCTCCATGAATCGAAGTCTTTCAGTAGTGATGAGGAGCTACTAGTAGAGTATGCAAGGCAAAAGCGTGTTGACGGCAAGCGGGGGGTACCAGTCATCGGATATCTTTCAGCCTTGTCGCAAGGTTAATATGACCCCTCACCGGTGAACGAGTCAATCTGCATCTTTATCACACACCCGAGCAAATGAGTGCTGCTAGAATACGCCCCAATACCCAGTGTTCCAATGAGTGATGGTGAATTGGCGAGTCCAACCTGGATATTGCGTTTCTTTTCCGTGAACCAGCCCCCTCACCTGCTCCTAACGGGGCCCGAGCTTTGATGGGGTTCCGTGGATATGCTCGAGACCACTACCCTCAGCCCTTTCAGTTACTTCTCATCTACAAAGTTGGGAAACGCCGAGTATCGTTGCTCGCTTTCGCTCTGATTTTGCACGTCTTTCAGCATCCTGAACAGCTGGGATTAGCCATTAGCCTAGATTGAACCACGGCTAACTTGTCAACCTACTTGCTGTGATCGGGAGTGCGACATTCTTCCATTCTTACAATGTTTTCTTCCCCACCTGACAGTGCTCCGAAGTTTGGTGGGCCCTCAAGGCGCCCTCATACCAAGCCCCGAAAGGGATGCTGGATGTGCCGGCGGAGACGTATTCGGTGCGATGAGACAATTCTTCAGTGGTATCTTCAACTCTGTTTAAACTGAAGATGAATCTCTTGTAACTGATAGGAAATTAGTCGCAACTGTACAAAACATCAAGTCCGATACAATAATATGGAAATTCCACTCCCAACGGTGCGAGCGCCATGGGAGAAACAGACATCTTCGGAAGCACATGCTGTAGTTGCTGAAGCTCAAGGGTCCTCCGGTAAAGACCGTGATTTACTCTCAATCTGGCTTTCTTTGCGACCAAGGATTCGATTTAGGTCAGGGAGTACGGAAAGAGATCAAGGGGCAGACTGCAGTTGTGCTGGGCGGTTTGACACCCCAGGAATGATAGCAGAATCCAGCGGTATTAGAGCTACTACGGGCTTGTTAACACCCACAAACGTAGCCGGGCTTACAATATCGACGCTTGTGGTACCAGTAGCAGCAGTTGATCCGAGTGGACCCGCTGGGCAAATTTCATTGCCCATTCCGAGGGTTGCCATTGGGGCGTGCATTGGCATTGTCCTGATTGCAGGTGGGAGAGCTTCTGGGGCAGCAAGGTCGCTTTTGGGGCCAGCTATGGGGGTCGGCAGCATCCTGTTCGTCATGTTGCGGAATGATCCTGCTGTTAAGCCAGAAGCAGCGTGGGTGTAAGTTGCACTTTGAGCCCCTTTGAAAGCTGGATTGACTGACACGTCCAGGGTATTTGGGGCGTGGTCCGCCGCCACGCTAGCTTATCTCGCCATGCAGTGTTCGCGCCTTGTGCATGCCAACTGGTATGTCTCCTTTCGTTGAGCCTACTTTGACATTAGGGGACACAGCTGGTCTGACATTTCATCCGCAGGTATATCCTCGTAGCGTCAGTGGTGACCGGCATTTGCATGGTGATCATTGCCTCTGCCCAGAGGTCCTCGATCCAGGGTGGTTTGGTGACGGCTATTCCACCCTGCGTCGCCTTTGCATCATATGCGGCCACATTCCCATTTCGAGAGCGGTTTCAGAGGTCAGAGGATAGTGTCAATGTGTGAGGTATGACTCTACGCCTATGAGGGTGAATGCCGGCTAGGTTAGCGAGGTGAGGCATGACGACTTCCCTTGGGTGGCCCAATTTCCAACAACGGTTTCATATTAGGCGCAACTACATAAAGCTGCATGCTATACTGCAACTGCAATACGATATACTTATTCTGAAGACGGACGGGTTCATATTCAACTCAAATGCACTTTCTCTGCCGAAGCATGCAATTGACAACGTTGCCCAGAGAAAATGCCAGTCATACTATCAGGGCATGCATCCGTATCGCTCGCTAGCATGATGATATAGGTGACCGGGCTTTGAATCTTTCCGAGGTTCAGTGTTGTGCGCACAGAGTGACACGTGATGCTCATCCTGATGCTCCGCTTGCTTTACTCATCTTGTCACCTAATATAGAACATGACTGGGTGGATTCAAGACAGAAATTGGTACCCTGCTGGCCATTGACGTAATGATAGCAAGAGTATTAAATATATATACTCTACCTCAGCTACGTTCTACGTTACGTGACAACATACTGTACAAACCTGGAACAAAATGAGACGGGTTCTCAGTGTGCATGGACATTGCTCCCACTGCGAAGCTGTCTCCAGTATAAATTCAGTCCGAGTTCTTCCCTCTCTAAGTTGACCCATACCTCGCACACAAACTAGAAGAAATTATCCACACCCATGACATATCCTTCGCTCACACCATTCCCAGAGCTGTTTGTCTAAATTGACTCTAGCCTTGTTGGAGACTAAAAGCTGCTACATCTTAACGAAGGCCTGGTCGATTTCTCACCCATTGATGGTGGAGTAATCGCGTGGCTCGGAAACGACTTCTCTCAAACCGTCCGTTCAACTCCGTTACGTAACGGCATAGTGAGGCAGCGTGTGAAATCTCCGAAGTTGGCCTCGAAGATTACATATCTTGAGATAACTGCGTTTTCCGTCAACCAGAAAATTGAATATGGGGAGATGACAAACTCCTACTCGATGATGGGTAGCTCATCGAAGTGAAATCCTACCCATTAATCAAGAGCTTCGATTGAATTGCATAGTGATAGCGGATTCAGAGGGAAGAAAAACTAAGCAGTGGCGAATATCGCACAGTCACCTTTGCCCTCACCGGTAGCCGAACCTCCAAGTCTCTACAATAGGATTCTGTGGGTAATAATGGCAACGTCAATTTGAAAGCCTGGTTTGTTTTGGAATTCTATGAAGATAAATTGGTACAAAATAATTGTTAAGGAGATGTAGATGGCTCGGCTATCATCCTATAAGTTGGTGTTGGTGCAGCGGAAGTGTGTTGTATCAATAACGAAGCCTCAAGGGCAGCTATGGTCGATAGTAGCTTGGCGTGGTTATACATCCACAACGGGGCTGAAGAGGTAAGTCATCTGAAGCCTCAGGCTAAACAAGATGGCGGTTCATCTGCGCGGTCCCCAAGCCTCAAAGCAGTTCCATTACAAGAGAGGCTCGTGTCTCGGTTCATGCTTCTCGGCTAGCAAGCACGCAATCTACGCTAGGCCGCAAGGAGCACACACGCAAGCACCATGGATGCGTACCTGTGTATTACGCATGGGTCAAGTTGCCTCGACGAAAAGGCGGTCGCCCACTCCATTGCACGGACTGGTTGCCTACGGTTCGCAACCTTACGGCGGGCCTCACCACCAGTTTCCGGAAAAATGAATGACAGATTGGGGCGCGGGTATGCAGATACGAGGCCTAATTGCCTAAAAATGACCTACGGTTCGCAAACTTACGGCCCGTTTGAAGCTCGTAAAAAGTCATAAAGCAGCGCTAAAGCACCAAACTTATACTCCCAACCTCATCTTTCACGCTCCTTTTTCATCACCACAAAGACTTGGGGTTCTAGAAAGATTTTAGAATTCAACATCTTCCAACCATTTACAACAATGGGTTATGCCGAATGCAATGCCCAAGGTCACTCCAAAATAGTTTTCGCCTGCAAAACCCTTGTCCACTTCTGGGTGTCCTCCAAGTCACAGCCTTCCGGCGCAAATCTGCATCCCCAATCAGGGGTTCTCCTCAGCCGAAGTATTTTTCCGCTCAGCTCTTTTTGGCTGGTTTCAGTCATCGTTTGCCTTTCCTTCGCCCGCCCTGCGGCCGCACTTGATGGAAGCCTCGCCGCTGTGGAGCAGTTTTCAGCACGCCATCAGATCCCACCAATCAGCATCGAATACTTCGGAAACATGTTCTGTGCCATCGGCCTCTGTATGGTCCTCATTGCACGAGGCTTGCTTGGCCCTTTAGTGGGAATTACAAGTGTTCTGTGGGTCATGATGCGCAATGACCCTGCCATCAAGCCCAAGCTTTCATGGATGTAAGTCATGAGTAAGAAGATGCCCCCCAGACTCTCAGAATCTCGCTAATCGGCGACGACGCCAGGATGTTTGGTGTCTGGTTGGTCTTGTTTCTGTCATACGTTTTCGTCCAATGCCACCGCGTTTTGAACCGCCAACTGTTAGTTCTTATTACTTGAAGTCTAGTACTTTGTCGGCAAATCTGACTATTAATCCCCAGGTACATGCTACTAAGCACATCCATGGCCGGAATCTGTATGTGCATCATCGCGCTAATCCAAAAGTCATCACTACACGGCGGCCTTATGACAGCTATTCCGCCTTGCTCGTCTTTCGCCGCGTATTCAGTCGGCTACTTCTTTCCGGACCGGCTTCGAGAGGGCATTTATAATGCCGTTTGAATATTCAATCTCGTCCAATCACCCATCGATTACCCTCCAAGGGTAATGTCAACAAGACCATGATAATCTCTAGCGTCAGGAGTTGGAATCATATTTAGGAATTTTGTATTTACTTTGGCAGAAGGGCAACGATAAGGCACATATATGTTTAGATGCTGTCGTCGACTCAGCTGGTCATCGTCTAGCTTTATGTGAAAAAAGGAAAACTATTCGCAATTCTTTACGTCCCCGACACAATAAAGTATCCATACAGATTACACAAGCACCACATTCTGAGCAAGGCAAAGCGTAAAGCCCTTTGGGCTCCGAAGAACGTCAAATATTACCTATTGCATCTTATCACCTGATGTAAGACACGACAGGGCGAGGGCTTCAGGGCCTTATTGGAATCTCATTGCTCTTCTCCCTAACTCCCGCACGATATTTGACAGATCGAGCCTGCCCGAATTGTATTCTACGTTATGGGATAACATGCAGTATGCAAGTCATCTCCTCCAAAGCTCTTGTATTTTAAAGCTCGCTAGGATATTCTAGACATCATGAATCCTCACCTGCGCAACATCTTAAGCAATCTCCGTCTTCAAGATCTGGATAGCGTTCGTTACACTCTCCAACCCATAGCAATTCGCATACATGAACGGTCGTCCAAGACCAACAGTCTTCACACCCAAAGCAAGTCGCTTCAATACATCACCTAGTACTGAATGCCACTGTTGGCTAGGACTTCGACTTTGCCGAAGATCTCGGGGGCGTTGTGATGGATTTCGTGGACGATTTCCTACAAACATGGAGAGCAGTCGAACTAGCGCCCGCTACAGTTCGAAATGTACATCGTGGGAACGCCCTTTTTCGTCATTAGTGCATCTTCGACTGTTGAGATTCTTTTCAAGATTATGAAGAATCGAGTGCAGATCTTCATTTAGCCAGAGATATCCAACGTAAAAGTGGAGGTAACTGAGCTCGCGTTCGTGGCGTCGTTTCGTGCGGCGCTGTGTCGGGTTGAGCCACGGATTACTAGGAGCATCGATTGTTCAGACGATGGCTTTTGCCCCTGCCTTCTCCGCTCGAGCAATCGCATCCCATGTCACTGAGAGGTTAGCATCCGTGTGCATTAGAGGTCAAGTTATGGAGTGTCCGTGAAGGAAATGATTAAGACCGAAGCTGCTGGGAGATGGCTTGCGGACCCTTCAACACGATGCTGCCCTTAGCTGAGGCAAGCTCTTCAATCACTTTTAAAGAATATAAAGCAGCCACATAGAGAATATTCCCGTTTCCAGTAGCTTCCATAAAGTTGATCTCAGCGCGCTCAGGATCCATATACGCGCCGCGGGCACCTGGGCCAGTGAAAATGGAGCACGTAATTGTATCCTAGAATAGTTATTGCTGAGGTTTAATTGACTTTCGTCGCATCTAGGAGCATTCATGCTCGGTTTGACCTTGGACTAAATCTCCAAACTATTCCAATAGCTCCATTCTAGCTGCGGTGGTTCTGAAGTAGGATCACTTTTCATCGTCAAGAGATTGTCGTGCTGCGAAGTCAAAATCTAGGGTAGTTCAAATTTCCTTTCGGCAAGGGCTGTGTGCCTTCGGTCTAGTTGGTTCCTTGAAGATAGGGCTCTAGGCGTGTGTCTGGCTTGTTCCAGATGGGCGCGACGGCTACGGTGTTTGCAACGAAGCCGGACAAACACGATAGAACATATTTTCTTGCTCCATAAGTGAAGTTGAATGAACTAGTTGCGATTTTTTGCGCTTCGAATATGTTTTAGCTCTCTTGGCAACGTCTAGTGTCGTCCATCTAACAGGAAGAGTTCGGCCCGCACCGTGGTTTTGAGGGTCGTTTCACAGGGACCAACCCCGAAAGATCTCCATGATTTTTCACGCTGTCACATCGTAGGAAGCTAGTTTGAAACACTTGGCGACCCGTCAGCCAATTAAGATGTTCGGACGGTTACGAGTGTTTCGAATCGGATTCTATGGAAAGGAGGTCCCCACTTCGCAAAACCAAGGACCTGAAAGAAATGATCGCAATCCTCGATGGTTGTATCGACCACTCGAGCTTGAAAAGCGTTCTGGGTAGCAGTGATTTAGCTCGAATGCCTCCAAGAGACTCAGGAAGTCCAGCCTTATCCATTTCACAAACCTGTATCTGCCTCCTTAGTTCGTCAAATACTACTCATTCTGTTACTTAACAGGGGATATGGCAGAGGGGTAATTCAAATCAGAATTCTGTAGCTTATTCATGTTCCCCTTGATTCTGGCAAGATATTTTACAAACCAGCGCCATCCTTGTCATGTTCTACATTAGACTAGAACGTGCTGTAGAGGGTCATATTTCATTCGAAGAGTTCATCCAAGTAGATAAAGCCACGAAACGTACGCTAGAAATTTCTTAGCAGAATTTACAGGAGCCACTAAATGCCGCACCAGCAGGAACGGTACCCATTTACTCATTTCGTCCAAGACCATCTGTCCTGTTTTTCTAGATCTCTACAATCCGCGACTTGGTAGAGGAATTCCCCTTTAAATATTTCCCATTGGGGCCGCAATCATCGTACTACTGGTTCTGGCAAACCCAAAGTTGGCACCAGACATATTCGAAGAAATCCTTGCCACATAGGAGGCAATACATATCCTAGCGCGAGTGAGTTGTCCATTGTCCTGCCCGATTGAGACCTCGCGAATAACGTATGGAATGTTCGCAAAAGCCGCCCAATGTGATTTCAAAAAGTGCTTACTGAGGAGTGTACCAGAGGTTAAGCAATGAGACCTTCGAATCGTTGATCAAGGGGTAAAATATAGACCCAGACTGCAGAGAGTAACATAGGCCAGAACATAGATGCACAATTTTAGAAAGGGGACCATATACACGGCGGAGAGGAGGTGGGATTGGTAGCTTGTAAGAGGGAACAGTCTTGCACCCACAGTCCCAGCCTTACCCTGTCCCACGGCCGAAGCCCTTCTTCCTCTCATTCCTGCCTTTTTCCTAGCTTTGAAGATCCTTTGAGATTGCCCTACCAATGGAATATTGGTTGGTTCGCCTCCAGCCGTCATTGCGTCTCCTCTGATCGGCTGCGAAGGGTATCGTGTATAGTAATCGGTCTGGTTTATGTTCAAGAAACTGGGCTTTGAGGAAAGGGATCTGGATCGAGCTTAATGTATCTCTCCGGAACGAGGCGAATTATTTCGAATCTATTCCTCGCGTGCGGTGATTTTTCTGTTAAAGGATTAAGGCTGAAACACAAGAAAGCTCTGGAAGCCCTCGTTTAATGGACCCTCACCTCTGATTTCTAGGAAGGTGACCTTCGAAACCTTCCCCTTCCCTCCTAGTCCACGCTTACCCGACTTCATCACCCCATATTAGAGTCTGGTCAAGAACTGGACTAATCATTCCCTCCCATTGCTGGTTCATCCACACCGCTTCTAGCTGAATATTCCTCCCAAGAGTGTTGTACATATCTTGATCCAGCATGTTCGCGATATGCTCGTCGTGATGCATCCACCCCCAATTGGCCGCCATCATATTAACCAAGGCTTCGACCAAACCTTGGTTTTTGTCAATCATGGATGCAGGCTTCCTGATAAGACTCATAGTGGAAAGGAAGAAGAGTTCCTCAACCAGCAATGTGTTAATCCATGGTTTGACGCCTCCGCGAAAAGCCTTGATGACGAGAGGCTTCATGGACTCGATCATGTACTTGGTAGCTACTGCGTACATCTTAGTATGAAAAAGGGGTTGCTGTGGTAGCTTGGATCTCGAGTGCGCACTTCCTGAAGAAAACTGAATAGCTCGAATTGGATAGGTTGGGGGAGTAGCTCTGGTTGGCATCAGAAGTCACCCCGACCTACTAACTCGAATCCCTTTTGCTGATTGACTAGATTTTGTTAGTCTAGGCTGAAGATACTTGATTGCAATAGTTACCAGGTACAGTTCGTGGGAAGTGACCAGCTTGCAAGCCTTGAGAGCACTGTCTCCACGAATGACATAGCTAGCCGCAAGCTCAGGGAAGTGCTTCAGAATCTCCAGACTGTTACTCCGAATCTTAAGAGTGCATCCACATTTCCCTCCCGAAGTTTGATTGGAATTACAGTCAGAGCCGTTAGGGATCCAATCTGCTACATCCCAAGGGGAGATGTATGAGAAAGTGTGAAGAAAATGCATCATAGCGTCAATCTGATTTCCGTGTTCTCTTGGGATTTTAATGTTGCTTTTTGATTGCCTGAGCATTCCGCCGAATTAGTAGAAACTGGGATTAAATTAAGGTTGGGATACGGACCTGATCCGCGTAACAAGGTATTGCGAAGTACGGCGAACAGTTTACTAAGGATTCTTTTGTGAGCGCGTATGCATTAGACCTACAGATGATTGTAAAATCTGTCATGCGGCCACTGCAGAGGGTAGCATCTACAGTCGCTCGCACTAGGTCGCCCATAGTGGATGGTTGGGTGGTAGTGGTAAGGAGTTGTTGTTAAGTTAATTCGGGGCGCGCTGGCAGGAGCTTGATTAAATAAGTGATTATCGTGGTGAAGGGGGAAGAATTCATTTCCGTGAGATCTGGAGGGCGGTAAGTCACTGCCAGTTAATCTCTCATGATCACCACTGCATGAAGGAAACCTCCGTGAATAGTGAACGGAAGACTTGGTGGTACGTTTTGAACGATATTCTGCTGCCTCCATCACTGAATTTACTCAACCTACTATCTAGAGAGTAATTATTAGCCTCTCATTTGTAACGGGAAGGTTGTAACTCTCCTAATAGCGGACGAATGAAGTCTTGCGAAGTGACCTCCCAGGCAACGCTGCAGGGAACTGCACAGCATATCAAGTAGCTACGAGAATTTTAGCCTAACGTACCGTAGTAATATTGAAAGGGGATTTAGAAAGAATAAACCAGCCGAACGTACTTTATCTTGTTACCTAATGTGGAACATAACAGCAGGATTTTGCACCCTGTTGACACTCTCCCTGATTACAGCGAGACGCCAGCAGATAGACCCTACCCCCGTCATGTCCCACGTTAGTTGAGAAGGCATAGTAGTGGAAAGCATCCTGTGAAGTTCGAGAACCGTCGATTCGGAGGCAATATTATACTGCGTGAACGAATTCCATGCTCTCAAGACGCTCGCTAGAATCTGGCGATGAGGATAAGGAGAGTATTTAGCCTGCCATGCGGATCTGCGTTTATATTGTGTCAGTGACACTGTTAGTGATTTCTGAAGCCAGAAGTTTGAAATGAGGGGTCTGTCTTGTTCAGAGTCGCTGGCGTTAGAGTCGCAGTGTAAAAACCGTCGAATAGGTGCCTATTCTGCTCAAGTAACCGGTTTAGACTATTAGATCTCAAAATGTATTGAGCTCAGCAAGCTGCTTTGTTAATAGACCTGAGTTCTGGCATGCGACCCTTTCGGGGACTAAAAGGACAACTCGGAAGGCGAGTGGGTAGACAATCGTCCGATGTCGACTAAAGATGAGCTGGACTTTAAATATCATCGGCGACTTAAAGAGGAGCATCGGAACTCTCAATGCAAAGAGAGCCACGGGCACACTCAGCCTCTTAGTCGTGTGCAGCTGTGGTTGGTAATATCCCGGACAATTGCGGTGGGGCGAAAGAGGAAATACGATACTATCCAACGAAAATCTTGTAACCAAAAAACCACGATACCCAAGCAATCGCTATGAAGCAAAGGGAAGCTGGGTTTACTTCTGCGAAGTGGAAATGAAAGATCTGAAGTTGAAACAGTGCTGCTTTCATCAACAGGATGGAATCACTCCACGCACCCCGAAGCGCGTTGCAATATCCCAATCTCATGAACACGAGAGCACAACATCGCCGACGCCGAAGGTACATATGCACCCCCAGGCAGCCGCGTGTGTTGGCAGCATTCATCAGGTTATCACAAACCCAAACTAGGAAATGTGACACTAACGGTGCGAAAGCTACCCGGTATTCCACGCGGGTTTCAGTAACACAGATTGGTCGTACCCTAGGGCTCGATTTGCGATCCAAACTCCCGGTTTTCCTGGGTTTTAGGGTGAGAAAGACGTGGTACATGCGTAATGGTGACTGGATGAGGCGGTGAGGCTGAGGCACAAATTTAGCTGTGAGTGGAGCCGATGTGGAAAAGAAGCTTTCCTTGATATGGGTTGGCGCATAAGACCCTTGGGGACCAGAGAGGCAAAAGGTAGATTCCCTGTCTCGTGGGTGTGTGTAAGCGAATACGGATGCCCAAGTTCTTGAAGAAGTAAAGGCTGATCTGGGAGTCACGTCCACAGTCAGGGCACCAACTCTAGCGCGACTCGCATATTCCCCCTTCCCTTCAGCCCTAATTTCCGACCTTTTCATCGATGGAATAGCCAAGCAGAGGAGCACCCAACGCTCCAAATCGCACCTCACGAAACCTCGTCTTTTCTACAGGAAGTGGGCGTTTAAAGTGTGCGAAGCCCAACTGCTATGCCCCCAATATCAAACTTCTAAAACACCCCATCGCCACAAGACGCCAGCAAAAACATTCCACGAGTTCCCTAGGCCTTAGCTAAGACAACGATCAACATCATGGGGGCGACTCCCTGCGCCACAACGCTCCCGCTCCGTGCACCCTGTTCTCGCCCTCCAATTAAGCTTATTCTAATGACACCGGCCAAGACTAACAAGCTTGGTGCATCTCAGCGAAAGGTTAGCTGCAGTTGTTCCGCTATTTAAGGATCTCATATTCGTCTTGGCATTTCGATCGCTTTTTCTACTTCTAGCCAAGTGAAACGCTTCGTCGCCGGCTATTACTTGTCATCACAAGGTTCGTGCACCATCTCGAACCATAAATTCGACAGTTTGAGTTTTTCCCGATAGAGACCCAATCATAGAGGTTTCTACCACATACCAGCCCCCAAAAATGGAAGATACCGGTGAACAACACATCTCATCCCGACGCAGAGCTCGACCTAGCGTTTCCTGACTAAGGAAGTGCGACCATGTTGATGAAGTGCTTTCGGTGCTCAACGGAGTTATGTTGGCGCTCCGGTTGATGAGATGGGCTAGTCAAGCCGTGGAGGCTTGGAGAGGGCTTGCATTAACTCACTTTCTTGTTACAGTTGGACGTTGTACTATCTCACGCCCGTGTACTATATATTCGAACTGGACTTGCACCTTTTTCTTTTGCGTTCCTCAGGTTCTGGTACCGAATACTCCTGTCTTCTCTTTCCTAGGGTGGATCATTGGTGTGCACTTGTCTCCATTTCCTCTTTACTATACTGGACTCTCTTTCCCCTAAGATACCCCTCCCAGAATTAGAGGAGATAGTTTACAATGGGTCACGAAGGCGGTTTGTCGATTTTTGCTTCACCCCTCCTTCAACCCGGGGAAGAAGCCCACGGCCATGGACATGGTGGTCACAACAAGCCTGAACATGGTCCTCCAATGTCCCACAATACATCCCAAGGCTCCGGCGATCTCGAAAATCAAAAGACTTCCGATACAACGCATGTTCCTTTCAACACGAACGACGAGAGTCTTCATGACAACCCTGCCTTCCACCGACACGCTGAAGCGACGACAGCGGAGCTGTTCTACGATCTGTTCTTTGTAGCTAACTTGACAACGTTCACATCCGGTCTCGAAATCAACGACCACAATTCGCTCACTGCATACGTTGGATTTTTCTCCCTTCTCTGGTTGACGTGGTATCAAGTCTCCCTTTACGATGTCCGCTTCAGCGCCGACTCCGTGTTCGAACGCTGTGCCAAAGCTATTCATTTCGGCACGATGGTAGGCTTCGCTGTCATCGGCCCGCAGTGGAAGCCCGGACAAAAAATCGATGACTACAAAATCTACAAAGCCTTTGGTCTCATTCTCCTCGTATCCCGTCTCACGCTCGTCTGCCAGTATGGGGTTACCCTCTTCTACACCAAGAAGTACACCAAGACTCGCATCCCACTGCTCCTTGTTATGGGCTCTTCCCTCATCGCAGCCATCCTTTACGGCGCCCTGACACCCGCGTTCCCAAACCCCGTATACCCAGAAAAGGTCAAGACCAATGTCTACATTGCCTGGTATATCATCGGCATCTGCGAAGTCCTGCTCACCGTCTCCGTATCTTGCATCTGGCGCGTGATCTCCTTCAAAGGCACACACATGGTCCAGCGCATGTCACTGCTCACCCTCATCATCCTCGGTGAAGGCATCATTGTCATCTGCAAATCCATCTCCAAGATTGTGAAAAACGAGTTCCTCTGGACGGCTGCCGTCGTTGGACAAATTATCTCCGCGGTCCTGATTATTTACTTCTTGTACATGCTGTACTTTGACCGCATGCAAGAAGACCATTTCGGAAGCATTAAGCAGCAGATTTGGTCGGTCCTGCATTTCCCACTGCACACGGTTCTTGTGCTTGTCCTCCAAGGTATCTCGCTCCTCATTATCTGGGTCCAGGCCATTGATGCATTCAACGTCCTTGGCAGCGATTTCCAGTACGTCAACAACCAAATGGGCAACTACACTGATGGCGCTGAATTCGCAACCGCACTGAATGCAACCGCTTACAACAATGTGTTTTACTTTGTCCCCAAGGGGGTTGACGCGACTAAGGAAATTGAGACCGTATATAACTCGCTATTTGTTATTGCGGAGGCATACGATTTTGTAATGTCAAGCAATTGGACGAACACGACTGCGGTGGATGAGTTGGCGACCGGATTGAACGATCTACTATCTGCCACTAGTAAGACACTGTTTGACAGTCTGAGCGTGACGTTGCCAAAGAAGAAGTACGAGCAGAAGCTAGACTTGGACGGTATGTTGGCAACATACGTTGGTATCTTTGAACTCGTGTTTCAATACGTTTTCATCGCTGTAAGTCACCCCTCCCCTCCCACCCCACCTCAGCCAAACCCTTACTAACCCTCTCTCCCAGGGCGGCCTCGCACTCATCCTAACTACCGTCCTGGGCTTCCTCTCTCTCCCCGCGCACCAACGCCGTGGCTCCGAATACATCCGCCTCAGCATCAACTTCTTCGCCGGTGTCGGGGTCTGCATGATCATCCCGCTCGTCGTGCATTTTGGAGATAAAGATGGCAACTATATATCCAGTGCTTGGTTGATCCCGACGCTATGTATTTTGTTTTTCTTGTGTGTTGTGATCAATGTTGCAAAGGTTGGAAAGGAGAAGAAGCATTAGATGCATGGAAAGATGGGTGAGATCTAAGTGGTAGCATGGGTGATGGTTGTGGGCAACCTTGCAAGTGGCCTGAGGTGGAGGGTTGGCTAGCTGGGCAAGATCGGAAAAGATTCGATTCGTTCTTCGTATTAGAGTTCCGACGGAGGAGTGGAGTACAGAGTGGGTGTAGAGCGGAAGCATGGTGGACCGAATTTGTCGACATTTTCGCGGGGAGCGAGGCGCCTGAAGTCAGTTGTTGTAATTTTTTTGTAATTTTTCTCCCTTTGATGAGAGTCTGAGAGCGAGACTGCTTTATACCTTCTTAACCTGAGGAATCCGAGGCGCTGCGTACTTGCAAGAGTTTCCTTTTAGCCATTTCTTTCACACCCCGCTTGGGGACTCCTAGTGACATAGCGTGAACGCTTTGAAAATGGCAAGAGATGGAAACCTTGGCATGCCTTCCTTGATTGACCCCATAATATCCGATATGCACCTGCTAATTTCGAGGCTGACGGACATGTGTGGGCTTCGTCATCGCATAAGCCTGCCGGAAACCTTGTCGTGTGTCAATACGAACCAGGAACTGGAAAGACTTCCCACCAACCCTGCGCGCAACTAAAAGCCAGAAGGGGGACCGATTACTTGGCTCGGAGTTTGTTGATAGCATCTTGCCTAGCATCGCCCTCGGCTTAGTAGCTCCCCTCGACGTATTGTCTACGTGCTCTCAATGTCTTACTATCTCAAATCATTAACCACTCTCCTCTCCTTCTCCCAAACCCTCAAGTATTTCCGCCCCCACCCTCATGCACCCTAACCTCCTCCATCTGCAACCTCAGCGCCTCCTGTTCCCAAAACTGCGCCTGAGCCTCCGCTCCCCTAACTCCTCCAAACCTCACATTCTCACCCCCTGCCCCACCCGCATCCCCACCATCCCCCTCCTCCAAATCCCACAACCTCTGAAAACACTCCTTCTTCTTCTTATTATTAAAATGCTCATACGGGTTCCCAGGATCCAGCCAACTCGAACACAGATAACAGAAGTGGGTTTTACACTGAGAACACGTCATATGGTTGCACCCATGCATTTTTTGTGATGGGACCGAGCAGTACGGACAAGGGGAGGTGTGCGCGAGGATGAAGTTGAGGGATGCTTGGTCTTCTTCAGAGAGTTCAGCTTCTTTTCTAGGGCCACAGTATACGAAATCGCCGTGCCAGGAGGCGAGGCAAACGGAGCAGAAGGCGAGGTTGCAGTCTTCGCAAATGGCAAGACGGTCGGTGGAGACACCGCCGGGGCGCTTTTCGATGTCATGTTCTTGGTTCTTAGATGGTTCGGGTTCGGGCTCGGGCTCAGGAGGGTTTGGGGGGACAGCATGAGCTTCAGGTTCAGGTTCGGGCTCAGGTTCTGAGTCGGAGTCTTCTAGAAGTGTAACATCCGTTATTTTAGGATATTTATCAGATCTCGCAAACCCCTGACACCATTTCCTTGGACAGTTAACAATCGTCTTATCAGCCTCAATCTTCTTCTTCCGTCTCATTTCCGCAAACCGCTTAACTACATCTTTCTTCAATGGAACCTGCAACAGCTCTTTGGGCGACAGAAGGCGGGGTTTCTGTCTACGATCCGCACGCGTATCGCCAGTCTTCCCGCAACTCGGGTCCAAGCATTTAACGCTGTTAACGTCGCCTTCGGCGACTGCGTTGTTGTAGAAATCTTGCAAACATGGGGTGCAAAAGACGTGGCCACAGCGCTCAATACGGTAGCACGCTGCTCCTTTCTTGGGTTCAAGACAGATACCGCAGTCGAATGTTTCTTTGTCAAAAATCTCTCGTTTCATCTTAGCATTGAAATCTAGAAGTTCCGGTTTCATGTCCCTGGGGAGCTCAAGAGGCGTTTTGTTCGATGGATCTAATAGTCCGAAGGCAGTTTCGACGGATTCCTGTAGGTAGCTGATATATGCGAATAAAATAGGCATTCCTCCATATTCCTCCCAAAGCGATTGACACTCTGCCTGAAGCTTCTTCAGCACAGTATCGGGGATCCAACGAGGCGTTGTCGTAAGCTTTAATCGTGGTGGTTCCTCTGCTGGATAACCTTCTGGAAGCGTTATAGTGATGTTTAATGGAGACAAATATGATAGTCGATGACTTCCTTGCTCTTCAACGAATGAAACGAGCAATGGTTTGACTGGAGCAACAACCAAATCGATTTCCGCGACATAGGGGCTCCTCGATGAAATGCTGAGTTCGGGATATATTGATTGCAGCGTATTCAGTTCCTCCTCATGCTCATCTTCAGTGGCGGGGTCTGCCATAGACAAAACTCCTCAAAGTTAGTAGTGAGCAGAATATGCAAATAAAATCTGATGTCTGGAAGCAGCCAAAGCTAGAGATAAAACTATGAGTGAAGGATAGAAAGCAATTTCCAAGACCAAGAAAAAGGGCGGAGGCGAGTGCTCAAGCAGTGAGGGCGGAGTTAAAATATGACGCAGAGGCTGTACTTCAACTGCCAGCTGAAGACCAAGAGGCAGGTTAGAAGAGTCACAAATATATATGCGTGACAGCCTGCGACCCGGACGTCTGACTCAATACATGAGAAGTGACAGCCATATCGCGAGTGCAAGCAAGACAGGGCAAAGGCGATCTTTTTGAGGTCGGCGAAGGCGGAGATTGCGTAACGCCACACATTCACGTAATCACATTCATGCGCCACTTCCAGAGAGCGCCAAGCCCAGTTTGCTTCGAGCAGCTGTCCCCATCGATGGGAGAGGGAGTGTGAAGCCATTCTTCCAGCACCCGCAATCATGGAGGAATATCCTCCCCTGGCGTCGCTCTCTCTAACACACGTCCACTACGTATACCCCCCCTCTCCTCTTCAATCCTTCCACTAACGAAGACAGAACCCCGCAGACCGCATATCCTACATCTGCGCCTGGCTCGCGCTCGTCCCGCAAGGCCTTTGCATTGTCTACGCTACGCTAATATGGTCGAACCGTGAAATCGAAATTTGCCTCATGTTTGCCGGACAGCTGGGTTGTGAGGCGGTGAATTGGATTTTGAAGCGGTATATCAAGGAGGAGCGCCCACGAGGTACATCCCCGTCCCCCGTCTGTGACTCACCAGAGGCGATGGGCTATGTAACGCATTCGCATGTCATGCCATGAAATAGAATGGAATAGAGCCATTGATGAGCGGACACTGATGTATCATTACAGAAATGCATGGCAAAGGCTACGGCATGCCCTCCTCCCACGCCCAATTCGTAGCCTTCTTCTCCCTAACCCTGACCTTCTTCCTACTCTTCCGGCACGTCCCGCACCCCACCGAAACCCACACCCCCTTTACATTCTTCCAACGGCTGCTCCTGTCCCTCGTCACGCTCGCGTTCGCAGCCGCGGTCGCGAGCTCCCGCATCTACCTCAACTACCACACTCCCAAACAGGTTCTTGTGGGGTGTGCGGCTGGCGCGGTGTTCGCTGTCGTGTGGTTCGGGTTTACGACGGTTTTGAGGAGAGCTGGCTGGGTGGATTGGATGCTGGATACGAGGTTGGCGAGGACGGGGAGGGTGAGGGATTTGGTCGTGCAAGAAGATTTGGTGGATTCGGGGTGGGCGAGGTGGGAGGAGAGGAGGGTAAGGAGGAGGCTTGAGGAGAAGAAGAGAAGGTGAGGTTTAAGAGGTATGGCTGGTATGAGACTTTATACTGGTGGTGCGGAGTGGATAGACTTAGACAATGCGATACCACCGTTCACCTTTGGGAGCTGGTTAGGGTTGGCCTTCTTGTGGGTGCACCTTGGTAGGTGCCTCGGCTGAATTTTAGTCACAACAGCAAAAGTAAGAGCAGCAGGAGCGGAACTATCTCGTCTTTATTTCCCATTCATTTCACCATCCGGCCATTTACAGTCTATTAGCCCATATTACCCTTCTCACTTCTACCGACCTCCAGCGTCCTATCCATCTACGCTGTACTCGTAACCGTCGTCTCAGCTGCCACCTGCTCACTTTGCAACACCATGATATCCTTCTCATCTCCAATATCCTTTCTCATATCCCCATCCACCAAATTCACTGCACCCACACAAACATAACCCGCAAACTTGCGCGCCGACAACCTTGCCTCAAACATCTCGTCAATTTCCTCGAGTGTGCGGCCCTTGACTTCGGGCAAGAAGAAGAATACCCAAGTCGCTGCGATAATACAGGATGGGAACCAGATGAATCCTACATGGGTGTATTAGTGGGGGATATATTTAGAACAGGGAGAGTGGGGAGCCCTACCATAGCGGGGGCCCCAGTTAAGTGAAGCAGGGTTGATGAAATATGGTGCGGTGAAGGTGGTGAGCCAAGCAAAGAGGAAGCCGATGGCGGCTGCGAGACCGAAGGTGTAGGAGCGGAGACGCTGGGTTGGGATTTCTCCTCCCGCGAGCCAAGCGTATGTTGCGATCATTCCCTATTACTCGTTAGCTGTAACTACTCATAAATCACGGCGACACCCATATACTTACGTTGTAGCTGAACATATACAAGCTGGAAAGCGCCACGATAATTTTTCCGGTGGTTTTCTTCCCCGGCTGCTCGTGGTATACAACGGCAATGATGAGCTGTAGGACGCCGCAGATCATAAGACCAGACATCAGTAGGACACGCCGGCGACCGAATTTTACGATGATGAGGGCGTTGGTGATGATGGCGAGAAGGCCTACGGTGCTGAGGACATTGGTCATGGCAAATGGATCCGAGACTTTAGCCATAGTGAAGAAGTAGGCTTTATATGCTAAACAAAGTAATTAGGTCAGTCCTTCCAGAACATAGCCAGGATCCAGGCTTACCGATGATAAACATAGATCCAGAAGCTGCCTGCAACGTGACAGCGCAAACAGCGAGGATCGTCCGTCGACGGTCAACAGGGTTCTTGATCATGTCCAATGGGCCAACACCAGTGCTCATCTCCTTCTCCCTCTCGATCGCTGCCCGGATCTCAGCCGCTTCGGCATCAACATCGTAGTCGTCGGGTCGTAGCCACACAAGAGACTTCTTTCCCTCCTCATATCGGCCTTGGAGGATCAACCAACGGGGTGATTCTGGGATGAAGAGCATGCCAACTGCTAAGACGGCGGGGATGACGTAGATGAGGCCGAGTGGGATGAGGTAGGAAGATTTGTCTGGTCTCTTTGCGGTGGCCCAATCGACGATAGTTCCGATCAAGGTACCCTGGACTCAAGTCAGATTCGTTCCTGAGGATAAGATCAAGGCCACTGTACTTACGAAGGAGGTGAAGAATTGGAAGCCAGTCAAGAATAATCCCCGGTACTTTGCGGGGCTACTCTCCTGGATATACAACTGGGAGAACACCATGAAATATCCGTTGGCGAGACCAATGACGAGACGACCAACATAGAGGGCCCCGATATTCTCAGTGGTCATCATGATAATGTTGGCAACGCAGCACGTGACGCATGCTACCCACAAGCATCCTCTGCGTCCGAGATATTTAGCGGCAACACCAGCGAGAGCCGAACTGATGAAAGCACCCAATGTCATCAAAGACGAGATCAATTGTTGGCGTTCGGTTGTAAGATTCCAACCAATGGCGGTTTTTTTGGTTTGGTAGCCGAAGATCTGACTCCTAGTCAGTACCACTTTTGCTGGCTGGGGGGAAGTACATACCCTTAGAAAACCAACCATGGCCTGTAGACCTCCAATCATGCCAAAATCAATGCCATACTGAAACGGCGACAAAATTAGCACTGAACAAGCTGCAAACACCTTCCAGTGAGCACGCCAGGAGTCATGCTTGATATCTGCCATGATTTTCTCAAGTAAGCGAGGACTGCGGTTGCGATAAACATTGAATTTCGCGGACAAGGACCCTTATAACCATTCTGATCCTTTGCCCAGGCTGGATGAAAGGCAGTTGTACTTTAACCCATTTGCCGAACGCCTTGCCAAGCCTACAAGAACACATGCGAGCGGGGACCCCACAAATGAGACGCCATTGCTGCCAAGTGTGGGCAGCACTTGGCACTTTATACACTTTGGATGTGGGGAATCATTGGAGGGTGGGAGGAGGCAAATATGTCCAGATTGCGGTTTCGACATGATGTGCATGGCCGGTCGACCGGGCTGATTAAATGCAATGTAGTCCCGAATTCCTGGAACGAGGATTCGAGATCTGCCTATGCCCTGTGCATATCGTTAGCCTTGTTCAAACGTCAACTTCACGATGGGGAGATGAACACCCCCCTCTGGGAGTCAAGGAGCATCGCCCTGCACTGGAAGGGGCTTCTAAGTTAGAATATTCGGCTCCGTGCTGCCAAGGGCTACAGCAAAATTCTAAGCTTTCGGCAGTTGTGTGTCGTACGTAGAGAAATATGGGTAATATTCAGGGTCCTGAGTCGCGAACCTAGGTCGAGGATCATGATTCAGGTCATCTCGTGTTGGGTCTAACCGGGTGCAGGAGACCATCAACTTCCAGGAAGCTGGAGATGCGGTGACACGACATTAACTCGTCCACGTGGGCCTTCGAACTCGGCGTGGAGTACAAAAGGATTGAATAGAGGTGGGGTCGATGTTTAGTTTTAGTTCTGGAGGCGTCAGTGGCTTCAACGCTGCTACTTTGTGGCTAAACGGGTGGAATTCCGCCGGGTGGTCCGTGCATCATTTCAAGACGACATCTGGAAAGTGAAAATGGTACTTGTAGTCGAAGGAATGGCTATTGGAAGGCCTTTCCATGTTTTGACACAGCCCTGGGCGATGTGTCTGTGGGTTTGATAGAAGGGACTCAAAGAGTCAATATTCGGGGCACATGACGGCAGTGGTGACCGAATCAATGCAGGCGAGTAGACATGCGGAGACCGGGGCGAAGGGCCACAGTAGGACCTGAAAGAGGTATAAATTTCCGCTCATTGACTAGGACCCCCCATCCCTACCACAATCTCTCCTATATCGATAAGGCCGCGGGGATGCTGCCCTCTTAGAGACCTAGCCAGAGACGTCAGCGATGAAGAGCAGCACTATCACTAAGAGCGTCGACATATGAAATCTGTTCACTGGAGAGTATAAGATCCAGTCTCTGCGCGTCTCGGGCACGCTTCCTCCTTCTCCGAAATCCCATTTTCAGAGTCCTCGGCAGCATGCTGGTGGTGAGATTCCTCCCTAGGAATACTGCTACTACAATACTGCCTTCCACCTTGTATAGATATATCCCTCCTTGCTGCCTTCTGTTCTCCAACATCTCTTCACCAATTTGTTCAGCTCTAAAGGTATCTGTGTACCTGGAGAGTTCCTTCCTCTCTCAAGCCTCGGCACAAGCCTGGTGGCGAGCCTCTCTCACTAGACCATTGTTCCAACGTGCTCCATCGTATAAATGCCCCCATCCTCGCTGCACTCCACCATATGACTAAAATTCTCTTTCTGTATCGGAACCTCGTCCTTTGGGAGTTCCTTCCTTCCTCATGCCTCTTCACCTGCCGTCATCAACGAAACATCTCACTCGCCACAGCGCTGTGGGGTACCGCCCCCCCTCCCTTCCACTCCCCTCCTTCGCCGTGGAGGATCTGGGCGGTGCACTAATACCCGATTAACCTCCCCGGTAGTAGCGGGTCCTACGACGAAGGTTACAGCTTCACTCATGCACTGTCCTTTATTCAAGTTACTCTTGCCTTCATTCGATCGCATTGCATCTTGCGTTCCTCTTCTTTTCCCATTTTCGAGGAGGTGGAAGCTTGTTTGCTAAAAGCAAGGTGAATATTAGGCGACGAGTGATCGTTTGACGGAGCGGTGAATATTCGGCGCTGCAATGTCACACATCAGCTCCAACCCCAACCCCCCCCAAAAATCGCTTCAAGCTCCGCCCATAGGCTTCTAAGGGCAAAGGAAATGCCTAAGCCCAATCCTCGGCTAAATTTTGGTGTTCCTGGAGCCTAAGAAGCTCTAGAGGCAAAGAGTGAGGAAAGCGATAAACAGTGAAAGCACATACCACGCGTGAAAGTACGGAAATTCTGGCTTAGCACCTCCAGACTACCCCTCAAAAGCCCACCCTTTCTCACCTGCATCCCAATAAGAACATCCAACTTTCTTTGCACTTCAGCCCTATCACTTGTCTACCTACTTCCAAGGCTTATCACTTCATCTTCTTTCTTCAAGAAGTCACGTTGTCATGTCTCCCTTCATTCCCTCCACCGGCCATGCGGTTGACGCCACCGTAAAAGCTCATAAGCTCATCACTGCGGACCCGAATAAGTACATTTTGTTCAAGCAGGTCATCGTCGCAGGCCTTCCCGGCACTGGTACCGATGGTATGACTTCACCCTCACGTTAATCACCTGCATAGCTGATCCTCATCCTAGGCGTCGCTGCCGCCCTGAAGAAACTTGGTTTCATCGTTTACGACGCCGCCGAGGCTGCGAAGAATCATGATCGCGACTTCGCCCTTTGGGTCGAAGCTGCCGAAGCTAAGAAGGCCGGCACCCCGTATGGTCGTAATGAGTTCGACAAGCTCACTGGCCGCTATAATGTAAGTCCCTTTGTCTCTCACCTAAGCAAATATCTCTGAAGCCTCTCCTTAGTCTCTTGTCGGAGCCCCAGCTGCCTTCTTCATGGAGGACCTCGTCAAGGCTTACCCAGACACCAAGATCATCCTTGTCACGACCGATACCAATTCCTTCGCCAAGAACATCAAGAAGTCTATTTTCTTTTACGCCGACTCTACCTTCAGTCCTCTCAAACTCCTTGTCCACTATGAGCCTTCCTTCTATGGCCTTATCTCCTCTTTCCTCCAGACATGCGTGAAGCCCTTCTTCGGTGGCTCCTTCACTCCTGCTACCGCCAAGATCGCCTACACCCAGCACATTAACTCCATACGGGCCGCCGTTCCTTCCAAGCGGCTTCTAGAGATTGACCAATTGAAGAGCTGGGACTCACTGTGCGCATTTGTTGGCAAGCCCATCCCATCTGAGCCTATTCCATCCAGTCATGACCACCTCATCATGGACTTCTCTGGACCAGCCAGGGACATCATCGAGCACTACTCCCACATCGCCGCCACATGGATTCTCTACTGTCTCATGGCTCTGTGTGCCACTAGCGCTGGTTATATCGTCGCCAATCGTGTTACAAATATCCATCCTCTTTTTTTCGCTGTCCCAGTCTTCATCGCGGTCATGGTCTACTTCGTCACCTTCTATGAGGCGGCGAAACCTGTTCCAGCTGTCCCCGAGGTCACCGCCGCTGCCCAGAAGCCTAAAGTTGAGATTCAGCTACCAACCAAGAGGATGCCATTGGCTGTCAAGAAGCGTGTAGCCACTCGCCGCCAGCCCCAATTGAAGACAGATCGCTTCAACCGCCACGCTAGCCATGGAAGATCGCGGTCTGGTCCGGCCGAGCGCGCTCCACGCGGAGTTCAGCCCTCTTTGGGTGCTTGGGCCTCTTTCGCGGTCGATATTGCGAAGGATGACCATGCCAAATTCGTTGCTGCTCAGAAAGACCGTGCTCAGAACAAGGATGTCCGGTCAGAGATGACTACCAAGTTCATCCGGCGCAAGGCTTAGGGAAGATGACTTGGAGGTGACTCGGGGTTAGAGATGGTGATTTTGCTCTAGCTACTCACTTTCGTAGTCGGCTATAATCTAAAGCTTAATGGAAACTCGCTAGGGTAGAGGAGAAATAGTAAAGCCAGGTAATAGTCGCCTTTCAGTAAGCTCAGTAAACCATAGATCTTAAAATCTTCCTCATCCTACAGAAAAGCCCCCCTTCTGCTTACCTCGTTGTCAGGCCTAAACCATGGTCGAGAACCCATATCCTGGCCACACAATGCTGAATTCATTCTCTCGCAAGGATCTTTTCTCTTATTTAGCTATCTCCACACATGCAACAACGGGTTAGAAGGTAACCAGAGCTCTAGTAGGGACAGTACACAGCTTCTTGGCTGCAAGCCAGCTTTCCTTGACAGTGTTGGGGTTACAGGTAGGAAAGAAAATGTTGACTTTCACTCTTCATACTTCCCCAACGACTTCTGTAATATATTTTACAACTCTAAGAAAAAAAAGTACCGTATCTAGCTTACTCCCTGCACCCACGACTAATATTTCCACTGGCGGTAGTAACGAGGATGAGAACAAGAGTGATAATGCTGGGGCGTCGGTCAAGCGCCGTCTTGCGCCAAAGGAAACGAAGAATCCTCATGGGGCACAGGAAGTAAATATTGCTTCTCCCATTTCTCCTCTCCATATTCTTTCATCATCTCTATGCGTATCATTTATTCACCTGTCTTGCCTCCTTGGAATGCGTCAGGGAACTATGCCTAGCTTATTGCTATTATAAATTGTAACACTAGTCCTACGAATATACACAACACCCGGACTGCAGGAATACTAAACTGCTGCAGCCACTTCGCCCGTCTCGACGAGCCGCCTAGCTGCAAGTAATCCCTTGACGAGATCAGGAGGTGAGGGAACTTTCCGCATTTCTTCTTCAAACATGGACATATCGACCCATGCCAGACTCCATGTTCATGTTGATGCAGGAGCGATCTAGGTCCACCTCTACGAGTGAGGCTTATTGTTAGGGGTTAGCTTGAATGGGTCAGTTATATGATGGGACGCTGTTAGTGAAGTTAATGGCAGTGGGTTGAGAGAAAGTATTCTAAGAAATAACAGAAATTTATATACCCCAGCAGAATTCACACAATAATCAATCCTTCCACATTCCTCAACCCAAACCAACTAACTTCGGCATGGAATCCAACCTTAAAGTTCGGATCTGTATCCAGATTTCATTTTACGACGCCGCTTGAATAGTTCCAAATTCGCTTATATGGGTAAATATGATGCGCTTTGCGCCTGACCCGAGGAATGTAACGCCTGTTTCGTAGAGGTCAGATGTTAGTGTTCAAAAGCAGGGATTTTGGGTTTCAGGAAGAAAGTACCGAACTTCAGAGATAATGGTATACTTTTCTGCTGAGTATTGTGCTTTTGATGGTGGTTTGGAGGAATTGCTACGATACGTGAGGCACGGCGTGGCGCGGCATGGCACGGCACGGCATGGCAATGGTTGAAAACGTGGCGATCTTGTCGAGACGTTATTTTTAAGACTCATCGTGATGCAAAAATCATGTTTAGTTTATGCATTAAGTGGCAAAAGCGCTGGCTAACAATATGGTGTTGCTGTACCGCAATATAAGTAGGAATTCCCCTAAGGTCGCACAGCGAGATGGGAATTGAAGATGAGGTTGGGGCTATTGTCTACTAGCAAATGTTAAGCCCCACAATGTTGAGTCGTATGGACTGAACGTGATGTTTTTAGGGAAACTTGAAAACTCCCTTTGAACCGCTGTGCGTCTAAATTTTGCTAGGAGGGCGAATGCCCTGTGCTGATATGTACAGTGGGCAGCCGCTCTTCGGACCGGTGTGCCGACTTCGGAATCCAGCTATTTGGTCTCCCGAGAGGTTCTGTCAATCGTCAACCTTTCCACTTCGCCAACCAATGTTGGGGTATCCTTATGCCACGTCTCTCCACCGCGCTCCTTCGCCATGCCTACACGATAGACCCACTCCTCCCATTGCTTCTCCGCCCATGTCGCAATCTCCTGGCTGCCCAGAACGAGCTGCGATGGCTCCGTGAATACGTCGACATGGTCGCGCGGTCGCGACGTATGGGGCATCGAAAGGCTGATCGCAAGTCGCTGCTGAGGCAATTGGCGCGGGAAAGAGCTTCCGGCAAGCCGCTACAGTATATCCTAGGTACAGAATACTTTGGCGACCTGGAGATTCGGTGTCGACCGGGAGTATTAATCCCAAGGTGAGCTCCTCGAATGCGAGGAGGGGACCCTGGCTAACTGCATGGGCCCAGGCAAGAGACGGCTGCTTCTATCACATATCTCGTGCGTTTAATTCGCAATGCGCAAAGCCTTCCGCCCGAGCTTCGGGTCCTGGATCTCTGCACGGGCACAGGCTGCATTCCACTCCTCTTTCACCACGAGTTCTGTTCCGCGCGAAAGGATGTAGCACTACGTGTGCTTGGGGTTGATATCTCAGAGAAAGCTACCGAACTTGCAGAAGACAACCTTCGTCAGGTGCAGCGCAGAGGGGACTGCCTGGATCAAGGTGAAATGGGCTTCATGCTTGCCGACGTTTTGATTGATCCCTTCGGAGACCAAACTCTTAAGCCGCCGTCTGTGAAAGCAGCGTTCAACTTCAATAGGAAGCCAGTCTTCTGGGATGTCCTCACCTCAAATCCGCCATATATCTCGCCATCAGCGTACTGGAAGACAACTACTCGCTCTGTCCGTGGCTTCGAACCAAAGCTAGCTCTTGTACCACCACCAGCCCCAGGGAACTGCGGTATAGAGCAGGGAGACCTCTTCTATCCCCGAATATTACACATCGCGCGTGACGTCGAAGCAAAGATTGTTTTGTTGGAAGTCGCTGACATGAACCAAGCACTCCGAGTCGCGAAGATGGCGCGCGAGCTCAATATCTTTGATGGTGTTGAAATATGGAGAGACCAGCCTGACCAGATTGATGACTCTAGTTCGGCTGAGTTACAAGGATTTCCCGTAATAGGCCAGGGCAATGGTCGCTCAGTCCTGTGCTGGAGAGGTATTGGAGCCACCTGGCTTGGCAAAGGCGCCTCCCGCAACAACCTCAACCTCATTGATGACCACCGACTCTTCCGCAGCTACTGGCGTTCTCCATTTGGTTGATGTACCTATTTCATTCGTCTATTCTCCGCTCGTACTTATGTCGCATTAGTAGCACCAGTCATGTGGACCGTGCTGGAAATTGCCCGATTGGTCGATCGTATATGCATGCGATCATCTGGCTCCGCCCTTGAACGAATACGCTTTCCATCAAACCAAGATTATTCACTCTTATACTTGGACGCGCGCTTCATCCGTACGGATCCGACACGTCTCGATCACAAATAGCACGTCGTGTTCCCGCGTCTGTCTTCACATCTCAGTCTGCGATATTTTCTTCATACGCGGACTTTGCAAATCCTCCTGGTGTTTTGATTTTTTAGTTTAAATAGTACAACCATGCGAATCTGGTTATTTATCGTGCCGCTTGCACCCTTCATGGCTACCTTAGCATGCGGTGCACCAGACTTGCATCCGCGACGCGTAAGCTTCCACTGCAGTAGGAGCGCTCCCTTTCCCTCCAATCATCCACTAACTTTGAATAGCAAGCCCCACAAGCACATCTCTTTGAAAATGTGGCGGCGCAATTGAATACTCTTTTGTCGTCCCCAACCGCCCGAACTCCTACCCTCATGCCTCCTAGGAATACAGATCAGACTGGTACTACAACGCTTTCCACAACGGGAGCAGCGGATAGACCGGTTGCGACGATGGCGGTTATGGTGGGGCTTGCTGGTGTGATATTTGGGTTGGGTATGGGGATATGATGTTCCCTGATATCGGGGGAATGACCTCTTGGGATACCTGAACGATTTGTCACGAATCACGACATAACGGCTCCGGTTTCGCCAATATTTTGAAGGAAAACTGTGCGTAAAAGCCACAAGACATATATGTATACGTTCTACCATCTCATTTACGGACCCTGTGTAACATCCCACATTTTCCCCAACAACTGCTTAACAGCCGGATTCCTCCAAGCCGTCCAATCACTATTAACTAATCCCCACGGCTCATCGGAATCCACAACCCCGTTCCTGACGTAGTAATTCCCTTGGATAGCCCACAGCGCCCAATCCCCATCATTGCCCGTCACATATTCTATCAAACACTTTGCGTACTTGTAATCCTCCTCGCTGAGCCCGCTGCGTTCAGCAGTCCCGCCTGTCATTGCGAAGCCGAATTCAGATAACCACAGCGGACCGGTGTACGCCTGGTTTTGGGAAAGTAGGAATCCTGTGAATCCGCCCACGGCCGTCTTCCATAACGCGCAGTTTTTGAAGGAAATTATCCATGCTGGAGAGAAAGTGTAGGTATGCCATTCCCAAACAACCTTATCGCCAAACGATGACCGGTCTAGGGGCCGTGTTCGCAGAAATGAAGAATCCGTCGCCGACATCGTACCGCCCATCATAATCAGCAGATCTTTATTCGCATTATGCACGCTCGCCGCACCTTGTGCCATCAGATTGTACCAATCGTTGTGGTTGTTGGAGTCCTGCAACACGGGAATTGGGCGTAGTTCATTGCGTAGTCCAATGCCCGCGACGACGGGATGGTTGACGGAAAACTGCGCCATAGCTTCTAGGCCTTTGAGCCAGTTTGCAGTATTGAAGAAGCGGGAATTGGCGTCGTTGTAGCCCTGGGCGGTGTCCCACCAGCCGTTCCCGTCGGTGAGATTGCAGCACCAGCTTGCACGACTGACGTGGTTGTCAAGGATAACACGCACGTTCTTCGCGCCGAGCGTGTCGACGACCCGGCCAAACGTATCGCCAACAGTAACACTCCCACCTCCGTCCGCAATCCAGGGATTGTTAGCTTTAACGCGCTGCCATAATGCATCCACGGCCGCGCTATCTGCCCCCGTCCGTGCAGCCAGGGTGCCGAAACTGTCGCTAACGCGCGTATGCTGGGACAACGCCATGTCAATGCTAAATGTGAGGCGAACGCAGTTGAAACCAGAGGAGGAGATTAGCGCGGCGATGGCATCGATGGAAGCATGTTGTAGACCTTCGGGGATGTGGGCTTCCATGTGGCCGGCCCAGTTTATGCAGCGCAGCTTGAAGCGCTTGTTGGAGGAGTCCAGGATCCATCGCGAGGAGGTGTGGAGGGGTTGGAATTGGGCGGTTGTCACAGTTATAAAGGTTGTCCAAAGAAGCAGTGTGGATATTGCGAGGCCGATCATACTAGATATGCTTGCTCCGTTCGCCATGATCGAGGTAGGTAAAATTGTAGATGCAGATGCAGATAGAAATGCACCTGTGGTGTTGAAAGTGGGTATGGAGATCATTTTAAACTCGTACATCTGTGGTTAATCTCGAAGATCCTGAGGAACATGTGAAGGTGTTAGGATTGGAGAGTTCGGCCTCGTATTCGGATGTCATATTTCTGGTTTTCTAGGTTAGGAATGCCACCTTCTGCTTGAGGGTATTAACCGGGCCAGGGGGAGAGGGAATCGGGAATTGGGCGAGAGGTTGGGTGAGAGGTAAGGCTTGGAAGAGGATGTGGCTGTGTTAGTTGGGATGTCATGGCATGATGGCAATGGAGAATGGGGTGGGACGGTTGCTGGGCAAAAGAGAATATCGGGGGTGGAAACGAAAACTTGTAAAGGAAACTATGAAGAGCAAGGAGAGTGAAATGGTAAAGGAAATCCCCTGCGAAGTTACTTTAGTACATTTCGCAAAAGATATTGCTCAGTATTGACAATTGAAGAGGCATGGGCTGCAGTTCAGGCAAAGGAATGCGGAGATTTGAGGGGCAGGTCGATCCGAGGACGCTTAACCACATGTGGGTCAAAGCTCAAGCTCACGTGCCAAACAGCCCAAACCCCACTTCGGGCGAGGCTGAGGTCTCTTTTCGCACGCACCTACCTCTTCAACCTTACCTACATATTCAGCTTGAAGAATGGAGCCCCAATCAGTCCCTAAGATCTCCCTAGCTATCTGACAAACCCCCTCATCCGGATGCTACAGCTTCCGATCCAAGGATGCAGTGTCGCGAGATGACAAACGCAGATTGTTCTCGTCTCCCCCTCTCCCTAGCGAGCGCGCACCGATATTTCCGACCGTATCTCCACCAAACATCGACGCATTCTTGAAGCTGCTACAAAGTCTTTGAAGGCGTGTGCTCATCCACCAGCGCAGGCTCTAGACGGAAATCGGCTGCTTCAATTAAACAATAGCAGTCATTGTCTACCTTTCTATGCAGTGGCACAACAAATTCGTGCTAAATGATAGCTGACACGATTGTATTTGTTTATGACTTCAATGCTTGCAAGACTAGTTATCATGTTTCGCTGCGCTCGACCAACAACCCAATACCTAATCCAACGGGCAAAAATTATAGCTTCGTGTATATGTCTCCAATTCTAGTTAAGCGTAGATGCAGCGAGGCAAGTCGATGCGCAAAGTACCTCATTGGGTATACAGTTCACGAGTTCGTCGATTGACGTCGGGATACCAACCAGCCGACTCCGTGCGTTCTTAACCACACCCGTATTTCCCGTCTCCACTATAACTTATCAGGCCACTCAAAGCGACAGTATGCTCAGCTCACTCTTAGGTCTTGCTTTCAGATACTCTCTAGTGCATTAGTCAAACATAAATAGCGTTGGGTTATTGTACAGCAGCTGGGGGCTGAAGGCTCAACAGTATAAATCTACGAGTAGCTCTTTATTCTTTTCCTCCAATCCCTCGATCAAACAACTCTCTACCTCAGTTCTCCACCAAATCATCTATTCTTATTCCTTCGTCATATTCCATACATCTCTCACTTTTGGTCACCATGACTAAAACAATCGCCATTACCGGAGGCACTGGTTCCCAAGGCGGAGGTGTGGCTAATGTCATGCTCAAGACCCCTGGCTGGAAAGTGAGGGTCATCACGAGGAACGCCAGTAGTGAGAAAGCTAAAGCACTTGTTGCTCAAGGTGCGGAGGTCGTTGAAGCCAATCTTGACGATGAGGATTCTCTAGCTAAAGCTTTTGAGGTACGTTAAATGCGATCCCAGTGATAGGAACCCCATGGCGATGTCATATGATCTAAAGCCAAGCTAATCTCGCCGCTAGAGCTGCAACGCCATCTTTGGCGTCACGAACTTCTGGGAACATCTCTTCACCGGCAAATCTCAAGCCGAGTCTGGCGAGGCGGAAGAGGAGCAAGCCATGAAGCTCGCCCGAGCAGCCGCCAAGACCACAACTCTAGAGCACTACGTGTGGTCTACACTTCCCAGCTCGAAGAAGCTAACCAACAACAAGATCGCCGTGCCTCATCTAGACTACAAAGCTAATGTCGACGACCGCATCAAGACCGAACTTCCTGAACTTGCCATGAAGACTACATTCCTATTCTTCGGATACTATCCCAGCAACATAGCCTCCTTCCCACTCATTAAGCCTTTTGAATATCCCGGCGCATACGGAAAGTGGATTCAGATGCTACCCACACCCGCAGAATCCACAATCCCCGTCTCAGGCGACATGATCGTAACACCAGGAATCTGGGTCCGCCAAATTCTCGCCCTGCCAGAAAAGACCCTCGGCAAGTACTCCATAGTCGCGCCAGAGATCCTATCCTTTGGCGAGATGATGAAAATCTGGTCGGAAGTTACAGGGCGCCCAGGAGTGTATGTACAGTGTAGCAAGGAGGCGTATGAGGAGATTTGGGGGCTTCCAGGGAATGAAATGGCAATGCAGTTAAAGTTTGGGGAGGAGATAACAGATTGGATGGCAAATTTTGATTGGGTTAATATGGAGGAGTTAGGGATTAAGAAGGAGGAGGTTCCAGGGTGTAAGATGGCTCTTGAGGGTTTGAAAACTCTTCTTTAAGGGATGGGTTGGGATATGCAGGGGAGTGTGTGGGCAATGTTTACACATCAACTCAGTTGACAGGAAATTCGCTAATGAATCTAGAAAGTATTCCCGCCGCTTTTAAAGACATTCGTTACATAGGAAAGAAGCTGAATTGCGGTTCTAAGGTATAATTACAAAGTTATTGTACAATGTCCTTGTGTTGGATAGGTATTAGGTCTTTCATTAACATAGAAGGGCTAGGTCTCGTCCAATATCTTCAGTGATCTGCTACCATCACCCAAATTCTCCTTCCATAAACTGACTCAATATTTCAACTACGGGCCGCTCCCAATTAACAGGGCGCTCTTTTTCCATCTACGTTACTGGCTCTGCGTGCTGGGTGCAAATCGAATTATCCTTCTCCGCTAAATCGTTGGTACAATTCTATCCAGGTGACTGGGAGGTGCTCAGGCCTCAGGCCGAGAGTATTGACTCAATCAGATGGCTTGGCTGATAGTCCAATAGCCTGGATTAAGGCTAGCGATTAGAAACCGGGAAACTCTGGAGCTCCTCGAACGGTCGATTCTCAATCTTCTTGCGGAAAAGGAAACCAAACGTTAAAACTGATCCAACCTTAGCTAGCAAAGGCCGGTCATCCGACTGGTCTTCCCCTTCGACTTCAGTCCTCCCATCCTGCGCTAAATAGACGTGGTAGTTCCTAGGCAGATAGCGGCCCGGATTCCGTACGTTCCATAGAACAGAGTTGGTGAGCATGAGCGCTGCCTCGAAGATGTAGAAAAACCACTCATATCGCAAAATGGGACTCAGGTTTTTGAGCGCCTGGAGGTCATCAAGTTGCACCGTTGTGTTACCCATGTGTTCTATCAGGCGGTAGATGCAGCGTATCAAGATCAACAACATGCTCATATACAGCGTGATCAGGGGAGTCGATACAGCCTTGGCATGTATATTAGCTTTCGCGCACCGCCGATGGAATATGGCCGCGAGGGCGATGAAGATGACGATAACAACGAGTTGGATCGCAAGCGCGGCTATTGTCAAGCGGGTTCCTAATTCTTGCTGACTGTGTGATGAGGACGGGTTGGCGGAGAGGGATACCCCCAAAGCGTTCAGGGTCTCAACAAGCGCTATTAAAGCACCAAAAGTGGACAGGACTCTGCCAGGAGGAAGTGGTGCCAAGTATGGCACGTAGTAGAGTATTCGACCAAGGATGTGGTAGTTGGCGAGTTCGAGAAGCGGACTTTGTTGTTACACAAAGTCAGTCGGGACTCAAAGGTATTGCCCTATTAGATACGTCACTTACGGGCATACGTATATGAAAACTTGACTAAGGATGTAGATAATCAAGTTCTGAGTGCTGTATAAATAGTTGAAGGATCCGTATTCCCGCAAAGCATAGCCGGCAGTAAACAGCACTGCGCAGATCGAGTGCAATCCGATAAGTTTGAAGCAGTTGTAGCGACTAGTCGTGCGTGTCAGGAGTCTAGTTTTAATTTCAAAACAGCAAGGTTGATAATATACTTACTAACACTGCCAGATATGGCCGACCGCTGAGGCAGCGAACGCGAGACTGAAGAAGATGGGTGCTCCCTTGTTAGGAGCATAGACGAAAAGGCTGCCCGGGACTGGGACATGTCAATAACAATGCAGTAAGTAGGAGGTTTGAAAGTCTTACCAGGTTGTCCATCTTCCATCTTTGACCGGAGTTGAAATTCTAAGGCAAAAGGCGATGGGGGAAGAGTGAAAGGCGAAAGCGGTGGGATTCATGGTCTTCTCTTTGATAAATAAAGAATGCTCCTTCCTTCACAGACTTCTAAGCACTGGCACCGGAGTAACCAGCAAAGGCGTCACTTGCGAGTTGCATCTCAGTTCCATAGCGTGACGCTTAACCCAAATAGGAGAATATGATTGCCAAGAGATTATAACCCTGTCACTTCCGACTTGTCCTTTCTATAGTACTGAAATTTAAGTTGCGTAAATGACGAGGGGGATTCTACCTGAAGGCTTAGATCAGGCACCAAGCTGGACCCTTATCTATAGGTAGGCCCTTAAAAGGTTGTTGGCCGAGGTAGGTTTCAAGATCATAATAACTTCTTCTATCACGTGCGAAGATATTTTAGCTGACGTAATAGGTACCAGCACACGGGCCAATCTTTCACTTCACGTCCTTCGGTCTTCTGTATCGCCCAAGTCTCCTCCCTGAAGAGGTTGTGGCATCATGACCATTACCTTTTATCTTTACTCCCTTGCTGAAATTACAATGATCCCTTGGTGAATACATTTCAGGGAATGCTAGCAATGACTCCTTATATTTCGATGAACCAAATTTCTCCTCAGATTCAAAGGGTCCAATATAACATACCTGCCAAGGTGCAAAGTCGTCGAAGTCAACGTCAGAGATGGAGGAAAATCGAAAACGCCACTGCTGGGAATGTCTCCGACGCTGCCTAGTCTGTGACTCCACACGTCCCATATGCAAAAGGTGCTCTACGTCCGGGACTGTATGTCCTGGATATAGTGATGCGAAACCTGCAAGATTAAGGTGGCTCGCACCCGGAAGAGTAAAATCTCGAAATCGGAGGCTGAAGGAGACTCCGTCTAATAAAATCGAGAACAGTCACGACGAAATGACGACTAGGGCTATGGCAGAGCTATCTCGCTGGACTGATGATCTGGTCATTCCTCGTTTTGAGATAAATACCGAGACTTGTGACTTAGTTCAGGCTGCAGAATACTGCAAGTTAAAGCCACAAGAGAGGTCTTGACACACACTGACTCAGACAGACAATACCTGCATATACCAAGACCTGATCCCCATCCACCAACTTGGGCCAAATCCTTACATATATCCTGTCTCGCCCGCTCATTTCCAGAGTGGAGCTACGCTCCCCGACCATTTGCGACTTGTTTTTGTCTGCATGGCCCTTAGCCACAGAATCAACCGAACAAGGAATGACCCCCAATGTAAAGCCTTGGCTGTGACCTTTTATCGGTACCGTGGTATTGTGATCCGCTCTCTCAGCGAGGATATCAATGTGGAATATAAGCGTACTAGCGATATTCTTCTTGCCGGAATAATATCCCTTTTACTCGCTGACGTGAGTCGATTCTCTATGAAACAATGGGAATCATCAGATATGCTGAATCATGTCTTTCTACAGACCCAGCAAGGTGCCTCTCCAAATTGGCGATGCCACCTTAAGGGAATTGAAAGATTAATCACGCTTCGCGGCGGCATTCGTGCACTAGCGGGATCGAAACACTTAGAGTCGCTGCTTCTCTGCTTCGTGTTGTATGTGGATATAGCCAAGGCTGTTGAGTTTGAAGAAGCACAAAAACTGACCTCACATAGCGTTTCGGTTATCGGGAACACGACATCCCCTGCATCAGACCTCGCCCTAACCAGTTCGCATCTCGACGAACTTGATTTCATATTAGAAAAATATGGCGGTAGAATATTTACCTTCCATCTGTGTCCCCCACCCCTGTTCGCCGAGATTGTCAAGATCAATCACCTTCGGACGCTAGCCACTAAACGTGAACCTGCCGGGGTGGGGGAACTCTCGCAAGAGGCGTACGAAATACTAAGCCGTATCCACGGTTTCTCTCCAGAACCATGGGCCGACTCCAAGCCATCGTCAAAGGAAGACTGGATGCTTATAGGAAACGTATACCAAGCCGCTGTGGCATTGTACTGCATCTCTTCACTGCAAAGCCTGTCGGTTCTGCCCCTATCCCACTCACTGAGATCCCGTTGTACTACACACAGCCAGTCTCTGTACGTGCTTCTCAACGAGGCGCTGTCTTCCCCAAAGATCAAAAGATTCATGCTTTGGCCGCTGGTCTTACTCGGCGTGGAAGCAGTGAATGGCGGCGCAGCGATGCGTGCTTTTGTTGAGAAACAGTTACCAGAGATAAGTCGCCATGTCGGCACATATGTACCACTTATGGCAAAGGGTGTCCTAGAGAGGTTCTGGGCTTCAGGAGAGATGCGTTGGGATGCTTGCTTTGATAAACCGTACGCTTTAACGACGCAGATTGCGATAGACATTAGCCGGATATTACCATTGTAGCTACGTCGTTATAATGCAAGCTCCAGTAAGGATGCTGTCAGTTCATAAGGTGTGGAAAAAGCTTTTTGAGAAGCACCAAGAAGCCGCATCACTCTGGGCCTGCTTACGTCAAGTCGATAAATACTTGTATTGCCACACCAGTACGCTGCGAATAGAGAAAAAAACACAAAACCTGGAGCTTGGGCTTCCGGATCTGCTAGATCTGGATCTCCCTTGAAGCTCCGGTTCCACCTGAATCGGATTTCGTTTAGTAGACTCTAGGAGAAAGAGTGAAAGGGGATTTATTACAACGAAGAGACCAATGGCAGTAGTGAAAAGCGGCCCGTAATAGGAAAAAGGGATGATTCATGGAAGGAGATCTCTAAAGAGATTAAAGAGTGGATATAACAGTGAGGTCTAAGATCGAAGAGAGCCTAAGATGGGATGTGAAGAGGTAGGCGTAGGTAACTACAAGTTTATAGCAGGGCAATGACGAAGCTCTTTGAACGAGAGGTAGAGTAGACCAAAAGGGCGCAGAATAAGACCGGGAAAATTGGGATGGGGAATAAGGAGCAAAAGAAAAGGTTGGCTATTTTAGATGTCATGCACTAACGCAGGGCACGGGATGACGAGAGTAACTAGAAAGACTAGGAGGGAGAGGAAGGAATAGAGGATGTGATTGAGAGGGGAGGTTGAGAATCTTATACAAGATAGCGCCGCTAAACTTGAAAGGGAATTGCAGAACAAGGCTATCCTCAAATTGTACCAGGGAGAATTTCTGAGATTAATTTGAGCGGCCTGAAAGTGCCTCGGGAGCCCTTAGACACATTTTTGTCGTCGTTTGAGATCCAACCCTACCCAAGTATATAGCATCGCAAGAAGGCGCAGTCTTTACGTCCGAAGGAACAGCCAGGAATACAATTGGCACAACCTTAAGACAGTGTATATGCCTAAGAGAGTACAAATTTCGCCCCGAAATCATATATCTGTTCTAACAGCGATTGGAACGTAAGAAAGGAGTGGTAATATTGGTAGTGTACATTATAGCATAATGCTAATGTTGAGAATGGGGTCTTTCTGTAGCTCTGCGTCACACCCTCCCAGGCACACTTCTTTTAACGTCACTTCGTTCACAAGCCTTCAACGCCTTCGCTTCTCATGCATCCCTCAACAAGGCCTATCCTGATTGCTCTGGCGACCTGAATTACCTTTCCTATGTACCTCTCATCCTCAACAAACTTTTGTTGCCATTCATACATATTCCAATCCCCTGCCCCGAAATGGAGCCGATATCCATCTTCGCGCTGGCCGTCGACATCCTCCAAACCATCAACTTCAGCGCAAGGCGGCTAAAATATGCGCATGAGCTTTATCAGTCGATTGCTGAGCAGACGGCGGAACATGTAGAACCTCGACAGATATTGGAGAGCTTGTACACTGTGTGCAATAACATTCCATCATTCATATCCACTCAACAAAGCCTCCGGCTGATTAATCGCGAGGTGAGTCGGCTCCAGATGCTTCGGACCTATTCGATTACTAGGAGATGTCTCAGGCCATTGTTCATGGAGGTGCCGATCTGAATAATACTTTCTTGGATGACAAGGCGTTTTCCCAACTCCCTTGGCTTGGATCTGGAATGTTGGTGATCGGCGGTGATAAAGTATCTACCGACGGTGCAATGGATTATATCATGGCAAAGTATGAAAAGCAGATGGTGATACACTAGGTTAGATGTAGAAAACCGTGTCACTGCTATTGCTTTGTTGGACGGGAGATATAATGTATAATATGGATGAGCGCTTTCTAAGCCCACCACACCTATCTAGGAGTCTGGGCTAAACCTTGAAGGACTCAGGGGAGGTTGGAAGGGGGTTTAAAACTTGTTTGCTTTGCATGTTGCTCGATGCGGCACGCGCTTTCTAGCAGTGCACATCACATCATAGAATACAATCTATAGTTCCATCAATAGATACGCTACTTGTAACTCATTATCCGCTCCATCTCACCTCCCCCACCGCCACCGTCTCCAAAACCTCCACCCCACCTTATCATCCCCCACCCCTTCTTCACCCCTAAACCTCCTCTTCTCCTCCCCTCTCCTCCTCCCCACCCACGCAAACCAAACCACCAAACCCACCGCCATAAACCCCACGACCAACAATGTCTGCACTGGCTCTGCAAACACTGCCCTACTGAGCAAAAACAAACTCACACAGCAGAAAATAATCGGCGTCGTAATCCACGTCTTATACGGTCTCTCCAATGTAGGCTCTTTAACTCTCAGGATAATAAGGCCCAGCACAGTCAGAAAGTAAAAGCTATACCCCGCGACGCCGTAGAAGGTTACCAGGGTAGAGAAGGAGCCGATGAGGACGTAGATGGAGGTAAGGACGGCGTTGAGCGACATGGCCGAGATAGGGGTGAAGAAGAATCCTGCGTCCGGGTCGGCGAAGGCGGTTATTACGAAGCGCTTTATCCGGGATTTCGAGGGCGTAGTATTGAGAGTGTGGAGGCGAATGGCGCGATGGGATTTCCCGAGGCCGATGGTGGCGAAGAGAGAGGGGAGATAGCCTTCTTGGCCCGCGGCGTAGACGAGGCGGCCAGAGGTGAAGGTTGTGGCATTTAGCGCGCCGAAACAGGAGCCGGAGACGAAGAGAGCAAGGATGAGGGAGCCGATGGGGCCGAAGACTTGCGAGCCGAATGCCACGGCTACAGTGTTGGAGGATTCGATTATAGAGGCAGGGAGAACGAGGAAGTAGGATACGTTGGCGAGGAGGTAGAAGAGGATTACAAGGGGGAGGGAGGTGTGGATTACGCGTGGGAGATCCCGTGTTGGGTGCTTGAATTCGGCGGTTACGTAGTTTACCTGGGGGGGTTAGATGGGGGTGGGTGAAGGAAGGGGAAAGGGAAAGGGGAAGGGGAGGGGGAGGGGGAGGGAGAGGGAGAGGAGCGGGAGTAGAGACGGCGTACATTGTCCCAGCCATCGAAGGCCCAGAGTCCGGCGTAGAGTGCTACGGCCCAGCTGCTGATGTCTGTGGTTGTGCCTTCGAACCAGCCCTGCTTTTTCCAGTCTTCGCTCGCGTGGCCTTTGTATGAGAAGCCTGTCACAGCAACCACGATGCCGATGACGGTGACACCGATCAACGCAACGAATTTCAAGAACATAAAGACATCGGCGCTTCTCGTCCCAAGTTTCGTGGATATGCAATTTAGGAAGGTCACGAGCACTAACGCGATAAGTGCCACAGCCTTATTCAGCCAAGCACTTGCCTCTGCCGCATCAGCTCCGATAATAGCGCGCACGAGATATTCGCCGAAGATGATGGCAATGATAGCCGCGGAGCCAGGTTTCAGCACGCAAACTGCACACCAGGTAAACAGAAATCCGGCCCATTCCCCAAATATCTTGGACAGGTAGACCTGCGCGCCGCCGTTCAAGGGTATGGATCCCCCGAGCTCCGCATAGCTCGCCGCACCCGTCCACGCGAGAATCCCCGCAACCAGCCACACGAGTAGCGACGCGCCCGGCGACCCGGCATTCTTGTTGACTTGGGAGGGCGAGGAGAATATCCCGCTTCCTATGATAAGGCCCACGACTAGCGACAGGCCGTTCAAATACGTCAAGGTCTTATTTTTCTCCAGACCGGCCCCGTTCAACGCACTACTCGGATCGAGGTTGGGGTTGCTAGGAGTACCCAACGCCGTGTATCCCTGCGCGGTGCTCGAGAGCGGAAACAGGTTCGGCGCGAAATCGAAGGCGGAGGATACGCTGTAGGAGCGGTTGTGTCGCTGTGGGCGGGAGTCGTCGCCGCGGCCGGCGGGATTGAGTTCGGAAAGGGGGTCCTCGTCGTCGAAGGAGAGCCGCCGCGACGAGGGAGGCCCAGAGGTGGACGAGGATATCGAGGTGCGCCGGGAAAGGTGTGACGACGAGGCCAGGGAGGCAAGCTCCAGCGAGTCGCGGGTGGGGGCAGGCGGGAGGGTGGAGTAGCGGCCGGACATTTTACGGAGCGGATCGATGGGTTTCTGCTACCTTGCACGTCGTCTTAGAATCGCCATGGACCATGTGGAATATGCGGAGAGGAAGGGCGAGAGTAGGAGCGAGCGAAAGGCCCCTTTATTATGTGCAAAGATGCTTGGATTGCCAGTGGATGGATGGTGGTTGATGCGGAGCTGGCAGCGGATAGATGGTGCTAGCGCCGCATGTGGCTTAGCTCCCGTTGCTATGTCGGAGGAGGGAGGGAAAATCAGAAACCTTGGGCTTGGCGGTGGAGCTTAAGTGAATCTTTTGCGACTGTCGGCCAACCAATTCACTCACTCTTCGCGACAGACATGAGAGCCATTGCTGCGCGGTATGCTTGCAGGGAGAGGTGATGCGAGGGCTCACTGCATACGCTACGGGCTGGCGGCAAGCCCTCCGACGACGAACGCCATTTCCCGCGCCCGCGCGCCGCAGCTTCTCGTCGAAGAAATTATGGCCCTCAGAGCTCAAGAAACAGGTCGATTTCACTGCCTTGGACGCGAAATGGCAGGAGCGCTGGAGAGCGCGTCTCTACCCCCCGGTCCGGCCTCGCTCCCTGGTTTTCGAGAAAGGGAAGGCGTACATACTCCCCATGTTCCCATATCCGTCCGGAGAACTACACTTGGGACACCTGAGAGTCTACACCATCTCCGATGTTCTGGCGCGATACAACCAGATGCAGGGCCATGCGGTCCTCCATCCAATCGGCTGGGATGCCTTTGGCTTGCCGGCCGAGAATGCGGCTATTGAGCGGGGGATCCATCCCGAGAAGTGGACTTTGCAAAATATCGAGACGATGAAGAGCCAGATGATCATGATGGGTGGGCGTTGGGACTGGGACAGGGTGTGTATATCTCGGGCATTAAAGGCAGTCGTGACCCTGATGCATTGCCCCGTTTAGGAATTCCGAACCTGCGACCCCGAGTTCTACAAACACACCCAGCACATCTTCCTCATGCTCCACGAGCGCGGGCTGGCCTACCAGGCCGAATCCCTCGTCAACTATGACCCTGTCGATAAAACTGTCCTTGCAAATGAACAAGTAGACGCGAACGGCTGTTCATGGCGCTCTGGCGCAAAAGTGGAGAAGCAGATGCTGAAGCAGTGGTTCTTAAAGATCAAGCAATTCCAGGAGCCTTTGCTGAAAGACCTGGACTTACTAGCGGAGAACGGCAATTGGCCGGAGAGAGTTCTAGCTATGCAACGCAACTGGCTTGGTCGGTCCGAGGGCATGAAGATATGGTTTGATGTCAATGCTACCGGCCACAACTGTCAAATCGACGTGTTTACTACGAGACCAGATACCCTGTTCGGCGTTCAATATCTCGCTCTGTCTATCAACCATCCTATAGTTCAAGATATGGCTAGCGTCGATGATTCTCTCCGAGCTTTTCTTAGCCGGGCTCAAGCGCTTCCTCCTGATTCCAAGGAAGGCTATCTCCTTTCTGGTATCGAGGCAGTGAATCCACTCTCCCAATTCTCCCCGGCAGCGGAGGCTTCTATTCCCGTCTACGTCGCGCCGTATGTCTTGGATGATTACGGCTCTGGCGCAGTCATGGGGGTTCCAGGCCACGACGCACGAGACCATGCCTTCTGGCGGGCAAATGCTGGAGATCGTCCAGTCATGCAGGTCATTGCGACAGAGTCCGGCGTTACCCCTGAGCCGTTAGTGGCGGGGAGCGAGCTTGACAAGCCGATGCTCTTCAAGGGATTCATCGCGTCTAATATCAGCAGCTGTGGGGGTCTTTCCTCAGACGAAGCCGTAAATGAGATTGGCAAACTCCTTGAGGCTAGTTCGACACCGTTTGAGAAGACGGAGAATTGGCGCCTGAGGGACTGGCTTATTAGCCGACAACGGTATTGGGGGACGCCGATTCCTATAATACACTGCGCATCCTGTGGCCCTGTGCCCGTACCAGTGAAAGATCTTCCTGTTGTGTTACCCACACTTCCGAACGAGTTCTTTCAAGGGATGACTGGAAATCCACTTGCAAAGGACGATGAATGGAAAAAGACGACTTGTCCGAAGTGCGGTTCCGTTGCCAATCGTGAAACTGACACAATGGACACTTTTATGGATTCTTCGTGGTACTTTTTTAGGTTCTTGTCTCCTCGACGATCTGAAGGCCCAGTGAAGCCCGAAACCGCGAATATCGAGATGCCCGTCGATGTCTACGTCGGTGGCGTAGAACACGCGATCCTCCATCTCCTATACGCGCGATTCATCTCAAAGTTCCTCGCCACGACACCCCTCTGGCCGGATGGTGAAGCTGTACACGGCGAACCATTCAAGAGACTAATCACCCAGGGCATGGTCCACGGTAAAACCTACTCCGAACCCTCCACGGGCCGATTTCTGCGTCCAGAGGAAGTGGATCTAACTAACCCCTCGACCCCTATTATTAAAGCCACCGGTGCGACTCCAGTTACCAGCTTCGAGAAAATGTCTAAGAGTAAATACAACGGCGTGTCCCCTACCACCACCATTGCAAAATACGGCGCGGACGTGACACGCGCCCACATGCTGTTCCAAGCCCCCATCTCAGATGTTCTGGAATGGGATGAAGATAGCATCACAGGAGTACAACGCTGGCTCACGCGTGTGTGGAGACTCTCCAGCACCGTCAACTTTATCCCGCCAGATATTCTAAAGACGTTCCGACCGCCTAAGAATATAGACGCCCCGCTTGTGGATGTTTTGATCGAGTTGCGCAATCGGGGGATCCTGAAGCCCGCAAAACTTCCCCGACACATGCCGAATCCACTCATGACAGACGAGGAGGAACTCCTCGCCGCGTTAGGCGTACCAGAACAATTGCTCTGGTCAAAAGTCCAGGAGACGATTGTTAGTGTTACGAAAAGCTACGCCTCCACCTACGCCCTAAACACCATCATCAGCGATCTCATGACACTGACAAACACAATCTGGGACGCAGCCCACACCTCACAGACGATGTCCTACCTGAGGTTCCTGGGCATGGTGCATTTACTACGGATGGTTGCTCCAGTTGCGCCGGCGGTTGCAGAAGAGTGCTGGGAAAGCTTACATACGAAAACCTGTCGTATCATCGAAAATGACCCATATCATCCGCTTAAACTGGCTTCCAAATCGAGTATCTTCTCGTTCAGGTTCCCGGAGCCGGATACGCAGGTTATACCAAAACTCAACCCGGAGATTACCACGGTGTTCATGCTGGATGGGAAGAAGAAATTCGAAGTCAAGATTAGGAAGCCGCCGGAGCTGGTACAGGGACCGTTAGAGTTAGCGAGGTGGCTGGGATCGAGGTTGTTGGAGAGTGAGGTTGGTAAGGAGTGGTTGGAGAAGGGGAGGGGGAGGGTGTGGAGGGTAGCGGGAGAGGTGGCGGAGCGAGGGTTAGGGGAGGAGGAGCTGGCTAGGGAGCTGGTGGAGAGGATGCAAGATGTGGAAGCAGACCCGCAATTTACGTGGTTGCCTAAGGAATGGACGGCTGTGATTGTGGGGAGGGGAAAGTTGGTTAACGTTGTAAGGCCGAAGACTAAGGGAAAGAAAGGTGGGAAGGAGGGGAATGAAGGAATGCAAATACAGAAAGACGTCGGTGTCCACAGGGAAGGAGAGGAGACGAAGCAGCAAGAAGCCCAACCTGAACCAGGTCGAGCAAGATTGCTGCAAGAGAGCAAGGGGGGCGCGGAGAAGACAGCTAGGAGAGAGAGGGGGAAAAGGTAATTGTTACTCTACCCTTGTATCTGCGCTCCGTGTATATATCTAATTCGATCACTAATTCACGACCCTAGCGACCTCCATTCTACACCTTCCCTTCCTCAACAGGATCGGGATACCAGTATAGGTGAGACACAGGAACATTCACGCTTAAACGCACCACCACTCCCCAAACGCGCCTGCGTCCCAGTCTCTCCTCCCATCGACCCCAAGAAACATCGCACCTGGATCGCGACAGAGTTCTTCCACCCTCCAACCCCCTCATCCCCTGAAACCCAAAATGATGATGTAAGCGTAAAATGGGCCCGGTCAAGCGCGAGTGCGGTGGGTACGGATGCAAGGAATATGAGAGATAGGAGTAAGCCTCAAGTCCAATTCACTCGCATCCCCGGCACCCGAGGGAAGTTTATAGTCGGAGACCGGGTGCGGGATAAACAGCGGGACCAGTTGAGGATTGTGGCGGAGAGACGGGCGAAGAAGACTAATACTACAGAATATATTATGAATTCTGGCTCTGAGTGGGAGGGGGACAGGCAGCGGAATGGCACATCGACAACAGGATTCAGTAAACTTTCACACGAGGGTCGGCATTTAACAGCTGGTGCTGGTGCTCGTGCTGCTCCAGAGAGGTATGTTGGGTTTAATCCCGTGAGGCTGAACTCGGAACAAGAGAATCCCCAAATGGGGGGTTGGATACAAGCCCGCGCTCTTGAGACTAATGTGAGGGGTGGTGGGAAGAAGAAGTGGTGGGAGAAGGCCAAGAAAAAGATGGAGGCGGCGAGAAAGGAGGAACGGTGGAAGGGGAGGGGTACGGGGAGGTGATGGAGGGAGGTGAGGGACGGAAGGTTGTCGTGGGGGTGAGCGGAGTTAGAGGTATAGTTTAGCATTCAGGATGGCAGAGAGTGTTAGGTATGTATGCATGTTTGAGTAGTGTATAATAGTGTACAAGGTCTCTCTATTTATCTACTGTACATCGCAGCCCCTGCCGGAGCAGCCATACCGACATCTTAGCAGAGCATGGGGATGCTTCTTCACTCTTCTTTTAAATACATAACCTACATTCCGTCTTCCCTATACTGAATCTTCCCTCCTTTCCCTTTACGCTCTAGGCCCTACTCCTCGGCCTCAACCTCAGCCTTTCCCACAAACTCCCCTTCCCTCCTTCATCCCGTTTAACCTGCTCCTCAACCAACCGCCCCAGACTTCCCCCATCTCCAGTAATCCCCCCTCGCAACAATTCCCCAATTACCCGTCCCCGCAAAATTGTTTCCTCTATAATGCCTTCCACGTTTTCGGGCCCCACGCGGCCGTACCAAACCCCCGACCCGGCGAGCTTATTTCCACTGTTGTTCTCGCCATCCAAGTTCGGCACTGACCCCGGAGAAGAAGAAGCAGGGGAAGGAGAGACGGGAGAAGCAGCAGAAGCAGGGGGGAGATAAATAATAACATTCCCTGCAAACTTGTGCCCGCCAATATGCGATATCACACCCACAGTCGCAGACACCCCTTTGCTTTCCAACTGTCTTCTAAACTCGTCGTGGAGTATAGGACCCAGGATCCCGCAGCGCGAGTCCCGGCTTCCGTGGCTGCATATGAGGATTGTTGGCGTGGTTATGGGATTTGGTGCGGGGAGCACGGATGCGAGGGAGGGGTTGCGGGTTAATGCTGCTTTTTGGGTTGGCGAGAGTAAGGTGTGCAAGGGGTGCAGGGTGCGGGCTTTTAGGAAGGCGGTTGCGAGGGCGGAGATGCTGTGTTGGGAGTGAGGGATTGAGGGGAAGGAGAGGAATTGCGGGAAGAGGAGGACGGAGGTTGTGGGGGCCGTGGTGGTGGAGGAGGACGGGGGAAGGGAGGACAGCGTTGTTAGGGTGTTTGTGAATGGCTACTAGGGACAATCGAATTAATGAGTATTAGTACTATAGCTTGATGAGTATAGCAAGATGCTCCACTCTCCAAGCACTCCACGGCAAAGACTCCAATACATAGCTCGGGACCTCAGGACGGGGGCTTTAGGTTGGGCGGGAGAGGGGAAGGTAGGATAGAAAGAAGAGACAAAAAAAGAAAACAAAACCTACATCAAAACTCCGCCCCCCCTTTCCAATCTCTGCCTTCAACCCTCTGACAAAATCCCCACCTTCCCCAACTTCATCCTCGATTCGCGAGGTCCAGTCGGCTTTTCCAGAACAGATCACTACGTGTGATGAGTATGAGGCCATAGTGTTCAAAAGCGGCGACTTGACATCGATGTCGAGGTCTGTGGGTGGGGAGGTGCAGGGACATGTTGGTGAGGGACAGGTTGGCGTGTAGGGGATTTTGGGTGGAAGTGAGTTGGATTGAGGCTGGTAGCGGAGGTTGGAGGTTGAGAATTGGCGAGTATAAGAAGAGAGGGCTGAGAAGAGCCTTTGCTGGGGAAAGGCCATGTTGGTTAAATTTAGAGAGAGGGGGGAAGAGAAGAGAGGAGGGAGGGAGTGTGGATGTTAATGGGACTTCGGAAGCTCTGGGAACTTGCTGGGAAAGCTCGGAATGCGTTCCGCATTGTGTTTAGTGTTCGGATCGGATATATCGGTGTTTCGGAGATCGGGGAGCGATCTCCGAGGCAGTCCCAGATATTTCACCTGGAATCATGCATCGCTTTTCTTTCCTTCCTCCAACAGTGAAGTTTTCGGCGACAAGTCAATTTCTTCTAATTCCTACTATCTCTTATTCCGTGCCTTACACTTGACAGGCGAGCGCTGGCTTTACGGGCTGGCTTACGTACGGACTCCACCTTTTCTGGAGGTTGCTTCAGTGACCAGTGACCGGGGTAAACGGACTCTGAGCTAACACGAAACCTACCAGCTGCAATCTTCGCATGGCACCTGACTTCAATGCTCGAGAGACTGACGGCCGCCACAAACATAAGCTGTTTACTTGGCTTGCAATGTTAGTACCTATCATTGTTCCACCAATAAGGTACCATGGAGTAGCGATGCGGACGCTAGAAGAGATCCATAGTGGTTGGTTGTAACCACAGTCCGCGAAGATGCATCTCCAGGTCCCAGCGGTTCACCCGAGGCTCATCAATCTGACCTTTACAATGCAACACCATCTGGAAGACACCTACCCCTACATCCGCGTGCTCCACCCCCTTCTCTGATTGGGTTTCAACATCGCCTTGCCGTCTTGATTAGATGAGGATTTCAACGCCTTCTCTCTTTTGAGCAGAGTTGGGCCGCTGATTGTAGGCACGTGTTCGCGTGTCACGTTTAGATATGAAGGTGGCGGTGGCGGAGTACATGACACGATCGAAGAACCTTGCGATTTCGACTACGCGAACGCGAAGCCTCACCCCGCTCTTCACAACTTTTCATGGAAAGGTTGAAGACTCTGCGATCCGGCGTATTTGGATTTATTCGCGCATAGCAGCAATCTGATGGAAATGCGGTAAGAATCCAGGAAGATAATAACACTTTGTCATGCTCTAAGGACTAGGACTTGCGTTTTACTAGACAGAAAGATATTAATGACGGACGAAACCGTATCTACGGACGAACGCCTCTTTTTCTACCTTGCCATTTGAGATTATTAGGTCGCAAGCCACAAGGCAGAATTCTTAGACTCGATAAGAGGTCGCAGCCTCGTGCAGACTATATATCCAACCCCCGGCCGTTGTAGGTAGGTCTTTTCATTCTACTATCCATCATGACTACTTTTCAGCATTATTCTTCCTTCTCAAACTTTTTACTTTTGAAGTTATCTTTCGAGTGCACACATGTCTTCTTCGCCAGTAAAGGGGGTTGACCCGGAGGAGCCGGTCATGCTGGCGAAATTGAGGGGTGATATTCAAGGAAGAATGCTCTCAGATGGTCGCCCCGACTCACTAGTCTCGCCAACAGAGACTCGTACTCTTGATTTGGGTGGAAACTCGCCCACACTCCCTGCTGCTGAAGGACCTCAGCCAGAATGGATAAAACGGCGGATACATAGATGGAAGTCTCCTCTTTTAATGGTGGTCTTCTATATCATTGGTTTGGCGATGAGTCTTGCGCACTGCATATTCTATCCTAAGCTCAAGGGCGTCATTGTTGGTAATCCTGATAGTCAAGAGGGCAAGATACGGCAGGTTCCCCGAGGTTAGATGCCACAAGCATAGATCACTAATAGATGTGAAGGATTGGAACAGCCTTCGCCTTTCTTAGTCAGATATGCCTCTCTACTAGCGTATGGATAAGCTATACGCAGTGGTTATGGCGAACAGTGAACAAGACCGAGATGACGGTTGGAGGCCTCAACGCTGCCTTCGGGGCAGACACCTCTGTGTTGTCACTGCTCAACCTCGAGATGCTTCAAGAGCTGCGGGTAGGTTCGGCAATGGCTCTATTTGCCTGGTATCCAGATTCACCTCTGCAGTCTGCTATTCACTGCTGACTTGAATGAAGGGGCCTGCTGCTTCCTCCTTTCTTCACTCCCGCAACTCTATTCGTGTACCCCAGCACCAAGATTTCTGAGGTCGAGCAATTGATGCCATATCCGGCTATTGCAGATAGCAGCGCTGGCCACAGGTTTGCGTACTCTCCTCCGATCCTACGCGGAACTACCCAGCACTTCGACGATGTGAGCAGAAAGTACACCGGACCGCGTACTATTGTCAGTCTCATATCAACCGCTACCGCATCGCTTGGTGAAATATTGTCGGTGAGCTCCTTCTACAATAGTTCGACGTATTCAGTCGACTTCTTTGCGCCAATCGTGAGATGTCGGGAGGCCGACCCGTCTGAGGCAACTCAGATAGACGGCTTCCTCAAAAAGGAAATGGCCATCCAGCTCGGGACGAATAACGAAACGGATAGTGCATATTACAGCTTCGTACCTACATGGTCTGCATCTGGTGAACTCACGGCCGTCTCTCAACCGCGGCTGCAAACGCCCTCTAATGCTACAAACCAGCTCTGGATGACATTTCTAAGATTCAAGCAACGTCATTATCAAGTCTGCCAACTGCATAACGCGACATATCATCTCAATATCACCCGCGATCATGGATATCAAAATATTTCTGGTTCATACGATGTCCACGAAAAAGTCGCTTATCCCAATGACAAGCCCGGCGATATTTCCAACATGGCAGAACATGCTTATACAGCTTTCATGTGGGTGCTCTCCGACCAACTCGTTGGCAAATTCTCCTGGTACGAAAACTCCAGCTCTAATCAATCCACCACATCCCCTGCAAACTTGTCTACAGCCTCACAATTTGGCCTCATTGACTCACCAATATCGCGGACGAGTTTACTCGGGAGTGTAGACCTCGATGCATTTTTTGAGTTTGATGAGGAGAGGGGATTGTATGCGACAAAGAATGAGACGTTGGGGGATCAGAGGTTGCAGGATAAAGCGTTTGCGAGGAATCGGACGTTGGATGTGTTGATTGAGGAGTTAAGTTTTAATATGACGGTTAGTTTGATGCATAATGATTTGCTAACGTAAGTTCTCTTCATCCCTAACCCCACTCTCATATTCCCCATCTATATTTTTAATGCATTTTGTCTGCTTTCCGTCCACTGTTCGGTCATACTCGAACCAACTAAATTCCCGTAATACTAACCCTCCACCCTAACACACAGCCATAAAACCCTCACCACCGTCTTGGTTCGCACCCCCGTAAACTGCTACGCCTACAAAACCTACGGCCTCTTCATACCCTATGCTCTCGCGAACCTCTTCACTTTCCTCGTCGTCGCTATGGGTTTATACTCCTACATCCACGATGGTGTGCGCCCGGATAAGAAATTTCAGGATATTGTGGTTGCGGCTGAAGATCCGGAATTTGTGCAGGTTGTTAGAAGTCGGAAAAGGAGTGTTACAGCGGTTATGGTGGGCGAGAGGATTATTTGGAGGGCGGGGACGATGGATTTAGGTAGGGGTTTGGGAAGGGGGCAAGTGAGGAAGGTGTTTTGGTGGAGGGGTGGAGAGGGGAAGAGGAAGAGGAAGAGGAGGGAAAGGGTAAGAGGTCGGAGTGGAGGGTGAGTGGCAGGATGGGCGGAGTATGATGTGCTGGTGAATGGAGGATCGCTGACTAATATCTCTCCTCTCTAAGCAGATAATCTCTTTACAATCAGCACTCTTGATCATTCAATGCCCCATTCTCAGAAGATAATTATAATACCATTTCAAATTCGTTGCGACGACTTTAAAGGGACGTTTTGTTCTAAAAGGATTGTCGGCGACGCCCTTACTGCTAAATCTTATTTCCGCCAGCACGATCGCCCTCTAAAATCCGTTCCGAGCCTGCCAAATATCGTGACGAAATCGCGATGAAATGAAAAACGGCGCTACAACAAGCCCCACCTGCAATCTAAGCCTTTCTCTTTATAATGTACAATAAAGTATATGTAGCTTCAAGTACCCAGCCACTAGTGAAACCCCCTTCCAGTTATCAATCTCGACTTGACATGGCATTCATACCAGAAGTTCGATGGCCCGTGGAGCCCTGCTCTACAAGGCCATGAACTTATTACTTTCGGGGGTTGTCGTATCCGGCCTTTCCTTGGGCCATGACAGCAGATTGTCTGCTTCCAGCGAAGAGGAAGTTACGAACAGGCCAGTATGCGATTGTGAGAAGGAGAAAGGCGGTATTCACAAAGAGGATGGTGCAATACCTGGCATAGTGCTATTGCGACAGTGGTCAGTTGCAGGTATCGGCGCGTAGCATGCTGCAAGATAAAATGACAAGAAAAAGAGTGAAGACATATGGAGGGGCAACATACATATTCCGAGCATGCATTCGTCGACCAGGGCTCCCTATCCAAATACAAATTCCCCATCATACACGACCACGTCTCGCGTGTGAACTGCTTCCCATTCGCATCATACTGGCCATTAACAAACTGAACCTCGGTCCTTGAAAAAACCTCCGGATGCACCGAATTCGAGATATACACAAGCGCCAGGATAACTAGCTGGGCTATAAAATTCCCGGCACCGAACCCGAAGGTTATAAGGCCGACAATGACGTTATTCGGGCTCATGTGGCGGAGGACTACGGAGCCGAGCATTACAATGACAGACGAAGCGATGGAGATGAAGGCAGCAGCGAAGAGTGCGATGTGCGGACTGTTGATGATGGTGTTGGGGTCTTTGAGCGGCATGGGGGGCATGAAGGTGATTTCGAGGCTGATGAGGACGCCTGCAACGGGGATTCCACAGACGAGACATGACAGGCAAATCGCGAGGGTCGTTATTGGGTTGCGCTTCTTTTCAGGCATTGTGGCGGCTTGTGATGGGTAGGGCTAATGAATGGAAAATGAAAAGAAAATGAGAACGAAGAATATGTAGAAAGAACAAGGAATAAACAGACAGACACAGAAACAGAGTTTGGGAAAAACTGAGAGCCGGCTCTGCGAACTTTCAAAAGGTACAGCACGGAGAAAGGATAATACTTAAGCAGTGCGCATTGGAGTGGTGGCTCCACGCAATGATGTTTGATGTGCGCATCAGAACTGCGACGCAGACCTGATGCTGATTGGCTAGCGTGGGCGAAAACTGGATCCCGTCGGACCATAATCAGACCACGGGGCTCTCGCAGCGTTAGAAAGCAATCACGGCCTCTCTTACGACAAAGTTGAGGTCGATGTTATTGAGAGTATTGATCTAGGGTTAAGTTGTGTAGAAACCTACATCACTGCGTGGTGTAGATAGGTATATTGTAATGCTCGGTGCTGATGTCTAGTGGTCGTATTGAGTTTGTATCAATTAGCTGCTGGCCATTGTTCCGTCGTCGAAGGCTTCGCTGTTGAAACCGTGGCTTTGTTTCCAGGTTGCTGAGGGAAGGACGGTAGGGGCAGTGTTCCAGCGTTCGAAGAGGGAAGGGCGCGTGGCCATGGTTTTGTAGGCGCCTATGGAGAGCCTCAGGCTCCCGAGCTGAGGCTCTGAACCAAGCCTAATTAGGATGCAACCACGCCAAGAGGGTAATCTAGCACTCTATTGGCTGGCGGGGCAAGTACGCGTAGCTTGATAGCCTCGTAACCCTATGGATCTGTAAGAAATGTATTTTAAGGCTGTAAATAGTCTAGGAGTAATTTAGAGGCAGCAGATTCAGAGCAGTCTACATAAGCTCCTCCGCCAAGAATTACCATAGGTTATGGCGACTACGCACCTCGAACGCTGCAGTGCTCTCACAGCTGTAATTCCATGGGATCTAGAGGAACTGTTGTAAGGGAACAAGCACGGTTGTATTTATATCTACGAAAAGACTAAACGGAGGCCTTCGAGCTCAAGTTCCAAGCCTTTACACTCCAAGCACGCGCTTGACCTGACATCCCCCACTACCCACGTTACTTCCCATAAACCTATTCATTCTCAACCTCCGTCTCCGTAGCCTCCGGTGCCTCCTCCTCAATTGACCTCGTCGCCATCACCAACATCTCCCCCGTCTCCCCCGGCACCGGCGTCGGCACACTCGTCTCTTCTTCGCCCGCATCCGTAACAATAGCATGCGCCACCCAAGGACCCGATCCTGCAATCCAAAACCTCGTATCCTCCCTCCCCCTTACCGGCTCCGGTTCCCTCCAATCACAATTCCTAAACTCATCACTATCCCATTCCGCCAGCAACTCACTAACATTCAACGCCGCCCATTGTCTATAATTACCCTGTAAGATATATCCATCACTTTTACGGCAATACCGTGTATCTTTACACGAGTCGAAATACTTGTCTGCAGGCGCGGTTGCGAAGAACAACGGGTTATATGCAGGACGCGTGTAGTTCCACTCGACCACGTGGCGGATTCCTCTGCCGTAGTGTGTGGGTCTTGCGGTCCAGACATCCGAGATTTCTTGTGGGAGGGTAAGAACGGTGGGGGACGGGATGGTGGTCGAGATGTTCCATACAGGGACGTCCCCGACCCAGCGGCCACCCCGGGATTTGCCGATGGAAGTGTAGATGGTGATGCCGGTTAGCATGTGGTAGACAGAGGGGGAAGTGAGAGTGAGACCGGAAACAATGGCCGTGTTGGGGAGCCAGGGGATGGTGCGAGTACCGGGTGGAGGTGTGAAGTTGGTGTTGCAGATGTCCGGGCCACTGAGGGGTGTGTCAGGTGGCCAGAAGAAGACTTGGTAGTTGTTGACTTGGATGGCACAGTGCGGGGATGGGAGGTTTGGAGGTGCAGTTTCTTTGAGTGTTTTGCATGGTGGTCTGGCTTTGCGGTAGTCGAACGCGGGATAGGTAATGGATGCATTTATGTTTCTTGAGAGTGTCGCGGATGCTTTAAGTTGGGATGTCTGCCATGAATATACAGAATGCAGTCTATAACACAGCGGCTCCAGATTCGGCGCGGGTTGGCATGTTGGTAGCGGGACTCTATACGAGGAATACCACTCCGGCCATGTGCACGCGCGGTCCGTGTGCGCCGGCAAAAGTGACGTAATCGTACTCGTACTATTGCAAGTTTGGCCAGGATAATCATATCTCCTAGGGTACCCGTCACAAAGAGTTGTCCAGTTGGCAGGCATCATAGAACAAGGCCCGGAGACTAATGTTGATGTAGTAGTTGTCGCGGGAAAACTGGAGTCCCAGCATGCATATGACTCGCCTCTTTTGGCCTCAATGTATTCGTTCCGTACGTTTGCAGTGGCCCAGGCAGAGTAGCAGGACATGCTGTCTTTAGGCATGTCGCTGAATTCAGGAGGTAGTGGTGGGAGCGTTATGGTAGGGATATTTGCTGGTGGAGTTGTTGTCCATGCTGGAGGGGCAGTGGGGAATGTCGGAGACAAAGTAGTGTTGCTATACATCGACGTCGCTGTTTGGTTGTTTGGTGCTATGATTGTTCAGTAATCGATCGAAGTAATGGCTGGCGAAGGGAACAAACCTGCATCAACCCATATATGGAGCAAAACTACTCCAAAGAGGATAACTAAGTGTGGTGCTTTCATGGTGGGCGATTGAAACACTTCGAATACAAAGCCCCAGATATTCTCGAAGCCTCCTATCTGGAAAATATCACATCTCCCACTCCATTGCATTTTAAATATCTACTCGAGGATAGCAAAAGGGCACAGCCTCCAAACTCGCCCTTTAGAGCCCATCAAAAGCGTTCAAACCATATTGCTTATTTGGAAATAGTGCAATTTTGAGCATCTGGGACCACTCCAATCGTATTGAAATAATTGCGATGCGGAAGTAATCGCAAATGTGGGAAGTCTTCCGCCAAGGCAGAAAAGGGCAGATTCGTTGGTATTAACCGTGCAACGTCGACATGCCTCTCACAATATGGCTAGGCATTCTTTCTAGCACTCGCCAACTTGCCTAATCCAGCCCGATCCATCATCGCACTATCCTGCACCCAATTCTTAGCGTGATCTAATATCAGAAATTCTCGGAGGTGAAACTCACCTTGACCCATCTTGGCAGGAACTGCAACCACCAAACCATTCCCACCAGTGAACCTCTCCAAAACATCTTTCTTCCCACCTTTCGGCACCCCAACCACTAATCCTTCAGCGAATATATCGACGTTCATTCCCCTCTTTTTGTTCTCAGCTCCGGTCAATCCATCTTCGATTTGCTCCACCACAGGGCCGTAGTACGAATCCTCAGGTAGGGACAATGACGGAATACTATTTGAGTACCAGGCCGACTTGACCATTCCAACGATAGTCGTTACGACTCTAACTCCTAAAGGCGTGAGTTCAAGTCTAATTGTGGAGCTGAATTGGGTGATGGCGGCTTGGAAGCATTGTATATACTTGTTTGAAGGATCAACACGTCCATGCGTAACTCAAACATTTCCGAAGATGGCAGATGTACTTTCATAAAGATTTGGTGCAACTCCTGCAATGCTACTCACGTTTACCACTGTCCCCTTCGCCGTAATCAGTAGCTCTTTAACCCCCCTGTAAACACTGCAACACGCCCTAAAAGTTCACGTCAAAGGTATTGTGAGTCTATTTAAGATTGGTGTCAAGAAACGGTGCCACGAGACCAGAGCCTACGTTGTTGATTAAGTAATCCAGCTTCCCGCCTGTGGATTTCGATACAGCATCTACTGCAGCGGCGATTAAGTTCTATGTGTCAAGAGTGAGGACTTCGACGTTAGAGAGAGAAGTAAGGTTGAGTGGTATTTTCGATACGTTGCGTGCAGTTGCGAAGACCAAGAGACCTCGTTTGGCGAAGGAGAGGGAGAGGTAGGGTCCGAGGCCACAAGCGCTGCAGCCGGTTATGAAGGCTGGCTTGCCAGTTGTTGTTGACATATTTGAGAACCGAGTGAAGGCTGCAGTTTAAAAGAAAAGTCACCAGTTTTATCACTGACAGAGAGCCTTGAGGCGGGTTCCAAGTAGTCATGTCTTCGAGGAAAAGTATCGGTTGTTCCCTTTCCGCGAAACTCCAAGCGTAATACTTATTAAGTAAAACATAGTTGCCAGAGCTAGGAATCAAGCACCGACTGTCAAGAGGTATATAACTTCTGTTGTGGCCGTCAGCGGTAGTATGGGTGGAATGTAGGTGGTTGGAGCCCAGCGACGCGATTGGTTGAAGTGCCTATCTTCGGCACCAAAAGTTGGCTAGCTTGAACAAGTATCCTAGTCGATGATTAAACTCTCCAATCATTCGACGAAAGTTAGGTCGAGCGAGTAATCCTCCCTCAATAATGCAGCACGATTCTTTTCACATTGTAATTTTGTAACGGAGTATTAGCAGCTCATTGTATTGTGGATCTCTTCAACCCTCCTCGTGAGATGTGTTCCTGCCTCAAAACAATATCTCTGAATTCCTTAGGCAATGGATCCGCAACCCTTCTCTCATCTTTGCTCGCATCGAAGTCGAGCTCCAATCTCCTAACAAACCAAAAGACGCCCGGAAAATTGTGGGAGAAGCTACGATTCGTCTTCAGCATCGCCTGAAACCCCATTTCCAGACACACTGCAGTGACAAAAGCGCTGACGCCGTAAAAAATCACGAGGCCTCTTGTAACATATTGGAACTGAGACCAAAAGTATGAGATTATTGTATCGACAGTGATGTTTTTGACATTGTTGCCATAAACGATGTTCTGCATTCCAAGATTTGAAGTCTACCACACGTCTCGCGCTAATTGTGATATTTTCATCATTGACTCGTATTCCGTCTGTAATTCGTTCGCAAATGTTGCGGTGTCGTTCTTAACGAACCCCCCTAAGACAAGTGCTTTTATTTTCATGTCCGCAGCCACCAATGGGAATGTGGATACGCAACTACTGTGGACGTCCCGGAGAAGTAAAGTGAGCATGCGATCCACGTATTGAAGGTAACTCACTATCACAGATATAACACTAGAGTTTTGCTAGATAAGAAGTCTAGGTAAGAGGCTTGTGAGGCAAGGCGTGCTAAGTCTGACAGGTTGATAGGTTCGACAATTCCCGGTCTGTGGTGATATTCTGTTTCCCATTACTTAAAAGATCAAAGCGCACTTGATAAGCTGCATTGTAAAACTGGCAGGAGAAGAGGGTGGAACAGTTTTGGCCATGACCGATAAAGACAAACGTTCTCGAGATATCGGATGAGAGAACATCAATAGGAGCATGGGAGATTCCGGGCCCAAAGAATGAACTTGGTTGAAGTAGGATCCGTTCATATCAAGCACAAAACTTTTGCCTAGGACAAATACTGCAAGAGGAACGTTCATTTTCATAGGATCTGCGAACTCGGATAGAGCACGGGCAACAAATTCTGTGACACTATTCGAATCCGTGCCGCGAGATAGCGCTAGGCCGTGGAAAGAAGTTGAATACGAGAGATTCGTTCCAAAATCGTAACGGGCAACGGGTGCTATTAGGTTTGTTGAGATGTTTAAAGCGGAAATGATATTAAGATCCGCCTAGGGGCGTCCCAATCGAGTCCATCAAATTACTTTACGGTCCCTTGGTTCTTAGTACTCCTCAGAGACGAAATCGGCTTCTAGTGTCTGAAAGGGACGAGACATTGTCTGGGTATTCGATTTTATGATGATAGTTCCAGGAGTGAATGCAGCCGATAAAGGAAGGAGACTGAAGAATAAGTTGCTAGTGGATTTGAATAATAACCACAGCGCTTCCTAAGTCACAAGCTGGAAATTGCGTAGTCAGATACTGAATTTCTTGGGTTCGTATCTAGCTCTGTATAAGGAGTCGACACATTTCAGCGTAATAGACGTTTTGCATACTTTGTACACCGGGGTGGTAGAGATCGTGAAGAAAGATTTGACAATAAATGCAAAACTGGTCCCGATTTGTGAGATCTACCGTTGTTCCTCGTCGTCAGTGATGGGCTTGCTCTCTATAAACATGTAAAAGACATATTGCGCGACTGCGAAAAGAATTCCAAAGATGAAGGAGAGTGTCATTAGAGCCGGAACTTCCCTATGAACCTTTGATTTCCTAGTCCTCGGCGCCACAACCAATTGGGAGAAGGCCATGGTTCTTTGAGAGTTGAATATATATCGGAAAGAGTTGCAAGAGGGACATGTGGACAAATCTAACGTCGAAGGAAGGCTGATCAACGAAAGGGACAGTCGCATATAATATAACCAGGTAGAGGAACTGACATTCATCGATTACTCGATCAATTTCTCAACATTGAGGTGGGGCCGAATCCTTCCCCCTGAACCTAAGCGCTGACCCGTATTCGAAAGGCTCGGCCCGACCCATAACTTTTCTCGTGAGAATACATAATGTTCTAGGCAGTCTTGCGCGATGCATGATAATTACCTGCTAAAGTAACCACGCAACTACCGACATACGAATCGTTAAACTAGCAACTCAACAGATAAAGTAGCTTCAAGAGAATAATTAAGGCTGTGGTCTCGCATCGAGAGTGCGTTCCGCCGAGAAACCTGACCCTAGACCAAAGAATGTAAGAGAATGCAAGAAACAGTGAGGGGTACAGCTACGAGGGAGGCGATAAGACGAAGGATGGAAGTTGATGACGGAAAGTGACATGCGAAACGGTTTGGAACCCCCGCTTTTGTTGTGACCTCGAAATCCTAGGTTTTACTCTTAGAACTCAAGTAAGTCCACAAATATGTTTAAGGTTCTACCGAGTACTCCGCCCTCCACAACAGTCGTCTAATAAAGGGAAATTTTCAGAAAAGTCAGCTCCGTAAGGCGGAGCGAGTTTCAGCCCACATGATGGATGCGTCAGCTCGATGACAACACAGGAGGCTGAGACCCAACCACTTCCGCATGTGCTCAGCTAGAAGAGCCTCAATGCCGCAATTTTGGGGCCAATGCTCGGTGCTCTCTATCATACAAGCTTCTCCACCAATTGAATAACAACCTTTTCATATCTTTAGTCTCTAATTAACGACACGCCATTTCCATCTTCATTTTCTCCTTAAACTAGGATGGGATCCACATTTACAGGACAGCTTTGGGGCCTCGACCATTTATTACGGACTATAAGTACATATAATGTAATAGTTCCACTTGAACTTCTCATTCTCAGCCTACAAGGACTTCTACGAGGCTGCAACCTTCTTGAGATGAAAAGGCGGCGCCAACACCCCAAGCAACATACTCCATCGCAAACCAAGGCCATACCTCCGCAGACATTTCCCATTTGTGATAACATGACCGAGTACCTCGTAAATCAACCCCTTCCTTGCTAGTAGCGCCTTCATATATCGGTCGGCCTGTTCTTCCTTCACAACGAGATGAATTATGTGCTTGTCCCTCATGATGACCGTGGAGATCCACATTGCGGCGACGCGCCCAAATATTCCGGCGAACAGAACCAAGGTCATAGTGAGAGTAGCGGCTAGGATAGTTACAAGTGCCGAACTGGCGAAGAGTGCGGTGGAGAAAACGAAGACGCCGACGGCAATGAGTTTGGAGAACAGGCGGAAGGCTGCGTTGCGTCTGTGAACACCCTGGATGCTGAATATCACGTAGACTGTGTTAGATGAAGTAGTTGATGTCTTCTCGATGATGATCTGGCTACTCTTTGCCTTGTAGCCTTTTTTCCGGTAGACTTTCCTGAGTTCTTTAAGTAAATTGGTTTCCTCAAGTGGGAAAACACCGTTGGCAAATTCAATGGTCTTGACGGTCTCATGCTCATCCTTCTTGGAGGAAATTGATCTCTCTTCCTTAGCCGAAACTGCTATCAGGTTTTCTCTGCTAGATGCTGGAGAGTGAGCTGATATTGGATCGGCTCGTGTGGTAGCAAGGTAGTGCATCTTCTCGAGGGGTTGGAGTTTAGAGACTCGAATAGTCCACGATTTGCTGAATGGTGTACCCGATATATTTTCGAGCAGGCTAGACATTACGGTAAGACCGTACCAAAGAAACATCCAATTTTTGCCCTTTGAAATTAGTAAAAATCTCGGTGGATGGAGACGGCAGACTTACAGTGCACCACCAGACGACTATTGCGCCTGATTGTAGAATCCAGCATGCGGTGAGTATTAAGGATAGGCAGGCACAGAGTATAATGATCCCGACGGTGATCTCTAATTTGGGCTTGTGCTTAGGACGAAGACTCTCAGATGCGGCCTTCATATGCACCATATCCGCAAACTCTTCCGCTTTTCTTTGGGTTTCTGTTCCCTCACTCGTCAAATCAATAATTGTAACATTCCTCAGCGATCCTTGCGGGCTTTCAGCAGCTGTAGTGCCACCCGCGCCCCTGTCCAGGAGCCCATCAGGATTTGTGTAATCGTTGATGCGGCGAGGGATAATGTTTCCACCTAGAGAGAGGGCGACGGATAATACTCCGGCCAGCGGCATCAGCTTATACAAGACCCACAACTCTTCGGCAGGAGCTCCAATCAGAGCTCCTGCTGCTGGAAGAAGTGTGAGTATAGTTGTGGAGCCATTTGAGCTCGTTTGGTAGGCTGCGCCTACGTCGGCGAGAGCTAGGGAAAGGTTTCCAGTACAAAGCGCGAAGTTTTGGGAGGAACGAATGTGCTTCGCTCTCTGGATCCAGGACCCGAACTGGAGGGAGCGGTCGGAGAAATACTTCGAGTCGGCGATAACAGTGGAGTCGTTTGACGGTGTAGCTTGAAACTCGAGATATGATGATGCAGGAGGCTCCAGGAGTGGGTAGCCTGGCTTTGGTATTGGGATCGCGAACGCTTTGGGCAAGAAAATTATTGCTCCGCAGACAGTTGTGTGTGTGCTTTCGAGAACAGCCTTGCAGCGTGCGGCTACATCTGTAGCGACACTGCCAAGTGATGAAGACAAAAATGTTATCCGACGAGATCGAGGAGAAGTGACAGGACTATTCTCGGAAGATTTCATTTTGAGTTGGAGAGATAAGGCTTGGGAATTTAACTACAGGGGGAAGGTTCAGGCGTATATATATCCATTCCCACACTGCCCACACCATACATTGGTCGACGCCGGATTCAGTCGTAAATGGGAGCTCATGTCGCGGCAGTGCTTCTACGATTGAGGCTGAAGATGGGGGAGTGTGGAAGGGCATGGCATCGCGACGTTGCCTTTGGTGGGGGCCGGACCAGCAGTGCATTTTCCCCAATTAGCCTAGCGCTATTTCCATGAGGGAGAGAGCGACGCACATTTGTTCCAACAGGAGCCAATTCATATGCCTACTCTCAGGTAACGAACGCCATGCCTATCCTCTCACTCAATCATGTTCTGCTGTCGCACATTTCCGGACCTATCGCATAGCTGATTGCACAGCCTAACCGTGGCACTGTTCAGCTGAAACCCCGGGTAAGATTAATACGCAGTATTAGCACAAGAATATCTCCTATAACGCCCCGAATCTCTGCCATTGGATCCACTGAGTCTAGCTTGAGGCTCTTCTCAAGATGAGGGGCCTCGATATAGCTACCCTGTAGCATGATTCAAAATAGGTATTGCATTCGCTTTCCGCTGGACTCTGCCATTGTTTGGTCTAGACAAAGCACACAGCAAGTAATTATTCGTAAACTCGAATTGGTGAACTCGAAAGCCAAAAAATTAATGCACTACCTCCATGAATCCTGAAGGCTGTAAATCGAGGCGCGGCAAGGCTCCCCGAATAGCTTCAGCAAGCCTTACGGCCACCGTTAATTGATGAGATTTCACAATCACAAAAGGGGCCCCATAAATATCTTCTTCTACAACCTTCCCTAATACTACGAATGATTTGTCTAGGTTCCTCACGAGGATTCATTCGGTAAGCCTAAGCCGGCAAAAACCACGTAGCCACATAGGAAGCCAAGCTTTTCTGTTGTTTTTGCTTCATCCGGCAATTACTTGACCATGATTCACGCAGAGCGAAGATGCAGACAATTCAAAATAGGTGGGCCATCTACCTTTTGAGGGCGCATTACAAAGCCCAGCTGACACTCCATGTCACCAACAGAAGTCTCTCGTAAGCATAGGAGGGCGTTACAAATGCAAAAGGGCAGTTCAGCCCGCATGAGTGGATCACAATCCATCCCCAGCTTAGCATTTGTGCTTTGAGCTGTCCCGGATTAATAGCAAACTCTTCAGCTGAGGCTTTTATCGTCATAGCAAACAGCATTCGCAACGTTCGTAGTACTACTAGTAGTTACAGTGAACTACAGGTCACGTGCGAAGGCCGTATGTAGGAGATACCCAATCATATACGCGTACTACGTCTATATTTTCAGCGCTTTCAGCGAGGTGTGGTACTATACGATTGGGCAATTTTGATACCTGTACGCGTGAGATTTTGTGTACGTTGGTACGGCAGGGAGGATGAGAGGTAGGTGCACGTGTTATAACCGTTACGGCCCACGTGATCTGTAAAAGTAGTACAATTCAATTCAAGCACGCCGTGCTCTAGGTGAAAAAGCTAAGATTTCAGATCTCTAAAGAAGCATTATTAAGTTCTATATGGATATTAGATAACTAATCCATTCTAGGAACATAAGTAGAGAGGTCTAAACGCTTGCTGCTCACTATCTTTGCAGCACCTTAAGAGCTTGACTTAAAGCACTAACAGTATAGCTAGAGGCATCTTATCTTGCCCTGCTGCAATTGATCTCCGTTACAAACAGCGTACTATCGCTAGGTAAGGTAGGAGACGTGGTGCAGAGAGTACTTAACTTCTGCAGCCCAAGGCTACGCAAAATGGACAATAGAGTATCTAATTAACTAGATGAGGCCTGTGAAGCAGCAAGATGTAAGGATGAGTAAATCTGCAATATAAAATGATTAGTAGTGGGCATTTTTCAGACAGCAGGCTGCGGATAGATACGTTAAAATAAGTAGAAAGAGAATCAATCGTCCATGCGAAACTTTTAGCTAACCGGGGCCCTCATAATCCTCTAGAATTGGCATAAAAACACCCTAAAAGGGTAATATGATCCGTACTACGTACCTTACCTAGGGCATTATTCGCCGTACAGTACAGCTCACGAACGGGGTACATTCTGACTTAACACGTGACCGTTGCGGTTCACCTATACGGACCGTAGAACGGACCGTTAGGAAGCCCTGTATACTTTTCTCGTTGAAGAAGACCAACCCAGAACTTTTTTTAAGGTCAATCCCTATGTACTGAACTGCCTCTGTTTAAGAGCAGCCTAAACATCCCTACAAAGATGACCTCTGGCCTGTAACCATCTGCAGCAGAACAGTATAGTCTACGGCCCGCATACGAAATAGAAACCCTGTTGCAAATGGAGAGGCGATGTAAGCATGCAGCTATGTAAGAAGCTGATGAAGTGAAGTGTATTGTGTTAAGTCTAAGTGCTCTGTTGCTGAGTATTTATTTACATCTATGATGTCAGGGGCAGTGAGGGCCATGGCAATGGCCAAGGAGCTATAGTGAAGGTAATAGGAGCTATAGTGAAGGTAATAGGAGCTATAGTGAAGGTAATAGGAGCTATAGTGAAGGTAATAGGAGCTATAGTGAAGGCAATAGGAGCTATAGTAACCGCAGTAGGGGCTGTTGAGGCACAGGGAAGGAAGGTTTCTGTACCAGGAATGCGACAAACCCCGCTGCGTAGTTTCGAGGTCTCCTATCCTGGATATAAAGTGCGTAGCTCGCAATTCGACCGTATGCAACGCCAGCAGTTATGAGGGCTAGGTCCCACGGACTGTTGGGAACGTTGACAACAGAGTCCCATTTCTCTGTGTTTCAAAAGGTACTAAAGGCGCACCTGGGCCACAGGAAGGCGTCATCCCTCCAAGCAGCTTGATCTGTCTATTCTCCTATCCCTTGATCCTACCACTCTACTAAGAGGAATGGGATATAAGGTCAAACACTACCCAACCTTACTCTCCCCCAATATATTTCCCAAAATTCTCCTCTTTTTTTAGTCCATAACCGGGGATTAAGACTTCCATAGCTGAACCACATAACTACCTTCAAAATCCCACTGATTCCAAGGTCTTCTAATAAATGGCTTGTTTTGCTTCTCCTGCTCCTAGTCATACTTCCGCAGTTCATCGTGCCGCTTATCACTAGTGCGGTTAACTAGAGTCCTTCGTTGGAGTTTCGTTAGACGCTACGGTCGATGCAAGCTGGAAGCACTGAAGCTAATCCTACTAGCCTGTTTCACTACTATTAACAAATGCCGGACAAATATGCGGCGGTTTGAAGTGCAGTCGCGCATTCTCAGCATGTCATGGATAATGTGCTGGGCGTTTATATACCTATATACCTATAAATTCAATACTTTATCATGCCATTGTTCTCTGCATTCAAATCTACTCTACTATATTTCCCACCATACCCCCTCCAGAAAGGATTTTGAACATCACTAAGGCCTCCAAGTATGGCGAAGGGGAGTCGGGGATGTTACTGTCTCAAGTGGACGAGACACCACTTAGGTACGGCAATGCTGTCCTCTTTAATCCCGCTGATAGGCCTGGCCTCTATAATGCATTATCGCCTAAGAACGATTCAACTTTTGTCCAGCGTTTCCAACAGGAAGTAGTACGATTGATACTTTTGCTCTACCTACGATCACGTGAGGCAAACAAACGTAACTACATTTTTAACTGTTACGATTCGATTGATGAGGCTTAAAGGTGAGCAGTATACGATTGAGGTAGACTATTTTGAGATGGCACTTGATTTCCTATGTATACCCCCCACGAGCTGCGACTGCGAGAGCGACTGCGAGAGAGCCTTCAGCGGGGGGAAAAGGACAGTTACTTGTGACCGTAATCATCTCTCAGGCTCTACAATTGAAGCTTTGCAACTCCAGAAGAACTGGCTACGTTATAAGGTTGTTTTCAGTGAATTGAATAACCTCGCGTGCCATATCAAGAGTAAGGGGGACCCTGCTACTCTAAAAGCTTTAACAGTTACGTCGTAACTTTTAGTGAAAAGTTGAGAAGTACAAGCAGCTTCAATCGAACCGTAACTCAATCGTATTGACCCCTGCTGTCAGGTGAAGCAAACAAAAGTATATGATAAGTGAGACGTAACTTGTCTAGAAAGCCTGAGTCGAATCGTACTACTTCCTGGTGGAAACGCTGCTTTTGTCATTTAAAGGCCGACAGACTACAAGGAGAGCAGAATCATGTACGCAATGATACTTGCGGGAATACTAGGTGCGGATGGTAGCCCTTGGGTCAACTGAGATAAATTCCAAGTTCGCATATCTAGAAAGATACCGAATATTATATTCAAAGGGGTGCATAAAGGGAACTATGATTAGCGTTACCCGTATGCTATTGTCAACTTGACAGCTAGGATAGTCAATAGCCCAACTGGTACCTATGTCTCCGATCGTGTCGTGGACGCTGACCTTCCGAGAGCCGAAATGGAATTAAAGGGTGGCTTAAGGTTATGAAAGCGATGTCCCTCATGCCTAATATTATGAGTAATGTAGTGATGATGAACCCCATAACATTTTTTTACCTGGACGAAATAGAAGGGTATCTCGATAGACCGGTATTCGTACCACGGAGCCTGGGATATGTTTCATCAAATGTACAACATTAATACCGGGAAGATAAAGGTGCGATACTACAAGCCTAGAGTTATTCCCTCCGTATCAAAGGCTAGGTTATTCGCTTGGCTAGCGCTCAGCGTGTTATTAACGCTTTTAGTCATGGGTTTAGTCCCACGAGAAAGGCGTTCTGTGAGAGGAATGTGGTGTTTAATAGGCCTGTTGCCCACCTAGTCATTAATGTGAGGGAAGTGTTAGAAAAAGGTTAATGGGATTAACAGATATGGCGGATGTTGAAATGGGGAGGGGATTAAGGAGGCGCAGTTAAGAAGGAATGAGGGTCACAGATTTCATCTTGTACCTTCCAACATAGAATTCGTCTAGATAAATGATTCGTAATGGTGGTAGACCTTTGCTGGACACTAATCACCTACTCTGTTCTAGCGTTAGAGTATTAATGTAGCCTATTGCACGGAATTTCTTAGCAAAGTATTGATCGCCCAGCATTAGGAAAAAGTAGAAAAGTAGTTGCTCTCCTTAGATTCTTAGCGACAGGAAACGCAGACCTTCCTGTCACTATTCCTTAGGTTCCTCCTCAAAACATATTTCTCATTTTCTGTCCTATTTCGATGTCCACTATTCCATAATTCAGTTTTTCTCAAGGGCTAAGCTCTATCAGAGAGTTTTTGGATAGGTCACATGAAGCACTCAACTTAGCCCCCATCGACTACCTAAGTTTGTCGCATCTCAAATCCTGCACACCACTCCTTTCCCTCTCCTAGGATCCTTCCAAATCCCCCCGTGAGCGCGGCGGCAGTGGCAGCAAAACGGAAGGAACTGGGGAAGAACCCTCGGAAGGGTCGGCTCGGGGCGAAATCCCACACGAGTGCACACACCCCGAGAACCAGGAGTTTGAAGGATGAAGAAACCAAAGCCCAAATACGTCACCCCTGTAGCCGATGTTTGATCTCCCCCTAAGCGATACATCATTCTGTCTCCACCTTGCGGATAGTCTTGGTCTGTATTTTGGTCGCGGCCATGGTCGTAGACAACCCTGCCATGTTAGTCTCTCACAACCCATACCCTGCAATTTACAAGACGAAGAGCACATCACAACGCTCAAACTGGCATGCATGATATACATTGAAAATGTCATTCCCCTATCAATCCATCCATCACTCATCTCGTGGGCAGCGTTATACAAGCGTTCGAGCCCATTACAGCAGTCCCCAGGGCCTCGAGCGCACGCTATCTATACCCACATCTGTAACACCAAACAGCCAAACAGCTACCTACAGTCCGACCCTAGGGGTGCTGGTGTGGTATATAAAGACCCCACCCAACCTTAATCTTAATCCCTTGAAAAAGTGTAGCGAGTAGTGCAGTGCAGTGTGTAGCGTAGTAGCTATAGCCTACCTAAACAGGTGGGCTTCCCAGAGCAAAAGCAGAGCAAAAGCAAGAGCGAAACTGTCCCGTCCTTGCGTTCTTGGAATTATGAGGGAAGGTAGCGAATCGATGATGAGGATGGTGCAAGACAAAGTTGAAAGACAAAGAAGGGAAGAGAAAGGAGTGAGTGTATGCCGTGTGGGGTACATGTGCTATTGGAAGACAATATGAAGTGATGAGGTAGGAGTTGTGGGTGGTGGATAGAAGTGTGTGATATGTGATGGTGTGATGTGATAGCGACAAGGTATGCAAGCTGTGAAGTGAAAATCTGAAACCCGCCCCCGAAAACGCCACAGAAAATGCCTTGTTCCATCTCGCCCCACCTACCCGAAACTGAAAACCCAAATCATGATAGTGTTACAAGGCTCTCGCCGAATCCGATCTACAATCTCCCTTTTTGCGTTCTGTATCCGTGTTCATCTCTCTCTAGGATTGGAAGTTATGGTAGCTCATATCCAACCATTTGGTGGAGGACTCCTTGCCATTGTTCCGGCACCCAATGGTATCCTTGCAGTGGGCGAAGGAACAGTTGGTGATCTTGTGCTGATGGGCGACCGTGCACTAGTCGGTGACCTTGTGGTAGCCGACCTGGGTGGTGAGGCTGGAGAGACCGGATTCATCCTCAGCCCACTGACAATACCAGGTCTTAGGGGTGGTTGAGAAGCTGGTGGTGGACTAGGGTAGGCAGAGCGTGGCGTAGGTGGTAGACTCTTATCACGTGCTGTTTGAACGTCTGATGGACCGACCTCTTTGGCCAGCACTGGAAAGACTGGTGTTTTTCCTAGGCCCGTCTTTGTCGGAGATGTTAAGCGGGGTGGCTCGGGGAAATTGAGAGAACTAGGGATAGAGATAGAACTAGGATCATCGCTTAGAATATCGGTGCTAGATGACTTCGAAGAGGGAGATTGGATAGGAAGACCGAGGGACTCAGAGCTGGATAAGTCGCTGTTGTCGCGTCGGAGGGGAGGGGCACCTGGTATAGCAGGTGACATTGCTCGGTTGATGGCAGTGCAATTGGCAGCAGCAATAGCAGCGGGGGCAACTGAGAAGCGGAGGCCTATTTGGACCGTCGCACTGCTGTCCGTGCTCTCGTCGCGGCGATGTGGGCGTCCAGTGAAGAGCGGTGGTGGCGCCGCTAGCCAATTGAAGGCTTCGCTGACGTCTGTCACTGATTTAGCGTCCGCGAGAGAACTTCGTCGGGTTTGACGTCGAGCAGCGAGGTTGGAGGATTTCTGTGGCGAGTATACTGTCGCAGGCAGGCGAGGAATCTCCTCGGCACGCGTGGGAAAGAGGGAATAGGAGGACTTCGAGCGCTTGTGGAGACCAGTTGAACCGTCCTTTGGTTCGGCAAAGTATGTTGTCTGGATTGGGTCTGGTGGGAGGGGCCATTTAGACGGATCAATGGGGCCTTGTGATTGCATTGAACCTGGGCTAAGGGGTGTCATCTTCTCTGGTCGAGTGAAGTAGTCGGCATCAAATTCATATCGATTCTTCTCTGGGCCGACATCAATGAGGCCTTGACGGCTGTCCGGACGACGTCCACCCTGCAAAGCTAGCGGGCCGCTAATGTTCATTTCAAGATCGCTAGGCCCAAAGAATCGGATCCTCGGTCGTTTTGTCTTTGGGGCTGCGGTCGTCTCCCCGACCGGTTTGATAACCATTCGGGTGGCATTCACGCGGAGGAAGAGATGAATGAATGCGATAACGATCCCAGAACTAAAGAGAGAGATCTCAGCAATTCTTGAAGTGGCGAGTGTATTTAAGAAATCTCGTCGATGGGCTTGAATTTCGACCGGGAGAACGAGAACCTATGTCACGTATTAGCTAGTGCGACTGCCGCAGTGGCTAAGAACACATACGTAGACCAACGCAGCGACCAGGAGGTAGTAGCACATCCGCGATGCTGCAATTCGCTCATTTGGGTCGATATCGGAGGTTCTCATTAGTTGGATGCTGATCAAAGCCGCAAGGAGGAAGAAGAAGAAGGTCAAAATGCTCAAAATGACGATTGAAATGAGCTCGTATCGCATCGGAAACCAGATGAGACTACCCATGCAGCGGGGAAACATTGGCCACACGACTGTAGGGATCCAGGTCAGGATGACCAGAAATGAGAAGACTCCCATGCAGATCGACACACTCCATTTCCCTCGCGGTGCGAATCGTTCGTATCTGAAGGCCCTTAATGCCATCTCGAAGCCGAAGACCAGCGTAATGTAGCCCACGATGAACAGCGCTGGGGGATATTAGGGACAAGCGTCGACCGGGAGACATGTACACATACCTGGGAAAGTGACCATAGCCAGTCCTCGACATTTAGTAGATAATACACTATGGAGGGATGTGCTCTGCACCGCTACGAATATGATTTGTTGTATAACCGCACCGCAAGCCAGTGCAAGTGGGAAGGTCTCGGCGGGGTGGACGTTTTCGAGAAGATAGAACCGCCTGGCGATTAGTTAGCTTCAGTTTGGTGTGGAAACCTGTGCAATGTTACTCACCGTTTCTTCGGTGTGACCTTGACTGCAGCCACCCTCCTCGCATCTGAGATGATCCGATGAACCGTCAGTAGGGTCAACGCCAGACTGAATGCCCCAAGTGTCAGATGCATCGTCCGCAGCGTCTGCACTTGTCCCAACTGTAGCTTTGCAATCAGCGCCCTCGTTTGGTTCTGTGCTGTCCAGGGCACCTCATGGACGGCCGAGTTATTGAGGGTCATGTTAAAATGCGACCGGGCGTCGAGTTGATTGTGCGGGGTCCATCTTTCCATCTTGTCCAACTCCCACTAAGAAATATACAAGAAGGATAGTGTATCGCTGTGGACCAGCAGCGGGTAAAGGAAAGGAAAGTCTAGGTATTCATGGAGGCAACTGATGTTGAACAAAAGGTGGTAACCTGTTCAGCAATCAGTTGTGAAGAGTGCCTGAACCTGTCAGCGGTGAGAAGGGAACAAAAAGAACGTGAGCATGAAAGCAGTTGACCAGGAGGCGGGTATGAGACGTCAAACAGTATATGAGAAAACTTGGGGAAGAGACCAGTAGGGCAAGGTTTCGAGACAACGGTCCTGAGGCGTCTGTCATTCCGTGAGGTAGTGAAGAAGCATTGGCACGGTCCAAATTAGGTCATATTAGAGGCCGTAACCACGGACGCTAGGTCGAGATCGGGTTTCAACATCATGCAGGCCGCACACCCTGGTGGAGCCCTGGCGGCGGGAACAGAGAGACCCGTTGAGAGACAATTGCACGAAGCCCTATGGGACAGCCACTAGATGCCTGCTGTGGAAATTGACCCACTATGAATCAGTGCGTCCGGTTTGCTTGCGATTGATGTAATGGTCTATGTGGATGGGTTTTTTTTTTGGTGCTCTTTTTCCTCTCACAAATCTTTTCACGTTAGATCTTCGCGCACAGTGAGCGCTTGCCCTGCGAGGGGAGTTTCGTTTCTGCCATCTCTCACGATCAAGGTCCCCTGGTGTCACCGTTCAGGCGCATTCAGGAACCGTGGTGGGAAAAAATGGGAGTGGTGGTCGGTTCTGGTGGAGGAGAGGAGGTTGGGGTTGAGTTCTGACGCTTGGTGGTTTAGGTCTGCATCAAGATGCTCGCTTCCGGGGTTGTGAGACGCCAACACCGCCAGATGTCAATGCGGCAACCAGCCGGTCCGGGACCATCCTGTTCCTAGGGACCTTAAGAGTGCCATGCATGAATTTAGGACAAATAAATTTAGCCAGTGGGAGAAGGGTGAAGAACATCTAGTGCAGCCGTATTGGTTGAGGCCAACGGAGAAAAGTCGGCCAAGCCTGAACGAGGCATGCAAGCGAGCAAGATGCGCGCAGGGGAAGAAGGGGATTGATGACAATCTTTTGACGACGTGGCTCACCCTCGCTACGTTTGTCGACAAACCTTCCTTTGGTACAGCTCATTTTGGATACGAATGAATTGTTATCGTTGTCACCTGCCACGTCGGCGCAATTAAAGAAAAGGGAGAGAGACGGGATTGTGCAAATGAGCTCTGAGGAGCGGCTCAATTCCACCAGGGCTGCACCTCGCAAGCCACGGCCACGTAGGAGATCGGGCGGAGCATACCGCTGCAGGTGGCAACCACAGTCTGGGGGGACCGTGGTTTCAGCAATCCAGTGGTGGCGAGGAGGCCGAGGAGGCTTAACTGGGTCTGTTAAGAGCGTGTTGGAGACGCGTGGAGAGAAAAGGCTCGATGCCTGATCTGTGGCGGATGTGCCTGAGAGGTGCGACGCAAGGGCCAGCAAAGCTTGGCCTGGACCCCTACCACTCCCACAACTGCTACCCCTCCTGTCTCACAAGGACTCCATTCCCAGTAATCCGTGGCTCGAAAACTGAGCCTAAAAACCCCACGCCTAGACAGCCTTACGGATATGGAACGGGTGGTCCTATGAAAAGATTCATATACACCAAGGCATAATGCCCAACCACGTGAGGAATTTTCGAGAAAAGCAATCAGTGGCACAACGCTGTTTCCCACTCAGTCAATCTTGGTACAGTGTGCCTCAGTATAAACATCCGGTCATGCACTCTATAACGGTCTCTGCATATAGGCAGATACTCGCCGTCACAGAGCGTTGTGCTCCCAGCGTAGGCATGACAGTGAAAGCAGAATAGGGACACGGAAGTTGGAAGAAGTAGCAGCGAGCACGGGATAGATTGGGTTCGTCTTTTGCTAAAAGAGGGTATCATGTTGAATGAGGTATTGGTTTGGAAAAGCCAACCAGCCAGATACGCCACCATGGTCCGATGCCAGAGCGAGCTGAACACCAATGCGCAGAGGGCTTTTAGATATTAGAACGCTTGTTGATAGAACAATGTCGCGAGCCTCTCATCATGCCATGGTACGATTCAGTTTTTCATGCTGCTGTTGCATAGTCCTCGAGATACGCCACGAGCGCTTTTGCGCCTTCTGCAGAGACCGCATTGTCTGTGACACGAAACAGGTTAGCCTTGCTTCTTCTTTGAGCAATATGGAAACTCTTTTGTGGGGGGTATGACAAAACTAAGTGTGCGGCCTCGCAGCCTTGGATCAGCACACGGAATCGGATGAGCTGCTACTATGGAGACCTCTCAGGGCATAGTGCATATATAGCATATGCGAGTACCGGTATGTATACCCTCCTCCGCATGTCGTGTCTGAAGAAGAGGCATGTCTGAAGAAGTGACATGTCTGAAGAGGATGGCAATAATAGGGAAAGTAATTATAGACGTACAATTGCTTGCCCGAATACCACCAACGCTGCGATGACCCTTGAGACCAAGCAGCCCTTTCTTTTCGGCGCCAGCAAGAAACAATTTCTCGTTTTCCGCATCACCACCATGAACCCTGAAGCAGATGTTCATTCTGCTGCGGACCGCCTTGTCGGGGACCACTTGATAGACGTTAGGGTATTTGTCAAGCGTCTCGTAGATCAGCCTTGCTTTGTCATTTGAAATAGCTTCCTGACCACCGATCTTCTTGGCACCGAAATTGCTGACAAGCCCAGACATGACTTGACCCGCGACCCAGACATCGAAAATAGGCAAGGTGTTATACAAGGAGTTCCAAGACGATGGGGCCTACGGGCAAGTTGAGCGCTCTCAGTAAATCTGGCGATGCAGGTGTCGAGGCTGGCGCAAGCAGGGACTTCCGCAGTATCGCCATCGCAATACCAGTGTTGCCAACATTCTTTTGCGCCCCACCAAAAATAATGGCATACTTTCGCACATCGACCTTCCGAGAAATAAAATTCGACGACATGTCCGCACAGACTAAGAGAACATCCTCGCCCTCGAGGCTGCGGGGAAAGCTTGGAAACTCGACGCCGTCGACTGTTTCGTTGTCGCAGAAAACCAGGGCGGGACCGCCGTCCGACTTTCGAGGTGTGAGATTCCAGTCGCCCTCGGGTGGGATCTTACCAAACTTCCCATTGTTTGCCTTTCTGGCATCCAGTGCAACATTAACGTGCTGCGCCCCGACTAGACGAGCTGCTTCTTGGGAGGCTTTTAGCGACCAGGAGCCTGTGACGAGGTAGTCAAGCTTCAACTCCTCATCGACCACCTTTCTCAGGCGCTTCAAAACTTCAGCCATGTCATCGCCAACCTCTCCCGCGATCTTAGCCCGCTTCTTCTCTACTCATATGGAGACCAGGTTGTAGACGGTCGCACTGAACTCACCGCTGCCCCTGCTTTGCAGGAACAGGATCTCGTAGTCATCAGGGATGTCCAGAAGAGTAGTGAGGGCCTGTTTCGCGTCGGCCAGGATTTCGTTGGCATCTGGAGAGCGGTGAGAGATCTCGCAAAGTCCGATGCCTTTGTCTTTGTAGTTGAGAAGCACCTGCGAGGCCTTCTCAAATACGGCAGTAGGGGAGGGGTGCGGGGCCTGCACCGAAGTAGTGTATGTCTGAGCAATTGACCATGTTGGCGACCAGGAAACTTTGGCGATAAGGAGTGGAAGAAAGGATAGTTCAGCAGTAGAAGTAGAGTAAAGGAGCTGAACGCAATGTAGAGTGACTGTTGCTTGAGCGCGGGATTTTCAAATGCGTCTCATGGAATGACTCCAGCCTTAACAAAGGCCGTCCGATCTCGGGTGGGCAAACCACACCAATGGCGAACAGACTATATGAGCTCAAAAGAAATGAATTTTCAAGGCATGTTTCCCATCGTTACCCAGGTGGCTTCTACATGGCACATGATCAGATTGACGGAAGCAATTGCGTGCAGTTGGTCGTGCTCCAATCGACGGGGGCAGAAAGACGATGACCGACACCGAAATCGGCGGGGATGGTGTAATAAGCTTAGTCATCACAACGCCTGGAGAATTTCTGAGGGTGGAAGTCAACACCACGATCCTCGATACATTTTCTCCAAACACCAATGGCCATGTCACTGCGGGCGGCAAGATTTTTAGGCCGCAGACAAACTCTGGTATGTTCCAAAGGCCTTATATGCCGCCAATTGAGCGAGGCTGACCACGCCTTGGTTTAGCCTCGAGCGAGCCTACCTCTCCGCACCACAGCTCAATTCCTTCGCCCCATTGCTGCCCAGCGCACATTCTCCAGCTCTCCGTCTCGCAGGGGAGGCCCCGATGTCTTTCCTTCGATGCGAGAAGGCCCTGCGGCCAATTTTCTCTCGACCTTCCAACAAAAAACGAAGGTAGCACAGACGCTCACCGAGAAGATTGTGCAGAGATACGCGGTCGGCATCGCAGAGGGAAAGCTGCTGCGATCTGGCGATTATGTCACGCTCCAGCCACACAAGTGTATGACACATGACAATTCGTGGCCAGTGGCGCTGAAATTCATGTCCATTGGAGCCACCAAGATCCACGACCCGGAGCAGATCGTCATGACATTAGACCATGATGTGCAAAACAAGAGCGACAAGAATTTAAAGAAATACGCCCAGATAGAGGGGTTTGCCAAGGGCCAGGGCGTGGTCTTCTACCCGGCGGGGCGGGGCATTGGACACCAGATCATGGTCGAAGAAGGCTATGCGTGGCCGGGAACCTTGGCTGTAGCTTCAGACAGCCATTCCAACATGTATGGGGGTATCGGGTGTTTGGGCACGCCCGTTGTGCGGACCGATGCTGCCAGTATTTGGGCAACGGGCAAGACATGGTGGCAGATTCCCCCCGTAGCGAAGGTCACATTCACTGGCATTCTCCCTCAGGGCGTAACGGGAAAAGATGTCATCGTCGCCCTGGCTGGATTGTTCAATAAGGACGAGGTTCTGAATCATGCCATCGAATTTACTGGGAGCGAGGACACCTTACGGAGCATCCCCGTGGACGACCGCCTAACAATTGCAAACATGACGACCGAGTGGGGTGCTCTCACTGGCCTGTTTCCGATCGACTCAGTTTTGCATGGCTGGCTTAGAATGAAAGCTACCGATGCTGCACTATACGGTGGCGACATCATGGACCATCACCAACAGCAATTTATTCACGACCGCATCGACAAGCTGTTCACAGCTACGGGGATCGTAGGACAACACACCGGTCAAATCTTCCAGCCCGCGTTGGCTGCCGATAAAGGCGCAACATATGCAAAACACCTATTCCTTGACCTTTCCACGTTATCCCCGTATGTTTCGGGCCCTAACTCAGTCAAGGTCGCCACGCCCTTAAACGATCTGCAAAACCAGAACATCTCCATCAACAAAGCTTACCTAGTATCCTGCACAAACTCCCGAGCGTCAGACCTAGCCGCCGCTGCCAAGGTGTTTAGGGATGCTGCCAAATCCAACAACAACCAAATCCCAAAAATTCCAAATAATGTCCACTTCTACATTGCAGCAGCATCGCTCCCGGAGCAGCGCGCCGCCGAAGAACAGGGTGACTGGCAGATCCTTCTCGAAGCTGGCGCAAAACCTCTGCCATCGGGTTGCGGACCTTGCATTGGTCTTGGCACAGGTCTTCTCGAACCCGGTGAAGTTGGCATAAGTGCAAGTAACCGGAACTTCAAGGGTCGTATGGGATCTCCCGACGCCAAAGCTTATCTTGCAAGTCCAGAAGTTGTTGCTGCCAGCGCACTGTCTGGGAAGATATCTAGCCCTGGGTGGTACGAGGCTCCGGTTGGCTATACCGGCGTTCGGCGTGGCGAGGGCGATGGAATTCGAGAGGAAGATCGCATGATGACCATCGAAGACATGCTCGAAAAAGTAATCAAGCAAGCCGATGAGATGATTGAATCAGTCGAAAGCGCATCCGTGGAAAACCAGTCCATCAACCCCGCAACCCCCTCCCCTACTGAATCGGAATCTCTCACCGAAATCCTCCCCGGGTTTCCGGAAAAGATTAGCGGAGAAATCATTTTCTGCGATGCCGACAACATCAACACGGACGGCATCTACCCCGGAAAATACACATACCAAGACGACGTGACACAGGAAAAGATGGCGGAGGTGTGCATGGAGAACTATGACCCATCGTTCGGTGCTCTCGCTAAAGCCGGCGATATCCTCGTTTCTGGCTTCAACTTTGGCTGCGGAAGCAGCAGAGAGCAAGCCGCAACGGCTATCCTAGCCAAAGGCATCCCTCTTGTCGTCGCAGGCAGCTTTGGCAACATCTTTAGTAGAAACAGCATCAATAACGCTCTCATGGGCGTCGAAGTCCCGAAACTCGCTAATCGTCTCAGAGAAGTGTTTTCTTCAGCATCCTCCCCGCCCAACCCCTCGCAGCAGAGTGTAAAAGAACCCTCTCTGAACGGCGAATCGCTCGGCTCTCCTCCACGATCCGCTGTCGCGCAACCCGCACAGGCGAAGCAGCTTACAAGGCGGACGGGCTGGACGTTGGAGTGGGATGTCAGAAGAAGCACTGTTAATGTTCAGGAAGGTCCGAGTGGAGCGAAGTGGAGTGTAAAGGTCGGCGAACTTCCGCCCAATGTACAGGAGATTATTGCGTTGGGGGGTCTGGAGAGTTGGGTTAGGAAGGAGATTGGTGGGGCATCGTGAGGATGAGATAGAGAGCTGCACTTACAAGCTAGTGGTGAGAGGGGGGGAATGTTGTGTATACCCTTGTGCTTGCATTTGTGGGAGTTTTAGGAGGACGTGAGCGGACAGTGTTGGTGTATTTAAACTTACTACATGAATGTAAATAATAAAAGTTTTTATAGATCTTTGACACAGATGTTGTGGGCCTCTCGGGGGTGTTTGGAAACCTTTTTTGATATGCTATGTTGTTGTACTAGAGCCTAGTGGCCAGAGGTGTATTTTCAAATCGAAGTTTATCACACAAGCTCTCTATTAGCAGCCAGACTACGTGCCGTCTAACAATGCCATAGCTGTCTAGCACCATATTTGTCTACACTCCCACTACACATCTAAATAGGTATTTGTCAAGGATCTTAGTCGACAACTAGACCTTCAGTTAGCATCTCTTTTGTGTGACTTTTGCAGCTCGAGAACCTTGCAAGAGCTCTTTTCAGTTGCTTATGCAAATAATTTGGCCAGTAGCTAAGCCAACAAAGGTGTTCATTTATTTGATTGTGTGCAGTTTCGTGGATTCTAACCTGCAGGAGTTAGTATAACAACAGCGACAGCAGGTGTATACACGTTAGAAGTGCAGGGATCCATCTCAAAATTCGCTTAAATATCCTGAGGTCCAAGTTGTTAAATGAAAGCGCTGGACGTCTAGCGAAGGTTTCGGTGTAGGCATATTGGGACTTCAAGTGTGGATTGGTCGTCAGTAGTCTACTGTGCCATCCTCCTAATTCTTAGAAATTGAACGAATTCATTTTGTCGCCCCCATACGAAACTATAGCCCTTTGCTTTCTCCTGCAGAAAACAGGCAACAAATATCAAAGCCCCAACTCTAATCTATGATGGACTGCACGATTGTTCGTGTTTCGAATGTGCGAATGTTGCCAGGTAAAATAAAATTACACAGATTTAACATCAGTTTCCCTCCCCAATGCCAATCCTGTTCTCTAAATCTCCGTACGATGAATTATGTACTCAGGCTCGTCGAATAGCTGATAAATACGAAGGTAAGTGGAGAAACTCGAGATCGGTCGTCCGCGATCTCCGACCCCTATCCCGACGTCTTTTTCGCTCCATCCCACAGGACACAATCATCTTATCTAATCGCATCGCCCGCCATCACGGATTCGGAAGTGAGATCCACCCTTCCAAACCCCATAGCGTTAGACATCGGCACAAGATTTTGGCGATGGGAGAATTGCCGAATAGCGAGCCTATCGCAAGGTCAGGAAAAACGGTCGATTGAAGGGCGTGCGTGCGTCGAGCGCGTTCAAAATTCCGCGCTGATTAATTTTCTTCGAAAGATTGCTAGTTCTGTCGGTGGGGGTGGAGGAATTTTGCAATTTGCTTGACCAGGTTCTTGGATCGAGGAGAGCTCTGTGGTTGGGGAACAACTTTATCGAGATCCATTAAATACTTCGGTTGAGGAGTGGAAAGATTCTTCATCGACCGAAGTTCACATACTGCCCTGCCCTAGCTTCCTACTTCCTCCCACCTCTCGTAGGCTTCCGATTTCGAACAGGCATTCTCAGAAATGTCAGCCTCGGATTCTCTGCAGACGCAGACGCAGATGCAAATGCACGATCCCGAGCTCGGCGATGGCGATAACGATGGAGCGCCACCAATCAGAGACCCGAATGCACGACCCGAATGCTTCAAATCCACGATCCAAGAATGTTTATTCGTCATTTCAGTCACCATGGCTGTGGCCATGACGGCCTTTCTCATAGGCTCAACTACAGTGATGTCGTCGTTTGCAGGAAGGGATTTGCACATGACGACTGCGGAGATTACTTGGATGAATGCTGCCCCTTCGTATGGTCACACCATTTCCCCTTACTCTCTCTATATCTCCAATTGAACCACGCCTTTGCTATTCTGAATCTAACGAAGAATGCAGCCTATCATCAGGAGCCCTCCTCCTCTTCTTCGGCTCCATCGCCGACCTCTTTGGCAGAAAATCCATGTTCATAGGCTCGATGCTACTCTTCTCCATCTTCTGTCTTGGCGCCGGATTTTCTCGCTCCGGCCTCACCCTCGACATCCTCAACGGCGTCCTAGGTATCTGGTCTGCCTCTGCCGTACCTCCCGCACAAGGGATGCTAGGCGTCATCTATGAAAAACCATCACCGCGCAAGAATAAAGCCTTTGGGTGCTTCAGCGCAGGCAACCCGCTGGGGTTTGTCTTTGGGAGTATTTTTTCGGGGTTAGCGACCCAGCTATTTAGTTGGAGGGCCAGCTTTTGGCTGCTAGCTATTGTGTATTTGGTGGTTACAATAGTGGCGATTTTTACGGTGCCGAATGATAAGACGGTGAAAGTTGAGTGGAGTCAGGAGACGGTTAAGAGGTTAGATTTGCCGGGCACTGCGATGACGATTCTGGGGATCGGGTTGTTTTGTGCGGCCTTAAGGTATGCTTCCCCGCCCTATTCCTTACCGATTGTGGTTGAAGGGCTGTTGGATATTGGCTGATGCAGAAATAGTCTTGGGGGAGATGCGCCACAGGGTTGGAAAACGCCTTATGTCCTGGTTTTCTTAATTCTCGGTATTGCGCTCATTGTCTTGTTCGTGATTTGGGAAATCAAGTACCCATACGCCATGATCGATATGAAGATTTGGAAAGATCGGGATTTCTCGCTCGTAAGTGCGATTTTTCGCTACATAGTCTTCGCCTAAGAGTTGAGACTAATAAAATGTAGTTGCTTGCCATCCAGTCCTTTGGTTTCATTGGTTTCCCAGTCCTCTCGTTTTGGCTAGCACTGTACTTCCAGACGGTTCTGGGATACTCGGCTTTAATGACCGGCGTGCATATGCTGCCGATGGTCACCATGGGCTTGCTAGCAAATCTTGTTGCAGCTCTCATTCTGCACAAAGTCTCGAACAAACTTCTCATGGGGATTGGCGCGCTTGCGTATGTTATCTCCTTCGTTCTTGCTGCCGTCCAAAGAAATGGGGATTCCTATTGGGCGTTCTCATTCCCAGCACTATGCCTTTGTGTGGTTGGCGCAGACCTTCAATTCAACGTCGCAAACGTATGTCCTCCACCGTTCTCTTCTACCTACCTTGTTCATACTTACCAACATTAGATGTACGTCCTCTCCTCAATGCCTCCCTCGAAACAATCCATCGCAGGCTCTCTCTTCCAAACCCTCACGCGTCTCTGCTCGGCCGTTGGATACGGCATTGCAACTGCTATCTTTAATGGTGTGCAAAGCTCTCCCGCAAGGTCAGGCTACTACGCCAACAACGCCGTCGAGCCGTATGCGGCTACTTTCTGGTTTTCGGCTGGCGCGGCGGCGCTAGGGGTACTATTTGTGCCGTGGTTGAAAATTGGGACGCAGGGGCATCAGGGGGATAAGGGAAGGTTGACCGAGAAGGAGGATGAGAGAGAGAAGGTTGATGACATTGTTGATGTTTCCGGTGTTGGGGAGAAAAGCGGCGAGAAGGACGATTCTGGACCTAAGGGAGATGCCGCGGGTACGCTAAAGGATAAAGATATCGAGGCGAGCGTTTGAACATTCACCCTGATGTTGGCTGCATGTTTGTGGGAGAGGGCGCCATTAGAATTTAGACTATACGAGTTAATAACGCCATGGACACGGAATTCTAGACTCCCAATTTCCCGGATTTTCCCCAGCCGGAGCATATTCCGCTGGCCATTTTGAAGCCCCAGCCATGACCTCGGCAGTTCTTGACGCGAATCTTGTCAACGTTGGAAGCCAGCCACCATCTCGGTACCGCGTCCGGCAGCCCAGCTCAGCCTCTTCTGCCTCGCGGAGGAAATTCCCGCCGCATATCTCACGTTTCCAAACGTCTGGGGAAAGCAGCGTGAATGCAGGACAGAGGCTCCGGGGTCTGGAATATCTGTCGGTCCGAGTCCTCGGTGCAAAAAAATACTGACCACTAAGGAGCGCTAGCTGGAAGAGGAAGGTATCTCCAACACCATGACTACTTCGAGGAAACCGGCTCCACCTGTACCACGCGACCAGAACCCTGGCTCTGCGTGTGCATCCTCCCCGCAAAATTTTATACTTAAACAGGACGACATCTCCTCGTTTTTCGTCCTGCGTTCCCCAGATTCCAGCGTCCAAGGATTCCTGACGCAAGATTGGTAGCATCCGGGCCCGCAGCGCGTGGCGAGTTTGAGAGCTGTACAGTTCATATCACTTGATACGCGACAAAAATGGCAGAAGAGAAGGAAATCCAGCCAGCGGGGCCGACCCTGCACTTTCCCGAAAAAGACCACCTCACACACTCCAACGCCATGGACAAAGTAATCCACAACGCCAAATCCGCCACGGACAAAGAACACAAAATGACGCTCTGGCAAGGCATAAAACTCTACCCGAAAGCTGTAGGTTGGTCTGTCCTCATCTCAACCTGCATCGCCATGGAAGGCTACGACGTGTGTCTTCTGTCCAACTTCTACGGCTTCCCGCAATTTAACAAGAAATACGGGGAGCGGCTGGCCGATGGTACGTATCAGGTTCCGCCACACTGGCAGGCTGGGTTGAGTAATGGTGCAAATGTGGGCGAGATTATTGGGTTGTTTATCAATGGGTGGGTTAGTGAGAGGTATGGGTATAGGTATACAGTTATGACGTGTTTGACGTTGATTATTGCATTTACGGCGATTTTCTTTACGGCTAAGGATGTTGTTGCACTGCAGGTGGCGGAGATTTTATGTGGGATTCCGTGGGGTGTTTTCCAGACGTTGACAATTACTTATGCGTCGGAGGTATGTCCTGTGGCATTGAGAGGGTATCGTAAGTACACCCGTTCCATTTCCAAACCAGAGGATGGAAGAGCTAATACTTGGTGATAGTTACAACGTACGTCAATTTCTGTTGGGGCCTGGGTCAAGTTGTCGGTATTGGCGTCATCAAATCCATGCTTCCCAGGGATGATCAATGGTCCTATCGAATCCCCTACGCTCTCCAATGGATGTGGCCTGTTCCTCTTCTCATTGGAGTTGCCCTGGCCCCTGAGTCTCCATGGTGGCTCGTACGCAAAGGCAAGATTGATGCTGCTAAAAAGTCTCTCCTGAGATTGACGAGCTTGAATCGCGAAACCGACTTTGATGCAGACGAAACGGTTGCTATGATGGTCCATACAACAGCGCTCGAAGAGAAAATCACCAAAGGCGCTTCCTACTTTGATTGCTTCAGAGGGACTGACCTCCGTCGCACGGAAATCGTGTGCATGGCCTGGGCGATCCAGAACCTGTCCGGCAACGCGTTTTCAGGGTACTCGACATACTTCCTAGAACAGGCTGGCCTAGAGCCCTCGAAAGCATACGACTTCGCATTGGGGCAATACGGCATCAACATGGGCGGTGTATTAGGCGCATGGTTCCTCATGACCCTCGGTCTTGGACGTCGAACACTATATCTCGGGGGTCTATGCGGTCTCTGCACAATGCTCTTCATCATGGGGTTCCTCGGTCTCGTCCCCCACGAGCACAAAAGCCAAGCCGCCCTTGCAACCGGCGCAATCATGATCGTCTGGGCGCTCTTCTACCAACTCACCGTCGGCACCGTATGCTACTCACTCGTCGCCGAACTCTCGACCCGTCGGCTGCAAATCAAAACCGTAGTTCTCGGCCGCAATCTCTACAACATCGTCGGGATAATCTGCTCGGTGCTTTCACCCTACATGCTTAACCCTGGGGCCTGGAATTGGAGCAACTTCACGGGCTTCTTCTGGGGCGGGATTTGCTTCTGCTGCATTATTTATACGTATTTTAGGATCCCGGAACCGAAGGGGAGGAGCTTTGCAGAGCTGGATTTGTTGTTTGAAAGAGGGGTGAGTGCGAGGAATTTTGCGAGTACGAGGGTGGATGTTTTTGATGAGCAGGTTGAGGATACGATGGCTTTTCATCGGTATGAGGAGAAGGTTGGGGAGGTGCAGAGGCATATGGAGGTGGTGAAGGTGTAGGGAGGTGAGGTTAGTTGGCGTGGCTGTTGAGCATTTCATTTGTGGTTCAGCGTTGGAGATGATTGCCTGGAGCAGATGGTGCGGCGCTTTGATCCTTCTTAACGGGAGGCATTATTGTGATTGGGATATTGGAGGTTGTGTAGATAAGACAATGACTGATGCAAACGATGAATGAGAACACTGTACAAAAAGTCCAAAATAGAGATGTTCGAGCCTGACAAATGACCTTGGAAACGAGGACGTTAAAGGAACCTGAGTGGCGAAGCGTCTGATGAGGCCTTAATGAGATCCACATCATATTGAATATCTGAGGCTGGGGTTAAGGACGGCGCTGATATAGTGTGTTCGAAAAAGTGGAGGCAGAAAGTTGTTCTGACCTTACAGATCCGTAGAGAATGTTAAGAGATCGCTTACTCTCCTAGACAAAGAAAAAGCTGCTTGTGTTGCATGTTAAGGAAAGAAGGAGCTGAATGCTTTAACCATTGTACTCCCTTAAATTTTCTACTCCTACGACTTCTGAACTCATATTTGATTCGAAGACCTGTATGGAGCCGATATACCTAAACTCTAGAGTATATAGCGCGCCTCTTAACTTATCAATTCACTGGCCACTCGTGACAAGGTTAGGTTTGGAGAGAACGTTGGAGCTGGAGAGGTTGCTGGATATGAGGGGAGTGGGTGGGATAGAGATGGATGTAGGTAGAAAGCATTAAAATATATAGGTAGGATATTAGGTGTTGAGGTTTGACCAGGTAAGATTATTACCTAATTGAACACGGGAAAGTGGAGAGAAGTGGCAAATATGAATTGTATCAGTTTCCTTCCAATCGTTCTTCGCACAGAAAGTCGGAATCCATGCACGTGAAGATGCGGTTCCGCGACCAGGGCTTCCAACGAGGCGTAGTACTGTACGATTGGGCGATTTTGAGGCCTGTACGGGTGAGATTTTGTGTACGTTCGTACGACAGGGGGGAGGAGAGGTAGGTGTACGTATCGTAACTGTTACGGCTCACGTGATCTGTACGAGTAGTACGATTCGATTAAAGTACGCCGTACTCTAGTCGAAACAGCTAAGACTATGGGTCTCTAGGGACGCAAGATTAAGGTCTAATTAACTATAAAATAACTAGTTCTCCCTAGTAACAAGAGCAGATAGGACTAGATGAGGCCTGTAAGGCGGCAAGAGGCGTGGATAGATAACTCTGGAATAGAAAATGGTCTGTAATAGGCATTTTTGAGACATCCGTACTACGTACCGTACCTAGGGCATCATTAATCGTACGGTACGGCTCACGAACTCGGTACGTTCGTACTGAACACGTGACCGTTACGGTTCACTTTGTACGGACCGTAGTACGGCCCGTTGGAAGCCCTGTGGACCGCGACCCTTTTCTAGTTATGATAAACCGGCGCGCCATTCGCCTAGTCCTTAGATTTACAGCAATGCCACTGTGACAATACAATTAATGCTACCCAGTTGAACACCATCCCTTCCTCGTAAACAAAGTGTTTTCCACAAATTATAGCAGTAATCAAACTCACCGTATCTGTCTCGCTATAGTCCTCCCCACTATTCTTCTGATCGATACTCGTATATACAGTCCAACCTTCCTTTCTAATACCTCCATTAATGGATCGCACGGTCATGGTTTCCGTTGCCCTTGCTTGCCAAGGGGGTACAAAGAGCTTGATCTCGTAGACGCCGGGGGGTGTGAAGAACTGTGGGATTAGATGTGACTATTACCCAAACGGGAAATTAAGAATGTCTAGATTGTGGGTGTTAGGGGAGGGGTGTTAGTGTAGTGTTAGAGTGAGTGGGTATATAGCTGAGGAGAGTGGAGTGGATTGCCGCAGACAGCATTGGAAACGTAGCAAGAGGATAGAAATAGAAAATAACCCGAAAGAAAGATTGCGAGTGTCCTGGAGGCTTGGGAACTGTCAGGGGAGAACAACATACAATCTACCAAACACCAACAGCCCCCACTCCCACTCCATTCCTTCCTCTGCAAAACCTCTTCCCACCGAACAACTAGCGTATCTTTATCTGCTTTCTTCTTACTATCAACCATACTCAACGTCAACACCCACCTTCCAGATATAGCATGGCCAGTAACCGGCTAACTAACCTCTGCGCTTCAATGGCCTCACCACATCATAACTGGTGGCTGTAAATTCTAAATTCGTGGCTTCCGCTGTAGGGGCGCTCATCTTAGATCCCGCGTCGCCAGAGGGTCGGGGTGGACCGGGCTAGGGTGAGGAAGAGGGGGAAGGAGAGGACAGCGCTTCCAACGAGGCATAGTACTGTACGATTGGGCAATTTCGAGGCCTGTAGGGGTGAGATTTCGTGTACGTTTGTACGGCAGAGAGGAGGAAGAGTAGGTGTATGTATTGTAACCACTACAGCCCTCGTGATCTGTACAAGTAGTACAAGTTAATTAAAATATGCTGTACTCTAGTTAAAACGGCTAAGATTGTAGGTCTCTAGAGATGCAGAATTAAGGTCTAAATAACTGTTAGATAACTAACTAGTTTTTTCTAGTACGATAAGTTAAGACGTCTAAAACCTTGCTTCTTGCTACCTTATACAAACAATTTAGTTGTAGCAGTCTACCACCTTTACGCGCCGTAAAAGCCTTATAAGCGCTAACAGCAGAGCTAGAGGCAGATTACCCTATCCTACATCTTTAAAAGCGTAAAATCTGTGCTATAAGCCTACGCTTTCATAAGGTATATCGCGTAAGAGAGCACATGGACCTAGTATCGCGCCTGTGTTTAGGACCTGCAGCCTGAGACACTTAGCGCCTGAGCTCCCACTATATAGGCAGGTTCTCTGAGAGCTTCTCGTAGTCAATAGACAAGCTCCTCGATTGCTCCCTGATCAACTTCGCGACAGTATAGTTACCTTACAATTCAGTCTTACTCTTTGCTTAGAGACCTAATTGCACTAAGAGTTGTAATTATAGTTCTCTAAGAACTGCTGTAATTAATCTTTACTCACAGACAGAGTACTTTTGGATAATAAGGTAGAATGTATTGAGTAGAGGGCTCTTAATTTTGCAGCTTACAAAACAACATAAAATAGATAACAGGGGTACCTAATTAACTACGTAGATGTAACCCCGTAATAGAAAATGACTAGTAATAAGAAAATTTAATATCTCCGACTTTAGGTAGGCAGATTAAAATGCTTAGAAAGGGATTTAAGTGTTCTAATACAACTGTTAACTAATTAGAGCTTAGAGAACCTTTTAAACGCTCTCTAAAGGCCTGCTGCTTGCTATAGCCATTCTACTCTTCTAGAATTACTATACAAACTTCCTAAAATGGTAGTACACCATGTACTACGTACTAAACACGTGACGGTTACGGTACACTGTGTACGGACCGTAGTATGCTCTGTTGGAAGCCCTGATCTGAGAGGAAGACGAGTCGGTCTTCCACGTGGAGCGAGAGAGGCAAATAGGGTGCAGAAGGCGGACTGGGGGGATTGTGCTAAGGGTGGTGGAGGGGTAGCTTTGGGGAGCGCTTTTGCCGTCGTTGTCGTCCTTGGTTGTCCCGCCTGTGGGGTATATTGGACTTTCGACGGATCTGGGGGAGAGCTCTCTTGCTGGGAAACATGTTGATGGAGTTCTTTTCCGATAAAGCTGTGGTAGAACTAGTGTAGAATTAATATCAAAGAATGATTGAATGATTTTGTGTGGTGTTGCTGTGAATTTCAACCGCTGGCGCAGAAGGCGGTCTTGACCCGGTAGGCGGCTTCTCTCCGAGTCCAATACACAATGACAGTATTGAGCAAATACGGGAGGTTGTTATTTAAGAGCTAGTGTTCTATATATATATCACGTCCATCTTGTCAAGGCTCACTGTTTCGGCATTGGCGCAGTTTACACTCCAGATGAAGAACCACACGTTGACCCACTCCCGCTAGCTTGCCCGGATCGCACTTCATGGCGTCTTCTCCCACGAACCAAGCTCAACGAGAATGTAGTAGTGTTTAGGAGAAAGTGAGGGCCAAGCCTTTCAATTCTGATTTTGCATTATCTAATGGTTTGCAGAGGGAGGGTATCAGATTTCCCTTACTCCCTACAATAATCTCGCCATGCCGAGTACTCAGTACGCCCTCGAACATATTCCATTTACTCACAGCTTAAAAACCCTCCAATCGCCCAAATCCATCTGGCCCAGCACGCCCCCCAAAGGGCCCTGGACCTCCCTCCCGCCAACCCAAAGTTTCTTACCGGCCCAATGAGCAATAAATCCATCGGGTCCCGACACCAAAATAACTTTTGAGCCCTTCTCACCGTGGTCATGATGAGATTGGGCATCCACGTGTAACCGTTTCGCTACATCTCCCGGGCTGATGAAGTGGTTTTCTTCATCGACATAGTATGAGATACTCAGACCCCTTGTATGAGGCGTACCGCGCGTCTTCAGGGATTCGAGTTCTTGGACGATGATGCCTTTGCCCTTAGCTTCACTGCTGTGGCCACCGACGAGCGTCTGCATCTGTCGTTGCGTGTGCAACGGCACTGTCTCTGTCCCTCGGGCTCTCCCCCAAAACAGCCCCCTCCACCAGGTAGACTGCGGCTGCAGCCTTAACATCCTTACTGTCTCCCCATCGCCCTCATCACCATCACTCACGCCCCCAGCACACTCCTCCCTCCGCCTATTCGCCCAAAGAATCCACATCCGACTCCCTGCGCGCTGTCCCAGCGCACGCGCCACCTGCATCGCAGGCGCAATGCCGGTCCCGCCGGCCAGGAAAATAACCTCCTTGATATCATGCGGCAGCTCGCATTCAGTATTCGGGCCTCGCAGTTCAACAGTAGATTGCGGTGCAAGCGTGTGGAGGTACGTCGACACTTCCCCACCTTCCTCTTTGCGGATTAGGAGGCGCAAGTCCTCTGACGCATGTGCGTCGTCATCAGCACCGTCCGCATTGTGCGATTCCGGTGCAGCAGACGGTGGTGACGTCTGCGACAGTGGAGGCAGGGGCGTGTACGCCCGAGCAATCTGCAGCTGCGGCTGCTTGACCTGCACGCTCCAAACGCTGCGCTTCCAGCCCTCTTTTAAACTCTCGGGATCTCTACCGCCTTCTCTATTCCGCAATGTGAATATTGCGCTTGTCGACGACACTGGCTGTTTGTGTACAAGGGTGTATGGGGTAAACGAGTGCGGGTTCAGCGAGGCATCAGACGAAGATGAACTGGAGTATCGGTAGGCAGCGCCGCCAAGAGCGGAGGTGCCGAGGACAATGAGGGCGCCAGAGTGGGGGCGGAGGAGGATGGAGGGCAACCAGGACATTCTGTTTAGGGGAGGGGCTACCTCAACGGCTGGCGTGGAATTGGCATTGATGAACGCTTTGATGTGGAATCTTGGAAACCGCGAGACTCTGCTTAGGCAGGTGCGGTGGGCGGGTCGGTGGCGTCATGGCCCGAGCTTCGTCCCGCGAACGCCTCTTTAGGATCACGTGCCTTGTTCCTGTCGAGATTCCATGCAGAGCTAGGGCTTCCCTCGCTGGCATTGTAGCAGCCATCTGTAATTGGTACAAATAAAAAAACATGTTATTGAAGACGGCAATAATAGAAACTAAACATTATATACCTAATTAAAGGGAATCCTGTGCCATGGAGGGTAGTCCATCCAACTATCAATCATAAGCCTACCAAAATTATCTCCTGCACAAGAAGGAAACCTCCTTAGTCTGTAAGAAACTAACAAGAAACTCCCTATTTTAACTCCATGCTCAAGCGCTGATGCTTTCCGGAACACCCATGTCCTATGCCGTTACCCCCTATCATTTTAATGTGAAAGATGGCCCTTCGCCTCTCCAATCTCCGCCAATCCCCGTATAGGATACAGCGGCCTCTTGAAGCCAACCTTAACCCTCGGGACGCGGAAGATTTGGTCGACTATTGGCGTCTCGAACCGAAGAACTGTCTCTCGGTACATTGTTTGTGTAGTCCAGTCGTATGAGCAGCCGATTCCACGCTGCATGCCACCTTCCGAGCCAGCGAGTAAGAAGCAGACGGGAGGACGTTCGGCCACGAAGAGTGTTACCGTCATGGTGCCTGTTATTTAATGCGTTAGGAAACTGCAACTGCGACGAAGCTGGTTACCCCGCGGAATGGGATAGACTTACCAGTATCCACAAGCGTGAAGACTCTCTGCTCACCTGGCCTAGCATTCTTCACTTGCTCCACGAATGCCTTGGTTTTGGGGTCTGAACAAGGATCATCCGCAATGCAATCGCCATGCGCATTCTTGTGGTGTCTTGAAAGCGGGCTGCCGTACGGAGTCCACTTCAGACGTCCGAGCCTCCCGCCAAAGATCTGTCGCTCAATAGTATCGATATCCATATATCCTTCGAACCCAAAGAACCAACCCTGGGTACCCCAGAACTTGCCCAAATACATTACACGTAGCAGCCACGGGCTCAGACCCATGAGTATGATGGAGTACACCAAGAGGAAGGCTCCAGCTGGGACTGTTACTGCCCCCCCTTGCTCTTTTGGGATCGAAAGGAGGACCATTGCAATCAGCATTGTGAAGCCTCCGAGGTGGATTAGTCTTTGCGCTGCCAACCGCTTCCAGCTTGGAATCTTCTTGTACGCTACTGGCGCGAAAGACTTCCATCGGATGTTGGCAGCTCGGCATCCGTCTAGGATGATAGTGTCGTCGTTCCCGACGCCTGCAATGGTGCACTCCTGAGGGAGAATGTCCCAAAGCTTAGCGTTGTAAGCATCGTCCATGGAATGCCAGGGCTGGTGGGGAGACTTGGGCATCACACAGATGAGACGCTCGAGAAGTTGTTCACTATCATTGGCGAGGGAAAGACTGCAAAAGTCAATATAATTCGAGCTCACGGAGGAATGTGAGGCGGAACATACCGAGCGAAAGCCTGGAAAGCTGAGTCCGTGGGATCGATTCTTGGTCGGATACGAAGAAGCCCCATTAACGCGTAGCTATGGTCTCCAAGGAGATATTGTGTGGTGTCGCGATTATGCAAGCACTCCAAAGCGAGTGTCACAAGTTCAAGTTGGTTCAAAATGAGGTTACCTTCGTAATGATCAACCAACTGTATCTGTATTAGCGGTTTTCACACCAGCAGGATGAAGAAGTATACCTGTCGAGCGACGTGAGCATCTCCCTTCCACACCTTGATAGCGAATTGGTTCTTGGCAACCTCCGTGGGGTTAAAGAGATCCATTCCTCGCGTGTAGACTTTAATATCCTTTCCAGCTGGAGCGAGGAGGACCTCAGGGAAGGTCCAAATACGTTTGCCCCATTGTTGTAGCATGAGGTCTGTTGTGTTGATACCTTGCGTGTCATTAGGAGGCCGGGCAACGGCGATGGCCACGGAGTGTGCTCCTCGGATAACGTCACAGATGCGATATACCTAAGCTTAAATCAGTGAGAGGTCAAAGGCCGGGCGGCTGTATTTGACTCACGTCTTCCTGGAGGTTGTCTGGTTCGGGCATGCACGAGCAGCCGATCCAGTAAGCCGGAACACCAGCATTACGAGCAGCTGCATCGGCCATCTGATGAAGAGCACGCAAGTCCTCTGTTGTGCGAAATTGCTCTGCAGTGTATGCCACAAATACATAGGACAGATTTTTCTCCGCCTTGTATTGTGTGATCCACTCCTCGACGTTCATGATCATCGCTGGCGAGCCCTCATCCCGGAGAAAGCAGAGATATCTAGGCCTCAATACCCTCTCCGCGACGGGATTCGGTTCGCTGCCGTATCCACGAGGTGTGTCCATCTCGAGAGCGTTCCGAGCTACTTTTGGATACCCATAGTATTTGTAAGGAACAGGGTCATATCGCCCCTCGTGCCTTACTTGCCCTTCGGCTTTAGTAGGTGTTCCAACCTAGAAAGAAGCTTAGCACACTTCAAAGTGGTACAAGGGAACAACATACTACGAAAGTGATGGCGATGGAGGCGAAGAACCATTTTACACAAATCATGGGCCAGTCTAGGTGAGAAAATTAGTTTTGTGACTAAACGAGATAGCATGAGAACTAACCTTCACTTGTTGGCCCGCCATTTCGATCGTAGTCGACATGGTTCAGAGGCCAATTTGCAAGCCGAAGGTAGAAAGGGGCAATGTTACGAATGAAGGTCCGCCTCCATGTGGAATTCGGTGCGCCGTCATATATATCATCGACAGACTGGACAACGAGTTTGCTGATCTTGCCATCGTACGCCGAAATGTACCGATCATCATAGTCACCAACCCATTCGCGCTCGAAACAATCCAGATGTCGGTGGGTTGCTAGCTTTTCATAGCCATATCCAGGCTTGCCTAACTTTCTGTCAATACTTGGCTGAGGGAAGGGAGAATAGGTGCCGAAACATACGGTAGAATCTCGGCGACTGCAACTTGAAGACCGAATATGGATCAAAGATATGCAAGTAGCCCTTCAATCGCAGAGGGCCTTTGCGCTGTGAGAAACGTTAGATACATTGACCGATCTTAGGAGTAGGCTTAATATACCGGTACTTGTACATATGGCTGGCCCTGTGGATTCATCTGAACTGGTTGGTCACCTCTGTAGTGTGAACCAGGAGATGAGGCCACATAAGATGAGGACTGTCCGTGACCCGTCATTGACGCCATGTCGCTGTACACTTTCACGATGTCTTGGGATTAGCGGAAGCAGTTACAGATTTGGGAGATGATTCCTGGTTGCTGTTTGTACTGCTGCTGAGGGTAGATTGGGTAAGGATTACCCGAAGGTGGGTGACCCTATGAATACATCAGCTCAAAACCTTGAAATATTCGAGTAGGGCATATAATACCTGGTAGGGAACGGCGGGCTGACTCTGGTATACTGGTGCGGCGACTGGCTGCGGCTGCTGCGGATAGAACGCAGAGCGTTGGTTCGTGGTCACAAACGGCGTGGAAAATGGAGAATTCGGGTTGAATCCTCCACCGTGTGCTGGCGGACCCTGGAGATATGAAGTCAGTGAAAGATCTGACAAGAGATCGGTTGATTTAAAGATCCTTATCTTACGGAAGGGGGTTGTGTATACGGGCTGGTATTAGAGAATGCAGCGTTGGGATCGTAGCCTCCGCCGTGTCTACCAGAAGGTTGGGGAGTGTATGCCTGTGAAATTTTTTCAGTAACTTACTATGTACGAATTGATTGAATGAGTGTACCATCCAGAGATTGGCAGTTTCTCACCTTAGCGGAGGATTAAAAGTATCAGCTGAGATGGTAACTTACAGGACAGTTAGGCTAAAGGACAAACGAGCGCTCTTTATATCCCACATATCGCGAAGGCATCAGGCTGAGGTTAAAAATAGGGGTTGGCCACCACCATATATCCATGACATTTCTCAAGCTTTGGATTTACAAAATCGGCCACGAGATTCTCAAGAGTGAGGCTGATTGGCCGCAAATCTCGTATTGGGGGTCTAGGAGATGTGGCGCGCTGGAAGGAGACTCTAGCATGATGTTTCTCAAATCGGTACACTACATCGACGATCAGAAGACGAGACCTTCAGACTTGAGCGAATGACACGAGGTCCGGTGAGCCAGAAAAAGTATACAGAGGAATTGGAGGACTAGGGACCTTCAGGCGATAAGGAATAGTGCCAAAAACCTGTAGCCCATGTCCAGTCGCTCCGTGCAGTCGGTGGTCGAGGCGTCGGGCTCTTGGTTCAAATGCGTGAGGTTGGATCACCCATGGAATGTAAATTACGTTATCAACTGGATGTTATTCCCTGCGCATTACCCCCATATCTTGCGTCGATTTTGATGGGTGAAGTATGAACTGACCTAGTTCGCGGCAGGCGTCTCGGGGCGTCGTCGGAGTCGCTTTAGAGGTCACATGGAATGTGCCATGGCCGCATCTGCTGCCTTCTTTCTCCGGTCTACCTAAATTCGAAGAGGCCATCTACCCTGAGCCTCGAAACGGGCCACCGAAATGGCTCAACTGAAGGCTAAAGAAAGTAGAAGGCTCTGAGCACCACCCACAGCCTTGCCACAGCTCGAAGTAATTACCGAGAACCTCGATGTAAAAAGAAACCCGCCTTGGGTGTTCCTGGATGGAGGCACGTCACGGTGATCATTACAATCGCGTAATATATCATAGCACGAAAGAAGGCAGATATCTGCATGCGTAAAGCGTGCGCGAACACCTGGTATAAACCATCGTGATTGGTGTGGCGTCTGTCCGTCCGGCGAGAAGACGTCGGTTGGGTTCTTACGATTCTCAGCCTTGCGCCACCATACCCCCTCACGCCGTCTTGTGAAGCGCCAACGTCCACAAAAAGAGGGATTTTGGGGGCGGAATCAATATTGCTCCTTTATCCTGCTTGAAGACCCCCCGCCAAGCTGAAGCCAAGCAGACGCTGAGAAATGAGTGTCAAACAGAGCCTCATGACCCTTGCAATGGTCCTGAAGGTTGCCGCATCCGCCCTCAAAATTGTTTCCAGTTTCAATAAGTCTTTCTTGGTTCTAGTAACTGGGGTCGATTAGCCACCGTGAGTAGAGAAACCAAAGAATTGAACATCGTCTTACCTACCTAGGCAAAAGAAGTGCCTGCATCAGGATATCATGTGCCCTGACTTCCTTCTCCGAGCTGCGTTTGTCTTAGCTTTCCTGTCAGACTTCGTCAGGGAAGTTTTGAGTAACAAAACCTCGTGTCGAACTCACCTTCGATATCTACGAAATGGCGAATCCAAGACCCGTCTATCTCTCCAACACTAGTTCAAACCTCGGTGCGCCTAAGATTCCGTCATTTCGGAACTTGACCATAGATCGAAAGCCACTAGAAAACTTCAAGAAAGCCGCAGAGAAAGAAGGTAAACGCATAGAGGAGGAAAAAAGAGCTTCAGGAGATTTAGGATATAACCTCCCGGCATACAACAACCGACTGCCTTTACATGTTTTCGAATGGGATCAGGATGGTCTGAATGGAACAGAGATCTCGAATATACGATGCGTCGGGGACCTCTTGGCATTGGATACTCCTTCAGTTCGTGTGATGTGTGCCGACAATGACTTTAATATGAGACTGACATATGCTGACTAAATTAGATTCGCCCCGCAAAGCATTGCGCACCCTCAATCAGTGAAGGGCATGACGGAATTGTTCGAGTACTTTGCCATTCCAAGTGCCTTCATCGCTGAAAGCCTTCAGCAGGTGTCACAATCTTTCTGCTCTCGCAAGGATGAGAATGGAAACCAATACACTTGGTTTCATTTCCTAGCGAAGGACATTGCAATATCAGACGACGACAAGCCTCGGAGAATTGTGCATCCGTCAGAGAATAAGGACCAGCCAGAGAAGAAGACGTTAGCGCTGCACCCAGTTCATCAACAGCGGGCTGCAAACCAGGCCGTAGATGCACGTAGGCGTGCACAAGAACAAAGCCAGGCAAATTTTACCTGGATCAAAGCCGGATTTCTCCTCAAAGTAGGGCATCGAAATGGCCGGTCGCTACCCCAGAGCCCCCAGAGACGCGGAACTACGACTACTAATGAAAGCTCAACTACCCTCGCCCAGGAGGAGAAATGCGTAACCCTGTTTTGCTTCGGCGCACCTTCATCTCTTGGAGATCGATTCCGCGAGCTGGCCAGTTCCGCAAGTTCTGAAGACCTAATCCAGGATCCTTATGCCCTTCTAGAGATAGTTCTAGAGGAGATGTACAAGGTAATGGATCGTGTCGGCTGGTTGGTATCAGACATTTTCGGGGAGATTGAGACGGTAAGCAAAATAGCCAGTCCAAGTGCTGCTTCAAAGTGGTTAATCCGCATCTACGTAGAAAACTCTTGACATTGCACGCACTCCTGGGAAAGCCGGGGAAGAGGTAAAATTTCCAGGGCTGCACAACCTGGCAAAGCACACCATATACCTGCGCGAGAACTGCGAATCAGCCCTTAGCACGGTCGAGAATCTGCGCACTCACCACATGAGACTCATGCGCAGCGATCCATCAATCTGGGAGACCTCGACTCAGAATGCACTTGAATACCGGAAGACTATGTTTCAGTCCACACAACGACGTCTTGAGAGTCTCGATAAGCGGATGGCAAATATCCTCCAGCTCTCTTTCCATTTGGTGACCCAAACCGACAGTCGGGTCATGATGTCGGAGAATCAAAGTATGAAGACGATAGCTGTCATGACGCTCATCTTCATGCCTCTTGGGACCGTTGCCAGCATCTTCGGCACTCAGCTTATTAAGCTGAAGGACGATGCGCCGTTCCATATGCAAGTGTCACAAGACTTTTGGCTGCTGTGGGTTATCGCTGTGCCACTAACGATTGTGGTGATGACTGTATGGCGAGTGTGGTATCGAGACGCGAAAGCACAATTGATTGATGAGAACCCTGTGAGACCGAAGGGTGAGCGTGGTTATATGGGATGGAAAACCGTGAGAAATACGTTTAGTGGATCAAAAAACACAAAGAAGAGCGCAGATGATAAGGTCTAGTTTTATGCTAGAAATAGCAAACTACAATATAAACAGACTGTTAAGTGTTACAATAGGAAGTTAGCGTCTTAGAGGGAAGGTTGGATGCAGATATTCGGAAAGCGCAATAATCTAGGGCTGGGAAACTGATTAGTTAATAGTGGTGTTGAATCCTCAAGATATCGAGAAAGGGGGGGCATTGTACGAGACTCGGAATCTAATAGTGAAGCTGAAGGGGTTTTATAATTGACTGCCTAATCAACCTTAGGCTTAGCGCCTATTAGTACTATATAAATTATATAACTCCTTAGACTCTTAATCTATAATAGATAACTCTTTGTATAACCTATGCATGTAACGTTATTGTTGAATGGACTCTCTGCTAGCTAGCACTTAGTGTCAGCAAATGCGTACAAGACAGAGAGGTTTGCACAGTGTAAATATTGCACAGGGGTGTTAGGTAACTAGTGTTAATTACTTCTTATTTTTCCTTTATACAAAGGAAAAGGAGATATCTAGATGTTTACGCACAGAGGTTCGCGCACAAGCATTATGTAACATAGATACGTGATCCTGCTTGTGCGTGATTGCTTGTATCTAGGCTGTGACGCTGCTGCTGTGTACAGACACTAGCAACTTTTCTTTTTATCTAAAGAGTTACCTTCTGTACGCGTTACCTCTCTTCTATTTATGTAGGTCTATTTAATTATGTTCTGCTTTTACTTTACTTTATTTATTAGAACTTGCCTTAGTAATGCTGTGTGTTAGAATAGGCTAGTTATGCTATATAAATAGCTTTTTTTTTCTTTATCTTTTACTTTTTAAGCCTTACTATATAATCCTCTAGCTCTTTTCTTTTTTTATATAGTGCTAACAGTAATAGATCCTTATAATAAGAAAGATAAGTGTGTATAATATAAAAAAAAATAAAATAAAAGAAAATAAGCTTTATATAAAGGCGTTATTAGTCTAGTTAGTCTAAGGCATTTTTGCGCATAAAATCTAGCTAGTCTATAAATGCTTCTATCTAGACAGAGAGGTAGTTAGTTAAGACTAATAATTAAAAAGCCTAGTTTAGTGTTTTTTTTATACATGTATTTACTAAGTTATTTTTACTATTAATTTACTTTATTTTAGTAATTTCTTTTTTCTTATATAATTTATAGAGTAACATAATGTTAATTATAAGTTACTTTTTACTAGTAGTGCTTAGCTTAATAAAGTAATTATATAAAAACCTTAAATTTATATAAATTACTACTAGAATTAGTAGTAGTTTAAGCATTTATATAATTTACTATAAAGTTATACTAAAGGTAATTACATTATTAAACCTTTTAACTATTTTATATAGTTTATTAGTAAAGACACTTTTAGTTACTCTTTTACACTTAGTAGAATTCTAGTATATAATATTACTTAGTATTTTAAAGTAGTTGCTTTACTTTATATAGTTTTTATTACTTAATATAATTAAAAATCTTAGCTATAAGCTAAGGTTTTTATTATTAGTAAATAATCTATTTATAAAGATAAATAGCTTTACATAATTAAGCTATAATAGTAGAAAAGTAAGACTATGCTTACTATTATCTATCTACTATTAGATTTATGTGTTAAGTGTGTTAATATTATTATATAAAAAGTCTGTAGTTTGTGTAGTAATAAATAGGTTAAATGCTACCTTTAGTTAACATATAGATATAATATATGCCTTTCTTACATATTACTTAACATATTATTATGCAGCATCTTTATCTTTTAAGTTAATTATATAAAGGTAGCTTACTTATCTTTTTTAAGTAAAAATTACTATGTTATATATAAGTTTAATTCTTTTACTATTAAACTTAATAAGCTACTTTTTTACTAAAATAGTTTTACTTTTTATATAAAACTTTACTTTTTATAGTTTTTTTTTTCTTTTTACATAAAATTCTTTATTATAATGCTTAAAGTGTTGTCTATTTATAAGCTAGTAATACTAAAAGTGTGCTCTTTTTTATTAGTAATTAAGAGGCAAAGGTTATATAAAGAGATGTGCATGCATAGCTTTTTTTTTATAGTAGTTATAATATATCTTAAACTAATATAGTCTTAATTTAGCAGCTTTATATAAGAGTTATATAACCTAGAGTATTATATTTAGTAGAAAGCTTTAGTATATCTCTTTTAGTAGCTTTATATACAGTGTGCGCATAAGCTTATCTATTAATTAAATATATACTTATATAATATTACATAGTTTAAAATACATTTTATATGTAGCTTTTAAGCTTACTTTTATAGCTAAAAGTAGTCTTTAGCTTATTTTTTAAATAGTTAGTAACTAAGTAAGAATTTCTCTCTTTTCTTTATCTAAGTAGCTAGTAAACACTAGGTAGAATTTTTTATATAGTTAAGTTATTTTACCTTTTACTTTTTATATAAGGTAAAGGTTAAAAATCTAACTTTTATGCCTTATTAAGTTATACACTATAACTTTAAAAGTACTATTAGTAATTAAAGTGTTTATTTCTATGTAGTTTAATTTTTTAAATAGTTTTTTAAGTGTAGTAATTATATTATCTATATAAAGCTTAATAAATAAGGCCTAATTATTTTTTTTTTTTTAAGTTAAGAATACTTAGTTTAAACTTTATATAAGTTTCTTTTGCTTTTTACTTCTTCTAGTATCTATATCTTCTCTTTGCACTAGTGCAGTATTACTATTTTAAGAGGCTTAGTCTATAGTAGGCTTTAGTTCTGCCTTTATAACATTTTTATAAAGCTGTTTTTTTTTTCTTTTTTTTAAAAAAATTTTTTATATAAAGATTAGTTTATTTAAGTTATTTATTATAAGTAAGTTATTTTTTTTTTTTATAGTATAGTTTAACCTATGTATATTAGAGCTTTAGTAGGCTATTTTTTTTTTAATAATAATATTTTTTTTTTTAATACTTTTAATTTTATATAGGCTAGTTTAGCCTTTTTTTTTTCTTTATACTATAATCTTTAAGCTAAGAGAGAGGTTAAGAACTTTATATGTTATAAAGCTATTATAAGTGTTAATTATATAATTAATGTTTACTTTTATATAGTCCTTTTAAAGTATCTTTATTACTTTTTATATAGCACTTGCTTATGTAATAATGTTTAGTAATAGTAAAGAGTTTAAGTTAATTTTTAAGTATGCTTTAAAAACTAGTAGTGTAAGTACTAGACTGTGTAGGCTAGCTATGTTGTTTAGAGCCTTAACTGCTATCTGCAGAATAGCCTTATTATTTATATAGTTACTTAGCTTAGTCTTTAGAATGTTAAACACTTATTAGAAAGGTGTATGTGCGCGCTTAACTTTTCTAACTGCCTAATATGCTTCTACAGGCATCTGCTTATATATAGCTTCTATAATTTTTACATAAGCTTAAAAATTCTTTAAAGTAAAGTTTATACTAAAGTTATACATAATATAGTCTAAGAGTTCTTAATAAGTGTTAATTTAGCATTTACATAGTGCATCCTAGGTATCTTGTGCAGACATAGATTTTAGAAATATAGCAGCCTAAAATAATATATCTATATTAATAACATATAAAACATTTTTATTATTAATTTATATAACATTAATAATAACTTTATAGTTAAAGTAGGTGTTATTTTTAATTATAAACTTAAATTTTTATAGAGCCTAGTTATATAATTAGTAGAGGTAGTAGAACTTCTTAATCTCTTCTAGCACTGCAGCATTAATGTTATAGCTAGTGCTAGTTAGCATCTTCTAGAGTCTTTTTATGCAGGGGTGTCTAAATTAGCAGTAAAGGCAGTAAAGTTTTAATTTAGTAAAAAAAGACATAAATTCTTTTTTACTAATATTAAAAAAAAAGTGTCTTTATTTTTATATAATAAAGATAGTAGTTTTGTCTTTACATATAATAATATTTAAAACATTATTAAAGTACACACCTATTTAGTCTACATCTGCTAGAGACAGTAAGAACAGTGTTAGAGTGTCTAAGATGTAATATATTATGTTACTAACTAAGTTAGTAATTTATATAGTACTAATTAATTCTATTAATTTTTATTTTTTAAAGCTAATACTTTTCTTCTTTAGTGTTTAGTCTACTTTTGTATAAAAGAATTCTTATAAGTATGCTTTAAGTTATAACTTTTTTATAGTAGAAATTTTTACTGTGCTAGTATTCTATAGTTTACCTTAGTATACTATATAGTATTAATCTTTAAAGATAAACTATTCTGCGTATCCTTTAAGTTCTAGGCTGTAGATGTCCTCTACAGTTACGCAGTAAAGAAATGTAGCATTAGTAAGGTAGTTAATAATCTTCTTACTTTTTTTTTTATCTAAGTTATTATTATTATGCAACTTTTTTTTTTTTTACTTTAGTTTACTTTTAAACTTTTAAATATATACATTTACCTTCTTATATATTAGTGTCTTGTTATAAAATTCTTTATATAAAAAGATATATTAGCATTTTATATAAAATTAATTTATATAAAGATAATTTATTAACTAACATTTTTTTTTATAATAAATAAAGCATTACTTTAATTATGCAAAGGACTGTAGTCTAAATAATCCTTTATATCCCCTTAAGCTTCTTCTATGTTATTAATAGCTATATATACATAGTAAGCTATATTACTTATTAGTGTAGTACACGTCCTAGAATTTGTTTATAAATGCATTATTCTATTAATTAATTATAACTTAAAGTGCTAAACAAAGGTTACTGTACAGTGCCTTATATATAGGCTTAATTAAAAACATTACTTATTTAAGTTTAAGTTGCCTTTAGCATGCTTATATAATAGTAGTGTAAAGCAGTATTTTACTTTAAAATTATAAACTAAGAGCTTTTTATGTAAAAGTAAGTTTATTAATTATAGCTTTAAAAGCTTTATATAAGGTTTTTATAAAGTTTTTTTACTTACTTTATATAAAGCTTATTATTATTTAATTTATTTAATACTAGTTATAATTTACATTAGTATTAAAGTAATTACTAAGCTACTTATATAGTAACTTCTATAATTATTCTAGACTAATATTATAAAGGTAGAACATATGTGCGCGCTTTTTAAAAATATTAGGAAAAATGCTTATATATAATGCCTTAAAAATAGTAAGGTGTTAGTAAAGCTTAATAAATACTATAGCCTTATTAGCTAAGATATTATATAGTTGCCTTATATAGTTATTCTTTTTTTTTTATGCCTTTTAGAATTATACAACCTTCTTAGGCGTAAGGTTCTCTGCTGTAATATCTTATGTAGGTAGAAGTTAGTATAGATTATACAGTAATTAAATTATATATAGTAAGTATAAGCTTTAGAGAATCTTATGCAGAGCTATAGCTACAGGAATATGTAGCTATCTAGTTATGCTCTTGTATAGTAAGCTATTATAAGGTAGTTGTACTAATTATAAAAAAAGTATTAAGTCTATAAGTAATTTATATAAAGACATCTTTTATTACGTTAAAACTAGTAATAGTAGTAATAGTTTTATATAATGCTCTAGTAAAATAGTAAACATGTGTTCTTTTTTTATAAGTTTATATAGTGTAGTAGCTTTTATTATGTCTTTTTTAAAGCTAATGCCTTTATTCTGTAAGGTAGTAATTAGTTTTTATAAAAATAGTTAGCTAAAATTTTTAAAGTGTATAAGCTTCTACTTTATAAAGTTATTTTAAAAGTTTTTAAGTGTACATATATTTATTGCGCTTAATGTGCAGAGTTCTATAATTAAGTTAGCTGTGTATAAATTAAGCTTTTTCTTAAATGTATTATTTAATAGTTTAATTTTATCTACTTAATCTTTAATATTTATCTGCTTTGCTAGGGTCTTTACTAAGATGCCTATAAAAAGTACATATTAGTTATATATTAATATGTTATGTTAGCTAGTTATAGATAAAGCTAGTGTTGCTTATTACTTTATAGTAGTTAATTATATGTTATTGCGCGCTATCTTACTTCTTATTATACGCTGCCTTTAAACAGCCTTATATAAAAAGATAAAATAGACCTTCTAGCATTAAATAAGCACTACTATTTGTATAATACCTTTAAATAGTATTATACAGACAGGTTTCTTACTTTTGCTTAGGTAACTAAATAGAGATTTATAGCTACTTATATATAAATTAAACTTTATTTTTACTCTTACTAATTTATAGTTAAAGTAGTAAAGAAAAAAATTCTTTTTATATATAAACTTTTAAATAAAAAGGTATAAAAAAAGCTTTTTTTTTTATAGTATTTAAACTACTAATTAGTGTTAAATAAACTCTCTACTAGCTAGCACTTAGTGTTAGCAAATGCGTACAAGACAGAGAGGTTTGCACAGTGTAAACATTGCACAGGGGTGTTAGGTAACTAGTGTTAATTGCTTCTTGTTTTTCCTCTGTACAGAGGAAAAGGGGATATCTAGATGTTCGCGCACAGAGGTTCGCGCACAAGCATCATGTGACATAGATACGTGATCCTGCTCGTGCGTGATCGCTCGTATCCAGGCCGCGACGCTGCTGCTGCGTACGGACAGTTATAAATATAAGCTTAAATATTACTTTAAACATCTATTTAGCTTACTCTAACTACTTATCAACTTGCACCTATTAAAAGATTGCTTCACTATTCTATTTACTTGTGAGAGGAATCGAGCAGGAAGCACGAGGCACAGAGAGGGAATGCAGGATAGGGGGGTGTAACGAGAGTAAACCTTAGGGTCGGAGGCTGAGGAGCCTACACCCCGTGCCAAGTCCTTAGGGTACTCAGGGGCTGGATAGCTGTAACATAACAGTGACATGACCTATATAACATTACTAGTATTATTGTTACTATGTTATCTAAGAGTTTAATTATATTTAGAAAGGTTATCTTTAAGGATTAATTAAACTAAAGCTTTAAATCTATGTAACTAAATAAATAGCTAACATTAAAAATGTTTAAGCTTAACATATTTCACAAGCAAGCGGTCCACACAAGCAAACAGTCTACTCTAACAACATTTTTATACTTAATTTACATTTTACTCTATAACACCTACATTAATTAATTAATTAAATAATAATAAAATCTAATCTATAATATCTGCTTTATAAATAGTGTGATGACAAGAACTGTCTCTACTACCGTACAGAGCTGGGGAAGCGAGGTAGAGTAGGTCGGCTCTTTTTCAGCTATACTTGGATGGGGAGAAGGAGGTGAAGGCTTTTCGCAAGAGAAAAGCTTGCTTAGCTCTCAGCGCGATCATGTGACTAGCAGCTGTAATGAGGTAGGCGCCCCGCCTGCCAAGCCGATACTATACGACTTTCCCCACTGTACCAAAAGGTACGCACGAGAATACTTAAGCTAAGTATTCTCGCATAGTATAATATATATATAGGTAATGCTAGGGTAAGTACTAGCACTAGCGGTTGTCTTTAGCCTAGCCTAAACCTCTATGAGCGAGAGAAGGCCACGTGGTTGACCGTGCCGACCTCGTTACAGCAGCGGAGCTTGACAAGCAGCATCGTCACATTACCCCCCTCTAAGGCGGGCTCGTCCCCGAGTCCGTAGTTACGTACAATGATAACATGTAATAGTGCGTTCCCTAGGCTCTTTGAATAGCCCCCTTTACTGGCATGTCTTTTAGACTGGTTATCCTTCACTGTTGCCTCTAAGTCCTCCCTTGCGTTGTACGCTTGCAGCCAGGCTTCTAATCGCGCTGGGGGACCTGGTTTGGTTGGATATGCCCTATGGAAGTCTCTTACCTTGTGCGGCGCTCCTATGAATCCTCGGGCGTTGTACCAAGTAAGATATCTTTTTAGAGAACTAACCTAAGAAGCTATTAGTTTTAAGCACTGCATATAACATGTTAAAATTTTAAAATTTATTGTCTAGTTGTTGTTAAGATATTAAGGTACTATTTTTCTAGTTTTTAGTAGGTTTTAGGATGCGCAGCTCACTAGGTTCCGCAGCTTAGTAGTGGAACACGTTAGTAGGTCTAAGTTAATGTAGCTAGAGAGCTTTGAAATTTCTAAATACTAAAAGCTTATAGTTTTTAAAGTAGTACTGTTTTAGCGTTTAAATTTAAAGGATTTCACTCTTTCCTTAATACCTAAAGATTTATCTAAGTTTAGCTAGTAAAAATTTAATTAACGTACTTCATAGGCGAGTTGCTCACACACCCGAGTCGCTCACTTTTGCTAAGACCCTACTAAACCACCCTTCCTACACTAATGCATTCCCCACAACACCACTTAGACGCGCTAAAAGAACATTAGATACAGCTTACGCTCTAAGCTTTTAAATAAAACATAAAACTCTTAAAGAAATGTGCTATAGCTATGTGCAGAGTCCTGTAAAAGACAATAAATAACTATAGCGCTTGTCACAGTATCCTCCCCGGATCCCAGACATAACTGTATTGGACGCGTACTAGAGTATTATTAGTGCATGTCTGACACAAACACAACACAACACAGACATAAACTTAAGCATAAACTGCCTTAACACTAACTAAACCTAAAACAGGCTTAATTTATACTTAAAGCGCTTAGACTTCTAAGCTAAGTATTTAATTACTAATTTTCTTCTAAACCTTCTTGTTCCTTACATAACATCTTATACCTACTATAATACCTTATGTAGTAATTAAACTAGACCTCTGTAAAGCTCTATAACCTTACTTATGCATAATTATAACATTACATTGTGTTAAAACTCTAGCTAAGAATAGCCTCTAAATCTAATTTAATAAGCTTAGTACTTGCATAACTTTAAGCTATTAAAGTAAGCTAAAAAGCCTTTTAAAAAGCGCTTACTTTATAAGAAAGCTGCTACATTATAAGCTTTAAAGCTTTTTAAAAGAACTTTAAAAAACAGCTTTACATTATTAAGTAGTCTGTTTCTGCCTTAACTTTTATTATAGTAGTAGGAACTAAGAACTTGTTACAGTCTACAGTTAGACCAGCGTAACCCTACCAGCAGTGCTCCACAACCTAGCTGGATTAGGGCAGGGCTCACTTACAAACCAGTCGGAGGACACAGAGGCAGCACGGCTTCCTAAGATTATGGAAGAATGCTCTGTCTAATAGGGAGGCAGGCCGCGTGTTACTAGGAGTTTAAAGGAGCTTAAGGAGCTCTCCTTAGTAAACTCCTATAAACTCTGCTAACTCCCCTTAGCATCTCTAACATATGTATATAGTTCTTACATTAAACAACCTTTAGAAGGTGTGTTTAATGTTTAGTTTATTCTTTATATAAACTAAGTAGCATTTAGCTTTCTAAAAAGCTGTAATACTATTTATATATCTTACACTATATATACCTCTAACCCTGTCTAACAGGACTGTTTAACCTTAGCCTCTCTACTGCTGCACATAGGGCAAACTATAATCTAGTTACTCTCCCTTCCTCTATTAGCCTAATAGCCTGTACGTAGGACTGTACACCCTACTAGATTAGCCCCTACT